GCATTGTCATCATCATCATCAGTAAGGGGGGATCTACAAAATAAATCCTCTTAAGGCGAGTAGGACCTTTTGTCCAATGGACGTCCTGTTTCGCTCCCCTAATCATCATAGATGATTTATTTGCTAGTGCATTCGATCCTTTATTTTAATTTTGTTGTTAAATTTTTTCTGAGCAGAAGAGTAATACGTTGTCAGAGCAGACAACGCTAATAGTGCTGAGCAGCAGAGATATAGAAAATGTCGATTTTTTGAGATACTTCTTACTTAATAACTTCTTTCTTTTCTCTTAATTGATTATGAGGTTGATGATGGTAAATAGTCTAAATAGAGTTATCTAATAAAAAGTTAAAAGTTAAAATTGATTTTACGATTGTTAATTAAAAGTCCAATTCTTTCGGAGGCATTTCAATTCAGGAATTAAATATTTTCAGAGCAGAAGAATAAAACATCGTCAGAGCAGACAATGTTGAATAATGCAGAGCAGCAGAGTGAAGGCATAAATATATTTTAATTATGAAAATTAAATTCTCAGTAGAAGTTCGTTTAGCATCTCACACTTAGACAAGTTTAGTTCTTAATTAACGTTTACATTGTAAACTTAATAAGTGTTGTCGAAAGTGAAAGATTTAGATAGTGTTAGAGTTTAAAAATAATATAATCCAAATCTGCAAGGCTTTGTGAAAAGTTTCACAGATTGGATTTCAAGTCTTAGAATTAAAAAAAAAAACTTTCCCTACATATGTCCTATTTTTAAAAATTTATTTTTTTAACTATTTATTTAATTACCTACTTATTTTGTTCTTTTGAGTATCAGAATTTTGAACTTAAAATTTATTTATTTTTTCTTCATGCAGTGTTAAAAATACAAGAAGGTGTGAGAATGAGAATTTTTTCCATTTTTTATCTGTGTACGTATCTAGTTGAAATGCAATTGTTACCTGATCCTTTTGTTTTCCTTTTATTATATTTATTATCTTCTCTCATAATGATTATTTGCGAATATCTTTTTGCTAATTTTAATTAATTTACCTAATACTTTTATCGATAAGATTATTTTGATACGTTTAGGTCTATCTACTAACTCGGCAGCAGTGATATCCTAAGTAATGAAATAATTTCTGAAGCCATGAGCAGAACTTTTCTCCATTTTTAAATTTTTTAACCTTGATTTCTTAGTTACTTTTTATTGGTGTATAATATTTAATTTATATGAAAAACTTCAATTTTTTATTGTTTATAAACACTTTGAGAACATTTTTTAAATGTTTGAAACGATGTAATATTGGCTTGAATAAGTTGAATTAATTTTATTGTGAGAGCACTAGAATTTTTTTACCGCTTTTTACAGCCTCTCTCGAGAGAATCCTCGTAAAATCCAAGTGAATGTAATGTAATGTTAACCATCTCAACAAAGTTGATCTTATTCTCAGAAATTATTTAATATCTTAAGCATCAATGCTTCTTGAGCTAAATATTTATGTAGATCTAATGTATAACTCATTAAGTTAGCAATTTGAATCTCATTATCATAAGTGGTAATTAGGTATGTTTGAGTACATATTTTCAACATATTCATTTATCATGTTGGATATTAGATTCAATTCTATTTAAAGTTATTCTTATACTTTAATATTTTGACATGCTGTTGAGTTCAGTTTATTATATTTTTTCTGTGGTTTCAAACGAGGAGGGTTAACAATTTTAATAAACATTACTTTCCGAATAAGGTTTCAAGAGATGGTAAAATTTTTGCAGTGAAGTAGTGTTATGACATAAAGGTTAACATCAATCAAAACAAGACAGAGTGAGTACATAGATCCAAAATGATTCAGCTTCATACATTTTTAATAAGGAAAGTTGTAGGAAAATATGCTGCAGGCAGTATTAAAAATCCTTTTGAATGCTTCAAATTTCACTGCTTTAGATGCTGTTACTAAATTTAAAGTCTCTGCTAAATGTTTAGATTAAATGATGTTAAATTTAGAAGTTAATTTCTTTTTGTGGTGAAAACTTTTGTCTTCATCATTAATCACGATAAAAATTCATATGTTCTTCCCACTCTATTTCACAAAACAAATATTTATGTAAGATCTGGATAATATTTTTATACAGTCTGAATGTTTAAAGAAACTTTTCAGAGACGATTTCATTTCATTGAGAACAAATAAAATATAATGTATGCAGAAACGTCGGTTTTCCATAACTTTGATAACAAATTAAAATATACCGGACTAAATAATCAAGATTGCCCATTCCTTCCTCCATGCCATTCAAGAATTTCCACTTTTTGTAAACCAAATGCATTCATTGAATTATAAATTGAAACCCCTTTGAACAAGTTGGAAGATAGGAAGATGTCTTAAAAAAGTTCTGTTTCAACAAGATCGATACAATTTTCTTAATTTTATTGTCTCAACATTTCGTCTTTCACAGTTTGAGCTTGACATTGGCATTCACTGAATAAACAAAACGAATACAGCCACGTTTTTATCATCACTCAGCTTGATATCAATTGTGATTGAATTTCAATAACAAATTTTGTTTCTTGATCAACATTCCCACATCCGAAATAAAAATATAAAATGAAAATTTGTTCAGACAATAATTGATTCTGACTTATGGAAATTTTCTTCTTTTTTCCTTTTTCCAGGTACGTGAGAAATGTAGGTCATGAATTGAAAACGTTATGGCTCTCTATCTACCAACTGTCACCATGCAAAAAAACGAATTGAGTATTCATGGAGCTTGAATGAATTTCCATCAGACACAAGTCCACCGTTATTGTATCCGTCACTCATCAGCTGTTTCGCATGTTATTTTCTGATGCAGTTTCAATTGATTTTCAGTTAGGTATCTATTTTGTTCATTTCAATCACACAAAAAATAAAAAATTATTTCATACCTTTGATTTATTGAAGCGAGGCGAAAAAGCAATTTGGAATCGTTGATTGACTAATGAATGCGTAAACAATTTTTGAAAAGCATTCTGTAAAAGTTGGGAAAATATCTACATGAATATGAATAGATATGTTTACTTCAAAAATTCTCTTCGTTTCTCTAGGTCTAACCAACTTTTTCTTTATTACTTTCTTGGTTTTGTGGTTTTAAAACAATTCTATTTTGTTCAGTTACTCAAGAAAATATCAAAAGTAATTAAATGTTATCAGATTCTTGGTAATTGTCACACTATCAATGAACTAATTTTTGTATTTTAAAGAAAAAATATTCGCTTTTAATGATTATCAGTCCGCGATAGATTTGATGTCGTCAATTAGTTGCGACGTACTAAAGTAAAAATATTGCGAGAGAATCGTTTTGATGTTTCTGTTTTTTTTTTCTTTTTTATTATTAATCGGAATGAATGCTTTAAAATCGCTTACAAAGCTATTATCAGCTGTGTGATTCAAGATAGCATAAGAAGAAAAAAATAAAAATGAAAATGTAGTTGAGTAATAAAAAAAATACAAATAATTAAAAGTTTGTGAAAGTTGTTGAACAAATGCGATTATTGGCTGATGAATCGATTGCCAAGTTTGTACTATAAAATTGTTCGTAATTAAGTTATCAGTACGAATGAGCAGAATAACAAGCCTTCCGACATTTGATGCTGGTTCAGATTTTTCAGTACATAAATCAATTTATAATTGTTTTCATTCGCATTTTATTTATTTATTGCAACTCAATTGAGAATGATTCATCATTGTGTGATAGGTTTAATTATCACGTTTATATAAAATAATTAAATTAAAAAACGTTTTTGTTTTCAACTTGAAAAATCATTGAACTCAAGCATCTCTTTCGATATATCAAAATATTTTTGAGTTGTTATCTACCCGTGTCGCATGAATTCCAATGGAAACGTTCATTCACTTGCACTTTCTACGTTTTTTAATTGATATTTTTAATACAAGGCTACGTGTCAACACTAGAGATGTTCAAACAATGAGAAAGAAATTTAATTTGACACACTTAATTCATGCATTTAAATTTATAGAAGTCATATTTATCTAGAAAACGGCAACAAATAAATACAATTTATAAATAAATTCTTCACAATCATGAATTTCTTATAAATGCAATACATATTAATGAACACACATCTGGTTTTATCTGGAACCTCATAATCAAATGCTTATAACATTTGTTGGCATTTTTTAATAAACAGAAACATAAAACTTTTCTCCTGAGATTTGTTAATTGACAAACATTGTTTATTCATTCATGTCCCATGATGTACCTATAACATTAAATATGACAAAATTAATTATCGTAACGAGATTTGAGAACAAAAAATGTTGAATTAAAAATTTTTTAACTCTTGAATTTACTAACTGATGCACGCATGAGAGATTTTGTGAAAAGTTTTTATTCATAGCTTTTGGACTCGAGTTGGAAAAGTTTTCAATGTTCGCTCATGTTGAATGATGTTTAAAATTATTTATCTTCTCAAAGGTAATCATTGACAATTAAAATTTGGAATAAGCGGAGAATTTGTAAATGTTATTTTAATAAAATATTTTCAACACAAAGGAATGTTCGTCTAAATTTTTGAGTACGAGGCTCAAACCTTAAATCTCACACCCTCAGATTCCCTTAAAACTTTTGTCCTCTTCATCCCGTTCTCAACAACCATCAAAAATCGATAAACAACAAATTTATAACTCAACTTAAAAACGAGAACTTTTGAGAAGGAAGTTTCTTTTGTCGCGCCTTTCTGTCGATCCATAAAAATATAAGTAAACAAAAGGACCATTGCAAAAGGAACTAAAACTTAAAATTTGCAACGAAAGTGAGAGATAATGATATAATTTAATCGTAAAATTTCAGATGATATGGGGTTTTAGTGGCTGTAAAACTGTTTGCAGAGAGTATAAGAGGAACCGGCTAAAATGTTTTTATCACATCAAAAATTAATTCATCCAGAGACATTAAAAGCGTAAGCTAAATTTTATTCAACTCTTGCATAAGAGAGACATATTTATTTATCTTCGAAAGTCTCGGAAAAAAATTCTACTCTTAAATGCTGTCTGTATTTGTTTTATGAAGTCATGTGGCATATACGATATGACAATGACAGTGACTGTTATTTTGTTGACATGTAACAATTTTTTTAAGAAAACGTTCTTCAAATACGAAATCTATGAGATAAAACGTTAGTTTACTTACTTAATTGAATGTACATATAACCAACAAAAGTTAGCTATGTACATGAAGCAGCGAAATGTTACATGAAGGATTTAGAATAAATATTCTGAATTATAAAGTCCAATATAAAGATATGAAAATTTATTCAAAGAAATACATTTTTGCTTCCAGAACTTTTGAAGAGGACCCAACCATCTATTAACATGCAAATGTTAACTCTCTTAATTAAACAATGCGCCATTTAAACAGACAAATTTATACAGAATGATACAAACCAATGAGAAAGTGTTGGTTTCCTCATGAAAATGTGTTCAGGATAAGTAATTTCAGCTCATTACAAATTCAACGTGTTTCAAAAAAATTTCAACGCTATCTAGACATTTTTTCCTTTTTCATTCATCATTAGATTTCAAGTTTACATTTTCATTTCCACTCTCACAGCCCTGAACTCCACATCAAAAAAAATGTGAGAATCGCGCCGAGTTGACTGAACTTGTTTTATCTAACAGTACCACTTGCTATGAAAAGAGAATGTAAACAGACGGAGAATTAAGGAAGTGGGTATAGGACGACGTAGCAAATTTATGTTTTCGTAGAGCATCACGTTCTTTTTCTTCTTGAATCATGCGTAATGCGAACGAAGCTCTCTTTTCGCACCAACACAAACATGCAGAAAAGCACATTTTCATATGAAAACGTCATACACGTTTTATTACAATCGAAATAAGGTTCTCATTTATAATGTTCAGTCAAATACTGGCTCTCTTTAAAAGTAGAAGCTGAAGAAAAAAAAGTGTTCGGCGACTCCGTGGGGGAAAAATTTCGCAGTTGAGTTTTGCATGTGAAAAGCGTCATCAGCAGTGAATTTCATTGAAACTTTCAAGTGATTTGTGATTTTGTATGTGAAGTTAGTGAAATTTTCTCATACTTTTGTATTCTCTTCCGTAAATTTTCAAGCAATGAATTGCTGTAACCATATTGAAAAGGCGTTTCTTTTTCGTCTCTGTTGTCGCCTTTGTTAGCACTCTTCCATCAATTTTTCTGTCATCAACTACCAGAAAAGCAAACATATCCACAAATCAAGCGAAATTTGATATTTTTGTAAAGAGAATTTTCCCAAATCGATTCATTATTAATGAATTTTCCGAGTAAATCATGTTTGTATGTGTGAGAAGAAAAGGGAAGAAAAGAAAATGTAGCCAGGGGTGGATGTATGAAATGGAAATAGGATAGAAGGGAGAAATTCCTTTTCTCGTGTTTCTAAATATCTATTTGTAGAACTTTTTCATCTCAAGGTTATTGCTTTGTTTTGTTTTGTTTGGGGAAATGAAGCAAACGTGAAATATATTTTTCTGTTTTCGATTATTCCACGGTTCCATAGTAAGGTTAAAAAAGGTCTAATAAACTTGGGTTGAAGTTTTCCAAAATAAAAAAGGAAAGGAACTCAATCAATCTTTTCCGTCAATGTTGAATATCAAAGAAGCTACATATATGATATTTACATGTCACATACATATCTACCTTCATCACTATAAGTTTGAGGAAGACATGAGAAAGAATAAGAAAACTACCAGAGTGCGTTAAATTGACAAACGAAAAAGTCATAAAATATTGAAAGAAAGGTTATATCTACGATCTTGACGTTGGGTTCACTAATGGTGGAAAAATTGATTTTTTAATGATAGAAAATTAGCTGGCCGACAAGCAAACACATGAACCGGTCAGTGAACTTTTTGCATAACCTTGATGCCCTACAACACATTCGGGTTTTCTTGGCTCGATTGCGTCAAAGAATGTTACTTCGAAGGAATGAGAAGAACCCTTTTCGGTCAAATCGAATGAAGCTTAATACGCATGAAGAAATTTAAACATGTAAAGAAGATTTTCTTATTGTAAATTCTTTTTTGATCCTTTTTCTTCTTCCTTTGGTTTATATTTAAGCATAAGTATCAGACAAGTGATCTCAAAACATCAATTGAACTCCCAATACGACAAAACCATTCCAAACGATTGAATTATACGAAATAAAATCGGGTCATCAACATAGATAGACATTCATCGTTAAACAGAATTTAGAAATTCATTTTATGAGACGTAGTTTATGCGTTTTGTGGCGATGTCGATGTTATTTGTCGCACCATCACTTGCGTCATAAAATATATCGTCCTAATTTATAGTGCAAACACACAATCTTACTTATATGGCGAGGAAAGGAATTCTTTTCGTCGTAAAACAAAAATGGGTCAATGAAGGCCAAAAAATAAAAAAAAAGGGAAATAACTTTTGTTTGTTGAATGAAAACTATTCATTTTCACCCTCAATTTCCAACAGTTTGGATTTCCTGCAGCATGACAAGAGTCAATAAATAAGTCGGGTTCTATTCGGTTCACTGAGTTTAATATTCTCAGTTTTATACCATCTGCTAATGACGACCATATATTTCAAAAGTTTTGCCTATCAAGGCTTGAAATATTTTTGGTTTTCTATTGAGAAAATTTGTTGTTCCCACAGAAATCAGGACTTCATGTGTTTCTAAAAGAAAAAGAAATTAATTGAAGAGGGAAATTTATGTAAATATGTAGGTTTCTGAAGAAAAGCAAAAGTTGAGCTACTTACACTAAACTTCTAAAAGATCACATTAGATTATAAAATAATGCTTCACGTTTGTTGAATTTGCTTTTGTTTGCTTTCAAGGCTTGTTACATCCCCATGAGAATCTTATCTTTGTTTGAGTACTTATTTGGCATTTCCACAAACATGTTTTAAAAGGAATCATATTTCTGATAGCATAAAAATCTGATACTTTCTTGCAGGAATTTTTATCAACTGAATTATTTAAGATGGAGAATAAGAAACCAAGTAATTTTTTATAAAAGACAAATTCAAGTTGACAATTCGGTTGGTTTTCTGTATTGGACGTGTGAGAAAAATGTTTCTACCAGTTAAACCAAACACGTAAGTCATAAATTTTCTAGAGATTGACTAAATGCGAGTTGAAAGTTTTGATTGAGTTGATGAAACTAGAAACAGAAAGTTTTGTAAAAAGTTGCAAAATCCAATCAAAAGTTAAATGTAGTTGAGATTAGATTCAACCACAAAGTTAAGAGAGTTTTTTAGACATTTGAATTGTATAATTATTTAGAAGAGAAACTTAGAGTTTGCTACAATAAAATCATTTACATGATTCAGCATGTTTAGTGAATAATTGCAAAGATCATTCATGAATTAATTTAGCGCTGACGATGGTGTTCAGCATAATTCAACTCAAACTCCAAGTGACATGACACCACCGATCCCAAACGGTGATGAATTCCTACCTCAAGCACATCATCAAAACCCCGGACATTGCATTGCTTCATTTTCTACCATAAATCGAATGAGACTTAATACACAATTGTGCGATGTTAAGTTAGCTGTGGGAGGTGAAATCATCAATGCTCATAAAGTAATTTTAGCTGCTGCATCGCCTTATTTCTACGCCATGTTTAATGGTAATTATTAACCGTCTACTGAATATCATGCCTTTCAGCAAATTTAAGCATAGCTTTAAATATGATATTTGTCACCTTTCCCTAGACGATATGCTTGAACGTAATAAAGATGTTGTTGAACTACACGACATTGACGCGCCCTCATTGAAGCAATTAATTGATTTTGCTTATACTGGAGAGATTATTATCACTGAAGAGAACGTGCAAGTGCTTTTGCCAGCATCGAGTCTACTTCAAATACAATCAGTGCGGGAAGCATGTTGTAAATTTCTATTACGTCAGCTTCATCCATCTAATGTTCTTGGCATCAGAAGCTTTGCAGGTTGGTTTGAAAATTTAATTTTCACTTGTTTTTTCTCTCTTTTTCTACCTAGTTATCATTCGATTTTCATATTTTCACAAATTTCCATCATCGAAAAGTTTCCGTTCGCCCGCTTTCTATTATTGAATTTGAAATACGATTATAACTTCATAATGTTCAGAAAAATTTAATGATTTAAACACCCACTTGTTCATAGGTCGTGACTTCCTGGGAGAAAGAGTTTTTCAAGCTTCTTAAAGTAGGTATAACAGCTTACGAGCTGTAATGAGAGAAGAATTCTTCAAAATCTTCATTGAAACGCTTTAAGAAATAATCCTTTTTATAAAAAGCATTAACCTGAAACAGTTTCCAGAAGTTTTTAGCACATTTCACTACAAACAACTCCGTTATGCTCGTTTATAATGGAAAGAAAAAGTGTGAAAAATTTATTGTACTCTTTGTTAAATGTTAATTCAAGTAAAAGCAACAAATTTAGATGCATTGCTAAAATCCGCAACTTTGATTGTGAAAAAACATTTACTAAATAGATTTTTTATGTTATTGAAGCTTTTTTCCACTTCTCATCACACATTTAATTCAGCGTAGAATTTTTGTGGCTTCAGAACTTTTATTAATTTTTATTTTGCCACAAAAGAGGTGTTTTTCATATATCCTTCTTGTGTTTGGCATGCCAACACATTTTTACCTGCATAAAATATTTTTGTCATCCCAGGACGTTATGAAATTTTGTATTGAACAATTTTTTAATTTAACGAGCTGTCAAAATTATTTGAAGTTTCTTTCTGGGATTAAAAATAGCAAAAATCACATTTTCTGCCAAAAAAATTTTTTATTTTATTTTTCTTTGTGCCAAAGCTATGGCGACAAAATTTTCCTTGTTGTTATGCGAACGTTGACATTTTTTCCTCTGCTTCAAATAGTCGCGTTATTTGGGTTTTCCGCGTTTTTATGGAAAGAACGGTCGTTATGAAAGCTTCAATTTTAAGAGATTAGTTTCTATTGTTCATTTTTAACAATGACTGCGTTTTTTTTCTTTTTTACTAGAATGTATTCAAATCTAGACGAAATAATGTCTATTCATATCTAAATAGACAGATAAACAACAAACATAATTTCAATAAAACGCTTGAAAACCACTTCAGTTAAAAGTTTCCCATCCATGCATACAAATCATAAAATACGCGAATTATCAAAAGCATGAAAATCTCGACCGCTTCAATGGTCGCGGTTTGAGAGCTTCACGCAAAATTTTGTTTTTGCTTCTCCTTCGTTACAAAACAAAAAAATGAAAAATTAATCGTTCTATCTAGATATTTTGGTTTTTCCTTTTCCATTCTGTAACAGCATTAGCAACATAGAATAGCATGTGTTTTCTGCTCGGGTACATTTTATATCATGCATTATTTATTTTAACGAAAGAGTGGCTTAACTCATGTAAGAAAATTCTTTCAAAGTATGACGGAGAAAAGTAACAAATGAGGGAATTCTTACATGTCAGCGAGTAAAGTGTTGAGTAAAATCTAATTAATTATACTCTCGTTGTAAATGATCGTGATTTTCATCGTGTATATATAAATGAGTCATTGAGTCGATTTAATTAAGTATATTGCGTGCAAAACCATTCCTTGGGTTTATGGCAACAGATGGTAGTTTTTCTATCAAATTTAATTTTTTTTATTGAGTTGTCTCCAACTCCCATCAATTTGAGACCCAAAAATAAATAAATAAAAAAAGAGTTTTTATCATCATAAAATAAACAAGCATAAACTCGATAAACGTTCTATTTATGAGGACAAGAGTTCCACTTGATTACACAACAACGCCCATCACTCGAATTCATAAAGAACGACATGATTGATTCCCTTTTGTCAGAGCTGAAAGCTCCAATATCATTTTTTTTCTCATTCAACAGGTTGCTGATACCATTGCTTGCTTTCTACGTGTCAATCCAATTAGATTTTTTTCTGCGTTCAAGCAATAGCTATTTTGTAGAAAGAGAAAGAGAAAGAGAAAGAAAGCTATTAAAAGGGGATTTGAAATGAAATAAGAATATTAATTTTTCTATTCTTATCGTCCACTTTAGATGCCCATAGCTGCAGAGAATTACATTCAAAAAGCCATCGTTTTGCTCTTCAGAATTTTCAACAAGTCATTTCAACCGAGGAATTCCTTCTATTAGGATTTAATGAGGTAATTTATTGCTGCGGATCATTTGCAAATTAATCCAATTTTGTTTTTCCCCTTTTCTTCTTATGGCTTGAAGGCCCATCAAGCTTGGAGACTAAATAATCTTAGCTTTTTCCACTTCATTTCCGGTTATTGACTCACATTAGGTGTTAATTATAATGCTGATAGGTCTCGCGAGACAACTTAGTCTTAGATTGGAAGCTTTATAGTTCTCTAATTCCTTAGGATTAGATTAAATTCTGAAACTATTTCAATTTATGCTTTTAAGTACTTACATGTTACATCTTTATCAATTCTTATTGTTATTGTTCATTAAAGATTAGACATATCTACTTTGAACAGTAGTTTGAGAACATTTACGCGTTGAAACAATTGTAGAAAACAATTTAGTAAATTTGTTTGCGTTATTAGGTACAAGATTTGATATCAAACACGCAACTCAACATAAGCAGTGAAGAGAAAGTGTTTACAGCTGTATTAAATTGGATAAAGCATGATTTGGTCGAACGCAAAAAGCACATTGCCGAGTTGATATCAAATGTACGTTTGCCGCTGTTGAATCGCGAATTTTTAATGGAAAATGTCGAGACAGAGCCACTTGTAAGAGAGGATCAACATTGCAAAGAGCTTTTACTTGAAGCAATGAAATATCACCTGTTGCCTGAACAGAGAAGTTCACTCGTGTCTCAGCGTACTTTAGAACGAAAACCAGAAGGAATGAAGCCCTACGTTTTCGCTGTTGGTGGTGGAAGTTTATTTGCGATACATAACGAATGCGAAGTTTACAATCCGAAAACGAATAACTGGGCGGCTATAGCGCCCATGATTTCCCGTCGTTCGCGTGCTGGTGTTGCAAGTTTGAGAAAAATGCTTTGGGTGTGTAGCAAATTTATGTGAAAAGTTTATCAATTACTAATTATAACATTTAAAGGTCTGTGGAGGCTACGATGGAGAAAATGATTTAGCTACAGCTGAATGCTATAATCCATTGACAAATGAATGGCGACCAATCACGCCAATGGGAACAAAACGAAGCTGGTAAGTCGTCAAATTAACTTCTTCTTTATCATATTTAAATATTTGACACATGCCAAAGTGGAAATGACGAAAACAACTTTTTTACGAGCTTTGTGAAGTTGTTTTTAGAATCAAACGTTGTTAAAAATGTCACAAATTTTGTTACAAAAGAGAAAAACGACAAGAAGAAAACCTTTAAAACCAGAATCAGCTCTATATATGTTCATTTTTATAACATAATAAAACTTAATGGCATACTTATGCTTCATTTGACTTTTACAGTCTTGGAACATGTGCATTCGACGGTCTTCTCTATGTTTGTGGTGGCTATGATGGGGCAAGCTGTTTGTCATCAGTTGAACGATTTGATCCATTGACTGGCATTTGGTCAAGTTGTCCGGCAATGAGCACAAGAAGACGATATTGTCGCGTAGCCGTTCTGGATAATTGTATTTATGCTCTGGGTGGTTTTGATTCAAGTAATTATCAATCATCAGTTGAACGATTTGATCCACGAATTGGAAGTTGGATGGCGATGCCTTGTATGACTTCAAGGCGCAGCAGCTGTGGAGTTGCAGCTTTGGAATATTTATATTGCATTGGAGGAAGTGATGGTACAATGTGCATGAGTTCCGGGGAACGTTTCAATCTTAGAACAAACTCATGGTACGAAACATATCAAAATAGATACAAACATTAAATGCAACAAGAAATTTGTTAAATTATTACAAAATGCTTCCTTTTTTTCTATATTTTCTAGGGAGCCAATCAACTCAATGAACTCTCGACGTTCAACTCATGAAGTTGTTGAAGCTGGTGGATTACTATACGCTCTTGGAGGAAATGATGGATCGAGTTCTTTAAATTCTGTTGAAAGATTCGAACCTCTTCTTAATAAATGGACGATTGTAACAAGCATGTTTACTAGAAGGTCATCTGTTGGTGCTTCAGTACTGGAATGTTTCAACTTAGAGCGTGAACTTTTACAAACATCAATATGACCGCAAATGTCAACATCGTTGTCGATTGAAAAAGATCATGTCTCTTCGGGATGTAGTAATGCTTAAACTTTTCACCCAAGACAGAAAAAAAGTTCTATAAAATAAATCGCAGCATTACTTTCGAGTTTCTTTTTTACTCAAGAATCCCAAAGCATAAAATAACTAGTAATAATCTCAAGTATTATAAACAATCACGACGCCTTGTGTAAACGATGTCAGGCAATGAAAAATTAAGTTAAAATTTCTTGCTTACCGAAGGGACAACCTGGAGACAACCAAGTTAATGGACAACACGAAGAAAATTTGAAAAATTAATTGTGAAAAGTTGAATTTAATGTTCGCAGTAGCAGTAGACGAGAATGATGTTAATGCAGTTCAGTAGCTTAGTTTTTTTCTCGCTCATTACAATTTGTTAATTGAATTTTATCTTTCATCTCTTTTTTTGGCATTTATCTTTTAATTCAATTAAGAGATGCACAAAACTTGTTTCTCACTTCTCTTTTAAAAACTCCAGTTGATTAAAATTTTAACACGGATTTAGTTAATTAGCATGTAGGCGCTTAGAACACCTAGAACAGCGTACAAATTCCTTTTAATTAAAAAAAAAGGTTCATGACGTGATTGCCTTTGTCACTCCATTCTACATCTTATTAGTCTTGAATCTTAATGAACTTGGACAATTGGTCAATAGTTTTTATGTGAAGAAATTTATTTTCTAAATGCTTTGATTGCAAATTGCAAGCACTCTTCAATTATTTAGAAATAAATGACCAAAGAATTTTTTAAAAAAGAAATAGCAAATGCATGCAACTAAAGGACCACGCTTTTAACTTTGAGTTGAAGAGAAAAAAAATTCATGTGTGTTTGAAATTGAAATTTAAAATTAAATTTAAGACTGGTGGTTGGCAGCAGCGGTCGATAAAGACTGTGATAACATGGTTTGAATGGAGAAGGAAAAGAAGAAAATGATGGAGACTTGTGCAGTTGTCAATGTACCTTAAACTTAACAAAATATTATATAAAATATGATGATACAATCATTTTGTTGCACTGTGTCATGAATAAATTTCACATTCCTGGTTTAGTTGTTGTGGTTGTTGTTGTTGCTGTTGAAAAGTACGCTGAAAGACGAAATCACGAAGAGAATTTTAAGTGATTTTCCATAATAACATGTTTTTGATTACATGGAAAAGCTTAAACAAAATTTCCTTTCTTTAATAAACTTGTCGATGCTGATGCTTCGAGTTAACACGTTTTATGTAAAATACTTCGTGGCTTCGCGCTTAAGCCGTTTAGTGCAGCAAACAGCAGACATGTTGGGAAGAGGAGGAAGTAGAGAAGCGTCGTAATCATATTTTAATCAGGAATTGCTTAAAATTCATAAATGTTTGCCATTACGAGGAATTAAATTACAAAAGTTCAATTCATAACAGAATAAAAACATTAAGAAAATATAAAGATAATCAAATCCAACTGCCACTGCCATGTAAGGATTTTTCAACTCAGTACACGTTTAAGACATTTACAAGAAACTTTAATGAAAATATATTCGCTCTCTCGATCTCTTTCCTAACTTTATATCGAATTAATACAAGAAAAAGAAGAAAATAAACAATATTAAATGTGAAACAAGCATTAAATCTCATAAGCGAACAAATTATTCGTCTAATAAAATACATTCCATAGGAAATTTTATTTTGTTGATCTTTCGCAATTTGAAACCAATCATCCTTTTCTTTTCAGTTAGGAAAAACCACTTTAACTGCTTTATCAATGGCTTTAAGTGAAGAAGTTCCGTTTGATCCCTCACCTACGAAGACATGAGAAATGACAAGACGAATTAGATTTCATTCATATGATGAAAACGAACAGACACGATGTGGAGAAGGAATCAACAAATTACAATTATTTATCCATCAATTAAATAAAGATTCATATTACTTTTTCTTTTACTTTTATTCAATATTAGCAGACAAGTTTCCCATAGTGCGAGCTATGATTAAAAAAAAGAAATCGACTCATTCAAACATTTTAATTATCGACTACGGGAAGAAAATTCTTTGAAAAGAGAAATAAGGATATGAAAAGTATGTCGCCTATCGCAAAATGGAAAGACTCATATAAAAGCTTCCAAAATAAATGACTAACAATGTTTAATGCAAATTTTAAATTTCAATTCTTTCTATTTCTTACTTTTGTTGTTGGGACCAACTTTATCCAAGTTCTCCTCGAATGATGAATCTTGAATGTTCAACATCAGATTGTTTGCATTAAGATAAACTTTGTTCTGGGAACTGGCAATCTGAGAAGAATGTTAAATATTTATTTTTCATCAATAAAATACTTTTTATTCTTAAGTGAACTTACAGTACGAGCAATGCTTTGTGCAGCACGAATCTTACGGAGTTTGAGGTAACCAGGATTCATAGCAACGGCCTCACCAAGTTTTTTTGCTGCTTCAGCTTCACCCTCAGCTTGAACAATTTTTTGTTGACGTTCTTGTCGAGCACGTTCAACAAAGAAAGCGGCACGTTGTGCTTCCTGTTGTGCAACTTGTTTGCTTTCGACTGCTGCTGTGTATTCTTTTCCAAAGCTTAATTCAGTCAAAGAAACATCATCAAGGATAATGTTGAAATCAGCTGCACGTTCGACAAGCTCACGACGAATCAATAAAGAAACCTAAGACATTGTATTATTTTGTAAAATTCTATCAAAGAATGTTTTCTTTGTGTTACCTGCTGACGTTGAGTGATTAATTGTGATGCATTGAACTTAGCAACGACACTTTTAAGAACTTCATTGCAAATCGAAGGTAAAACTTTTTCATCATAATCTAATCCTAATTGTCGATACATTGATGGTAAACGTGAAGCATTCGGTCGTGAAAGTACTCGTAATGAAATATTAACCATTTGGAGATCTTTACTTCCAGTTGGTGACGAAATTTTTCTTGGTCGTGATCGGATATCATAAATGATGGGATATTGGAACCAAGGAATGCGAAAATGAAGACCTTCGGAATAAGTGTCATCTTGTACACCAGTTAAGCGGCTAAAAATAATTGCACGGTGGCCACCTTCAACTATAAAGAAGATTTTAAATTATAATTAATTAAGGTAAAAATGAGTTTAACATGATAAACATTGAAATTACGCAATGCAATCAAATATTGTTTGCAATGTGGATATTGTAATCTTAGAAATCATCTTGAAGAGAATACTTAATGGGTCAAATTCATAAATTCTAAACTCTAAATAACAACACTAAGAATGTTTTTCGAAATGTTTTCAACATAAAATTAATATTATCATTTGAAGGTTATGTATTATGTTACCGAAATATTGATAAAGAATTATGAAATTCGAATATTTTACCAGTGTACACTGATTGAGATGCACCATATGCAGCAAGTCCAACACCTGCGAGAAGTTTTAAGCCTATTCCTAATCCAGGAGGACCTCCAGACTTGAACTTCCCTGCTAAGTCATTTAACTTGGATTGCGACATAATTACTAATTAAATGCACTCAAATTTGTGAAACTTCAATGAAGAAAGTAGTTGAAAGGAGAAAAACAGTACTGTTTGTCTTTTATACTGTTTTTAAGCAATCAAAATATCAGAATTCCTATTTCAATGAGTGTTCTTTAGCCGAAGATTATAAAATGTTTCTTTTCAGTTTATTTTACGTTCATTCAAATAAATTAAAAACGTTGAAAATTTATGACTTTATTTTTTGTTTTTTCAAAATTTTTTTGCTTTGAAAATATTAGCAATCCTTCAATTATCGGTTTCTGACACTCAGCCATTTATAAATTGTGCGATATAAATTAATATTTGGAAATAAAATGAGAAAACTTTTATTTGTTTACATTTTGTTGTTGTAGTCAAACGAAGATGAAGATTTTATGAACAAAACGTTTTGCGTTACTTTACGCAAACGTTACGTTTCTACGTTGTATATTTTAAATGAAAAATTTAGGAAATTAATATAAATGTTTTTCTAGCATATAAACTTCATAGACGAGCTGTTATTGTGCCAAATTGAAATATGTATTATCCAATAGGATGGCCAAAATTATTGGACTCACAAAAATCGCCACTAAAGCTCGCATGCGATAAAGTAAAAATTTTATTCGCTGTTGTGTACGAAAGATCGATTTGTATTTGGTTCTGTAAACCTTGTGTACCAATAACATATCACCAGAGAACAGATAAATGCATTACTGAAAATGGATTAAATGCATTTGTCGAATGGAAAATCGATTCGTCGAAACTTGTTATCGCTGTAAGTTAATCGTTGACTTGACACATTTCATGTTGATGACCTGGAAGATTTTCTTTCTTTCTTTACGTATTTTTATATTTAAAATTCATATTTTCCCCACAGACTAACGACGGTGCATTAATTATTTATGATGTTCAAGTCGATGATGATTCCACTGGTGGGCTTTACACACAGAATGATTCTCCGTTTAATTATCTGCGTCGAGATAGTGCCGAGCTATTTATTAAGGAAACCATTCCATCCCTAAAATTAAATTTGGTATGTAAATTTAAAGCTCCGTTAACGACGCTACTAATTAATGACATGAAAGCTTATGACATCCTTTCCTCTTATTTTCAGTCAATTATTGTTAAACTTTATTGTAATATTAAGAGCATATCGTGTGTGAATGTTTCACAAATGATGGTAGCAACTGATAAGTTGAGTGTCTTTCGAATAAACTGGGAAGGACTCGAAGAGCGTGATTACTCTTTAGATCTTCGAAGAATTCCATTTAGTATAAACCAACAAGTTCATTATGGTAAATAACAGAGTGATGACAAAGTTGAAAGGTGGAAAAACGTCATTAATTATTCATTCATTTATTCATTCATTAGCCGTCCCAATTTTGGATAAAGAAGCTTATGTTGTGTCCATGGATTATTCTCCTTTGTTAGCAGGATTTTCGATTGTGCTCAAAGATGGTCGAGCTGCATTTTTGACGTCAAATAATTTGAAATTTGATCCAAATGTATGTTGTTAATTCTTATTATTAATTAGATAAAAGAAATTAAATTGTTTGTTTTAATTTTAGCAAGTAAGTGGAATCTGGGCACAAGGATTAGAAGATGCAACTTGTACAGCAATCAATCATAAACATCGTTTGATTGCTTTTGGAAGAAAAAAGTGAGTTGATATCAATGTTATGTATTAATATAATTTAATTATTTTTTCCAGCTGTCAAGCTAATGTTTACATTGTGTTGATGACGTCACAGGTGGATTTGAATTGTGACATACAATGTCTTTAAGCTCGAAAGATTTTCCTGGTTCACAAGGATATGTTCGTGAAATGAAATGGACACCAGATGGTTGTGCAATGGTATTGTGTTGGTCGGGTGGAATATCAGTTTGGTCGACATACGGAAATATGTTGATGTGTTCATTAGCATGGGATTATGGACTGAATGTTGATCTTAACAAACAAAATCCTTTGAATATTACAAGTTTAGATTGGTCCACCGAAGGATATCAATTGCTCATGATACAACAACATACAAAAATATCGGAAGATGGAGAAACAATAGAAAATCAAACGCGAATAATTCAATTACATTTAATAAAAAGTGTTTTATCAGTCAATCCAGCCATGAGTTCTCATCCATTTTTATTACTTCAGGGTGATGATAAATTATATTTAAATCGTGGCGATGCTCTACAGAAGATGTACGCTCATTATGCATCGTTAGAGAAGTCAAAGAATTATTTAGAAGTGCATGGTGGAGGTGAGAAAATGGAAGAAGATTACGGCTACTATAACTTTGGAAGTGACAATAAGAAGACGATAACATCGATTAATACACTTTCCGAGAGTAAACATTGGATAATTATTACACTGCCAACACAATATGCTGCTTCAAATTGGCCAATAAGATACAGTGCTATCGATTCAAGTGGAAATAACATCGCAATAGCTGGAAGAACTGGCATGGCTTTATATTCGTTAATAACGAGAAAGTGGAAGTTGTTTGGAAACGAGACACAAGAAAAAGATTTTGTCGTGTCAGGTGCGATTCTCTGGTGGAATAATTTTGTGATTCTTGGAAGTTACAGTTTGGTTGATCACAGTGACGAAATTCGAATGTATCCAAAAGACTCAAAACTCGACAATCGTTTTGCTTCTATCGTGAAGATCAATTCGCCAGTGATGCTCATGAATATTTACAACAATCAATTGATAATGTTCACATCTGATGGTTACGTTTCGATATTTTCAGTCGTTCAACATTCACTCGATACTCTCAACTTGATAAAGTTAAAAGTTTACGATATTAAGAATCTGTGCGTGCATCCAGCTTGTGTCGTTTCTGTTTCATTAGCCAATCTTAAAAATGATGCAAATGTAAAGTCTCCCGCCAATCAACATTCCGATACATTGCTGCTTAATGTCAGTGGAAAGATTTTTATGCTTTAATATGAGAATGTCGGGACTGAAAATCAACAACTTGCATCGACATGTCTTGCATCATCAGTTGAATGTATGTGGGTGTCAAATTCAAGTAAAGTTCATTTAAAAGATTCTCTTTGGCTATTTTGTGGTAATAATGGGATGAGAGTTTGGCTTCCTGTTTTTCCTCGACCTGGCGAAAACGGTAGTCGAAGTTTACGGCACACTTTCATGTCAAAACGAATCATGCTTACATTTTGCTTGAAAATTTATCCACTTGTGATATTGTTTGAAGAAGCAATCATTCTTGGAGCTGAAAATGATACAATACTTTACACAAATGACAGTGGTTTACATTTTTCACTTCCATTCTGCATTTTAGAGAGATCGACGCCAGTTTACTTGCATCAAATACTCAGACAATTAATTAGACGGAATTTGGGTTACAATGCATGGGAAATTGCAAGAACGTGTACAAGTCTTCCTTATTTTCCACATGCACTCGAATTACTGCTACATGAAGTTCTCGAAGAAGAGGCTACCAGCAAGGAGCCCATTCCAGATGCACTTCTTCCAAGTGTTTTGGAATTTATTCAAGAATTTCCAGTTTATCTTCAAACTGTCGTTCAATGTGCAAGAAAAACTGAAATCGCACTTTGGCCATATTTATTCTCAATGGCAGGAAAACCAAAAGATTTATTTCAACAATGCATAACGCAAAATCAATTGGAAATAGCTGCGAGCTACTTGATCATCTTACAGGTAAGTGAAAGTTTCACGAATTTGTTTCTAAAATTTATTCTCATTTCTTTTTTTTAAAGAACCTCGAACCTTCTTCAGTGAGTCGTCAATATGCAACAATGCTTCTTGACACAGCTCTCGAGCAGAAGAAATGGGATTTAGCTAAGGATCTTGTAAGATTTTTACGTGCAATTGATCCCAATGATGTTGAATCACCTCGCACATCGATTGTTATGGGCAGTCGCTTCAGTGTGTCCTCAGTACAGAACACTGCAATTCCAAGTCCTGAAGATTTAACTTTAATTCTTGGAAATATCACAAGAGGAAGAAGTTTCTCTACCACACAAACACCACCAATACAAGCACTTGAAACGCTTGAAACGAAACCGAAGCACTTGAAACGAAACCAGATACACCAACGAATAAAGACAAATTTGTCATATCGACTGTAAATCCAACGTTAAGAAACCAACGACGTGTATCTCAAACTCCAAAAGAGAAATTAAAGATTGTTGAAGACTTTTTCATCGAAGACATTCTTCAACGACATGCGAACAAGTTATTACAGAATAGAAAACTTGAAGATCTTGGCTTTATGGCGGCAAAGCTTGACTTTCAATTAGTCGGCTGGTTGTCGAAAGAAAAGGATAAATCAGCGAAAATTGATGATTTTGTCACGACATTAAAACAACTTCACGATCAATTGGAATGGCCAAAACCAAGCATTGAAAACATCACAAATACCCAAATTGAAGCAGGATCTTCGTCACAAACACCGATACCAGATGCAACTGAATCGGGCTATAAAAGTTTCTCACATTCTAACGAGCTTGATAATCTTGGCGGATATTTGAGTTCGTATCAAAAGGCAGGAAATTTCACGTTAGATGGAAAATTCAATCACGATGTAGAGGCAAATTTATTACCGAAAATTGATCTGATGAGTGTTGCATCTGAACAAGTTTCACTTCTCTGGGACGACGACAAACTTAATTCTGGTGGACAAAATTTTATGAATTTTGAACTTGACGAAGATCAATCTTATCATAATGCAATTGAAGAACAGAAAAGAAAAGATGCAAAATCGAAACAAGCAATTCAAAAGATGGAAATAAAATTGAGATATTTGCTTCAATTGTTTACAGAGGGTGATTGCTTGGAATTCTCATTACTTCTAAGCATAATGCTTCTAGATAAAGCATCTGTTCTGAGAATAACAAATAAAGCTATAAGATCTAATTCATTAATTTTATGTCGGAAGTTGAGGAATGGATTAAAAGATATTACGCGATGGAGTCTTTATGAGTAAGTCAAACTTTTTAATCTTTCTTATTTTTAATTCATAATTCTTTCCACTATTCAACAGCCTAGGCTATCAGTCATTCATGCTTTCACTTAAATCACAAATATCTGTTCTCGATAATTTTATCATACGCGAAGAATCGATATCGCCAGTTCTAGCGATGATGAATAAAGAAAGTGTTGAGCATACACAAACTGTCAGTTCAGAATCTTTAATAAAAGATGTAAGTTTTATGTTATTAAGCTTATTTGTATATCATTATTATGTTCTTTTTTCCAATAAGATGACTGATATCATGGAAACATCTCAGAAATCACATGAAAACAAATTGAACACCAGCGGAAGTTCAACAACCGGAACAAACAACGTACTTGAACGTAAAAATAGTTCTGAAGAAAAACGATCTTTAACAAGCAAGTCACATAGTTTGAACATAATGAAAACCAGCAACCTCAGTACCAATCAACACATGAATGAGTTTAGGAAGTCTTCATCTTCAGAACATTCACATATAAACGAGTTAAAAGATATTGAAGAAACGTTAGAATTTGAGAATATTGATGAAGATGATGGGGGACGAGTAATGTTCTGTAATGTAACGAGGTTAAATTAACTAAAACAATTTTTAATCGTACTTGTAAAGCATCGAAATAAATAAATTTAAAGTCTTCTTAAGATTTCAAATCTATCAATTGGTTACAAAACAAAAAGTTTCTTTCTTTGTTTTACCTCTTATAAAATTAAAGTAGTGAACTGTTTTTGAATCTTTATAGGATATTATTTAACCATGATGATTTATTTAATAAAATTATAGATAATTACATAAGAGAGTGCAATAATAATGACGATTGTTTTATCATCTCTTGGTTTTAAATATATATTTATTTGTAAACGTGATGGAAATTATACTGTAACTTATGTTATTATTATCAGTAAATAAAACGAAGGAAGTTGCAATATGTTGTTTTCAATAATTTCTAAATGACTCCCAGCGATTCAAGAAGGTAGAATAAGACGAAAATTATCGAATTCAAGAAAGTTTATATTTTTTATTAAATATTTCGAATTTCCAATAAATATATTTTCTAAAGTCAATTTTCATTTTATAGAAACAATTTTTCGATTAATTGAAGTCTCTGTAATTTTCGATCAAAATCGCTAAAAATCCTTTTAAAAGGATTAGATAATTAAGGTATTGAAATGAATGAAATTCGTGAAAAAATGTCACGATTTTATTGATTAAATATGTTTTTTATCAGTGTAATAAATTAATTTCTTATTCATGCAATTTTCACATTTTCAATCTTTCATCAACTTTTATAAAAGAAATTTGGCACTGAAATGTAAACAGATTCATTATGATTTGAAGGATAAACTCATTTCTTTGGTTAAAAAAGATTTTTTAAATTAAACTATGAATCGAAAATTCCTGGTTAAAAAGCGCAAACATTAATAAGAAATATTTTTCTCATTTTATATTCTGGATTGATACATTCAAGAACAAATGCTTAAAGAGGGTGAAAAAAGATTTTTGTTTTAACAGCGCCATGTTAAGAAAAGAAAAAACTTCAAAAGTTAAAGGAAAAACTTAATTTGTGCTTTACGATTGTGCTTTTCCAAAAGATCCATTCGGAGGTCGATATTGTTGAGGAAGTGCCATAACTTGTGGGAGATTAAATGCAAATTTTCGTCTTCCAATATTTTTCATCGTGTTATCCAAACGAGTTCCTTCACTTCTGATGACATCTAGAACGTTCTGTAAATTATTAGAGGGCAAATGAAACTCTTGCTGTAGAATTCGAGTTTGCTCAAGAGTCACTGCCATTGCTGTTCGATCTTTTGCACTTTTGCATGATGTTACCCGTAATCCTCCAACTGCACGAGTTATGTCTTCAGCTACGTGAAGAATCTTAACATTTTTAGATGAATTAACACGTAAAAGTTCTTCCATCGTATCCAACATGTTAGAAATAACTTCATCGGTCACAAAATTGTCTTTGATGGATGAAGGTGAGGGAATTTGAATGAAACCAGAATTTCCAGGCGACCCTTCATTTGCGGTTGTTTCAGGGATTGGAACTTTCTTGTACATTATGTGATATCGTTTTAATCGATCAAAATTATCAAAGTTAGAGCGATGTTGCTCCTTACAGTAGCCAAGTGATTCAGCAAGTGTCGCCATTTCATTAATTCCGATATTGAAGAAAACCGGAGTCACTTTAAAGCTTATTTGGTCACGATCAGTTTGTCCATTTGATGGCGGAAGCATTGCACATACATAATCAGGAACTGGAAGATAAACAACAAGTGATTGCCGTGATCCAGTGACTTTTGGAAGCGGAAGAGATTTGTTTCCACTGTGTTTTGTAAGTGTAAATGTGACTGTTGCTAAATCTTCTATTGCGACATTCATATCTGACCAGTAGTCCCATTCAGATCCGTAAAGCTATTTTGAGCAAGAGAAACAAGTTAATCGAATTTCAATAATGAAAAATAATCAACTTACTGATAAATATCCTTCAAAATATATCAATGGACCAAGAGAACATATTACATTAACGTAATGCTCATTGATATTCGTTCCCCAGAACTTTCCCATCAAAGAAGTTATTAAAGTTGTGAGCTGTCGTGAGAAAAATATTTAAATAAAATGACAAGAATTGTCTTTTTAATTTAAACCATGACTTACAGCTTGAGAAAAACAAACATCTCGTCTGTACATGATTGCAAGGTTTGAAGTAATCTTCTTTGTGTCTTGTTGAAGTCTTTGAACTGAATGCATTAACCTTGCAGTTTTCAGCAACCCATCCATGGCTTGTCGTAGTTTCTTCATAGAAGGCCTTAATTCACTTGCCCAATCAGTCGTCAATGACAAATCTAAACCGTCTGTGAATTTATTTCCTTTTTTAACTTTTCTCGTAACTTCTCCAACTGCTTGTGTCAGTGCAAGATTCAAATCTTTACTTGACATATTCTGTGTTTTTGATGATGTCGACGTTGACAATGATGCGGAGATTTCATCATTAGAACTGATTGGTTGTGTTGTAACAACATCAGGTGCTAAGTCACGTTTCATTGAAGAAATTGATCCACGTGGTTGGCGTAATCTTACAGCAGGTGACCCACATCGTCCACATAAAAATTTTACTTTACTCACAAGACACATGACACTTGCTTCTATATTTAATTGTGTTAGATCGAGTGGTTCTGGCTCTTCACTTGGCCGATAAAAGTCTGACGATGTCATCACTTTCGTATCAAGAAAGGCTCCATTATGACTCAACACAATTGAAGTATTCTCAATTAAATATCCATTTTCATCATAAATATTCGATAACAATTCATTTTTATTCTCCAATAGTTGATCCGACGTCATTATTTCATGTTCACATGGTTCCGTATTTGATTCGTTCGGATTGCTTGACACTTCACCATTGACATCAAAATGTGTCTCACTGAATTTCATTTCATGAATTTGATCTTTGGGAGAAGATGACACAAGAACTGGTGGCAATGACATTGACATTTTATCACTTGCTGTTGCCGATGATGAGTTTTGCTGATACGATTTAACAGAGTTTTGAACGCTTGCAATTGCATTGATATCTGTTGTTGACGGCGATTTCATCTTTAATATGCCTCGAGAATCTGATTTTGGAATAACTTTACCATTGTTGGGCCAAAGAACGTCCGGCATTGGTCCCATAGGAGTAGCAAAATCCTCAAGCTCCGGTGACTTCAAGTCAAGCGCACATAATTGTTGAGTGATCTTCTTAAAAGGTGACAATGGCGTAATTTTATTATCTGGTTCATCAATAATGCGATGCTTCTCAATGAACTTGAATGCATCTTCAACTAACGAAGGTTCCCAAATATTTAATAATGCTCGTGTCTTACTCATCATTTCATTACACAATGGCAACATATTTTTCGTGGATTTTGTTTTCGCTAACAATAACAACTGCGACATAATTTCAACAATTTCTTTTCTTAATTGTTTAATTGATTGCACGACATCATTAGCTGCTTGTACCTTATGATGAACTTGTTCAGCACTGCTTTTTGTTGGAGTATCTTTTAACTGATGTAGAAGTTTGATTAACCCACCAGTCTTTGTTTTCCCTGTATGTCTTGTGAAAGCCCCAACAGTGACAACATCAAGATATCCCGTCTTCTTTAAAGTATCATTATGCGCACACATTCGTTGTAAATGTAAATTAATTGGAGCAAACTCTAAACTCTCATCGCCTTTCTTTGCTGATGGTTTGAAGAACTTCCCCCCACGACCATTGAATGTTTGTAGGGTCTGTTTTGCTTGCGAGTAATCTCTCAAAAGTTTCAAATGAATATCAAGAAGATTCATTTGTTTATTTCTCCATTCACCACCCAACTCACCCATCCCAGAAATTTCTTGCAAAAGTTCCTTCTCGCGTAAAATCCAAATCGATAAAAGTTGTTGTGGGATTATGAAGCAAAGTTGACTTTCTAACATGAACTCATGAACGCTGATATCCCCCCCAGCTAAGCCAGAATGCAATCGATATGTTCGAATCTTCAATAACACAAAAGATCAATTTACTTTACTTATAAATTTGAAGAGTAAAAAAAGAGATGACTTACACTTGGATTCGTGAAAATTAAAGGTAACTTCAAGTGTGGAGGAATGAAAAGCTTCACTCCAAGTTTTGGCGGAAGCGATTGACTTCTCCGATGTCCATGTGGATGTTCATGCACTTTAGCTGGTGAACGAATCTTTCTTTCATATTCGGGTGTAAAAGTGACAATTGTAATGAATCCGACATTGTTATTTTGATTTCGAATGGGAATTCTTAATCGAGCTGTGTCTTGTATCACTCCGAGAGATATCTCAGCGAAGCCAAGTGGAACAGCTGTTTGTGATACTTTTTCTCTGACATCATAACCGGTAAATCGAATCATTGAGTTTGAATTGAGACCATCAGATGCTCGAAAAACTATTGTGCAAAGGAACTGTGGATTTGATGAACGCTACACACAAAAAATTAGAATAACAGTAGTAAAGAGACTGAAATGATCAAATCAAATTTTAATATTTACGGGTACCTGTTCAATAACTTCTGTCCGTCCGTATTTAATCCATCCACCATTCTGTGACATTCTCACTTGAACAACAATTGAAGGATTCGGTGGCTTGCCATGGGCATCACAGATCAGATTATCGCATGATATTGCAGACTCACAAATTGGAACTTCTGTGAAATCTTTTAAAAGAAGAAAGAGAAATATTCAGAAACTGTGGGCAAGACATGAAGTGCAAACAATATGATTGAAGATTATATTTTCATAAAAAATATTAATTTATTGATGAATCAAATTTAACTTTGGTTTTAATTTCAAAATTTTATCAAGTCTTCAACATCATCACGTTTTCTATCCTGTTCACCTAAAACTTGGTTTCCCGACTGTAATCGATGCATATCAACGTCAACATCAAGTCGATGACTTCCACGTCGCTTTTCAATTTGTTCTCTTAAATATTGTAATTGTGCTCTCATGATATCATAACCAGCCATTCTTAAAGCTTGTACCCAATCGTTTCTTTCTTGTTCTGACGACGCGCCAAGTCGTTGATTCAATCCATCTTCGAATTCTAATAAATTCGTTCATTAATTAAGAAAAATATCTTTTTTCCCTTATACTGTATAAGTTAATTATCTCACCAATGTAAAATGGATACCCTTCAAAGGCTTCAGTCTGTTCGTTAGGAATAGTTACACGATATTTCTCAAGAACAATTACTCCAGCTGGTTCCGAAAATTGATCGTTTGATTTAAAGTAAAACAGAAGATTCCCACGAAGTTTACACCACTTCTGATTGCTGACTGTTTGATTTATTTTCAAAAATAAACATGATTAAATGAATGAAGAAGAATTTCTTAAAATTTCACTCCAAAACTACACAAATAAAATATTTTATAGGAAATCAACGATACAGTGAAAGAATAAGAATAAAGCTAATTTGTTTATTTTTATGTTAGTGCTGTAATGGAGGTAATGTACATGTTCTTGTTTAAACAATTAGTTAATGATATACGAAATATATTTAAACAATGTTGATACTTAGTGATGAAGCAAATATTACAAACGAAATATTTTGTGTTATAAAATTTTTATGTGAAGTTTTTTTAGCTTTCATATCTTTATTAGATATTTTACAAATGCTACAAATGCTGAGTTGTTTAAATTATTTATTTGTTATGATAAACGATACATAGTATAATGTCACGTTGCTTGATGATAAAATCAGAGATTGATATCAAATTTCAATGAACAAGAAATAATGATAATAAGAATTGACCGAATTCACTAGTTTAATCAAACGTCATTAAATCTGGGACACTTTTTATATTCAACATTTGATATCTTCATCTCAACTAGCTTCAAGCATTAAATTTCGGTCAAAACCATTGAGTTTTTTTATTTAATAACTGTGAAGTTGATCATAAATTTTTTTCATTGAAAATATTTGTGAAATTCAATTAAACTTCTGCTTCTACACCCTTTCATCATCAAATTTAATGAATCTAAGATTCAAATTTGAAACTTCTAACAAAGCAAAACGAAAAAAAAAGAGCTGAAGACAATGAAATTAATTCTATGAAAAGTGCCATTGCTTTAATATTCCATTGTTTGGGCTTTAACTTGCGAGAAATTTAAAGAAACCCTACGCCATAGTCTTTATAAGTAATTCAAATGCTTAAATCATAATATCATTGTTTACGTCTTTAATTATTCACAATACTTGTTTTGTCTTTATGTAAGGTGTTGAAGATAATTTTACTGTTAGCTAAAAAATCAAGTGGAGAATTGAGCAGAAGTAAACACAGTTGAAATAATGAGGAGAGAGATGCGATTTTTCTGTTTCTGTAATTTATGAAGTAGAACCGGTTATCTTGATGTGGTATATGGTGCATTTCGATGAATAAGCAAACAAATGTACACATGAATGGAACATAAAAAGAAGATCTTTCGACGACTAAATATCTACATAAAAATCCTCTCACCATTTAAGATTCAATAATAGAAAGTTTCACATCGCTTTTTACCTAAACTCATTGCGGTGAAATGGTCTTTCATACTCATCACAATTTATTAGTTTTTTATTAAGTGTCACCAAAACTTAAAAAGCTCTAAATCTATTGTTAATGCAGACACTCATCAAGTGAATTGTTAATATTATTGTGCAGAGCATTGATGAGGAAAATAGTTTGAAAGAAAGTAAACATTTTGATTTATGCGAACCTTTAGATAGTCCGATACAACTGAACGAACGATTCCGCCTTGTTATGAGGTTATTTGATTTAATGTTATTACTCTTATTAAGACTTATGCAACTCAATCCTGTTTTATTATTTGCATCACCTTAAAATTGATTCAGTTATTTTTAAAGATATAATAAAGGAGATTGATTCTTGCTTAATTTGTTTCTACACACTTTAGTTGATTCTTTTTTCTTCTTTTTTTATTTTCGGTATAATGTCTGAGTGTGTCAAATCAATGAAGTTTTTTATAATAAGAAACAAAATGATAGAAAAATGACAGATGAGGATAAAAAATAATAAAAATTATTTTAGTTAAATGGAAATGAGTAACAGACAAGAGACAAGGCCTTAAATGATGATTTTTGGGGGTAGGATGGAAGAGTGAGCCCAACCCTGACATACAAATGACGACAAACGCGTAGTCAGAAGAAGAAAAATTAAGTTATTCGTCATCGTTTCAGATTTTACATATTTAGTGCTTTCATGCTATCAATTAGATTTGAAAGCATAACTTTCAGCAGAGTTATTCTAGAGGCCTTGCCTTGACAGCTCATAATGTTCTTTAACATAATTTTGTCATCTTTTCTTCTTCATCGGGTTAGGGAGTAGACTTAGTTTGGAAAAGATTGTAGGTAGGAGGTTTCAAGACAATATACCTTCCGCTTTGCGAAAAAATCCTTCTTGTCGTTCACGAAAATATAAGTTGCCCTCTTTTTCACACTTATGTTGAACTGCGAGAGCTCTTAACTCTTTCTCATTAAATCTCATTTTTTGGATATACTTTTTTTTCTTACAATCCAATCGATTTTCTTCACATTCTTCTTTAAAACTGTAAATCTCCCCCAAAACCACTTGCCTTATTCTTTTCGAGATTTGAAATGCTCTACTTTATTCTACACTGCACTTTACATCCCCGTAATTATCACTATGAATTTTGAAAAATTATTTAACTTAAAAGATAGGAATACGTATTAATAAAGCAAAAATTGGACAAGTTATGAATTGCTCTTCAAAATTTGATGAATTTTTCTTGACAAGCTATAAAATATTGCTAACCTAATGATTCTAAAAACGCTTTTTAAATTGGCTTTTCGCTTTTGACACCAGGTGTCACTAAAAAACCAAAACAAAACATAAATTATTTCAGAAATTGAAAATATTTTATTGAATTCTACTGGAAGTACGACAAAATATATTAAATAAAATATGAATTCAGTGTATGTTGCAGTTGAGGAAGAGATAGCACTTGAAGGATTAGATGGAATAACTCTAGATGGTAGGTATCAAAGATGTTTGTTCTTTGAATTGTTCGAATTGTTTACATTTATTCCGTGTTTTCCAGCACTTTGGTTTCGGCTTTCAGAAAGATTAAATTTTCCACTTCCGCTTCATGACAATTTCAAAAGAGTAGTGTGGAAATTAATTTTGGCTCGATCATGCTATCAATTCTTCGAAATTAATGAAAATCGTGTCACACCAAAACGAATGGATCGGCGTGATTATTTCTTCAACACTGACATACCAGATGAAGTGTGTAAGGATCTTCTAAAATCAGTTTATTATATCTATGATTTCGCACCAGTTGAAGGCGATGAAGTGCGAGGATCTTGCCGCGAATTTAAAACAAGAAAAAAATTAAAATGCGACGCAATTAAAGATATGGCAGTTGAGGAAGTTGAAAAAGTGTAAGTGATACTTGATACCAGTTACATTATCATATGAATGAATTCATCTTTTATCATTATAGGTATGAACAGAAGTTTGTAATAGTCGCTAGTCAAAGTATCAGAAATGCTATATTAATTCCATCAAATATTGGTCGTGAATGTGACATCAACAATCAAGGTTACTGTGTATTAGAAAGAATCGGTCGTTCACGATGTTTTGGTGAAGCTACGTCAGGACAGTTTTCATTATCTGAGTTTTTAAAAGATCATACACTCATTCATTATTATCGAAATTCTCTTTGCAAAAATCATCTGATTACACGGCAACATTTTCTGGCAAGAGTTCGAGGTGCTCAAATAAACTGTCAAGTGTTACACCTTCCTCGTTTTTATACAGCCATTCAAACTAATAACATGGTTATGACTGAAAGGCTTTTCGACTTTCTGAAAAAGAAGCCTAACCACACAGCTGAAATTGAATGTGTCACAAAATTTTTGAATATCAAGCTGAAATCACTTAGCGCTTTAGTCAAAACAAGACCAAACATATTTATTTATCACCGTAAACGTCCATACCGTGAATGTTATCCGAATGCTACAGAAGAAACTTACCTAAACAAGAATAAAACTGAAAAAATGATCAACTTTTTCGGTCTAGTTGATCCAAATATTGACATTTTCACATTTTGTGAGCCAAGTGATGATTTAAAACCAGAAGAAGAAACAATTTTTAATGACATAACAAATCAAAAATTTAATCGTGCATTGACACAACAAGTTTTTCAAAAAATTATCGAATCAGGAAAGGAAGGAGTGTCACAATGCGAAATTGGAAAATACTTTGGACTTTCACGATTAAATGCTCGTTCAGTGATACGAAGATTACAAAGAGAAAAATATATATCGTCCTATTTAAAAGACGAAGGACGTCATCGGATTTCAAAGTAAGACGAATTTAAATGTTGTGATTAAAAATGCTAAATAATTTCTTTTTATTTTGTTTAGATTCGTAGCAAAAGACGTTGCAAGTTATACGAATAAAGATTACTTTGAAGAAATTTCAAGATTATATAAGAATGCTGACACAACAGATACACCTGGATCTGAAACGAAAATTTCCATTCCTATAACGCCAGAAGTTTTAATGTCTTTAAAAACCGAAACTCCTTTAGAAAAACCGGCAGTTCAAATTTCTAATATAAACATCGATAAAAACAACAAAGTAATCAGAGAAAATCCGTCAGAAGAACCACAAGTTCCTGTTGAAAGTGAGAAAAAATATTTACTCTCTGATAATGCTGAAAAAATTACAGCCAACTTAAAATTTGTCAATGATATTTATTCAAAACATCAACAAAATGAAACAATTATTGGAGATATATTTAAAAAGAAGTTGAGTCAAAAAGTTCTTACAAGAATCACAAAAATTCTTGAAGTGATCAAAGAGAAAAACATAATTGAGTTAAATATTTTACTTACCACTATCAGACAGCATGAAGCAGATTTTAAGGAAGAGTTTTGTAAGAAATCAATGGCGAGACTTTGTAGAAAATTAGCAACTGATAACTTCTTAAAGATTATTGAATTGGAGTTAAAATCGATAAAGAAAACAGTTAAAATAATTTATGTCGCTCAAGTAAACATTACTTTTGACATGGATCTATGGAATCCAATTATTGAAGAACAAAAAATTCAACATTTCATATCTCATCGCACCCGAGAATTTATGACTTTATTACCAAAGGATATTTCATCTGCTATTTCATCAAATTCAACTCAAAGTGATAAGAAAGTTGAATTCGTGCCTAAATTTATGAAGATGAAACTTTTCCACGAATTTTTGTTTTATCTTATTTATGTTTGTCCCAAAGAACATAAGAAGATTCCAATAAAAGAAGCAATCGAAATTTGGTCTAAAGAAAATCCAATGTTGACAGATTTAGATGAAATCAGTGAAAAAATTACAAATTGTTATAGCACAAACATTGGATGGAAATTGTTTGTGACACCATTGAATCCTAATGACGAATATAAAACAGGTTGGGGATTGCTCCGTGACATCATTCATCGAATTCCTTTAAATTTGTTTGTCAAAATCGCACGACCTCGTGGACGATCATCGGACATATTTTCATCAGAATTTCATGAATATCTAAATCATCCAATCAAATGTAATTATCTTCTTCATTTTCTACCATGGGATCTTCGAGAACAGCTTTTTTGTGGTCGTAAAGGAGTACTTGTCATTCATGAACTATGTAAAAAGCTTTGTTATTGTGGTTTGCTTCAATTTGGTCCATCGCGAACTAAAGAAATCGATCAAGCTTTTATTTATTTGAATAAAAATGCAAGTTTATGGGATACAAGATCGTCGAAATCGGGATATCTAAAAATTGAAGAGAAAGAATATCCAATCATTAAGTTTAATTTTGATTCAGAAGAAACAGTCATGAAGTATTGGGATGAAATGTATGAAATTGCAACAAACACAGATATCAACCATAAAAGTGTAGCTAGTGAAGATGAAACAGAGATTGGACTTCTTAGTGCAAGTCCTGAAATTCAGAAAATGTTGAAAGCCCAAACACCAACTTCAGTTTTGATTAATGATGACGGTAAAATTCCTGGTGATCACAAAGGGGCTGCAGGCTTAGACAAAGCATTTATGGTTCACATGAATAGAAATTGGAAATTTTCAATGGAAAAGGTACGAACCCGTTCAGTTTTATCTTCCGCCATGGTGAAATCAAAAACAAAGAAAGATATGTCAACAGTTGTGAAAGAAACAGCAGCAAAAATAATCAGTAAAACTATCACGACCATTCAAGCTAGATATAAATCGAAACCAATGGGAATTGATCCAAAATCAAAAGTTATACTTAAGAAAAATTTCATACATAACAAGAAAGTTGATGTTTTAGATGCAGTTGATAAAGAAGCCAAAAAATCATTGAAGACAATGCGTTTGATATGGAGTGATGTAGAAGATAAAACTCTGTTGATGATTAAAGTTGCAATGAAATATGTTTTTCCACATGGGAATAAAACATTCTTTGAGATAAGCCCGAAAATTTATCGTGACATTCTTCATTGGCGAACAGAAAAAGCATTAACGAAGACGGCTAAAAATTGTTTCAGACGATTACAATATCTGTCGAAATCAAGACCATTAGTAAGAGAACAAATAATTTTATATCTTGAAGAGTTGAATGCAATCAAATCATTTCGCGCGAAATACGAGAACCTTTTTGAACGCGTAAGTAAAATTTATCCTTCAGAATATGTTTATGATGCTATTAAGATTCATATTGTTGAAATGGTCCACATAATTCAACAAATTTTCTTCGATAAACTTATGAACGATAAAAGTTTTCTACGACAAGATATTCGTCAAATCCCATCAGATTACGATTTGATCTTAAAGAAATATTCACTGATGAATCCATCAGCAAAACAGGCAACAGTTCAAAATTACCGCAATCCAGAAACTACTGAAGATATTAAAGTTTTCAAAATTATGACTGTAATTCATAGTGCGGTTTGCTGTTCGAAGGATAAGAAGAATTTTTCTTATCATTTATTTGAAGTGTATAAGAAGTTTGACGACTACAGTCTGAATTTGGGATTATCTCAGTTGCGACGAGCTTCAGTTGTAACTTCAATTAAGAGGAATAAAAGTGATTTGAATCTTCTTCTACCTCAGTCAACATCTCCTTTCCATTTGTCAGCGCGTTATAGCATGCAAATATCAAGTGGATATGTTCCTGTTGAATTGTATGATGAATATTATGAAGCTGTCAAAATACTATCATCAAGTGAAGGTTCTTATAAACTTAAAAGAATAAATTGTGGCTGGATTTATTTGTTGGCAGAAATGATAAGCTCAAGAAATGTCAGTTTAAAATATGACATGGCAGATAAACTTGTAATGATCGATCCAGCTTTACGTAACAACTCAAAATTCATGGAAATGTCTGAAAATTATCAAAGAAGATTGGATCAACAGGTGATGGTGTCTCAACAAAAGAAAAATCTGAAATTTTCATCTGACGACACACTCGATGAAATTTTCTTGTTTAAAGAAGATCCAATTGAATACTTCTTTAAGATTCCATCATTTTATCTTCATCTGATATGTGCACTTCATTCCATTTCTAAAAATGAACGAATTTCAACGGAAAAATGGTCAGTAATAGAAGAGAGATGCTCATTAAAATACTGTATCGTACAAGAAATTGAATATGGAAACAAATTTCTTGAGATTTCAAAGGAAACACAAGATTGTATCGAAAATATTTTAAATAATTCGGTTGTTATTTCCAACTTTCATTATGTTTCTGTTGAAAACTTTATTTCATTTTTCAACGACGAAATCCACAAGAATTTTGCTGGACAAGAAGATCTCGAAAGAAAAGATTATGGAGGAAAAATATTCAAAAGATCGAAAAAACCATCAGCTGAAGATTTTCTGAAAATGTTCTTAAATTTAGCAACACATCCCGGGTTAGACGAAGAATCTTGGCTATCAGATTATAAGAAAATTTCACGTAAACTTGAAGATACTGAAACAATGGCTGAAGAAGAACTTGACTCGACCCTTATTCGGCATTCCAAGATGTTAACCCAGTTGAAGGAGTTCAATGTTAGCAACAGAACTGCTGATTCGTTTGTTGTCAATTTCTCAACAGTTTATGTTAATGTAGATCGTTTTGAAGAGAAAGAAATTTTCGAAGATATTAACATTAATAAGACATTAACACCATTCAATGAAGAAACACGAAATTTGTGGTTGAAGACAATTTTAGATTCTGTCAAGTGGAAATATGAAGAACTGGAAAGCAGAGATTTACAAACTCAATTGACATCAATCGGAATTGCCAGCACTTTTGAGATTATTCAACTATCTGAAATATGTTCACATCTTCAAACCAAAAAATGTTTCGGAGCAACAGTTGAAGAATTGCTGGAAATTTTCTGTGATAAACACCGATTGCAGCAGCAAATTAAACTTTTAATGGATAAAAAAATTGTTTTAAGGGTTGGCGTTGAAACAATAAGATTTGTTCACAAAGAATTTGCTTCATATTGGTTGATTGATACTTTTACATATATTCGAGAAAAACAACAATCAGCAGATGAGTCAAAAGAGCCATCTCCTAAAAAAATTAAGATTGACGAGCAATGTGAACCATCTACAAGCCAAGAAACTACTGAGAGTCATCAAACTGAAGAGAAATCAACCATAATAAAAATTCCTTTCTTCCTTCATTCTTTTCCATGGATTCGTGTCAATGGAACATTGAATCGAAGAGTTTTTGATAAATGGTTAGGTACTATTCTCAATTATCTCTCAACATCGCCTTGTACAATATTAAGTGATCTGTGTAACAAATTTAACATTCTGACTCCTTTTGAAATAAGAAATTTATGTGAAATTCTTGAAACGATTGGATGTGTGCGAATGACTACCATTTCTGAGGCAGAAGTTGACCTTTTCTCAGATTACGCATCACCCAAAATAGGTAAATATTGATGAATTATTTTCAGATATGAACAAAACATAATTTTAAACTTTATTCTCCCAATTTCAGAACCAACGACATATTTTTGCCCACCTAAGAAAATCAATATCGAAATCTGCTGCAATGCATTTCAAAGATTAGCATTTTTCATCGGACGTAAAAAATATAAAACACCATTCATTTAAACTTATTAATGTAGGATTTTCGTCTTAAATGTATGGATTTTTTAAAGGATAACTAATAAAATATATCGTTAAAATTCAAATATTAATCCAATTCGCCTCACTCAATTCGCTGTTAAATTTGCCAAAGAACTGATTGTGGGCAATAAAATCGAATAATTTTTATTTTAATGATTTGTGTATCGTTTAATTTCAGTGAATATTGATTAAATTTACTTTGGTAAAAGTTTAATCACATCTTTTTGTTGTCAAACCAGAAAAGATTTTTATTGAAAATTACACAATAAAATAGTTTGGTAAGATTACTTTTTATTCGTTTATATTGGTCACAATTGACTTTCAGAATGACATTTAGAGCTAAAATTTCTTAATCAAAGTGATAGCCGAATTAATTTAATAATTTGTGTTCGGAATAAGTGTTAATTTAATATCGTAGTAGTGTTTTAAACTTAAAAGTCTATCTCAAATTATGAATGTGACATATATTTATTAGAATATTATCGAATTCTAAAAGAAAAATATTTTTTTCTCAAACTACGTATTGAAAAAAGTCAAGAAAAATGCGTTCACGTTCGAATTCGGGAGTACGACTGGATTACTACCAGAGAGTAGTCCATCGGCTCATAATGGCACATCAACAGCCTGTTACAGGACTTTTTCCAGCAAGTCCTGCTAACCATCATGCATGGGTAAATAAATTTAATTAACTTTCTACATTTCCCCCGTCATAACATCACAATCTTACGACTAAATTGAACTCATTAAATTTCTGATCCCATTTCTTTGTGTTTAAGATTCGTGACAATGTTTATTGCATTTTGGCAGTTTGGGGTCTTTCAATGGCCTATAAGAAAATAGCCGATCAGGATGAAGATCGTGCAAAGGCTTATGAGCTTGAACAAAGTTGCGTGAAACTAATGCGTGGTCTTCTTATGTCGATGTTGAGACAGAAAGAAAAGGTTGAACGTTTCAAAATAACTCAAAATCCTTTGGATTCATTGCATGCAAAATACTCCAGCAAAAATGGTCAAGCAGTTGTCCGTGATGAAGAATGGGGGCATTTGCAAATCGATGCAATTTCCTTGTATCTTTTGATCTTAGCACAAATGACAGCTTCAGGACTGCAAATTGTTTTCTCACTTGACGAAGTTTCATTTATTCAAAATCTTGTGTTTTATATTGAAAGTGCATATTGTATTCCTGATTATGGAATTTGGGAGCGTGGCGATAAATCAAATCATGGACAACCAGAATTGAATGCAAGTTCAATTGGAATGGCTAAAGCAGCTCTTGAAGCAATGAATGAATTGGATCTGTTTGGTGCACGTGGTGGTCCCGCAAGTGTTATTCATGTTCTTGCCGATGAGGCTCATAAATGTCAAGCTGTTCTTCAGTCAATGTTACCGAGAGAATCCAACAGCAAAGAACTCGACTCCGGTCTTCTTTCAATCATTGGCTTCCCAGCTTTTGCTGTTGATGATCCTCAACTGATTGAAGCAACTCGCGATGCTATAGTTAACCGACTTCAAGGTCGCTATGGATGTAAAAGGTTTTTACGTGATGGTTATAGAACACCACGTGAAGATGTCTCACGTTTATATTACGAGCGTTGGGAGTTGAGAATGTTTGAAAATATTGAATGCGAGTGGCCACTTTTCTTCTGCTATCTCATTTTAAATCATGCATTTCAAAACAACAAAGACGCTGTGTCAGTTTATGCTGAAAAGTTAGAAGAAATCATGGTAAAGACCGAAGAAGGAATGAAACTTGTTCCAGAACTTTACACAGTGCCACATGATTCAGTTAGCAACGAATATAAAAACCCGGGATCAAGTCAACGTGAGGCTGTTGGACGCGTAAGTTTCATCCAATAACTTCATCGATCTATAGATTAATACATTTGTTTATCAGACTCCATTTTTATGGGCACAATCATTATACATATTGGGAAAATTATTGCAAGAAGGTTTTCTTGCTGTTGGCGAGTTGGATCCATTAAATCGACGTCTTGGTGCACAGAAAAAACCTGACGTAAGTCTTTCATTTAATTCAATGACGATTTGTATATTAAATAAATGAACTGTGATCTTAGGTTGTTGTGCAAGTTGTCATTATAGCTGATGATAATGAGATTCGTGATAAACTTGCTGATCATGGCTTCCAAGTTCAAACTGTTGCTGAAGTCGCACCGATTGAAGTTCAACCTGCACGTGTATTGAGTCATCTTTATACATACCTTGGTCGTAACAAAAAACTCGGTCTCACTGGTCGCAAATCACGTGATGTTGGCATTCTGAGTACCAGCAAATTGTATTCATTAAAAGACAGGATTTTCGCTTTTACACCGCAAGTAATAATTGACAGATGACTCATTCAGTTAAAAAAATCTTTTCACAGACACATGAGAAGAGGTAGAAGAAGTTTTCCTGTTGTACACTTTACCATTTTATTTTTCAATGGACAGAGTACAGAGAAAACTTCCGATGGGAATGAGGGGATGATGAAAAATAAAACCTTTAGAAATGAAGTCACGTTTCGTGTTAGCTAAAGTCTGAAAAGAGACAGAATGATATACTTTAAGGAGCATTGGAAAAAAATGAGTGGGATGAATTGATGACGCTCGTAAGATTACTTAATTTATCATCAAAAAGAAAAAAATTTCAAGTTTATTTTCCAACTTTTCATGATAATTCCGTTAAGTTATGAAGCTGTTCTTCGAAACGTGACGTCATTTTAAGAATTAATGATTTTTCATTCAAAACGATAGAAATGCGTTTAGAGTATTTCTTGTAAATTTAATAATTGCATGAAATAATCTCTAAGACTATTGAAACATTGGGAAAAAATGACAAACTTTAATGAGAATTCCATCAACTTTTATAGTTTTCTGATTTAACACGTTTCTACATCGCCTCGGATAACGAGTTAATGATTGACATTCTCAAAAGTGAAATTAATTTTTTGAAATCAGCGTGGCAAAATCTATTGGGAAGGCCACTGATAACACTGGTGTTGAAAGATATTCACTTAGGTTAGCAAATATTTTATGCATAAAAAATGAAAAAAAAAATTTTCGAATGTAAATTTTTCTTTTTACTTCAGTAGATCTTTTTCTTTCATTAAACACTTACTAATTTCTTTGCTTTCTTTCTTTAATTAATGATTTTGTTTTGTGTACAAAAAATTATTATAAATTCCAATTAATTATTTAGTATAATTTTAATTAATTTCAATATAAATGAATGTTACAAGTTGATCAAATATCGTCTGGCCACTAAAAGAAATCAAATTCTCTCACAGTTAATTTGATGCCAACGATTTTCACTTAATTGTTGTCGACATTTTTATTCTATAAAGGAACACTTGAACATCGTACACACATTTTATTTTATTGAATAAAATTTCCATGCTTCATTAACCGAGGAATTATTCATGAAATTACCACCTTAAACGAATCCAATTTACCATCCCTCGCACTGAAACTCATGAATTTCTAAGTGGCTAGAAATGAAAGCATCTCTTTGATTCTTGTAACTAAGGCTAAATGTTTAACTTTCTTTTTTTTATTTTTCTTCTTTTGCTAACCCTCGACAAGGGAAAATGAAGTTTTTTGTACACTAACATTTCAATCAGCCAGGTCATTGAATGAAATTAGACTTCAGTTGAAACATAAAAAAAAGAAATCTGTTTAAAAGAATTTTTTATGCAATCACTTTCCTGATAATTTAATTTTGTTCAATGATCTTCTTTTTCTTCTTTTCTTCTAATCTAATTATGTTTTTATTTTAACACAAGTTTGCATGCAAAACCTTTTTTTTAACAATTTTTTATCATTTACATACGATTAGAAAATTAAGCAGCAATGAACATAAAACTGAGAATATTTTTAGATTATTTGAAACCTGCTACCAATTATCAAAGTTTGATGATATTTAATACTTTCTATTTGCACTATTGATTTTTTGCATAATGAGTGCTAGATGGAGAAGATTTAATTAAAAATGATTTGGACGGAATGCTTGAACTTGTATAAAAATGAATGAATGATCAGAAAATAATTTATTTCTATGTTTTTATATCTAATTGTTCCTCACATAAGGAAAAGAAGCTTTTCATGATTTAAATTTGAATACCTATACAAAATTAATTTTTCGTTATTCTAAACACAATTTGGTTTACCTTGAACTTTTCTTTTTTCTACTTCGATTGTAAAACTTAAAATTTCAACAAATTTTGACTTTGGATGAAAAAATATTTTTACTTTATTTCATACATCGAAGCTTCTTAAAATTTCTTATTCATTTCCTATTGTATTGAATGATACTAAAACTGTACATAAATGAATATGAAAGGTGTATGTATTCAGAAAACTTAAGATGGGTTTAAAGGAATTTTCAGACGACCATTTAAATTAAAAATTGGAAAACTATCGAAAACTATTGGAACTTGATGAAATTTCTAAAGAGAATTAATCATGATAAATAGAAAAATGACACAATTTTCTTTTTTCATATTAAGAATTTTGATTTTGACGAATACTACACGTCCCGCGATCCAGACCTCTTAGCTAGCAATTTCATGTCGAATCTTGCGTTTCTTAGTAACAGCTGGAGTCACTTGTTGGGCAGACCAACAATTTGTTTATTGGCTACGCACTCGCTCTTAGGTAATTTGTGATGCTTTTTTCACTTCTTCACTTAAGATATATATCACGGCTCGAGAAGCTTGCACTTTGTTTCTCAAGAAGTTGGTATTGATTTTCTATAAAAGAAATATCCAATATAAATTTTGATTGGAATACATTTGCAGAAAACCCACAAAAGCTAAAGTCGGGTCGAATTTAAATTGCTTTCAATGTTGGCTTCTGAATGATTCTTTGGCTTCTTTTCTCCTTCTTTTCCCTTATTTATTTACTTCTCAAGAAAATCAATTTCATGTTCTATATTTGAATCAAATCCTTCAAGATATAATAATTTTGTTGTCTAGGTGTTGTGAATTACAAAGTTCAATTTGTTTTTCGCTAATTTTGTTCTTTTTTACTTTTTTGAATATCATCATTCATATTTTATTTTTTGATTTAGAGTTAAAGTTTTTAAACTTAACTTTAAATTAAAGATCATTTGTGTAATGCTTTAAGCTTTTGATATTCGTTTGAAAAATGAAGCTTCATGCATGGCTTTGATTTTTATAAATCGCTTTGACGTAATTAATACGAAAACTTTCACTTTTCAATTACTTTATTGCTTTTTTCCTTTTTTCTTAAACATTCTTATTTATTTTTGTTTCTCATAAGCAACTTCAATTTCTTTCTTAATCTTTTGTGTGATTTTTTGTGACTAAATTTTAAACTTTTTTTCTTCTTTTTCTTAATCAGCAACTAATTAATTAGTTTTCTTTACGCATGAGATAATTTAAAATTTTCCAGTTTCAATATATTCACAGTTTCAATTTTATTTCCTTGAAATAACAGATCAGAACAGAATTCCTTTGGCTATGGTTCAAACAATGAAAAAACTAAAGTCAGGATATATTAATGGCACGCGAGTTATGTTAGGAAATTTATGTGATTTCCTGAACACGTCAGCAATCACTGACTTGAGCTTTTTAGGAAGTCAAGAAGATGGTTATCCAGATAGTAAGTACAAAGTTTTTCTTCTAGTCCGTGAAAGTAAACAACTTATTAATTTACGTACAATTTAAACACATCTTTTTATTGAGTTATATTTACTATAAAAACTAATGAGATAAATATTATTTAAATTTCCTTAAATTCCAATCTGCTTCCTTACTAACATCCAGAACTTAACCCTGCTGTTCAAACCTATTTGGATGAACATTTGCTGCGTTCGATCAATCTTAAGAACACATTGATGATGAAATCTGGAGCATTGAGACCGCGTAACTTGCGTCGAAGAATGTCTGTGAAAGGCGCTATCAAGAAGACTCGTTCGATTAATGTTGATTGTGAGTACATTAAAATCCTTGCTTCCATCTTAAACTTCCTTAGCAATTTCCTTCATTATCCCGTTGCTCTCTCTGTTTTCTTGACTTTTTAAATGCAGCTGAGACATTGGGAATGGAAGGTAATGTAACTGAACGAAGATTATCAGTCGTTGTTACACCTTTATGGTTAGATTCTAGCAACACCTCTATTGGCCCGTCGGCTACAGTGGCGCCAGACCGTGAGCTCACTCCACGTCCCGAGTCTAGCGAAGACGATCTTCCACCAAATAAAGTGCAGATTACATCAGATGTGCCACGAATTCAAGTTCAACCTCGTCATCGTGGTGTTGCTGAAACATTTGAGAACACTGAAGTTGAAGAGTTGATTGCGATGCTTCGGGAAACTGAAAATCTTGAAGATCAAGGGGACATTTTGCAATATTTGGTGGATACGCAAGGACTGGATTTTAATACAGGTACATTATTATTCTCATGTCGTTCAATTTGTAAATGTCAATCGCATATTTATATTCATCATGCCAGCAATTGTTGTAGCAAATTAATTGGCAAAAATTTATTTCAATTTGATTTTTTGGTTTTGTTTCGTTTTTAAAATTTTGGTTTTTCCAATTGGTTTTTGACTGTTTCATTTTTTATGAAGCATAATTGATAAAAATTCAAAAAAATGTAATTTTATTTTATTAAATTTAGTGAAAGTCCTTTATAACTGTCGATTTTTCTTAAACTTGAAGTGTCACAACTTTTAATATGAGTTAAATGAAGAATTTTTTATGAAAACAGTTATTAGAAATTAAATTTATCTTTTGAAATTGAGATGTTCTTCGAAAGAAAAACATGAAACTTTCTCTCAACAAACGGAAGTAACTTCGCACGTTTTCTTCAAATTTTTGTGGACAGTTCTTTTTAACTCAGCACTTTCATACAGCTTTCACTTCGCCTAAAGACTTTAAGAAACTTTCAGGAATCTATTTATTTATGATATGTTGTAAAGGACATTCACTTTTCTTTTATATATTTTTATTATAATTTTAAAAATAAAAATTAATGAAATTTCCCATGCAAGTAATCAAAAGCAAGTGAAAGAATTTACACCTCAATTAAGGGAATAAAATGACGTTTGTAGATGATTTTTTTTTCTTTAATGGGCTCTTATTGTTGCAGGGACGTAGATACAGACAAACTTAAATAATTGTTTTTATTATAACGACGTAAAGTTCTGTGTGGGATAGCTTAAGCCTTGATAAGGAATGAAATTAGAAGAAGGAACAATTGGAACTTTCATTAAAAGGATGAAGTGACATTAATCCAAATTAATATTTTTCAAAGGGTTTGATAAAATTTAGAAACTGATTTTATATTTGTAATTGCAAAACATCATTGCTTAATCACGACATTTAATTCTTGATAATTATTTTTCATCAAAATGAATAATTAAAGGAATGAAATGTCAATATTCATGTCATGTATCATCGTATCGCTTAATGTAGCGTTTTGAAAAATGTTCGGCATTTAGTTTGAAGCTCATTAATGACAGCTAAAAAATTTAATATTTCTTGACTTATTAAATTTTGATTAAAATTCAAGCGATGATAACCTGATGATGTACATAATTAAATTAAATAAATTTATACAAAAGAAAACGCTACGGGCTGGACAAAGACAAACTGATGGTAGCTGAGAAATATTAACAAACGCAAAGTGATTTTGGAATTTACTAACTTTTGCCTCTCTTTCTCTTTTTTTTTATTTTTGTTTACTTTAATTAATCTAATAACTAACTTGGTGCCGAACAATACAATTAATTTTTGTTGGGATACACAAACAAATATCATGCTTTATCGTCGCTACTCGTCAAATCCCTATTTAGAACTGGGCTCAAATGATGATCAAGCTAGTAACAATTCTAATTCCACAAATCAAGGAATGTTGGAAGGCGGACGTGTTGTTACTGTCCGTGATCTTCTCAAAGGATTATATGAGAAAGCTTGTCAACAGAAGCTCTGGGGTCTTGTGCGTCACTCAGCCGGCATGTTGGGCAAGAGGGTTGAAGATCTAGCCAAAGCGGTGACAGATTTGTTGGTACGACAAAAGCAGGTGAGATATTTCAGTAGACTAATTTAAAAGCCTATCTCGAGAATCAAAATAAAATATTTTTAAAAACAGGTCACTGTTGGAATGCCACCAACAAGTGAATTTACAATAACAGCTCCTTTGCCGGAAACTGAACTTCGTCAAGTGATTCATGAAGCGTATGGAGATGATGAGAGTACAGCAATGTTGACACAAGAACTTCTGGTTTATCTTTCAATGTTCATTCGAACAGAACCACAATTGTTTCACGAAATGTTGCGTCTTCGTGTTGGTTTGATTATTCAAGTCATGGCAAAGGAATTGTCGAGAACACTCGCGTGTGATGGTGAACAGGCGTCTGAACATTTACTTAATTTGTCACCCTTTGAAATGAAAAATTTGTTATATCATATTTTGAGTGGAAAAGAATTCGCTGTCAGCAGCGTTGCTCGAGGAAATTTCTCAATTGTCAGTTGCAAGTCGAGTCGTGTAAGTAAAAAGAGTCAAATCGGATTAGGCGATCCCGATGAAGACACTACAGCTATGATTGATGATCGACAAGGTCAATGGCTACGACGAAGACGTCTCGATGGTGCTTTGAATCGTGTTCCAAGAGATTTTTATCCTCGAGTTTGGACTGTGCTTGAAAGGGTAAGATTTTAATAATCGAAACAAATAAAATAATCTATGAGTTTATTTATGATCATCTTCAACGATCATTCAGTGTCAAGGACTTGCAATTGAAGGTAGAGTCTTACCACAAAGTTTGACTCAGGAAATGACATCGAATGAACTTAAGTTTGCATTGGAAGTTGAAACAGCACTCAACACAATTCCACAGCCAGAATATCGTCAACTTGTTGTTGAAGCTTTGATGGTTTTGACATTAGTCACTGAACATAATGTGTCGCATTCTCTTGGTGGAATAATTTACGTTGAACATTTGGTTCACAAAGCAAATCAACTCTTCTTGGAAGATCAACGTGCTGTTTCCGGAGATGCGACATTATGCTGTGCAAAATCTAAAGATGGTGGTAAAGAGACTACAGCAACAGGAAACTTATTATGTGGTGGAGCAGCTTATATTTGTCAACATCTTTATGACAGCGCACCTAGTGGATCATTTGGAACAATGACTTACATCGCAAAAGCAATTGCATGTGTCTTCGAATGTTTACCGAAAAATGGTGAAGTCGATTGTTCAATTCAGTAAAAACGATTTTTTTTTCACTTAAAATTAATATTTTTGCCATATAACGAAGCTATTGAAAAAATATCTTATTGATGTCATCATTATTTTAGATGATTTTATTAAAAAATTTGTTTTCTTTTAGTCTTTTGATTACAAATCAATTTTGTTATAATTTTTTTTCGGAAAATGTTTTTGTTTGCTTTTAAATATTTATTTAACATGATTTAGATCAGTTTTAGTAAAATATTGGAAATTTTTTTAAATTCATTTCGAAATGACACTGATACTCTTTATATTATATAAAACATGATTCAAATAGATTTAAGGTTTTAAACTTTTCTAGCCATTCAGATTTCTAATCTTGGAATGAAATTTCTCTTTTTGACTTCGTAAATTAGACGATATTTGAACCAATGAAATGTGGAAGAGAAATGATGAATAAAAGTGTAACTAGGTAGAATGTATGAAATGAAGTTAAAAATAAGATAAGAAAGGACTAGAAAATGGAAATTGATTTCGAGAAAATGAATCCAATACTTAATCTTCATTTGATCGAAATAGAAAACTAAATATTTACATATTCCTTTAAATATCCAAATTATTCCTCAAATTTATTTCTATTTGAAAACTTCTGAGTTTATTTTTCATACGAATATATTTTTACATAAATATTAACTCCATAAATTGCATGACAACAGAGCATTAAGTTAGCAAATTCGGTTGAAAGTTTTAAATCCTATGAAAAATGGTTTAACAACAACCACACAAAGACAAAGTTTCTTTCTCAATGAGGAAGAATAATTAAGCGTGTTAATTTGAAAATTTTTATTACTTCATAAGGGAATTTTATGAAAAATCACAAAGCAATTGCTTTATTATAATAAAATGAAAATAATACAAAAAAAAATGTTGGGAAAAAAATTATTGAATATTTTTTAATGATGCTTGGCTCATATCGATTCATTTTTATTTTTTTAATTTCCTGTTGCACTTTTGGTCATTGATGTTCGTCATCATTTTCAGAAATATACTCAAAAAATTTACGATTAAGAATTAACGATCAACAAAATTCGTAAATTTGATAACTTTATGACAATTGTTGGTTTACATTAAATAACCTGAACGGGTCATTGAAATTTTTTACTCATCACGTCAACACAAAACATTTAATATCTCTGTCAAAATGTATTACTTAAGAAATCTTTTTTTTAAGAATTCAGAAAATTATTTTAATTAAAAGTTTCAATCGATTGAGTCTTTCTCCTTCGATCAATCGATAAGAAACTTCCTCATTTGAACTAAAGATCACAAAACATTCAGAAAGTTAAAATAAAAATATCTTTAAGTCAAAATTTGTGAAGTGAAATCAGTAAACTGTGAGTTAATTTTATTCCCTCTCGATTCTACATTGTTGTTGAACTTTTCTGTTCCATTATTTGCCAGAAAGCTTCATTGATGTTGGCTGGTTTGGTGTCTTCTCTGTATAGCAATAAATTTCAAGTGGCTGAATGCTGGTTCTTGTTGTTCGTAAAAGTTTTGCTTTTTATTGCACATACTTATAATTGAAAAGCTCTCGAGAGATGAAATACAGCAAAAAGGACAGTGAAAAAGTAAAAAATTTCCACTTTTTCCTCACCAGTATTGTTATTATAAAAATTTGAAGTGATAAATGGAAGTGGAAATAAAGAAAATTAAAAGTTTTTCACCAGCAACAATTGGGAAATAAAAGTTGGAGGTGTTTTCAACTTACTTACTTAGTTAGAGGTAAGAATTTTTCATTGAAAAGAAGAGAAAAATCTCCGCATTGTGTAAAGTTAAATAATGGTTTGATAAATTCCACACATTTATCAACTTATTTTTAAGTCATCAGATTTTTGAAGGGTAACAGCAAGTCACGTTTGTGTGAAACTGTCGTTGTTTTCATTAAGTTACCTAATAATAATGGTTGAGATTCAACGAAGCATTCACATTCATATCTTAAAGATGCTTTTGGTTTAATTCTACTTTTCATTCACGTCACATGTTTTTGTTATTGAGAAAGTATTAAGTTTTAATTTATGTTGAATGAATATATACAACAAGATGTGTAAGATAACATCTTTTCAACACTAATTTGACTCATCGTGTCACTTTCAAAACTTTCTTTCAAAATAGAATAGGAAAAAATATCACAATTATGAACTTTTTAATTTATTTTATGCGGCTTCAATGGTAAAAAGTTTAATGTTAACTTCTCAAATTAAACAATCAGTCACAGTTTTCTCCATCAGCTGCAGAATACGAATGAGAAGCATGAGAAAAAATGAAATGCATCAGTTTGTAAAAGTTTCTTTCAGAAAAGATTGAACTTCCGGTTGGCGGGAAACTTTTCCCTTAGAGTACAACAATAAGACATTCGGCCAGGATGTTCAATCAGCCATTTCATGCTTCTGAAAGAACCCAGAAAACTGTAAAATATCCCCGGAAATTCCTTTTCTGCTCGACAGAATAAACCGTATGTTTTTGGGAGAAATTATTCATCCTCAATCTCATCAGAAACCTTGTTGTTAGTAGGAAAGAAAGAGAGAAGGAGAACAGAAAACGCTTCATAAATCATACAAACATTGTCGTTACGACCTGATAAACATTTCACAATGTCACACCATCTCAAAATAAAAGAAGAAAGAGAGAAAAGCGCACGGAATATTCCATTTCGTCTTAGAGAATGTTCCGCTGTCATCACTGAGAGTGAAAACTGAAAAAACTTTTTTTATTGCATTGAAAATGTTCTTCTCATCGTTTCAAAGAGGAAAGGCTAGGGAAAGTTTTGATTACTTTTTACCAGCGACGAACTTCAAAGAGCGTTTACTAATGGAATTATAATGTAATTACGTTTATGAGGCAATGATATAAAAAACGTGATTTTTGACTTCCTTCCCCTCACTCTTTCAAGTTTTGAATTTTCGTCGATGAAAAACAAGACTTTTTCATGGTTGGTGACGTTGGCAGAAACATGAGAAAATTTGAGGGTAATTCAAAGCAAAATGAATTTTTTATGATCACGAAGTTGGGTGTCAGAAATGAACAACACAAAGAATATAAATCTTTTTATGAAACTCATCTTTTGATCCTAAAGAAATTGAAAAATTATGAGTGAATTTGATATTTGTTTGAGTTTTGGGTCAATTTAAAATTTTTCTTGTCATGATGAATGGAAACTTTTTTATTTTTCTCTTTCTAAGTTGCACTGCAAGTTATTATTTGAAGTTCTATGATAGGACTTTTTATTGAAGTAAAGAAATATTAGGAAAAAGGAATTGACGTGAGTGAAAGGATTGTTCCAAAATCTAATTGAAAATATGGAAAGATGTAAATGAAAAGTTCATAGACCTTAATTACCTATCAGATGTTTATTTATTGAAATAAATTTATAATAAATGTTGTTGAAACTTTCTCCTGAACAATGAATTGAGTTTTTCAAAACCATTGAATTTAAATTTTCTCTTGTCGTCTGCTTCATCGGTCGTTAAGTACATTAGGGAAAAACTTGAACAACCGTTGTTGGTAAACTGTCATTTTAATTATATTTAGCGTCCCACAAAATCAACACGTAAGCAATGCAAAGAGCGTTTTGAAAATGTATTTTATGCTGCACAATTCCGAATGGAATGCTTATCTCACTCCATTTAGTCTCGGTGAGCGTTGATTGAAAAAGAATTGAAATTTAACAGTTACCAGACTCACTGTTCAACCCAATGTCGAGAGATTCTCTCCCTTTCCCCATCCGCTGGAATAATTTATGAGCTTATGCTCTCTAAAGAATATGTACACATAGTAATAATATATTTAATATGTTTCCATGTCTCAAACATGAATATGTACAATTCTTCTCACCCTTTTAGAAAACATTTAAAAAACAAGAACTGAAATTTATAACCCGATCTCGCTATGCTTAATTAATTTCTTTTCGATGCAAAAATTTAATTTTGCTTACACAAATGTCGAGTCTTGTATTTAAAACTGTTTAAGCTTTATCTTGAAGCAGAACGAGAAGGAAAAGCATTTAATTAAAAAAATGATTTATGGGAAATGAATCTTTGTTTTCCCTTTCTTTTTCAAATAATGCAAATAACGACGAAAACTTGTTTAACAACATTGTTTTCAATTTCTTTTTCACGATTGATAGCATCAAGTAAGAAGTTCTTAAGACTGCCTGAGAGAGAGAAAATTGAAGCTTTGGATTATTCGATACACGTATCATATACATTTGAGATTATTAGCCTCCGTAACGTATTAAAGAACATAAAGAAGAAGTGAAAGGTAAATATTTTGTTAAGCTTAACCACCCCTAAACTCCGATATAAAAGAGTCGAGAATGAAATGAACCTTAAAGAAAGAAATCGATTTATTTTCACTTTCCTTCCTATTTTTCTTTCGATATTCGCACTCGAATGTGTTTAACCGGTGTGCAAAGATGGAATAAAAGAAGAAGAGAAAAAAGAGCAAATGAAACCACTGACGATTTTTTACATGCATCATTTGATTCCAAATAAAACATCTCTTCGAAATGAGAAAGCCATTGAACAGAAATTTAAAGCGTGGGTAAGGGAAAAAACATCAAATAAACGTTTGTCGATAATTTTACCCTCAAGAATTTTTGCTTGCAAGTGAATGGATTTAAATTTCTCTTACTAATAGATTTCTTTTTCGTCTTGCTTGAAGATATCATGTAAGACGAGAGCACTGCACGGGATATTATTTCCTTACCAATGATTGAACGCATTTTTAAGTCGTTTTTGATTATATTTCATGCGCTACGGATTCATTGATGAAACCTTTTTTTATTTCATTTCATTTCATTTGTCGATTTCATGAATTTATGTGGAAATGATGTAAAATAAGTAACCACATAAGATTCTTTCAACATCAAAGCTTCTTTCAAATGGTCAATAGATTGAAAATTTCTAAATTTCTATTCAAACTTCACCACTTCTTTCTTGAAAATAGAAAGAAATTATGAATTTTCTTCATTTTATGAATACAAACACATGAAAGTAATTTTTATTGAAAAAGAGGAAACAAACTCAAAAGGTTTCAGTTACTAACAATGACTTTTGAATCTTTATGAATAAATCTAAAATGATTTTATTTTTGAATATTTATCAAGATGTTTTCAAATATAAATTTCAATGTGGTCTTTGATAATTTTCCGTCTAATTTACTTCATCGTTTACTTGATACAGATTCATCATTTAATTCATTTGATATTAACTCTTTCTAATAGAAATTCGATAATAATTTCATAAACAGTGTCGATGTTTTATTCTTTACTCAAATATTCCTGATTAAAATTTTTTATGTTAAAGTTCTTAAAAATTCGAGAAGTACTTTATGAAATACATCATAAAACGATGACAATTTATGGTTTCTCGCTTGATTATTAAAGACATGATCTTATTTCCAAACTAGAAGTCAAAGTTTAATTTGCAATTGGGATTGTTAAATTCGTATTCCTTTAAAATTCGATCTCTTACAGCTTCCTGAACACTCAATGGAAAAATGTTTAAAAATTTACAAAGTGCCATTTGATGTCTAGGTATTGTGACAACACGGTCTTCTCTCAAGATTCCTTCCACAGTCTCGTTAGCCGCATCTTCCATTTCAAGTGCTGGAAACCTGATACTGAATTTTGTTTTTGATAAAAAGAAATACGTTAGTTAATTGAATTCAATTAAGTCGTCAAGTGCTTGTTTCTGCTCCCCTAAAAGAAGTAAATGATGAATGAGAAAAGAAAAATGAAAACTTACTTGGGGTTCAAGAAATCAATAACATCTTCTCTCGTTTTGATGTAGTAAGGGCAAACACAAGTGGTCTTAATTTTTTTCCTCCATTTTTCTGTTCTCAAGTTCTCTTCTAATGCTAACATGAAACCGTACGATCCAAATTTAGTTGCGGTGTATGGAAGATTAGATGGTGTAGCGAAAATTCCAGTCATAGACGAAATGGTGACAATGTGACCACCCCCATGTTCTTTCATTTGCTTCAAAAAGCATTTCGTCATCTAAAAAAGGTATTTACTATTTTAAGTATCTAATACGTTTCTTTCGATATTTAGTCATGAACGTCCAAAATATTGCTCAACTTACCAAGATCACTCCTAAAATATTCACTTTAAGCATTGCTTCAATGTTTTCCGACGTTTCTTCAAGATTTTTGTTAGACATTAAGCCGGCGTTGTTAATCTGAAATGCTATGGTTCATATACTTGTTTCATTTTTAATTTAAAATTTAAATAATAAAGCATAGCTCAACATATTTACAGCTTTGAAACATAAAAACTTCTCAAACTTACCAGAATATCAACCGTTCCAAGGTCATTAAAAACATCATCTCGAAGCTTTGTTATTTCATCTGCATTTGTTACATCAATTTTATACGCTTTAGCTTTATATCCTTTGCCACGAATTTCTTCACAAGTCTTTTCAGCTGCTTTCAAATTAATATCAGCAATGGCTATTCTACATCCTAGTTCTGCTAATCGTAAACAAATCCCACGACCTAATCCATTAGCACCTCCTGTCACCTATGAATACAAAATTGTTCATACTCGTCAATATTTAATTGTTTATGTGATGATTTGAAATTTGATTCACCAAAGCAAGTTTTCCTCGAACATCTTTACGTTTATAGAAAAATAATCTCTTAATTTCTGTAAAAATTAATCCGATAGAAACAAATATTGTTTTCAAGACATCCCACAAGATAAGTAAAGATTGTTGCACTATCATAATGTTTTGTTTTTATTTTTCTATTTCATCTATCCATGGAACAATAAAGTTCCATACTCCGGCGATTGAAGAAAATCACTGAATTAAAACGGAACTTGGATCGACCCAAAGCGGCCAATGAGTATTAACGAGAGAATAAATAAGTTTCGGAAGAGAAATTACATTTACAAACCAGTTTCTTGGATTCTTCATATAGCTGGAATCATAAATACATCTTCAGAAGATCACTAACACTTAAACATTAACCATTGAATTATTCAGCAACACAAAGTTTACCAAAATAATTTTTAATTTAAGAGATAAATGAAAATTTAGTGACTAAAGCACGTAATAATATTTGAGAAATTCTTTTTGACAAAATTAAATAGGTAATTATCTACGTATTTGTAAATATAATGTGCTAATGATCAGAATGACCATGATGTAAATAATTTAAAAGAAAAACTTTGACAAATTCTCTTCTCTTAGGTATTACCTATTTTTATTTTCATTCTTTGGAATTAAAAATCAAAAAGTTCTTTCATGCGTCTCTTTAAGCATCGTTCAAAGCGCATTGCAATTTTCTCAATTCCAATTGTAACTCGTATAAAGTTGTTTTGTCTCTAGCTCGTTTATCTACACAGCGATTAGATTGAAAGTCAGCGTAATTTAATTTTGTAAGTGGTGTCAAAAGATTTATTCCAATGTTACGTAAATAATTATCGGCAAAGTCGATCCATTCTAATTCGGTATTTCCCTCGAATAAATTACTTGCTAAGGTGTCGATCTTGTTATTACTCATATCGAGATATCTGAGCTTTGGAAAAACATCTAAATCTTCCTTTTTGACTGTTTTCATGCCTGTAGAAAATGCAAAAATTCCTTCAAGGTTTGGAAAATATTTGTTAAAGTTCTTTGGCATTCGATCGCATTTTATTTTCTTGATGTTGATTAATCGTGTGTCGTTGTTAGTTTTCCCAGCAAGATGAGTGCCAAGAACACTATCGACACTCCCAAAGCCTTGAACTTGCTGATCTCTGGCCGCACATTGATAAGGAGTTTTTAAAGGTCCATAAATCTCGATACTTGATGACTTGAAGTCACAATTGACATTTAATGCATTTGAGTACGACACAAAAATTAACGAGAATGGTAAAATTACAAAACTGATGAAGGAAAAGTTTAGCTGAATTAATAATTCTTTTTAATATTAACTTTTGAACTTACATAAAGCACCGCATTTTTAATATTCACTTGAACCTCAAACGTGCAATCAGCGATTGAGAAATGTTTTTCTGACAGAAATAGAAATTGTTCTCGTAAATAATCATTTACTTCTCTCAAAAGTGTTGCTATTGTGTCATTAAATCATCTCAATTGAATCTTCGCCAATATAGGATTATCAAGGGGTAATTCATGTCCGGGAATGAAATTCATAATGCTTGTGTAGTGCGACTTCTTCATAAAGCTTTTCTAATAAGTCACTTTTAATTAACTTAATGCACACAAAATGCCCCTTGGGAGCGAATAAATTTAATATGAGAATCATAGAGAGAGAGTAAAAATCACTTATTTTATTTTGGCAATATTTTTGAGCAGACTGCATGAATGTGATTAATTTAAAAATAAATATAAAACCGATAGAAAACATTCAAATGGACTAAAATTATTTAATACAAACTAATTTATTATTTATTGTCTGATATTTCATTTTTATTGCCTTATAAATATTATAGCTGTCCACTTTATTAATCTTATATCTCTACAATTAGAGCTTCTTATCAGATAAACTTCCATGTATTTTACGAAATCATGCATTTCTATTATCAAATAAATAATCTAAGCTGAGAAAGAGTAAATAAAAAAAAAATTCCTATTTACAATGTCTAATTTTTTTCTCATTTCTCTTATCAATAGAAAAATACCTACATAAATATATTTAGACAAGCATAGTAAATTTGAAAGTAGGTAAATATACAACACATCAGTCTTCAAATTGCTGTTGAACGAGTCGAACGTTTCAAGGTTTTTAAAATTGTAATAACAAAACAATGGCTAATAAAACTCAGGTACTAATGTTTTGATTTTATACGATATAAAGGTCAATAATATTCTTGATATTTGCAGATCATTTTAAATCCATTAACATTAAACAAAGTAAAAGATGGAGTTCGTTTGCCGACGTACGATCGAAGTGAAATAAAAACTGGAATTTTCCACTTTGGAGTTGGAGGGTTTCATCGAGCACATCAAGCTTTAATAATGGATAATTTGTTCACTATGGGACTAGCTAAGGACTGGGGCATATGTGGCGTTGGAATCATGCCAGTAGATCAGAAAATGAGAGATGTTATGAGAGACCAGAACTGTCTTTATACTTTGGTAGAGAAAGAATCTTCAGGACAATTGAATTACCGAGTCATTGGATCTATTATAGAATACATTTATGCTCCTGACGATGTCAACGCTTTAATAGAACGTTTAACAAAACCTGAAGCTCGTATTGTTTCACTAACAATCACTGAAGGTGGTTATAACACAAACCCAGTAACTGGAGAATTTGATTTATCTTTGGTTCAAGATGACTTAAAAAATCCGAAAAATCCGAAAACCGTTTTTGGGATTGTCGTTGAAGCATTGAAAAGACGCAAGGAACGGGGTGTTAGTGGCTTTACTATTATGTCTTGTGACAATTTACAAGAAAATGGTAAAATTGCAAAGAAATCCTTCTTAAGTTTTGCTGAAGCAATTGACAAAGATTTATCTACTTGGATTGAAAAGAATGTGACATTTCCATGTTCCATGGTTGACAGAATAACCCCTGTTACAACTGAAGTGGATCGTCTAAAGATATCGGAGAAGTTGGGTGTTGTAGATCAATGGCCAGTTGTTTGTGAACCATTCATTCAGTGGGTCCTTGAAGATGATTTTGCTGCTGGTCGTCCAACTTACGAAAAGAACATTGTTCAACTTGTGAAGAATGTTGCACCTTATGAGCTGATGAAACTTAGATTGATAAATGCGGGACATCAAGCAATTGCATATTTTGGATTGCTTTTGGATCATTTTTATGTTCATGAAGCTACTCAGAATGACCAGATTGTAAAATATTTGCAATCGTATATGGACTTTGAAGCAACAAGTACGCTTGACCCAGTGGATGGCATCGATCTTAATCAGTACAAATCCACAATTATTAAAAGATTCCAAAATCCTAATGTGCTTGATACACTTGCACGACTTGCTGTTGACGGGTCCGATAGAATTCCTAAGTTTGTCATTCCAGTCATTGAAGATAGATTAACAAAATGTGAAAGTGTTTGGTTGAGCACATCAGTTGTTGTTAGTTTCACGCGTTACCTTAATGGTGTTGATGATAAGGGGAAAAAGATTCAAATTGTAGACCGCATGAATGAGAAACTTTCAGTTTTAGACAAGAAACTTAGAAAGGATCCGACAGCAATTTCAGATGCACAAGAAATATTTGGTGATGTTGTCAAGAATAAAATTTTTATCTCAACGTTTAAAGAAATTTATGAGAAATTGCAAAACGAAGGAGCTAAGAAAACTTTAGATTGGCTGTTATCAAAATATTGAGTGGGAAATACCATTTTATGATTAAATACATATGAAGATATTTTCAATAAAGTTTTATCAATTTTCATTTTTTTTAATTGGACTTCAATGATATATTTTTTTTAAATACTATCAGTTATAACGAAACTCTTCAATAATAATTAAGCTGCATATTAATCGTAAATAAATGCCATAAAATCAATAAAAATTTTCGTCTCTAAGACCAATTTCAATTTTGTGTCATTAAATATTCTAAATTTAGGATTTAAGATGAGGTTTATGAATGATATGTAAAAACAAAGAACACATGAATGAAATTTTCGGATTTTCCATTGTTTCAAAGGAGTGACGAATTCATTTACATATCTTTCTCTCAATTTGACGAATACTGAAACAACATTACCTAACTAAAAAGGAAATTCTCTCTTCTGACATAAAAATAACTTATAACATGCCATTAAGATAACTTCAGAGCAAGCTACAAAAATAAGTACCTAGTTGAATAAATAATAATTTTTTCTTTAAAATCGTATAATCTTCGATTCTTTTCCAAACTCTAAAGACGAAGATATCATTCCACCAAAAAGTTGTATTGATTCAAGTTTTGTTATATCAAAAGTCCCGCAATTCAGAATCAACCATGCTCGTTATGTACTCTCATGATGATAAAAGAAATAAATCTCTTGATTTCCCATAAAAATGTTCAATTTAATTACCGAGGCAAATCTATTGCTTATTGCAGCAAATTTTTACTCTACTAAATTTATAGATTAAATTGGACCATGAATCGGCTTACACATAAGTTTCTTTGCACATATCTATTTATATTTGTAAATAGCAAATACATAAGTGTATAGGTTATCAATGAACGGACTGAAAAAGAAGAAACAAATTAATTATTAGCGAACACGACTAACCTTGGATTTTGAGTCTATCTAAAAATATTCAAAAGATTTTAAAATTTTAAACTGCTTTGAGTGGAGATAAATTGAAACTAAAAGATTCACTTCTCGTATAAGAAGAAGAAAATATTCAATCATTAAATTCGAAATCTGATAACTTCCAAGAGAAATAAATATTTCAAAGAAAACGTTTAGAAGAAAGAAAATCAAGGAAAACTATAAAAGGAAAAACAGACGGAATTCAAGAAGAAGTTGTTATCAAAAGGAGCAAACGACCTCGATTAAAAATCTATAAAGTGAAAAGAAAAGAAGGTGACACACAAAAGACATGCCATTAAATCCGTATCATTGAAAATGCTTCTGTGGTTTTTCCTTTGTATTTCTAGCAGTCTTGAAGTAGGAAAATTTTATCCTTCGTCATCACCTTCTTCGTTCTTCTTCATTTTTTGTTGCTGTTTATTATGTTTCTTTTGTTAGCTTACATTATGTTTGTCATTTTTCGCCTTTCACTTCTATTATCTCTTGGAGAATCTTGTAGTGATATTAATTCATTCACCTTTCTTTCTTGCTGCTTTGGTCTTCCTATTTTTTAATGAACCCAAAGTAGAAGTTAAAATAGTGACCAAAAACTTCTTTGAAGACAAGAAACTTACTCACTTAGATAGACATCAACCCACAGAAAGTTTCTTTTTTTCCTTCCTTTTGTTTACTCTTGTTGAAAAACAAACTGAAAAAGTCTTTCAACCCAGCAATCCTCTTATAAAGGAATAAAATCTTAAAGAAGATATAGAAAAAAAAGGAAATCTCAGATAAGGAAGAGAAGATTTTCACAAATTGTTTTAATACATATCGCTTACCTTGTTTATAAGTTTATTGCGCTTTCTTCTCTCTTTTTACATTTAGATTCAAAAGAATAAATAAATATCTGTGAAAATTTTCACAGAAAAGATAAAACATAATAAACCTGATAAAATGAAGGAAAATGGTCGTGAAACATTGAATAAAGGAAATGAGGAAAGTTTTAACCCCCGTCGAGGGATGAAATAAAAAGGCAAGAGCCCGATTGAATGCCACATTATACTTAGCTCTCCTCAAAATTGAAGCAAATTGTTTCTGAGCGTCACACTAATCGTGCCATCGACAAATTAAGTCAATTTACATAAAATCACGTTTCATTCGAAATGTATTTGCCCGGTAGGTGAACGATCATAATAAGCGAAAATTGTTTCTGCTTCTAACTCATAATTGCTTAATGAAAAAAGGTACAAAATGAAGTGTTTTACAATTAATTACTAGCTTAAGAGCTTTTTGACTGAGTAATTATCATTTTAGATTGATGAAACATGCTAGAAGTGTCGAAGAGGTGCTTAAAAAGTTCTCAAAGCCGTTGTTGTCATAATTAAAAGATAAGAAATATTTTAATTCTTAGAAAATGTTTTAATAGAAAAATTTTTGTTCTCAAACTGCAAAACAATTTCATTTGAAACTTTATTTAAAAATATTTTATTGAAATTTTCTCAAATTGTTTTATTAACTTTAGTAAGTTAACGAAAGTTAGTCAAATTTGGTTGATGACGATAAAAGAAAGAAAAAAATTTGTCGCAGAAAGAATAAATTTATGACTCTAACAAGTTGCTCCATTTGTCTCCTTCTTTCTGTTTCCAATAGAATCCAATAGACAACGTTCGCCTTCAACTAGCAAATTATTTCACCATGCTTTTCATATAAAACGTGCATAAAATAAATTCATAGCATTCATGTTTGCCTTCAGGGAGCCTCTCGTTCACTCGTCTTCTTTCATTCCTCACAACCCGACACAATAAAGAATTATCGTCACGCAGAATACTCTTTGTCAAATCTCTTTCAGTGAATCTGGTTAAAAGCATCTCTTTCAACAATTCTTTTTCCGTGTGATTCCATAAGGTTTGAATATAAAAAACTTTTCTGAAATATTCTCATTCTGTACTTTGAATTTAAACATCTTTTGAATATTTATAATTCATCCCAGAACTATTAAGTTTATTAAGAAATTTTTTCATTCCTTTATTCCTTTATTAGAAGAATCAAATGATTTTGCTGTGAGAATTTTCTCAAATATTTGAATATAGAATATAAATAAAAGTTTTGCATGTCAAAATATCATTGAGCCAAATCATCTGCCAAATTGTATTGTGAAAATAACAATTAACATCACAGACATGCCTTGTCGTCAATTAATTATCATCGGATAACAATAATTTACAACCCTATAATCCTCGTGATCGAAAATTCTCAAGAACAGTCACACAATGCTTTTGCACTTAATGTCTTTTCCAAACATTTCTCTTGTGATTATCAATAAAAAAATTCTGTTCCACATCTCAACAGTTAATGAGTGTTTTTAATGACCACAAAATTATGTATGAGACAATAAACATGTTTATTGACTTAACATACAAAATTTTGTGGTTTTTTTATGTTTTTCGCTGCATATTTCTTCTTTCATTGTTTTCGTAGGTTGAAGATGTCAAGATACGAACAATATAATAAGTAGATGTGTATGTTGAGACTCTCGATATCATCTAAAATTATGTTAATAACAAGGGAAAAATTATTTTATCTTTTTTTTATAAATAACTTTTGATGATAAAATTATCAAAACATTAATTGTTTTCTGATTGCTTTAGAATTCTTATTCTAATGAGAAAAATTAATCAATGTTAACACATTCAGGGTTGAAGATGAACATAATTAGTGTCAAAAGTACATAAAAGGTTTGAAGTTCAAAATAATTCACTAATGGAGGTTTGATAACGTTAGAAAGCAAAGCAAGAGTTTTAATTCACCAGCAATGGATTCGTTGCAACTTTCCGTTAAATGCATCAATTTTTATTTATGCAGATATTCAACAAATTTCGTTTCAGAGTTCAGAATGATTTCGTTTAAAACCATAGCCTTACAATTTTTAGTCAACACACATAAGAGATAGTGAAGAAAAAATCAAAGACAAAAAAGTGTTGAAATTGCTAAAAACAAGTGAAAAATATCGTAATGAACGAGCAAGTTCAGCAAAGTTCATCACACATTTCACTTGTGTTCTTATCTCGATAATTTATTTTTATGATGCAGCTTTCTTGTTTTTATTTCATTGCGAGAAAATTTATGCTAAAAAAGTTCAAAAACATTTCAAATCCTTTTGCTTAAGTCCAAAGATATTAAAGCAATTTCAGATTCTAAAACGACGTCTCAATACTTAAGTTTAAACGCAAGATGACAACAAAGAATATTGAAATTTAACAGAACATTCAAGGATCTCACGATTTGCTTAACTTTCCAATGCTCTAATTGCCATGCGTTGAAATACTTTGATTTTTGTAGACTTTTTCATATTCATTACAGAGCCACCACTCTCGAAACCTATTCAGTATTTTTCAAACCATCAGAGAAGACTGTTGTGACATATTTCTTTAAAAATGAAAATATATTACGTAAAATATCATCATAGTTCAAATATAATAACAAACTTGAGAAACACTCAAACTAAATGAAGGCTTCCAATCATTATTACAGTTTATATTTTCCAGTTGATTAAAAGCTCTTTCAATACATAAACGTAACTATTTAGGCGTAAAAGGCCATAATCACTTCAACTCTAATCAAACACCTTTCACTTTTTGAGGTGTGTGCTAACATCGACCAAACCCTCAACCACATTTTTTGAGCAAATTTGTTTCGCAATAATTGATTTTTGGCTTTCCATAGAAATTACCCATGGAAATTCCGAAAAATTATTGAAACGTTTTATCATCACACATTTTATTATTGTGTTATTACGATTATTTTTAACGGAATTGATTAACAAGGTGAAACAATTCCTATCGTTTGTGAATTCAATTGTGAAATCAATTTCTTAAAGTATCTTAAAGGAAAGGTTAACCACTGTTTAAAGAAATCGAGATTATCAATGAAAACCTCACACCACCTAGTTATGTGTACGCATTCATTGATGATTGTTATCAATTAGCAATTCAAATTAGATGTCTAAATCCCCCCCTAATAAAGAGAAATTTGAAAGTCAACATTATTGATACCAAATATCCTCTGATTGATGCGGAAGAATTCATTTGTGGAGAGGAAAGTTTTGCATCTCATTTGAGGCAATTTTCAATCGTCTCTCGTCATAAAAAGCATAAAGGAATGCATAACTTTTTCAGAATTGAGCTTCAAAGCTGAATAATTAGATAATGAATGTAAAAATGAGCCTTAATTTTCATTCCCTCTCTTTTACGTAACCAAACCATGAATAAATTAACAAAGAAGAATGAATGATATTTAATAAAATTATCACGACCTTAATTATTCTTAATAACAAAATCGGGGCCTGAGAAGTCTTTTATGTGAAGAAGGGTGAGAAGGCAAACAACGATTATTAAGGAAATGTTGGGCTTATGGATGGTGTGAAAGAATGAAACAGTTGCTGTGAAATCTCTAGATAGAGATAAACATGAAATTTAATTTAATTATCATTATTAAGAACTTTCTCCGCCAGATTTTTCCTTCTCCATCATCAGGATTTTCCACTCTTTCTTTCCGAGAGACTGTAATAACTCATCGTGTTTGTCAACTCATGGAGATGGTTCACGCCAGCCAAATTTTTTGAAACTGTTTAAGCCTTCGACGCTCTGTTTGCACAATTTCCCATTCATCTCTAAAGTTAATAATTTATTTGTAAATAAAGTAAAAACAATTTTAAACGAACAATTGATGGGTATAAATAACACTTTATTTATGAAAATATTCATTCACTCGCTACTTGTTTTAATATTTGGTGTTTAATATTTAATCCAAAAACGAAAGCGGCTTTCATTTCGAAACAGTGTGTTGTTCGTAGTTGTATGATATTGTGTGATGTTGTTTTACAACAAAATGTCATTACTGTTTTTAATTAAATTTTTACTCACAAGGACATTTGAATATAACAACAAGCGTGGTTGAATGCGAATATCTCGTTCCATAAAATAAATAAATATCTCCCGACTCCCACACAAATAATAACGCTTTGGGACTTAGCACTTTTAATCGCGGATAACAAAGAAAGTTATTATTTCGAATTAAATAAATAACATTAAATTAATGTTTTATGAATTATGTTATGTACATCAATTTAGGTGATTTATGTATCGTTCATTATGAATGTGTTAATTTCAGCGTGTAAATTTTGTTGCTTCGTATTATTTACTGCCGGAAATTTAAATTCTGCAATTTTTAAAGATAAAATTTGATATAAAACATCTTGAAGAAATCAACATTGAGATTTTCTCAACTTTAAAGGAAACTTACATATTATTTTAATAAAGGGTCAAATGAAAATTAAATGACTCAAATCCTTACACTTTAAGCATATTCTTCCATCCTCAACTTAGAAACAAAGTTATCAACAACTTACAAACACAATTGAATTAAATTTCTTCATCACATTGATTGTAAAAAGTGAAAAAGAAGATTATGAAAATCCTCCTATTGTTGTGCGGGTGTCAAAAAATATTAACGAGAGCCTTTTTGCCATTGAGCGACCCTTTTGAAACAAGCTCATCGACAACTTTATGAAAATATTTTTGATATTTCATGCAATGCATATTTAAGCATGAAGTTTTCCAATTTTCACAATTCAATAAAGTTTTGTTCTTCGTCCTTCGACTGTAGATAATTTGACAGCCGTAAGGAGAAACACAGAGAGCAGCAGATGTCACAATAGTCAAGCACATGATAAATTGTGAAATTAGATTTCCTCTTGCATCAGAGACTGCGAGATCGGTACATTAATTTTATTCTGAAATGATTAATTTTCAAGAATGTACTGTCTGATAGGCAATGCGATATCTTCAATAGATTTTTTTTTCATTTTATAATGAAATTAGGTATTATTTTCATTCCAAGCTTCATCAGATTATTTACCTTACAAAGCTTTGAGCTTCTATTTCTGTTTTCTTTAGATTTATCTAGAAAATACTTTTTAAACTTATTCCATTTCAATTCATTTATCAGCCATCCATTCAGTCAGATATTTATTACTTTATTTACATCATGAAAAATATATTTAATGAAGCATTAACCAAGCAAATTCAAATCTCAAGTTACTACTCATGCTTAAAATTTTATGGTTTTCAAGTACTGTGAGCAGAAAAATAGAATATAACTTAATAATTTTATTGCTTCCTTGTGCAATAAATATGAATGATATTGCGATTATTCACTCGTTGTTTTCGTCTTCTCTGGATCTGAATCTCCTTTCTTTCCTTTTTTCACTAAAGATTTATATTTATTTCACATTTCGAAAGACACATCATTCATGTTTCAATTGCTTAAATTAAAAAAGAAGAAGTTGATGCACATACTTATAAGTAAAGAAAAATTTTCATTTTATTTTTATATGTTTACTAAATAGAGGAAAAAGAAAAGAATATAAAATCTCACGTTTTCCACCCCCATAAAACTTTTGTTGAAGTTTTATTATCTCTTTGATAATTAATAATTCATCAATTTAAAAGTAAACAGAAGAGAGTTAATCACTGCCAGCAGAAAACCATCGTGAAATAAATTGCTGGCGGACAATGTTACTTGCTTTCTAAATCAAATATTAATTTAACGTTAATTAGTTTGCAGATTTCATTTTGTTTTATAAATAGATAATTCTTTGATATTTTTTTTTTAATAAAGTTACTAAAGAAATTATTTTGAAATTAAATCGCAAATAAAATTTCAACATCTTTGAACTTTTCCTAGATGATTCAAACATAAACTGACTCTCTCTAAAGTGTCATCTAAATTCTAGATTTTATTTTATATTTTTTTATTTTTTATAAAGGTAAGTTTAGTTGAAAATTTTTGTATACGAAATGTGTCCCAATGGGGTGATTTATATTAATTTCGGGATAATCTCAATTCACACGATATATACGTGAGCTCAATGATGATTATTCAAATAAAAATGTGGAGATTGATGGTACCTGGGAGACGAATTTTGATTTCCACGTTTCTGTTCAGATTTATTGAAAACTGAACGTTCAAGAGTAAAACCAATCTCAAATTGTCCAAAAATCGATAAAAATGAGAAAAATGTTGAAGAGATACATTCAGCATAAGAATTTTCAATAAACTATGAGATGTTTTTTCGATCGATTTTTCTCATAGTTATGAACGACTTCTGGGCGCCAGTCTTGCGACGTTCTGTCTGTTCTTCTTTCTTAGAACATTCATTGGCAACTTATTTCAACAGCACTTTTAAAATTTTTCGCGAAATCTTTTAAAGTATTTCTGCAGAAAACTTAACGGAGCAAATAACTTCCTACCTTATTAAATATTAATATTAATCTTTCATTCACTGTTATATTATTTTTAAATGACGCAACAGAAAACAAAAACTCGAACATAAATGTTGGATTAAAAGTTTGAAAGTCATTACGGAGAAATAACGATTTTCACCGTTTTAAGGGATCAAGCAGTCACTGAAAGCAAAGGTTAAATACAAAAGCGTATTAAGCAATGCTTTTGAAATATTAGAACATAAATTATTTTGAAATGTTTAATCTATCCAATGTTGTTTTCACTTCAATTATTCATAATGTTTCATATTAAATTACAATTGTATTCTTCCCATCTTTCGAAAAAATATACATCTACATATTTATTGGAATAGTTTTTTCATTTATGTATTTTCAAAATATTGTAACAAGTTAGCTTAAAATTAATGTTAACTTGAAGTAGTAGTGAATGTTTCACTTAATCTAAACTTTGTTTGCGAGAAGTAAATTTTTCATTCTTATTCTTTTGACACTATCTATTTATCAAGCTTAATTTTAAAAATTTCATTATTTTTGTAAGCTACTTTTATAATTTTGTCTTTTTATAGCATTTGTTGGCTTTCACATGTTATGCTTAGTTTTGTATAAATTCGAATTATCAAATTGTTTGTGAATACATAAAATCAATTTCCTTCAATTTTCCAAAGCCATAGCCAATTTATTGTGTCGATTTCCTGTGATACTGATATCTCCCTTAGCACTTTTACAATACTCTTTGTGAGAACAGAAACTATTTTCTCTGGCGATTTAGTATCCAAACTTACCCTTAAATCGTTAAATTTTAAATTGATTTTTTCCCTATTCAAATGTTTTTGACAATAAATTGAAATGAGATTTTAAATTAAAATCCTCGCTTGGTGGCATAATGTATCAAATTATTTACGAATATATAATCCAATTTCATGTAACTTACAAACACTGTTAAGGAAAAGAAAGGCCATTCATAATCGTGCTCTCATAATTATCCTGAAAAAAGTAACTTCATTAATCCTTGAAATGATCATAAAATGTATTGACTCTTCAGCTAAAACTTATCTAATAAAAAGTTGATCAAGAAAGTGTGAGAAGAGAAACTATAATTGCTTTTCATTTTCTTTCGTTATTGGAAAAGTTCCTACTTAAACTTACGCTCAAGGAATATAAATTTTTATATTGATCTGCAGAAAAGGTTTAGAAATATTCAACCTTCCTTTTATGACTGCATTTCAATCTAGCGAATGTAACGTTATTTTCCGATAAGTTTTCTAAATCTAAAATGAAGTTTAAAAGCATCAAGCAGAAGTAAAAAATGTGCTTGTGTGTTTAAGCTAAACGAGTTGAAAACATTTATGTACAATAAACATGATTTACTTGATTTCATAAATCCTTTCAACATAATAACCACGAGCAGTTTGAAAAGTAACAGCAGCATATGTACTAAATTATTGTGTTTAACAAGATGTTTACAGAAAATTATTAGGGTTTGAAACTTCTTTTCCGTCTTCACGCTCAATCTTAGAAATGTTTTTATGAGATCATTTAGAAAAGTTCGTAGCTCCTAAGTAGTGAACGCAGTTGGAAGACTTATAAAATAAATTTCTCGATCTCACTTACACTTTTGGGATATTTACCAAAGGGCTCCATTAATTCAGTTTGAATTTATTTCATAAAATTGATTCAAAATAATGATATTTGACTTTAGGTTACATACAAATAACTGAAAAGTTTTGTTTTAAGCCACAAATGAAGGAATAAGGAAACTAAAAAGGTTTTGAATGAGTAATATATGGAATATTAATTCATTTGTATACAGACAATGAAAGTAAAGCAAACATTTAACATTTAACATGACAAGGCATAGGCAGAACGAGCAAACATCAGTGATGCCACGTGTAAAATGCGATTTAGTAGCAGCGAAATTGTAAATTACAATGTAAATCAAAGTACACTAAAACTACACCGTATCATTAAGTGCCTTTCAACACGAACGAGACCGGAAGTGAAGCAGTCTGAACGATTTATTTGAAAAACTTCCATTCTATGTTATGCTTTGGAATGCATTGTGGTTTTCTAAGAATTTAAAGAGAAATGAAATCAAAGCTTGGTGAATGCAAACACTTTAAGATATTTATGGTTGTTGGAATGAAAAATTGTAACTTACAACTCATTCAAAGTAAGTTTCGTTTTAGTGATAACATATTTCAGTATGATTTAGATGTCTGAAGTGCTTCACCATGCGTTCGAATAATCATCGAAAATATTTGTAGAATGAAAATAAATGAAACAGTCTTTAAATAATTAAATGTTTTTATTAAATTAGGTTCTTGTCTTTTTATAAATAAGTGCAGAAATGACTAAAACTATAACGAAATGACAAACGTAAAAAATGTAATAGCTCTTAGGAGGAACGGGCGCTATTGAAAGTGTAGTAACATCAAACATTGGATCTATGGTTGTCGATGACATGTTGAATGGGAGAATATCATTTTCCAGTTCTTCTTCTTTTTGCAGTGTGCAATTTACATTTTGTGGAAAATCACACATTTCTATCTGAGGGTTAAAATGAAGGCCTTCGGAACATGAGAACTCGATAAATTTTTCATCCACACATTTATAGAACTTGCTGCATTCGAATTCATGTGGCAGCCGATTGCTTGATAATTCGCATAAAGAAACATTAGTATTGTCATCACCAAAACATAAGCGTACTAATAAAAATAAAATCAGTGATTTGTTGAACATAACTTAAATATTTTTGCGTTGTGTAACAAGTTTCCACTGCGAGTTCTTATTTCAAACTAAAGACAAACTCAATATTTCTGTTTATGAGTAGATAAGATAAGACCTCGCACGCGTAAACACTTACAATAACTTGAATTGTACAAGACTTTATTAGTATCACAAGACTTAGATATCATTAATATTAATGTAGCTACCAAGATTTATTTTAGGCTCAATGCAATGCAAATTAAAGTGTCTTTGTGATTTCTAAATTCTTCTGCTCTATAAAACTGAGATATCCATATTGTTATCCATTCTTCTCTTGCGTTTCAATCCTCACCATTTCAAATGAGATTTTCATTTTCTTTAATTTGATTGTAAAATGACAAATATTTTGCTGCTCGCTTTACCATTTCTGTCACGTTCTGAAAAACAAGCAACTCAACAAATTAGATTTCCTTCTCGTCATACACAAACATAATATTTTTTTCCTTCATGTTCAAACAATTCTTGCTTCACCCGAAGCATAAAAACTTTCTTACCTTTTGGTTGGAGATTTTTCTTTCTTTTTTAAATATAAGAAATGTAGAATTAGAATTTTCTATCTTTCATGGAAAGCGGGAAAAAAATGTTTACATTCTTATTCAGATCATCAAATAAATTAAAGAAATCACGTAAACTCATCTTGAGTTGGTTATAAATTTATTTCCACAATGTTTTCATCATTGTGAATAATATTTAAATTAATTATAAATTGTTGATGGTTCAGAGAGATTTTAAATAACTTGAAGTCATTGGATCAAACTTCTAAATATATGTTTATTTACCTTTTAAACAAAGTATACCTTCATTATCATGAAATGATTCAATTAATTTTCAATGAAACTTGTTTATTTTACTCACTAATTCAAATTAATGAATCATAAGTATGACACCATCCACTTGAACATAAAATCTTAAATTCATTCATTGTCGATGAAAATGAACCTCTTAAGGGCTTAAAGCATCTTCACAATCGAAATCAATAACTTTATCCAATGATAAATTCTGGATAACTCAATAAATGATCGACTTATTTGCTGACTTTTCTTTTATTCTTTTTACTTACATACGTATAAGTATACATATTTGTTGTCAACGATTCGCTTCAATCTTTCTCATGAATCCAAGACAATCCGTGTGTGGGATTTTTATGACTTGGAAAAAACAAGCAATCATGCAATGAAGGAACAGCTTATAGCCCTAAGCTCGTCATATAAAACACTGATATTCCGTTCTCTCAGAATCTTTCTTTTTCTCTTTTTTTTGCTGCCATTATTGGATTAGATATGTTTCGGTTCCGTTGTCTTCGAACGAAGAAGGGGAAATTGTATTTGTGATTTATACTGGATAATACTTTCAATAGCTAATCAAGTTAATGTTCCATGTTTTAGCTTCTAGCATGATATCTATGACTTTCTTCACATTCAAGATTCTTTTCCTCTGCATTCGATACAATAAGATTAGTTATAAACATCTTACTTTGTCAATCGCATGTTAGATCTGATAATTCGGAAATATCATGCGTGACTTTAACTTTGAAAGTCAATTTCCTTGAAACCCTCCACAGTTTGTTAACAAACATACAATCATTATAATACTTTGTTATTTCTTGTCGCCTTTAAGAAGTTTGACTTCTAAAAAATTTTAAAGAAAAATCAAAAGAATTAGATTTTTGGAATTAAATTTTGGTTATTTTTATTTTATGAAAATAAAACTTTAAGAACAACTTAAGTTTTAAAGTAAAGAACATAACGAAACAAGCAAAACATATTTTTTTGTGAAAAATATTTAGATTTAGCAGATATTGACTCAAGATACAAGAACTTGGATATTCTGCTGAATATTAGGGGAAATGTGCCTTTCAGAAAAAGGAAAAATATCAAATCTTAAAATAAATTGCAACCCAGTTTCACTTTATTTTTCTTCTCCTTTTTTCCATTCTCAAATCTTTTTACTCAAAATATTTATTCAACACACATAGAACGATAAAACCTACATTGAGAGAAATCATAAAACGCTTTAAACTTTCGATCTTCATAAAGAAACATTTCTTTTTAAGAAGAGGAACGAAAATTGATAAAAAGAAATGAAGCACTTAGTAGTGATGAATGAAGAATCATTTCGTTATTGAAACTTTTTCACCTTAAAAGTAAGAAAAAGTTTCAAGAATTTTAAAGTGGAATATTCAGACCGGGAAATTTTTAATCGGCTATCTGTACTTAAAGTTCTTCAAACTAAGCAGAAAATATATTCAAGCACAACACATGTTTTCCACACATTCAAATTGTGTATTTATTTAATAGCAGGAAGTTTTATCGCGCCTTTTGATCAGAACTCGAGTGCTTGATGCTTTCAGAAATTAGGTGTGGTAGTGCAATAAATTTAGATTTTCCTTAAGAACGTTGTGTGTACAAAAGCAGAGGTTGTTAATGTATTTAACAGATTATCTTTTTCCGTTTATTGATTGAATGTTGTGTGGTTTCCAGAAGCTAACATAAAATGGTTAAAGCTTCGCCGTTGTTTTCTTAAACAACATAAAAGAAGAGGAACTCGAACAATAGTCGAACTCATTATAAATAGAGAAAATTATAATGCTTTCCTTGAAAATTAGTCTATAATCGGTGACATCGTTAAATTTTTGGTTTTTGAAGTACATTAAACACATTTAGTCGAGATGAAAATGTTACAACATAAACTAATTTTCAAGATCATTACGAAACAGTTTAATATTGGGATATCAAGGTAAGTTAGGGAAATTCTCTCTTTTTTACGTTGCTATCTTACAATATTTATTACCGGAAAACATGAAAAAGGATGATAAAAAGTCAGACGCGCTCATCCTGAAACAGCTTTTTCGACTTCTACTTTGCCATCATGAATGCTTCGAAGGCTTTCACTTCATTAGTCTATGGTTTTCTTTTTCTTCTTATTTCATATGAAGAGTAAAAGGAGAAAATATATGTATTTAAGTTCTAGATTACTTTCCTGATGTCATTTTATGGCTTATGTTGCACGAATTTCCTGAGATACTGAAAAAATTTCCTGCTACATCGGTAAGGATGTGTCTCACTTTTTATACCTTTTTTTTCGTTCTTTCCTTTTTCGGTATGAAATATAGCATCTTTAAAACTTCTTCAAGTATTTTTCTTCCCAACAAGATACTCAAAGTGAATCGTAAATTTTACTCTCTTGCCTCTAATTCAATATCTGCTATGAAAAAAGTCTTTAATCCATTATCGTTCATCCCATAAAAAAAAGCCTCAAAACGAACAAATTAAATAAAATAAAAGTGAAACTTCGTGAGATCGACTAACGTTTAATGTCACAAGCACAAGCACTTGGATAAAAAATAAAGTGGTTCACTCTCCATTACACAACAAGCAAACGAGTGTTGAAAGTTGAAAGGGAAAAATAGAGCGGGGAAATTTCAACGTTATTTTCTTTTTTCCAACAAAACACATCATTCGAGAGGTTGAATGAAATCTTGAAAGAAAAATCTCTGTTGATGCTATTTTTATCAGTTTTGATTTATCTACATCATACAAAAGATTGATGGTTTATCCAAGAATAGCTACTTTAACTTTAATTTGGTGCTTTTACTTATCTGAATGTAGAAAAGTTCTGTAATTTATTTCACAAAAGTTGTATGTATTACTTAATGATCCGTTCTAATAATTTCTTCTGTTGTGCTTTCAACAATTTAATCAGTTTTATTGAACAAAAATATAATATTTATTCTCATTATTTTTCTTTTTTAATAAAACTTGGCTTTTCTTCTCATGTGTCTATTTCGACTCAGTCTATAATGTTTAAAAGTTCTGAAAGTTCATAGGGAAATATTTAAAAAATGTTTAATCATAGTGAGTTCTCGATAATTTAATGACAGGTTCCGAAGTCTTTCGATACTCTTTTGTGCTCCTAACATTACCATCATTAAATCGTAAACATAATATCTTGTTCTACATATCGAAGGGTAAAGAAGAATAATAAGAGAAAAAGAAATTTGCTTTCTTCTATTTTGCCTTTATATGGAAAGTAGAATGAACATTGTTTTCCTTTCTATTGCTTTTCTTGTTTGTGCTATTGTAATTGGAAAAACTCGAAGAAGTTGAGCTGTTAGAAAAAAAATAATGAGACTAATAATTTGTATTAAACTTTGAAAGCCAACGAGGAAATAATTTTTAAAAGATTTTTATTTTTAATGGAATATTATTGAAAGAGAAGCTTTAATAATCAATTCTTGAAATAAAATTTCACACAATCATTCGTCCTGTTTATTCGCATTATGAAATTGAAACAATTTTCTTAAAAGCTTTTCTGCTACGCTTCTATCATATCAAAAGAAGAACGTTAAACTTTCATAGTCGGGAGCGAAAAGTCGAAAGAAAAATCAATTCTAACTGTATAAATAAAACTATTTTCCTTTCATCCCGAACCAAAACGCCAGTGAGTCTGTCTGGCGTGCAATACGTATGGCGCCACTAAAAACATTGATTGCCGTGAATAAGCGTCATCTGATGATAATTTTTGAAAAAAAAAACAATGAGTCATACTCTATTGAGATGGGAATTTTCAATTCATAAATTATTAAATATTTTCTTTTTTCCAAAAATCAAACAGTGACAATAAATGTCCAAATATTTTTCTAAATGTAAAACAATAACATTAATTCGACCTTGCATTGTAACAACCCTTAAGAATTTCACCCTAATTGTAAATATTATGGTAAAGTTTCCAATTTCTATGAGTTGAAAGAAAAATTCAAATGAAAACATGTTTTAAGAATTCTTAATTATTTCATTAAAACTTTCTCAAAGGGAGATGTTAATTACATGAAAAGAAGAAGTAAATCTCGGTTTAATACTTATGTTAACATTTCACGCATTTAAACAAGAGACGAAGAAGCCGGAAAGACTTTCGATCTCATTTGCGCATGCTTTCAAGACATCGTTTGATATCAACATTTCCAGAGAGAAAATATTTCACTCAGAGAATGCATTTTTGTAGACTTTTCCGGCGAGTGACTTTCCCAACAATACATTTTCGACTCGTGACAAAAAGAAATGAGATTTTCTTTTTCCTCCACCACTTGGATCAAAATAAAAGAAATAAACTGTTAGTCAGTAAGTCGAAAGCTGTCAATAAAATCAGATGTTTTACACTAGCTTGTAATTTATCAGGCTGAACAGTGGATTTCAATTAGAATTCAGTTCCTTAAAATATTCAAAACGAGTGCATTTATTTATAAAGTACTTTGATAGTCCTTTGGGTTTTGGTGAATGTGATTCATGAGACAGGTTCCAAAACGTGATTGTTTTATAAATTAACCTCTCACGATGTAATAAAGTCGTCTAGTGAATGAAATGTATAGTTTACATTTTGTGACAGATTTAATAACTCAATGTTCAACATGAGACAAATGTTAGACGAGGATTTTACTCAGTCGACAACAGCTAATCATCGAAATTAATATTTAAACCTTATCAAACATATTTTTAATCAAAATCAAAACAACATGATAATACTCTCCAAAATAGGAATAAATATTTTAATTCTACTTATTACAATAAATGGTAAAGATAAATTGAGATTCATTTTGTGCATATTTATGAAAAGATTTCTTATCAATACATAAATAATTATTCGACAGACCATAAGGCATTTAATTTTCTTTTACTAATGGTCTTCAACAATTGTTAAACGAGTTTTTCAAATCTTACGATGCAAACGTGAAATTTTAAAAATTGAAAAAGGATGAATTTCTGAGATTATTCTAAATAAATAAAAAAAAGTGGAAATGGACAAATTTAATTATGACACTGAAGTTTACATTTTTTAAATATCTTTTGTTTTGATATTTATCACACATTTAAATTCACAATTCGTTTTTCAAGTAATTACTAATTAGGATAGACAGTGACATTTCATGTTTGTATTTCATGATATTTCATGACTCCAAGTTTAATTTGACATTTAGACAGTGACAAAGTTATTTAGATGGACACTATAAATCATGCAATAAATTGTGTCGTTGAAGAAGAATTATCTGCATTAATATAATATGAGAAAGTTGTAGAAATTTTAAATATTTTCTACATAAATTCAACTGTGACAACAATAATAGTGAATCAGTTCAAATATATTTTATATCTAAGTAGATAATAAACAAAACAGAAATGAAAGTTATTTGATAATAAGTGTTTAATTAATTTTTAAACCTTTCCAATGTCCAACAGACATAAAAGCTAGCTGGGAAGAATGGTGGACTTATGATGGCATTTCAGGGCCAGGTGAGTTTTATGATTCAACATACGACCGTTTAAAAATAAAATAATAAATATGAATGAATATCGAAATTCAATAGAGTTTGACATATTTAATATTGAAACGTTTATTGAACGTTTGATTTGGGAATTACGATCAATATAGATAGTTCCCAAAATATTGAGTTAAATTAAAAAAGTTTATGAGGTGTTAATTAAAAATTTCTATTATGATTGAATTATTTAAGTTTACAAACTGACATGAGAATCTTTCTATGCTTTCCCACGATTAATTTTAATTTAATTGGTTGAAATGTTTAAGTATTATGTCGTCAATTTTGTTTTAGGTTTTTGGGGCCTTATTAATCCTGTTTGGAATATGTGTAATAAAGGAAGACGTCAGTCGCCCATTAACATCGAACCAGACAAGTTGCTGTTTGATCCGTATTTGCGGCCACTTCATGTTGATAAGCATAAGGTTGTTTTAATATGCTAATAACGTTACACGTATTGTAACCAAATTCTTATCATCTTGTTCATGCATTCATTCAGGTAACTGGTATGCTTCACAATACCGGACAGTCATTGGTGTTTCGTGTAGATAAGGAGACAAAGCAGCATGTTAATATATCAGGTGGTCCTTTAGGTCAGTCTAATAAATAGTTCATCAAAATTCAAGTGGCGCTTAATAAAACAACGACTACCAATTTTCAATTCATTGCAGCTTACAGATATCAATTCGAGGAAATTTACATTCATTACGGAACAGAGAATTATCAGGGATCAGAACATCAAATTCATGGATATGCTTTTCCTGGTGAAGTTAGTCTAAAAGTTGTTTAAAATTCATGAAATAACGAGAACTTTCCCACACACATTTCCTTAAAACTTCATCACAGTACAACATACAGAATACCAATAAAATTGCATCAGTTTATATGATTTCTTAATTAAAAATTCTCGACAGATTTTCCGCTCATAAAACACGCGAAGAAAACATGAAAAATCTGTTGAGATTTTATAGGAAAACGTACTTACATCGCTCAACTCAGTTTAGTTTCGATGTAAACAAGGAAGAATGTTCATTTGTTTGCAAGAAAAAGAATTTCCACTTGGATAATGAAAAAGATGCTTGAGTGGAAAACATGTAACAGCGCGCCATGAATTTACATATAGAAACAAAATTATGCAAAAAGTATTCCTTAATACATCTCCTCACCTTTTGAACATCCACTTCTCGTACTTTCAAGAAACATGTTTATTTATTTATTTATCTTTCTCGCATTAAACACAGATCCAATTATATGGATTCAACAAGGAACTATATCAAAATATGTCAGAGGCGCAGCATAAGGCACAAGGCATTGTTGGTATATCTCTGATGGTGCAAATTGGAGATACGCCTAATCCAGAACTTAGAATAATCACTAGCACCTTTAATAAAGTGTTATACAAAGGTTAAATGCTGTTTACATATGAAAATAACTTTTTAAAAAATATTTTCCGTTTATTCCCGTCAAAATACTTCCACGTGCTGAGTTTATTTTTCCAACTTCCCTTCGTTAGTCTATTACTTTTTACATAAGTTAAAATTCATTTTCCAAGACTTTTACTTATTTCGAGTCCGGATTTTTTCATTAAGAGAAAAATTGAATATCTACCGTCAAAATTGTTTGTTGACTTTGACTTACTTGCTTGATGTTGGAACTAGAAAATGTTTATTTTATGCATATTTTAATTATGCATTCATTCACTTTTTCGCTTTCAGGTTCTTCCACCCAAATAAGACATCTAGCGTTAAGGTCTCTCCTTCCTAACACAGACCAGTACATGACGTACGAAGGATCGACTACGTTTCCCGGTTGTTGGGAAAGCACCGTGTGGATCATTCTGAATAAACCAATTTACATAACAAAACAAGAGGTAATGCATACTTTGATTCATGAACAAGCAAATATTTTTCAGGCTGCACATTTATGAATATTATTTTTTGTGTTAATTTGGTTTATGTGTTCTGTTTATTCTCGTCTTAATTTGCAGTTGTATGCTTTAAGAAGACTAATGCAGGGATCCGAACAAACACCTAAAGCGCCGTTGGGTAATAATGCCAGGCCTTTACAGCAATTACATCATAGGACTATAAGAACAAATATAGATTTCAATAAGGTGAATTCTAGAATGACTAAACGTTAACAAATATTAGTGAATGCTTAATTTCATTCATATAATTTAGCAGAATCAACAGAATCAACAACAGAATTGTCCATCGATGTATAGAGAAATGTACTACAAGGCCAATAAATGGACACCAGAGCTGCTCACAGTAGGACGAAATCGTGATTTTGATTCAGTATTCAATTCTTACAAGACTCAAAACTAGCCGAAAAATTCGTCGAAAACGTTTCCCATCAATTTCATTAGAGGAAGCGAACATTTAATACTATCGTAACCGTCTCTGATTTGTTAAGCCTTCACAGCCATCCGGAACGTTATTCTGTAAGTTATAACAAAAACAAAACATATGAAAATAAACGTTGAATGTGACATCTTTAAAACAAACAATAAATTGTAAAATAATGTGAAAATATCTTAACATCATTCTGAAATCGATTCAAATTATTGACAGAAATCTTTAAGAGAAAATTTTTCTTCATAGAAAAATTATTGCATTGTTACTTTGGCACGTCTTAAGTTCCTAATTTCAATAAAACTTCCGTATCTGATCAAAGCTATAACTTTGGAAATGGAGAAGCATTGATGTAGCAAAAGGAAGTTGAAATGTGTATTTTTTTTTGTATATCTAAATAGCTACAAAATTTCATGCAAATTCCAGAAGAATATTTAATTCTCTTAATTTTTACTTATTTCAAAATTCATAACTGCAGTTGTATTAAAAATCAGGGAAATAGAGTTGCGAATATTGAAACATTTTAGTTGTAAGTTTTTGATTGCCATCTTTAATAGATGACAATTTAACAGTTTTTCACTTAAACAGTATTATCTAACTCCATTGTTATTTAATCATATCTAGATACATAGTAAAATATATCTAATTAATTAAATATTTACTGATAAAAGAATTTTATTTTATGTTTTATGGTAAGAAACATTCACACTAAAAGTGTGATTGCGAAACATCAAGTGTCCACTCTTGTAAAGTCTCATTCCATTATATGTATAGTACTGATGTGGAAGCAATATTCAAAGCCAGTCGACTTATATATAAATATATAAATAGTTATATATAAATGAATATAATTAAATTAAATTTTCAACTATTAGTATTACTCAACATCAATTAAGATGACAAAGACCTGAAAAGTTCTTACGATAATATAAAAACCATATGATTAAATTTATCACAACTTTATCATCAAATTGAAGTTAATGCAAAAAGTAATTTAATTTTACCTTTAATAAGTCTAACTTGATGTTTTAGCTGAAAAATAAATGAAGTTAATTGCCTTATATAATCAAAACTATAGCTTCGACATTGTACTATAAAATTTCGTCTTCTAAAAGCTAATCAAACCATATGCACCAACATATTTTTGACAACTGGTGTCTTGAAAGTCTTGAATATTAAATAGAAGGCAATTATTGGATTTGTTCAAAATTCTATATCACTAAAAATTATTTAAAATATTTTGATGACATAAATTGAATCTTATGTAAACGAATTGTAGACAAAATAAAAATGTTAGTTTTAAATGTTTTTAAGAATAAAAAGAAATAAGTTAGAAAAATATTCTCTTAACTATTTAGGTATTTTTTGATAATTTTCTATCTACATACAAATAGCGAATCTTTAAGTGATTCATCTTGAGAATATTTATTTACCTATCTAAATATTTTATTAACTTACACGATGAAAGTGCCATAAGCCATTTGGTTTCTCATTTTACAAATTATATTAAAAAGTGAATCCTAACGTCAGCTTATTTCGATTCAATTTTAACTCTGTAAAAGATTCTATTGAACGTATGTCAGAAAGGATATTCAATATTTTCCAAATATGATTTCTGTGTCACATTTCCGAAAGAGCGTTGAATATTGAAAATCCTTTTCAACATTATAACATTTCCTTGTTAGCTTTACAAAAGTTCAATTCTTTCCCTCGTCAAATCTCTTATTAACTCGACTGTTTTTTTTAAATCTTGAATTTTATTAAAAAACGAGGAATTCTTTCACAATGATTGGATTGAATGTTTTAATAAATAGTCTCTGACTGTCTAAACGGTTATATTTCCAATTTATCACTTGATGGTATCTACATGAACTAAAATTGATAAAACATTCAACAGAAATTGTAATTTCATTTATCATTTCATTATATTGTCAAATTATTGAAAATTTCGAAAAGGATTCAAAATAGAAACACAACGAAATTTATTCCCATATTTGTACATATGTATAGAAAATGATATAAAACAAATAACTTTCGTCGGAGTTTAAAATAAATGGTAATTAAATTATCCACCTCGAAAGTGTTGACAAGTATATTCCACTGAAACCGTTAAACCAACACAATTGTTAAAAGAAACACCACATTTGGTAATAAATAAATCAATTACATAACCAAAGTGGAATTTAAAAGCCTCACAATGTATGTCGATACATCTTCTCCAATTAAACATAAAATTAAAAATAGATTTGGAATCACGCAAACAGTTTTAAATTACTTTTTATTTTATTTTAAATCTAAATAAAATTTAGTATGTGAAATTAAATCTAATAACCAGCTTTGAAGATTGCACGAAACTGTTTTTCAAACTAAAGACCTTTGCCAATATGAAATCACAACATTAAAGCATTACAGATTAAAGTGTTTGTGATATCGTGCAGTTTGAGTTATCTCATAAAAAAATTCACGAGCCGGAAAGCATTTGACTTTACTAATGACCTTCTAGTGAAAAATATAAAACAGAATTTCTTCTTCTTCTACGCTGATAAGAAAAAGAAAAAGAAAATAAAGGAAGGAAGGAGGTGCTTATTTCAACCAAGATAAACTCAAGCTAAAAATTTCTCTTCTCTGGAAAGCGAGAACTTCCAGTGGTTTGAAATGGTCTAAGAGAGTGAAATATTGTTTGAAATGTGTGGAAAACGTCGAGAAGTCAATTTTAATTCGTTGCAATTTCGGAGATAAAACTTTTAGATATAATAATCAGCCTTGCATCCGTTCTCTTTTCTAAAAAAATATAACAAAAAAATCACTTCAGAACTTCTTGGGGATTTAAAATAAAGAGTTTGAAAATGTCTCCAAAATAAGTATTGAGGCAGCATGAATTTTAATGTTCTGATAATGAGTTAATTGTGTATGTCCAAATAGTCATCTATTTCCACTTCTTTTTCAATCTACTTTTAACAGCACTTTTAAAAGTTATTTTTCATCACCATTACAAAATGTAAATTCTCTGACAAACATTTATCATAGCAGGTCATAGTTAAAAAAAACTCGAAAAGGTTGGAATAAAAAAAGAAGAAGATTTATGATCCTGAACAATATTCAAAAGTGGCACCGGAAATTGCGTGCTAACGAAGTGAATCCTTTTGCAACCACTTAGCCACTTGTTTATGTTTTCATTTTCTTCTCATATTCTTTCACAGACTGTTGTTTGTATAGCTTTATATTTTGGTGTGCTATGATCACAACAAGTCATTATGAGAGTTCACAGTTTTGCTTCACATTTCAGTAATAAATATTGACGCATCATAAAATCTCTTCATCAACAAATTTTATTTTGCTTTTTGCTGTAGTTTTGAGGGCAATATTTCAACAGATATTTTCTTTTTTAATAAATGACTTAATGGATATAACAGAAGTTTCTTTCTTTGAAACTAAAGATTATCATCGGAGTTTATGTTTAAGAAAAGAATCATTCAGTCTTGTGTAGCTCGTGAAGCTGTTTGCTGACGATTTTAAGAAAAAAGTTTTTAAGATTTTCATTTAATTCATTAAATCTTTTTTTCTCATAAAACGATAACACGTAACAAGAGAGGAAAGAAATAAGCCTTTCTTAAAGAACTCAAATATCAAGACGACATGTCTGAAAGTTAAATGATGGAATTATACGGAAAACGCAGTGACTTGAATTTTAATTTCGTTGAAACTTTCAATGTGAAGAAAAATTGTGGGAATGATGAAAAATGTGTAATTATCTTCAGTGAAAACTTTGACACAGGCAGTGAATTAGACACGATGTCGCATAAGCAAAGGAATCAAGCGAATGCTCGCGAACGTTACCGAACTCACAGGTATTGATTTTTATCCTTAGTGAAAATATTTTCCAGTGAATCAATCACGCTGAGATAGGAAGGAATAAAGTTATCTAATTTGTCAAAGTTCTCTGTTTAGCGTTAACTCAGCGTTCAACACTTTAAGACTTTTGATACCTACTGAACCGAAAAATAGGAAATTATCCAAAATTGAGACACTTCGTCTAGCAAAATCTTACATTTCTCATCTAAGTGCTACATTGATGATTGGTAAGATTTCTTTATTTTCTTTTTTCTTTATAAAACTCTGTTAGTGAAGCTACAAGAAGAAGCAGAAAAACGAATAAAAATGATTTATCGTCTAAATGTTTTTTTTCTTACTTCTCCTCTAAAGGAAGTTCCTCTTGTCGACAACCATGCTTAGAGGCATCAAATAAAAATGTAAGCACAGAAAACACTCTCGTTGACTACCGCTCGAACATCTGCACTTTTTGTGTTTATTCAGTCATTCATCAAAGGAGGATTAATTAGAATTAAATGATTTTGATTGAAGTGATTACAATTCTTAAATTAATTTTTTTTCTCTCGTACTAAGCGTTGCCATAAAAAAATCGTTTAGCTGAAATGTTTTCGATGTAAAGAAAGAAAGTAAAGCCAAAAGATTTGTTGATGTAAATAAAAAGTGAATTACAAAAAATGAACCAAAAAGATGCGAAAAGCTGTAGAATGAGAAAAACCTTTCAACTGATACTTTAGAAAAGTGTCAGAGGATAATTTGATGTTCATTTGAATCGAGGATTTTATCATTCAAAACAAAGCAGTGTAAAGCTAAGCTCTGCTAACTGCCATTTGATACCTAATAAAATTCTACTTTCTTTTATTATTCATTTCAAAATCAAATCTTTCAGAAGCTTCTGTAAATTTCATTCGAATTGAGGGTGGCATTTATAATAAGTACAAAGAGATCCCAAATAAGAGAAATCATAATCATCAAAACATAAACATCTGAATCTAAAAAACTATTTATTTGAGAAAAAAAACAAACAATAGTGATGAAAATTCATGAATATTTGAGCGCGCACTACTGCCTATAACTTTTTTTGTTTTCATGAATGGGAGGAATGAACGAAAACCTTCGATTATTTATTCGGTGTTTATAGCTTTGTTGGTGACGGTTTGTGAGCTTTTTTGACGAACTCCATATCGTTGATTACCAATATCGAGTTTGAAATAAGTTAACGATGTTTGAGCAGAAGTTGTCTTCTTTCTTTTGAGATTTGTCTGAAAGGAAAAGATTTGTTGAAAATGTTAAATGTTGTGATGGTGCAAGACAACATTTTCTTGAATAAATGCTTTACCAAGTCAATCGCCTTTCTACGTAAATCCCATAAATTCCAAATGTTCCTTTGGTCTTTGTCATATGAAATCGGATGAAGTTCAGTTTGAATTTCTCGTTCGACTTTCGCTTCCCCCACATTGCGAACTTCATTTTCCATGTAAGCGTCAACGTCAATCTGACAAGCTTTCGCCAATTTTATGACGTTATAAATGTCGAAGAATAATATCAAGTGAACGTTATTCAACATCAGATCTTGAATTTTGTTGGTGAAACTTCATCAGGTGGAGAAAGGAAGCAAAAGAATGCAAAAGAAAGAAGGAAAATATTTTATGAAGGAAACAAATCGTAAAAGATAATTAAATGTTCAGATTAAGTGCGGTTGTGGAGGAAATGCTGAAACATGCAACGTTAGTCAACGATTCAACAAGAAGAATATTTAAGGTAAGTTCTTGATTCAATGTGAGACGTAAGTGTATTTAAACTTACCGTTCAGGTTTCCCAATGAAATGGTCGGCAGCTTCAATGCTGTAAAAACCATAAGTCTTCTGATTCCACAAAATAGTTCCCATTTCTGGAACACTGGGCAATAATATTCTGCCCTCCGCTAATACAAAGGTGCAAAAGCCAAGATATCCAATCTGCAAGTGAATTGAGTTGTTGATTGATTTAAAGCAGAAAAGTGAGTCGTAAAAGCAAGTGAATTCGTGTTTTATGGCATTCACTTCTTTTTCTCCTTTTTTCTTTCTTCTTTTAACGATTTACCTCGGAATTACTTTCCGGTGGTTGAACAATTGAAATGTTGGAAGTCGCGTAACTTGTTGATTCAAACTTTAAGTGCTGACGTTTCCGAAGTCGAGTGAGATCAGTTTCCACTTGATTCTCTCCAAGAAGCTTATGAACAACATCATCGAACTGCTGCTGACGACACAACTCTGACAAATGTTGCAAATAATTATTAATTTGACTCTGTTGCGACAAAGTGTAAGATAAATCGTGAAGTATCATCCATTCTCCTGTAAGTTCCTTGAATTTGGGAAAGATTTGAACACTTGGAACAGCTGATCGATATTGGACGATGTCATGAAGTTTCATCAATTTCTCTCCATAGCTATGAACATGACTCTCGATACGCGACTTTATGCTCTTCATATTACTCAACAGCTTTCGGACGTAAATCTCGTGTTGTCGATTAAGAATCAATAAATCCTTCATGACATCAATCTCGTTTTGCTCAACACATGATTGAAAATTTAAATTTAATTTATTTGATTTTGTTATTTCAATTGCACCATCAAATGCTGTGGTTAACTGTCAGAAAATAGAGAAAAGAACAATTCATTGACACAAATGGAAATTGACATTGAGTAAGTTAGCAAGGGAGCTGAGTAGTTATCACAAGTTCTGGAGAAGTTGGAAATGAAACTCTTCGTTCTTACAATATTGACTCGATCCATTATGTCGCAGAGTGTAAATTGCAGCAGCGATTCAATCGACTCATAAGACTTCAATAAACTTTTTGTCACTGAAAAATTATTTATTAAAAGGAAAAGTGTCAAAGAAAGAAGTTATTCGTTCATACAATCTGGAATGTCCATTGTGCTTCCTTGTCCAGTGTCCTTGTTAAATAACACGATGCCACACACGATCAATCGAATTTCTTTCAAAGATTCCATTCGATTCTGACTCTCAAGAGCGCCAAAATTCTCAAAGTCAGTTTCAGTCATGATGGAACTCAAAGCATTTGAAATTTCCGTCATCACCTTGAATGAGATTTTAAATGAGTGCGTGATGAATTTTAAATATTTTTATATTTTTAACTATAAACTAACTTCTTGGTTTGAGGGACTTCCGAGTGCAGTTTGTAAAACTATGTCGACAATAATCTTTTTTTCATGAGAAGCAGCTCATCTTTGTCTTTTGCGGGACTCTCAATAATTTCTTTCACCAACATGTTCGTCTTTTTGCTGAGATTCTCGTGATACTCGTTTATGGTTTCTTCGTACGACTTGGAATTTTCAATGAAGAAAACTTGCATCTTTAGAGTTATGTTCATTGGCGTCTCGTTTAAATCTGTTTATTTAAGAAAAAGAGACAAAGACAAAGAAGAACTTTTATCGCAACGGATCGTCCTCATAACGTGACAATGAAAAGTTTATGAGACGCTTAAATTAATCTCACCAATGATGTGATTTAAACAAATGCTGATGAGTTCTTCTATGGACTTGCGATCAAGTTTTTCGTTGCAGTCGAATTCGTCTTTGAATTGCAATGCTATTAAATGAACCAAAAATACAACAAATTTCTTTTCACACACGAAATTTCGTTTGTCACATTCACGAATGATTTCATAAACGATGTTCTTAATAATCGTTGTCTGAGGTGTTAACAGAAATTTATTTTTTACTTCAGAACACCACATTTTATAAGCAAGTTAATAATTTTAGAAACAGAAATTCACGGATTTCTAAAATCACAAAATATTATTTAGTTTCCAAGGTGAACTCTCTACTTTAATTTCTTTTACTTCTATACTTGAAATGAAGGCAGCTGAAAACTATTTTTCGATTTCTCTCCTATCGATTTTCAACGAACAATTCTGTTGATATTCTGAATTTTGCCAAAAAAATTCAGACGCCTCAAGACATTCGAAAAACGAAAGAAAAATGTTGAACTATGCTGTTGATGTCATCATAAAAGGTTTAAGTTTTTGAATTCCTGAAATTTTGCCAGCAAATAAATCAATTTCTTATGTCGCACAATTTTCCTTGTCTCTCTCTTTTGTCCTTGTTCTTATCTACGCAGCATAATTTATGATCTCGTGTCTTTTGTTGTTCGATTCAAGATTTAACGCAAGAAGAATAAGTTTTCCCATCTTCCGTCTATCGAGCAATTTAGGCACATTTTCAACCCAAATTTCCCTAAGCGAATAACATTCAGTAGAAGTGTAAGAAGAAAAACAACAGAAATTGTGGAAAACTCGACTTCATCCAACATTTTATTTTTTCACGTAACAAAGAAAAAAAGAAGCAAAGCTAGGAAAGTGTTTTCTTGTTTAAGCATAAATTTATCATATTTACTTTAATAAGGTAAAAAGAAAACAAAATTCAATTTCATATTCAGGGACTTCTGTTTTTCTTTCACTTTTCCTTTCTCTACGATTTCATGTTATTTTTTATTTTTTCTTGACAACAAAAATATTTGTTACAATATTTTATTTAAATTGTTTAACATTCTTTAGGGTCTTCAATGAAGTTAGGAATCTCAAGAAATCTCAAGACAATAAAAGAAAATATCAAATTATGTCAGAGTCGACTTAAAGCAATTGAATCTCTGATGTTTGTGTGTTTAAAATGATTGCGCTGCTCTCTTGAATGCTCTTTTTGAACAGGTGTCAACGTTGTCATGACAATTCACACCATAACAAAAGTGAAGAATTTCTAAAGTCAAATTTTGATAATTGACAATGGAATTAGAATTAACTAGAGTTGATTATAATCTAGTTGGAATAACTCTTCAAAATTCTCTTAAATTGTTACCGGCAAAGAAAGCAAAAGAACAACAGAGATTCGTAATTGGAGATCAAGATGGAGTGGTGCAGTTACTTTCTGTAAAGAAAGATGAAGTCATTGTTCACTTCAAGACTGTTCCGGGCAATATTATTACTTCAGTTCAATTAGGAGGATCAACTGGAACCATTCATGATAAAATTTTTGTTGCTTATGATAATCAAATTGTCGGATATAATAAGAAAGGAAAAGTTTTTCTCACATTTGATACAAACTTAACTGAACCTATTAAATCACTTTGTGTAACAGGAAATGACTTGATTGTTTGTGGCAATCATGTTTATACGCACTATAAAGATTGCAAAGAGTCGGGATCTTATCTTTGTGGTGACACTATTGTTGATTGCAACGTTTTATGTCCTCATAATGTTCGTGAATTTTATGTTTAAATGAATTCATTTAATTATTGCGAAACTTTCAGACATCACGAGTGATTACAATTCTTGCTTGTTCAGGACGAGTTTTACGATTATTAGAGCACTGTCGAGTGCGAAAACTAATTGAACTGGAAAGTATTCCTACAGTGCTTCATGTTCCGAAAAATGCAATTGGAAATAAAATTCTCGTGGGATTCTCTGATGGACGTGTGACATTATTTTGTGTTAATCCAATGCTTACCGAAGGTTTCTAGTACTTGAGAATTGTTTGAAATGCACTTCTTACTTACATCATCTACTTATATCTTAATCAATTATTTTTATTTGTAGTAAAGCAAGAAATATTAATCGCTTCAAAGGATAATTTATCGGCAGTGACATGTTTAGATACGTTCGATCTTTATGGCGATGGAAAAGAAGAACTTATCATTGGAAGACGAGATGGAACGATTCAAGTGTTCACAACAATGCTTGAAAATAATGAGTTTGAAATGGATTGTCAGCAATTATTGTATGAAGAGAATTTCAATGAGAGTATTTCATGTGTCTTTGGTGGATGCATTGGAGTTGCCGGTTATGCGGAACTCATCGCTTGCACTTATACAGGAAAAGTTTTTGGTTTGACAACTCGAACGATTGGTGACATACTAACGGATGCGAAAAGTAATAGCAATGTTGTAACGGATGCAAGTCAAAGGATTCAGAAATTGAAGTAATTTTATGCGATGATATCATCCTTTGCCACATGTTTTTACCGTCTCCATTTACATTCTTTGTTGTACAATTAACATAGAATCATTATAATTGTTCTTTCTTTTGTGTCATTCATACAGATCTGAAATAGAATATCTAGAACAAGCAGTAACAAGAGAAAGAGAAAAATATCAACTTTCAACTCAAGCAATGAGTTCGGGACTCTCTGCCATCTCAGCTATGGCTATTAATGACTCAGTAAAAGCAGCTATTTTGTGGAATTCTTCATTGTATCTGTGGTCATTTTTTCTTTTATCTTAGATCTCATTATCTGCTGACGACGCTACATACATTCTCTCGCTTGAGTTACCGAGTCCCATAGAAAATATTTTGGTTCAATCTGATGTAGTAGCATTGGAAATGCTGGATGTTGAAGGAAATAGCGCAGTTGTCAGCAAAAGTGAATGCGATAAGAATGATGGCAACATTTTACTATGCTGTTATCGATGTCAAGTCAACACAAATCGTTTGGATTTGAAGTTTCGAACTGTTGAGGGTCATCACGGTACATTGCGTGTGTACATCACACCAAATATTCAACCGAAGTGTTGTCAACTCAAAACTTATACAATTCACCCACTATCTTTACATATGGTCGTACATAATTACGACCAGACAAGGTTAATTAACAACATTATTCTTTTGATGCCTAAGATGTAAACTTAGCTTGTAAACTTTCTTTTCCAGACCAATGAATACATTAACATTAAAAGGAAACTTTAGTCAAGGAGAAATGCATAGCTGGATTAGTAACTGTCTGCCTGAAGTGCCAGAACGAATTGACTCGAATGACGAAAACGTGTTGATGTTTAAAAATGTTTTTCTCGGAACTTTTCTTATCTGTGTATATTCGAAAGGTGAAGCTGAATTTAGAAGTGACAACGTCACAACAATTTCTATCGTCAAAGATTTCATAGCCAAAAAAGCAACAACGAAACATATTAAGATTGAATTAACGATAAGTAATTTTTTTTTCTCACTAATGAATCATCTAAGAATACGGGTGTTGGAATGAATTGGAAATTTTTACTATTTCATATGATAAAAAGTTGATTAATACAAAAATTATCAACTAATTCCAACTCAATTCAGATGAGAATAAATAAAATTTTCTTTTTATTTTTTATTTTTACAGATGTGCATGATAATACAACTGAAGCGTTTGTCAAATTGATTGAACCAAAGTTTTTATTTTACAATAACCTGTTGAAAGACAACAAGACTCTTCAAGCTTTATTGGAGCTTAACGTTCAGAGTGACGATGAATATGAATTGCTCTCTGAGAGATACAAAATGTTATTACAAAACAAACGAGATATACAAGAGAAATTTAGAAAGGAATCGAATAATTTCGATCGCTTAATAAATTTGCTGACTTATTTTTATGTCCATAAGAATAAACTAAAGGGTATTGATGTTAAAAACCGTATAGAAACTATCAAATGTTCATTGAAAAATAGCAAAAGTAATTCGTTAGTTCAAGCATTTAGTGAAATTTGAAGGGTTCCTATATGAGCCTGTCCTTGATCTGATAATGATGAGAGTGAAATTCTTAATGAACAATAAAACTTGCGTTTCTTTTACTTCTCGAAACAAGTCTTATTTATTTATTTATTTGAAATTTAAAATAATCAAAACTGTTGCTGGTGAAAAATCATAAGATCCTCAAAAACATTTTCTTGAAAATATTGTATTGATTAAAATTTGCTAATTGCATGATACATTAGACATTCCAAATTACGCCTTCTTTAAAGAAATTTGAAAAAAGAAATTTAATGTCTTATTTAGGCAAGTAATCTACATATATTTATGTACTCCAGGTCAAAGCTTATCTAGTGACTTAAAAATTTCGACTTTTTGATAATACATAAACGACAGGGACAGGAAGTTTAGCGATTTAGCAGTAAAAGCTTCTGCTTCGGCTTCTCCAAGTTCATGTTTAAAACTTACGCTTCGGCTTCTCCTAATTGGTGCTAAGAGCTTCTGGTTCCGCTTTGGCTCTTCAAATTTCAAAGCTTTTTTGAGCTTCTACTTCCGACCCCTGATAAACACTCGATACGAAATATTTTGTTTTTAAAATAAGAAAACATGTCTCGATATAGTTTAAATTGGAAGTTTATCGTGTTACTTGCGGGATTAATTATAATATTGTGCTTCGTGTCGCAACATATTTTTTACACGTATACTTTAGATTCTTCAGTACTGAGGGCAAAAATATTAAATAAATACGTATATGATCAGGAACAGAATCACGTTAAATATATTTTATTTTGGACCTCTTTTTTTAAAATTAAAAATTGGGGAATGGAATCTGAAACCTACTATCAAGATTATCTGGAATCTATTAAGTGTCCGGTTACAAATTGTATCTTTACGAATAATAAAAGATTGTTAAATGCATCTCATAAATATGATACACTTATTTTTCATGGTGCTGAAGCATGGTTGTCTCTCAACTTACCAGCTACAAGAACTGCAAACCAAATTTATATTATGGCGACACAAGAGTGAGTAAAATTCACTTTCACTAAGTTCTCAAATATAATTTATTTGTAGATCTCCAGGAGAAATCAAACATTCTTTAAATAAAGATCACGACTTTTATAACCTTACGATGACATATCGCTTAGACTCTGATGTTGTTTTTGCTTATGGAAGTACAATAGATTTGTCAACAAATTCTAAAATTGCACCAGCTGAGCATGTAAATTGGAGGAAACCTAATGAAGATTTTTATGGTTATTAAATTGTATAGCTTTTGCATTATACAAAAGTTTATGACAAATATTTTTCTTGTGATTGCAGATGAAGAGGTGGAAAATATAACTCTAAAGAAAACAAAAACAGCTGCATGGTTTGTTTCTCACTGTGAAGTTTTTTCTCAACGAGAAAAATTGGTGAGCGAACTACAAAAGTTTATTGATGTTGATATTTATGGAGGCTGTGGAAACCTTACATGTCCCCAAAATTCAGATGCATGCATGAATATTCTGGAAGCCGACTATAAGTTTTACTTCTCTTTTGAGAACACATTGTGTGTCGACTATGTCACTGAGAAAGTATTTAAAGTTATGAATAGTTATATTATTCCAGTCGTATACTCAGGAGCTGAAATGACAAGATTTATTCCACCGCATTCGTTTGTTGATGCAAATGATTTTGAGACTCCGAAAGATTTAGCAGATTATCTTAAATATTTATCAGATAATCCAAAAGAGTACATAAAATATTTCTGGTGGAAAAAACATTACCGTGTTATCAATGAAGGGGCAGTTGATTTCTGCTCTCTTTGCAAGAAACTTCACGAGTTTGATTCTCTTTCAAAAAGGCAAACTTATGTTGACATTCTTCGATGGTACTTCAACGGGGCTTGTCATAAACCTAAAATTAAATTTGAATTAAATTTATAGAAAATGTTTAGCAGCTTCACAAAAACAGAAATTAATAAGATTAAAATAAAATTGACAAGAACAAAGAGAGAGAAGGAAAATTGTGCGACTTAAGAAATTGATTTATTTGCTGGTAGCATTTCAGGAATTCAAAAACTTAAACCTTTTATGATGACATCAACAGCATAGTTCAACATTTTTCTTTCGTTTTTCGAATGTCTTGAGGCGTCTGAATTCTTTTGGGAGAATTCAGAATATCAACAGAATCGTTTGTTGAAAATCGATAGGAGAGAAAGCGAAAAATAGTTTTCAGCTGCCTTCATTCCAAGTATAGAAGTAAAAGAAATTAAAGTAGAGAGTTCACCTTGGAAACTAAATAATATTTTGTGATTTTAGAAATCCGTGAATTTCTGTTTCTAAAATTATTAACTTGCTTATAAAATGTGGTGTTCTGAAGTAAAAAATAAATTTCTGTTAACACCTCAGACAACGATTATTAAGAACATCGTTTATGAAATCATTCGTGAATGTGACAAACGAAATTTCGTGTGTGAAAAGAAATTTGTTGTATTTTTGGTTCATTTAATAGCATTGCAATTCAAAGACGAATTCGACTGCAACGAAAAACTTGATCGCAAGTCCATAGAAGAACTCATCAGCATTTGTTTAAATCACATCATTGGTGAGATTAATTTAAGCGTCTCATAAACTTTTCATTGTCACGTTATGAGGACGATCCGTTGCGATAAAAGTTCTTCTTTGTCTTTGTCTCTTTTTCTTAAATAAACAGATTTAAACGAGACGCCAATGAACATAACTCTAAAGATGCAAGTTTTCTTCATTGAAAATTCCAAGTCGTACGAAGAAACCATAAACGAGTATCACGAGAATCTCAGCAAAAAGACGAACATGTTGGTGAAAGAAATTATTGAGAGTCCCGCAAAAGACAAAGATGAGCTGCTTCTCATGAAAAAAAAGATTATTGTCGACATAGTTTTACAAACTGCACTCGGAAGTCCCTCAAACCAAGAAGTTAGTTTATAGTTAAAAATATAAAAATATTTAAAATTCATCACGCACTCATTTAAAATCTCATTCAAGGTGATGATGGAAATTTCAAATGCTTTGAGTTCCATCATGACTGAAACTGACTTTGAGAATTTTGGCGCTCTTGAGAGTCAGAATCGAATGGAATCTTTGAAAGAAATTCGATTGATCGTGTGTGGCATCGTGTTATTTAACAAGGACACTGGACAAGGAAGCACAATGGACATTCCAGATTGTATGAACGAATAACTTCTTTCTTTGACACTTTTCCTTTTAATAAATAATTTTTCAGTGACAAAAAGTTTATTGAAGTCTTATGAGTCGATTGAATCGCTGCTGCAATTTACACTCTGCGACATAATGGATCGAGTCAATATTGTAAGAACGAAGAGTTTCATTTCCAACTTCTCCAGAACTTGTGATAACTACTCAGCTCCCTTGCTAACTTACTCAATGTCAATTTCCATTTGTGTCAATGAATTGTTCTTTTCTCTATTTTCTGACAGTTAACCACAGCATTTGATGGTGCAATTGAAATAACAAAATCAAATAAATTAAATTTAAATTTTCAATCATGTGTTGAGCAAAACGAGATTGATGTCATGAAGGATTTATTGATTCTTAATCGACAACACGAGATTTACGTCCGAAAGCTGTTGAGTAATATGAAGAGCATAAAGTCGCGTATCGAGAGTCATGTTCATAGCTATGGAGAGAAATTGATGAAACTTCATGACATCGTCCAATATCGATCAGCTGTTCCAAGTGTTCAAATCTTTCCCAAATTCAAGGAACTTACAGGAGAATGGATGATACTTCACGATTTATCTTACACTTTGTCGCAACAGAGTCAAATTAATAATTATTTGCAACATTTGTCAGAGTTGTGTCGTCAGCAGCAGTTCGATGATGTTGTTCATAAGCTTCTTGGAGAGAATCAAGTGGAAACTGATCTCACTCGACTTCGGAAACGTCAGCACTTAAAGTTTGAATCAACAAGTTACGCGACTTCCAACATTTCAATTGTTCAACCACCGGAAAGTAATTCCGAGGTAAATCGTTAAAAGAAGAAAGAAAAAAGAAAAAAGGAGAAAGAGAAGTGAATGCCATAAAACACGAATTCACTTGCATTTACGACTCACTTTTCTGCTTTAAAAAATCAATCAACAACTCAATTCACTTGCAGATTGGATATCTTGGCTTTTGCACCTTTGTATTAGCGGAGGGCAGAATATTATTGCCCAGTGTTCCAGAAATGGGAACTATTTTGTGGAATCAGAAGACTTATGGTTTTTACAGCATTGAAGCTGCCGACCATTTCATTGGGAAACCTGAACGGTAAGTTTAAATACACTTACGTCTCACATTGAATCAAGAACTTACCTTAAATATTCTTCTTGTTGAATCGTTGACTAACGTTGCATGTTTCAGCATTTCCTCCACAACCGCACTTAATCTGAACATTTAATTATCTTTTACGATTTGTTTCCTTCATAAAATATTTTCCTTCTTTCTTTTGCATTCTTTTGCTTCCTTTCTCCACCTGATGAAGTTTCACCAACAAAATTCAAGATCTGATGTTGAATAACGTTCACTTGATATTATTCTTCGACATTTATAACGTCATAAAATTGGCGAAAGCTTGTCAGATTGACGTTGACGCTTACATGGAAAATGAAGTTCGCAATGTGGGGGAAGCGAAAGTCGAACGAGAAATTCAAACTGAACTTCATCCGATTTCATATGACAAAGACCAAAGGAACATTTGGAATTTATGGGATTTACGTAGAAAGGCGATTGACTTGGTAAAGCATTTATTCAAGAAAATGTTGTCTTGCACCATCACAACATTTAACATTTTCAACAAATCTTTTCCTTTCAGACAAATCTCAAAAGAAAGAAGACAACTTCTGCTCAAACATCGTTAACTTATTTCAAACTCGATATTGGTAATCAACGATATGGAGTTCGTCAAAAAAGCTCGCAAACCGTCACCAACAAAGCGATGAACACAGAATAAATAACTTAGCGCTGCTCAAATTAAATAAAAGAATTCCATTTCACCTTTCCTGATATTTTCGCAAATTTATGATTAAAATTTAAAATGCAAATTTCGGAGATATAATAAATTTTAATTGAAGTATATTATTAATTACTTTAGATATGATGGTTTATGTTTATGTTTTCACATATGTGAAATAGATTAATAATTATTTTACTTATTTTTGAGCTTAGAATAGAACGTTTCTGAGAATTGTTTCTGTAAAAATTCTGACCAGATTTCTTCAATTGAAGATTAAGCACTCAATCAATTCCAGAAACTAATCATCAGTAGAAAATACAAGAAAAAATTCAGAAGAATTGCAGGAAAAAATGTCTTGATTACTTCAACTTGTATTTCAATTCATTAACTAACAGTATAATAAACCAGTGCATAATCCATTAAACTTAAATGGATTTGAAACATAATTAATTTTTCATTTTCATGTTCATGACGTCAAAACCAATTTGTAAAGGAAAATTGAACATCCACATGTTTTATTCGAAAAATCTTCAATCATTCTAAAGGAAATACTTTTCATCTTGTTGTTGCACTCAAATATTACATTATGCTGAAAAATCTCATAGAAACAAAATTGCTGATGATGTAATCATGCAAGATTATTTATTATAATGTTCTGCGCAATTTCTGAGATTCAATGTTGGCAAATGTTAAAGAATCTTAAATAAAAACATTATCCAAGATCGCATTAGGGATTAACGACTATAATGACTCGAAACTGTTTTCGTAAAACGCAATTTTCATAATTCATTTAAATACAACTCTGTTTGTTTGTGATATATTTTTTATCTTCCTCCATTTATTTCTAAAGATATACCAAAAAAAGGGAGATTGCTGTGAGATAAGAATTGAATATCAAAAACTTCAATGAAATATTTCTCTGTCACGAAAAACAAGCTAGTTGCTAAGATCCAAGCTTATTTATTTCTTATTTAAAATCTTCTTTTGTATCATCAATATGACATTGGACGACTTCTTTGGGTCATTGAAGCGTCTTAAACATAATAAGTATAAATATATGTAGTTTCCTAATATCAAGGGATTATGGTTCTCATGGCCTAAAAGGATCAATAAGATTTCCAAACAATCAATCAATCAATTTATTATCGACGTTACTTAACATTTTATCCTACTTATCCAGGTCAAGCAAAACTAAATTCACGAGAAAGTTCTTCGCCTCGTAAATCTTCTTAGTAGTTTTCTTACCTCATGACTTTCTCAAACGAGAAACACTTACACGAAGCCTGTCAGACGTGTCATCAATCAACATGTTGATGAGAGAGAAAAGTTGACAAATTAAGAGTCTTCTACCCCATCCATGTGCTTGCAAAAAATAAAGTCACGTTTTTTTCGAGTGAATGAACAGGAATGAACAGAGAAATGACTCAGTTCATTACACTTAATTGATGAATGTTTATCGTACTTGAATGCCTCATTCAACCAACTTTGACTCTTTAAACTGAGTGGAACAGGAAAATCATTTGAGAAATTCCAAAGTCTTTTCATTCCTGAATCCGAAGGTAAGGAAGATTTTTACATTGAACCTTTTCTACCCCAACATTAGCCTTAATCGAGACCGAAGGTGCTACTAATAGACGTCTTCATAATTCATCCTCATTGGGATCACAAGTTCATCTGACATCGAATGCTTTTACATCGATGAAAAACAAGGGACGAGAATATCTAGAAATGATGTTACAAACATTCATATTTATTATTTATTTAGGAGAGATTATTGTTCGCAATCATGAGTTCGGTTTTATTCACCATTTACATCAGATGCTTCTTATATGTTGAAGCCTTTTTAAACATGACTCTATTGCACACATATTTCTGGCTTTCTAGTTTGGTTTTCACCCAACCCAGAACCTTAACTACCATTCACGAAGCTTTAATTAAAAATTTAAACTACTTGCCATGTCATGAGTTGGCGAGAAGTGTCAAAACATTATGATTAATTTAAAATTTATTATCAAGCTTAGATGTTTTCTCTCATCTTACTCCTATTATTCAACAATCATTAGTACGTGAACATCACATGTTAGGAGCGAATTTGCAGGCAACATTTTTGGTTGGGGTAATGTTTGGAAGACTTTTTATATGTACATGAAATGCAGAAAAACAGAGCATTTACTTAATTGTTTGCGTAAGAATTCTTACTTGTTTCATTTGCCTGAATTGTCTTCAACTCAGTGCTTTTAATTAAAACAAGTGTGACTATGATTTTGATTTATTGCTTTCGGGAAATGTTTTTTTGACTGCTAATTAAATTATAATTTTAAAAAGGGCAACTTAAAGTCACAAAGCATAAAATTATTTTATAAGCTGTTGAGAGAAGATTTAAAAAGAACTAAACTTCCATCTTCATTATACGTATTAAAAATCTTGAATAAATATTTACTTTCTGAAGATTTATAGTTGTGGAAAATTCTCATAGATTTCAACACAATTTTGACTTCCAATGGCACAAGAAACTTTCTCTTGTTGCTCGCAACTATGAATGAATTTATATGAAAATCTTTTGAAGAAGGACGATTCACTCTTTTCTTCGAAAATTAATTAAAAGAAGTTTTCGTTTGAGGATTGAGTAGAGAAAGCGAAATAATTTTCTTTGCCACTGTGTGCCAAAGAAGAGGAATGAAATTATTTGGAAATTTTCCACACGTTCGGCAAACAGTAAAATTGGCGAGGAACAAATGAAAAAGTTTCAATTGTCTTTATTTTAAATTTTGGTTTATGGTTTCGAATCAAATTAAATTTTTCTTCCTCAAACTCTTTACGAAAAAAAAAGATGAAAAACTTTTATTCTATGAAAGCAAAAGCTCTCTAAAGTGTAATGAAATGAAATTAAAATTGTTTTTAATTCCTTTTCTTCTTGCTTTTCCCTCGCCACGATTTTAAAACCAGTGCAGCAGCTTGAAGTGGTTATTTTCAATTAAATAATTCTTTAAATGATTGGCCAACATGATGGAGAATGAAATTGTACGAAAAGAGATTTTCACAGCTGTAAACTTTAAAAAGTCAAAGGTTAAGAATGAATTAAGATTTTCCTACATTTATAGAAGCAGTGCATTTGCATGACTCGTTAGTTTTTAATGATCCGATGTGAAATTAGATTAGCAGACCTTAACACTAATGATGATTTCAATTATTGTTAAAAGTTTCACAAGGTGATCTTTACTTTGATTCTTGAACATTTTCATTATGACTTAAATTCTTTCAATCTTTTCATAACATTTTTTAAGATTATTCAACATTTTTATATTTTACTCATTCACCCTAAAAACTTTGAATTTTGAATTTAAAGATTAATCAAGGGCTCTCCTAATATCTTAGAGAAAGTACGGAAACGTGATATCAACTGTGCATAAACGAATACCATCATTACTCCATCTCATAGTATTTTCTTAATGTTCGCAGAATACTCTTTTATTATCATCTTTCTTTCATTTGTGAATACAATATCTAATTGCGCATAACATCATAATAAATAAATTTGCATTATTTGTATTGTTACTGCAAATTGTGTTGCTCTTTAGAATAACTGCAAATGACGTCGAAAAATATGTTAGCAATATTGACATAATTTACTAAAAATTGTTTAAATATTGTCATGAAAATTTATTTGCAGATAAATACAATAAATGGGTTTTCATTATCATCTTCTCATTTTATTTAGTTATTTTCTAGTTTTTTTATAATTTGAGATGATAGACCATGTAAAAAACTCTTAATGTTTTTAAGACTGGTGGACAATTATATTATTATCACGAAATCAAACAAGTAAAAACATTATGAAAACTTACTGAAATTCAATCCGTCAATCGTTTTGGAGTTTCAGAAAGATTCAAATTCAAAAAATTCTTGAACATATTCATATAATGAAGACCCCGAGCAGACCGAATTCAGTTTTTCAAACACGTTTATACGATTCCGAGTTTTTTTTGTCATTCCGAGATTTGAGCAACAACCTTTTAAAAAAAATACTCGGTAGTCCAATTTCCAATACATTGACACAACCTATCATTCGCAGAAGCTCGGTAAATTCAATGAAGAATCCTCGGTAAGTACCCGAGCTTCAAATTAAATTTAAGAAATTGTGTACTGGATATAAGTTTTAAAATAGTAGATATAGAAATTCAGTTCGTCAGTAATCTTTCTGTAGCTGTAATATGTTCATCGAATATGAATAGAAGTATGGAAGCGCATCATTTTCTTGCGAAAAAGAAATATAAAATTTGTATATTCTCTTCAACTTTCTTCTTTGGTTGTGTTGCTGAAACGATTTTTGATCATGGAACTTCCCAATTGATTGGGTTTTTTCTTTCCAACCATCTTTCTTTACTTAACTTTAAACAACAAAAGCACTTTTTAGTTTCAAGATCTTTTCCAACACATGTGTAGTGCCAGCACTACTTTAGCATACATTTTGTTACTACTTTTGCATACAAAAGTTACACATTTAATTAGATATACGAAGATTAATTTAAATTGCAGTTTTATAGAAAGAACTATCTGAAAGTTCAAAGCATTAAACATGGTTTATGTTCATGTTCTTACTAGCATAAATGTCAACATAAAATTTAATTACCTGAGTAATATTTTTTGCTTAAAACAAAAGATTTTCTTAAAATTTAATTTATTTTACTGATTCCTCTCATTCTCTTTTTCATGTGTTTACATTTAGAAAAAAACATGAATTTTAAATTTTTAAAAATATTGGAAACATCTTAAACTTTACGTATCGCTTTCATCTCCATCTCTTTTCATTTCAATTCACCAAAGAAAAAAAACATAAAAAGCTGAAACTTTGTGAGTTATTCAGTGCGTTCATGCAACTCAATTTTTTGAATGCCATAAGTACTTAAAAGAAATGCATTTGAAGAAGTAGGAAAATATTGATAAGAATTTTGTTATGTTGAATCAATATTATAAAAAAGAAATGTTTAAAATAAAATATCGTTATATTTATGATTGTGATTTTTCCGTGCGCTTCATTGAAGTATGACAAATTAAAATTAAATATTTAATTTGTGATAACTTGATATAAACAAATAATAATTTTAAATATAAACCGTCGACAGGGGTCGAGACGTTTTTATCCGATGTCATAAGACGAATATCTAATAACCGGGACTCTCACTCTTCCGGCTTCGAATCATCTTTCTTTCCATCACTTTCTGACTTTTCATGCTCAGTACCTGATTTATCAGATGAGCCTGTAGGCTCGTCATCTTCATCTGAGTAGTTTGTCGGCTGTTCGCCAGGCTGAAAAATTATTTTCATTTTAAACTCTGATAAATTTAAAAAATATAATTGCAAGTTATTACCTTCAACAAGCGTCCGACCAAGTCATATTTTTCTATAGCGGGTAAAAATAAAATTTCAAACTTGTGAAGATTTCTTTTATAAATTTTTCATTGTATTCACCTTTGAACTGCATTTCCCATTCACGAACTGAATCCATTTCTGGTGGTGTCAAATCGCTTAAATCATCATATTCAACTTCACTAGTAGTTACACTAAATGTAGCTAATCCTCTGCTTGCATCCCGTCCTCCAAAAGCAGCATATGGTCCGCCTTAATTAAAATTAAATCTATTGTTTAAATCTGGTTTAACTTTTTATCATAAAACAGACTTGTGTGAAACTTCGAGGTCGATAAGTTGACCTAAACTCACACATCCATAAAAGTGAGGTACTGTAATCACGAACACGCAACAAGCAATTTGTTAAATACATTCAAATGATGTCTTTATAAATCAGTGTAATAAAATTTTCTTCATTCGTGAATTCATTTTTATGCCTATTTATTTAAGATTTGATTTAACATGATGTCACGAGATTTAGTTGAGACTAGCTTAAAGTATTTCGTATTTGATTGCAGGTTCGGTTTACTCATTGACTAAATATCTTTATGTAAGAGCATTTGCACGATATTTATGGTGTTATTTATGAGTAGACACAATTTTCATCTTTATCTAATCGATAGATAGCATTTTTTGTAAGCTTTTTGTTATCAAAATTGTGTGGTAAGATTATAAGATCCAAAAATGGATTCTCTATAATTTCAATATTTTCACGAAAATTTCATTAATTTTTGTTCATAATAATGTCTCATCAGCTGGTTGATCTTTATCCCATATTCAAAGAGAAAAAAAATTTAGCTTGTTAGTGGAAAAAATAACGAACCGGCTTTATGTCAACAGAATTATTCACACATATCAGCAAGCAGAATGTAAAGAATCGTTTCGACATTGCACAATTGATATTCAGAAAAATCTTGAAAATATTTTTGGTAGTCTCAAGTCTGATTGATTGAATGAATAAGCGATGAGTATAAACAGTAAACTATGTACGAATATCAATGTGTGTAGGCTGCCACCCTAACTTAAACAATTGAAGTAAAGAAAGAGTCAGAGAAATATTCAATTAATGCAGCGGATATTGAAGGAAAAGAAAAATTTGCTGTTCATAGCAAAAATATCGAGTAATGCTTGTAAGAAATATCGAAAATGTAATGAAACGTCGAGTAAGGTAAAAAAACACCAACCTAAGGAATCACAAACACATTGAAAAAAGCCGCTAATTGCATTCGCATTTCATCTACATCTGGAAAACTTGTAAAATCAACTGACGAAAAAGTAAAATTGTGATTAAAACGAAGAATTCCTCAACTTCACAATTGGGCGAGAAAATTTTTTATCAAAAACAAAGAATAGAATATCTAAAATGATAAAAAAGGCGATCACCTAACTTGGGAGTGTATGCAGTTGCTCTACAATTTTTTTTATAAAATCGTTTCGAAAGTCATTTGAAGAGAAATTTTCGAGTAAAAAGAAAAAGGTGCAGTTAAATAGAACCCAACCCACTTACCTGGTCCGTAAAATCTTTTTCCTCGGGTTACATCATAAACATATCCATTGACAGCGACCAGAATTCTTCCATCTGGCTGTTTTCCATCATATGCTTTTAACTCAGACGCAGTGAAATCTCTTCTTAGTTTTGGCAATTCTGGCTCTCTAGGAGGCGATGGTTTTGGTTCTTGTCGGCTTATGAAGATTTTATAAACGAGAAATGTTATGATTGCAACAAGGGCAATGTTCAGTGGGCTACTGACAATTTCTTGCACAATGCCACCAATGAAGCTAACTTCCTCAACTGTTTCTGCGTTAATTTCATCTGCCATAATTTCACTTTCTTACTGGAATTTTATTACACACAAACACACACAGCTTCTAATCGCCACGACAAAAAAAATTTATAAATTGAATCTTGTACTTTGAATTTTTTTTCAAAATAAAAATAAATCTTGAACTTCTTTTCAGAATGAAATAAAAAGAAAAACAAAACTGCTTGAACTTTACTCTCTGTTGTTAAACTTGATTTACTTCATTGGAAACAGCTCATGCCTAAAGTCTTTGACGAATGAAGTAAAAATTGCTTTTGTTGTCTTTTTTGTTTTAAAACGTAGTTTCAGTCACTCGATCTGAAAACTTGATATAAAAAAAGTGAAGTTGGCAACACTTACTACTACTTATGTTTGGAGAAATACCTAATTCATTGAAATTTTTTTTCGAAACAACAGTTTAATCATTTGTGATTAATTATAAATTAAAAAATATAAGTAGAAATTGTTCGTTTTGAAGAAATTAAAAAAATATTTTCGATTATCTACATTCAAAATGAATAATTCAACTATTATGGATAGCTCACAACGGATTTTAGAAAGGGGTCTGAAACTATAGAAAAATTAAAACTTTGCTTGGGTTATTATTGTCAATCGAAACAAAATTAAAAATCTATATTTATTTACAATCAATTCAGTTAAAATAGCAGAGAAAACTTAAAAAAGTCATAATGAGCTCAGTAAGTATAAAATACGATAAAATTTGGTTCATAATATTGCAGAAAATGATTGAAATCAGGAAAATTCTAGAAAAAAAAGTTTGTTGATGGAAATTATCCTCCATAGTTTTCCTGCTCATTCTCTTCACATCTCTTCTCTTTATTCTCAAATATTTATTATTATTTCTTCAATTACTTTCAGATGTCAAATTTAGAAAACCACAATCCACAAGTCATAAGACAAGTATCTAAGGAAGTGAAAACTCTTACAACAGAGCAGCTTGAAGGAATCCAAATTATGGTAAATGAATCAAATCTTACAGATATTCAAGCAGTTATTGAAGGTCCAGGTGAGTGGAATTATGTATTAGTAGTATATAAAATTATTTTTTAATGCTTAGTGTGAATCCTTGTGCTCATTTATTATGACAATGGCCCAGTTGTCTAATCATTTATTTATTCTTTTCTCATTGAAACTAAGCTGGGACACCTTACGCTGGAGGTCAATTTCGTGTTCAACTTACGTTACCTAAAGATTTCCCAGCCAATCCTCCCAAAGCATATTTCCTTACAAAAATTTTTCACCCAAATGTTGCTGCAAGTGGCGAAATTTGTGTCAATACATTGAAAAAAGACTGGAAAAGTGACTTGGGAATTAAACATATTCTTCTGGTAAGAAAATCGATTTATTATGAAATTTGAATAAAAAGATAAATGGATTAATTAGGTATCTATTTATGCATATTCGTTATAGACAATAAAATGCCTCTTGATCGTTCCCAATGCTGAGTCTGCACTTAATGAAGAAGCAGGAAAATTACTTTTAGAGCATTATGATGACTATTCACAACGTGCAAAACTTATGACAGATATTCACGCCAGACCTAGCTGCAGTAAAGCTGATTCTGATGATGAAGGCTGCAGTTCAAGTAAAAAGATCGCATCCGATAATAAAATTCAGGATAAAAAGAAGGAAAAACTTATGAAAGAAAAAAGAAAAATTCTTAGACGTCTTTGAGGGAAAATCAACTTATAATTGGTACAAAAATCACACGATCTTAAGATCTCCATAATATGAAAGTAAACTCTCTTTTTTTTCAAAACATTTTTTATTCTTTAAGTGAAACGCAGCTTTGAGGATTTTGAAAAAAAATGTTGTCCCCTAAAAATTCAAGAGCTTAAAGCTGACGAAAAGCATGCAAATATTTGGTTAATAATTCTCATACTTAATTTTTATAAACCGTATGCTATAAAAGAACGTCTTGGAAAATTAAATTAATCTTATCTCTCAATTTATCTAAGTTTTTAAACATCCATCAAAGGTATTACTTTGTTTTTCAATTTTCGATGGTTTCAAAATAATTTTTTTAATTAGAATAATTGTAAAGCTCTTTTCTCACCCGCATACAAAAAAACTTTGAAAATTTTCGATATCTTGATTGCCCATCAAACAAATCCCACCCACATAAAAATGTTCGAGTCTTTTCAAAACAATTCAAGAAAAATTATACTAAATTATTGACATTTAAATTTGAACTTTCAATGATTTGTGGAAAATAGAATTTCGATTTTAAGATGATTATAATTAAACATATAAATTAATAAAAAAATTTGTGAATCGTGAGTTGAAATTGAAAGTTTTATTCTTAATAGCATTTAGGTAGTTGGAATTTCAGATCAACATAAGATTTTCATGTCATGTTAATATCAAAAGATGAAAATATTCTCGTATTACATGTCATGTCTAATTTACTAATCTGGATGGTAGGGTGAGTAACAAGTGTTCATCACGTAAATATGTTCATGAGAAATAAAACCATTTATCTCACAATAACATAATAATAATAATAATATTACAAAATGTCATTGTCAATATAATAAATGTCAAAAAACCTTTTTTTTGTATTAATAATTTATATCAGATTTATTCACTTAGTCAATTAGTTTAATTAGTTAATAAATATTACATTTTTATAATTGTTATGTACTAAGTGGAAACTAATTGCTGATAGATTGAGTTAATCTCCTTTGAATCTCGTACAAGCTTTATTTTCTTCCTAAGATAATCGCAAGTTTGTCTATTCTTTTGACTTCTTATTTTTGTCACTTAATTTTTGAATAAAGAGAATTCTATGAAATTATGTGGAAGAAATCAGATCTTAATTAACAGTTAATAAGTAACTTCTGTATCTTGGTTTTTCTTTTAATAACTAACAGTTAAAACCTCACTGAATTTTTTGGCAACTTTGTTTTGTAATTGTTAATGAATGTCCAGCTGTTGAAAACTAATTTGAACTTCCAATATCTTCAGCAAATAACTTTATTTCATCAGTTTTCCATCTAATGTACTAAAGGGAATAAAAATTGCTGTCTTTTAGCAATATATTTGTTAATTAGATAATTTATTTTTTCATTACAGATTAAAACAAAAAAAATAAAATAAAATAAAAGTAATTTTTAGTAACAAAAATATCAAAAATTTGATCTTCATATTTTAACGATTTTATATGAGAAAGAAAAGCATTTACGGATGCTTTGAGTTATGTAAATGTTGCCAGTGTTTATGTTAAGTAAATATGTGAATTTAGTTTAAAGTAATATGTTACATATATTTAACAATACAACATACATTGGTGGGTGGGGATTGCAAAGAAAACGTTGTGTCATTTTTTAAAATTAAATTAGATCATTTAATGTCAGAAGAATAATTTTCATTATAAAATGTTAAATCTTATTTTCAATTAATTGAATTTTAGTCTCATTTCAGCGTATTAAGTGGATTCAATTTTTGCATTTCCGTGAGGACTAAACCAAAAGGATGTTGAATCATTATTTACAGGAAATTTTCTTGTTTTTTTAAAAAGAAAAACAAATACTTATTTGATGGGAATACTTAAGTACATATTCATATTTTGATTCTATTAATACTTAGATAATTTTAGTAATTTTAAAAGAAAAGATCTTTTCAAGCGCTTTAAAGTTTTTTTTATCAAAAAAAGATGATGGTATGCGGATAGTTTGTTTTAGCATTTTACAAGAATACTAGGAATGTAAGTAGAAATCTATAGTTTAATGTTTTTATATTTATCATTTTCGTTTCGTATTTAATCTTTCTTTCCATATATTTAAATGTGCGTAGATGAGAGAGCGAGAAGGATAGAGCAAAAGATGTTGTTAGGGGTCAAAATGTGGAGCATCAACGATATTCCAATTAACAGCAATTTTTTTCTTCTTCATTTGCATTCTACAATCGCTCTTCATAACGAAGGCCGTGAGAAACATCAAAATACATGAGAATATATGAAAGTGTAACATCCTTTCCTTTTTAAATTGAGAAAAGGAAAAGAATTATTTCCCTTAATTTATGACTACAAATCTATGTCTCGATATCTCGAATTACCAAAAATAAAAATTGCGTCGAATAAAATAAAAATTTATGACAAATTTAATTTTACAAACTTACACAGTTGTCAATTACTTTTCCTTATAAAAGTTCTTCAATTAAACCATCAATTAATATCGAAATTCGAATATCATCAAAGTCACTTGTCTGTATTTATCCCATTTAGATAAGAAACTTTACTGCTCCAATCGCTCAATTTCTTTTATAAAAGTTTTTATGATCTACAAGTAAACGTTTTGAAAATGCCATCACCGGAATGGGTCGTTTCTTCTTGTTTTAAGTAATTAATTACAAATGCTTCTAACAAATTGATATTTGTTTTCAATTAAGTTATAAATATTATAATTATAATCATTATCATTATTATTATAATTATGGCAATCGTCAGTTAAAGTTGCACAATTTGGAACTAAATTTGTTGAGATTCCTTTTCGTTTCTCTTAAAATATCTTTCGGTTTTAGACATCCCCTGGGGTTGTTCAATTAATTAACTCACTCTATGAAGATAATTTTTCTTTTCTTTTTTCATGTTTAATTATTTCTTTAATAACATCGGAAGTCCGGTCTTAGTTTTAGTTTTCGAGACAAGAATGGTTGCAGTCGTTTGGCTTTGCTTTCGGCTTGATGCATCTGACGTTGGAGATTCAATTGTCACCTTTGCTGTCGGTGACTTTGAATCTCGTTTTCTTTTTAGCGTTTGTACTCCTGATGACATTTCACTTTTGGCTTCATTGATTTTAACATTTTTTTTATCTTTCATAAAGTCGTGTTCGATACGTTGTTGAGTGGATTCGTTGATGCTTTTTGGTTTTGCTTTAATGTTAGTGGAAATGGTTGAGTTATTATTCTTGTCCTTATCAATAACATTTGAATCCCTTCGTGGGTGCAACGAGTTATAAATTTCCTCGGAAAATAAATTTTGATGATTCTCGATGAGATTGAGCTTGGTTTGTAAATTTTGCAGGTCTCATGTCGATTTGTGTAGTTGTAAAATTTTATCCATCTCTTTCTGTACGTCATGCAGATCTGTTAAATGAAGTGAAAAGCGTTGGAAAAGTACCGAGAGATTCTTGATCATTGGATCATAGTTTTTATCTTTCAAGCTCACTTTCGCTGCTTTTAATTCAACTTCTTGACTCATTAAATCTTTCTCGAGACTTTCAATTCGACTTTTGAGCAGCGTTATTTCCTTCCTTAAATCATCAGTTAATGTTTCGCTTCCTGAATGATTTCCACCTTTTAAATTCTCCAAATCTTGTAATCTGATTTTTAGCCTCTGATTCTCCTCTTTATACGAATGAAGTTGTCTCTTCCATTCATCAACATTTGCAGTAGATTCCTGAAAATTAAATTCACATTAATTAAAAAATTACTTTATCACTTCAATTCATCATAAACGCACTTGTAAAGCACTAGTTAGTCTCAAATTGTTGCTTTTGAGTGTTGAAAGTTCAATTTCCCATTTCTTAGCGTTTGCAGAACTGAAATTTAATAAATTATTAATTAAATTAAGGAAATATTTTCTTCCTATCAATTCACCTTTGAGCCAATGCAAGTTTCAGTCGCTCATTTTCATATTTCAACTGTTGTTCTGAACCAGTCATACCTTCTGTTGATGAATTGCTTGACACTGTTTTATGATCATTGACTATTGTATTATTATTATTTGTAACTGATGAATGTTGGGGACTTTCGGATTTCTAGAAACATCAAAAGAACGTGAGAAGCGTGTTGATTAGCTTAGTTTCTTAGATTACTTACAATGGAACCAGTTGCTGATAATGGTGGTTCAGCAATATCGGACACAAAACTATCGTTTTGCGTGATAGATGAACGTGAAGTAACGGGAGAAGCATTTGCAGACGTCACAGGTGTCACTGCTGAACTCCCATTAGTGCTTGCTTTAGTCATAGCATTTTTAGTTGCTTCTTTCACTTCGTGAAATTTTTCAATAAACTTCCCTAGTTCTGCTTCACTTGCAAATCCAAGTCCTTAAATTTAATTCAATTATAAAGGAAAAGAAAGCAATCACACAAAAAATGTTACCGTAAACTGTATTTGCTCGGACATCACTCCACTGACCAAACTTTTGAGACGTTTGTGTAAATGTCATATTAGGGGTTATTGTAGAATTAATAACAGCCTGTATAAGTATGATATCAAATTATAATCATCAGTTCAATCAATCATTTTGATATCATTTACGACAATTGCAATGCTTACCTTTGTACCTTCAACCGAAATAATTCGATACAAATTTCTTGACGAATCATAGAAAAAACTAACGCTGATAGCTTTTGTAGAGGCTGTGATCCATGTTCGTTTTGTTTTGGGATCGATGTGAAAAACATGAGCCTGGCAAGTAAAAATCGGCTGCTCGCTAAAAGTACATACACAAAATATTTTCACATTAAAGGAAATCAAACATCCCGATTATCATCATTTCTTATCTCACTATTCATTCGTTCACTCACTGTATAGGAAATAAATGAAATCAAATTTTAAAAATGCACTAGGAAGATAAGATTGCAAAAAATACGCAAACGCGACAAATTATTTCATAGAAATTTATCTTCTAAGTAAACATGGAGATTTTTATTGCTGTTTCGGCATGTCTTATGAATGCTGATAATGTTTGAAAATTACTGGATTGACATACATATAACATTGCTGATTAAATTTATTTTATTGGTTCACGAAATTCATTTGAAATGAAGGAATTAGCACTCAATAAATCGCTCGTCTATTCTACTTTTCTTTGGGTGGAGATTTCACATCGTTTTTGATAACAAATCACTGTTTAATTTATATCACTGATGCTTTTCTACACTTACCCCATGTTTATAAGTAAATTGGAAGGAAATAGCTACAAGAAAAGATCTAAATATATTTTAATTAAATCGCGTTAGAGGATAGTTCTTGAACAGTTCTACTACTTCTGCACCACCTTTAAATGTGTAATCTAACCCCAATTTCAAATGTTAACATGGTGTTAGATTAACATTTGATCTAATCTCTCTTTAATCTAAACCGCTGGTCACGCTCTTTGAGTGTTTTTCATGAATATCTCGTAAATGGCTAACTTAATTGAAAATGTGTCTTGAGACGATCGCTAGAGAACCTGAACACGTATATTTTTCTACTAAACATCCTATGTAAAAAGTGTTTCTTTAAAGAGGTATAAAGGAAAAACCTTTACAGTACAAGTATACCTTTTTTTGGAAGCTGGTACAAAACGAAAGATATAACGGTTCAATAAGTTCGTAACGGCTCAAATTTTATCGTCCCTTACACTTAGAGTAAATGACGATTTTCGGTGTTATTCCCGTCTTTTTATTCATGAATTCATAAACTGATTAAACATATTGTAAACTCACCATTCAAAGATTGTAAAAATTCCAAACATTATCTCATCAATACTTCTTTAGAATTAAGAACGATAATTTGTTTGATTCAACAGTTTATAATGAAAAGAGAACCTTTAATGCAAAGAAAGAACTAAACGAATGTACTCAGTCAAAGTATTGCCTTAGAAATATTAATAACTTTCTTATCTTATCTTCTCCAAATATTATCGTGTTCAAATGAGTTCACTTCACATCAGTCGGTATTGGAATTCGGACAACATAAGAGCTTAAATATGACTGGTAGGAGAAATATAATCTGCTGGTTGTGATTTAATCTCGAATATTATGTTACAGATTTAATTACGACGAGGGTTCAATATGCTGTCGTTATCGGGATTTCTATTATCATGTTATGGAAGTTGCTTAAGAAACGACCAACAAAAAATATTCCTAAAAAGTAAATACTCATTGCATAACGTAATAACAAATATTACAAGCAAATTGTTATCTTAAAGGTGGAAAAAAGTTGGAGAGCTTTCTGATTTAATGTGCTTTCCAATAAAATCCGGTGGAGTCGTCCGTTCTGATGAATTCGATTGTATTAATATTGGTTTGCAAAAAAATTATATTCGTGACCGCACATTTATGGTTGTGAATAGCAGTGGTGAATTTATAACAGCTCGAGCCCATCCAAAACTTGTTCAAGTAGCACCATACGTTGATAATGACTATAGTGTAATGATTCTTTCGGCACCTGACATGAGTAACATTAACATTGATGTCGCTCAACTTTCTACCCTGAAACCAAAGAAAGCTGTGGTTTGGGGAGAAGCTGTTGATGCTATTGATGCTGGCGATGATGCTGCGCGTTGGTTTTCACAATTCATCCTTGGTAAAGAAAGTGGTCTTCGTCTTGTATTTTATCCTGCTTCATATCCAACACGAGACGTTCGTGAGAAGAATAAAGTTTTTAAATCAGCGGTTCCTGCAGATACTGGTGCATTGCATGATGCAACGAGCTTCATGTTAATAAATGAAAGTTCTATTGAAGAACTAAATTCAAGAGTAGAAAAGTATGTCACGCCACTTCAATTTCGTCCAAATTTTGTTGTCAAAGAAGTCAAACCATATGAAGAAGACAGTTGGAAATGGATAAAAATAGGAGAGGAAGCTGTTTTCGAAAACGTTAAACCATGTACCAGGTAGATATGATAGAATTCATTATTAATAATAACATCTGAAATATATTCCATTTTGTCAGATGTATTTTCACAAATATTGATCCTATTACTGCTGAAAGAAATTCCAATGAAGAACCTTTAAAAACTTTGAAAACATATCGTAAATTTGAAAACTGTGGAGATAGCCCAGTCATGGGCATTCATCTTGGATTAAGGAGAAAAGGTGTTATCAGATTAAACGACCCCATTTATATTGAAGAAAACTAACTTTTCCAATCTGAATAAACATAGTCAAACATAGAAAGCAACAGGTTGGTTTATTTTTTAACCATAGATAAATAAACTTTCAAAACATGTAAATTGTTCAGAATAACATTTAACTTTCAAATGATGAAAATAAACTCTTGTGGAAAAAGGAAAAACATCAAGTAAATCGTTAGAAATGAACGGAAGAAGACTTCATTCATAATTTAACAGCTTTCATCTAATAAAATATTTAATTCGCATTCTAACATCTCATGAACACCTGATTATCTTTGTACGGAGAAGCTGTTTATACTGGTCAATCGTGGATCTAATCATTGACGTTTCTGGATGTAAATCAACATCAAACTCCTTACATGTTTTAATTAAAATATTTCTTAGTTCAGGTAAAATTGCATGATCTATCGTAGGGAAAAGATGATGAAGAGTTTGATCACCAAAATATGCTAATGATGTAAAAATGTTGTAGTTGGCTTCTTTCCGATCAATTGTCGTACTCAATTGATATTCTCCAAAATCTAAACTTTTAATTTCATCATTTTGATGAGTTATGTATGGTGCATGATGACCTCGGTTGAAGAATATTATTGAATAAAGAATTGAGCCAGGGATTGCAATGCTTGCCCATCTAAGAAAAAATGAAATCAATTATTTTTCTGTTATGCAGCTTAACCTAGAGCATACCCCCAATATATCTCTTCAAGATATGATAATGTGACCATTTTTTTACCAAACAAAATTTGAGCTAGCGGTAACGTGAATAATAGAAAATCGTCCCAGCGAAAAACTTTTTCGTTTCCCCAAATGTAACCTTGAAACCTGTAAACGAAATTTTGAACATTTATCTAATTGAAATATCAATGAAAAAAATTATAAACCTGTAGCGCCAAAAATTGTGGAAGAATGAGAGAATAAGTAAGGGTATAAAGGCAATTAAACGAAGATAATAACACCATGTTCTTTCCAGTGTCGGTATCCACTTGAGATATGGTTCGAATGTCGATGTCTCAAAATCTGAGAAAGAATTTGTGTACATATGGTGTGACTAGAAAAGTTTAAAATGAGTAATCCGATTATAACATGTTGCATTTATCCATTTACCAAAATATGAAATACTCGATAGTCGCGCCATGAAACAAGTGAAATATTTGACGTATACATTCTCCAGTTGTCAGCTTGATGGAAAAAATTGTGAGAAAACATCGCACACCATGCAAAACATTGAGCTGCAATAACAATCCATAGTTTATGTAAAAACTTATTTTCTGTTCGATTTGCCATTATTGCTGAAACAAATAAAACAAATAAATTGATATCATGAACCCATCGTGATTTCCACGTGACACTTTTATCGATAGACTTTAATTTCTCTTCGACACGTTTTTTGAGTGTGCGATAGAATCCATTTTCGTCGTATGTTAAGAAGTAATTTCGAGGGTATTTTGCTTCTCTCACAAAATATTTGGGTAGCAATTTTTCCGGTTTTGTTGATAAATGATGACTTTCAAAAGCTTCGGTAATGTCAGTGCCCTGAACCGAAAAAAGAAAAAAGTTTTTGTTTTTATTTTTATATTTTAACTATTTCAAGGTCGTCGTGGCGGTCTTTTATTTTTGAAACTAGTTTGACACGTTTTAAAATCGTTGAGTTATACTTTTTAAAACTAGAAAATACCTGAGTATAAAAAAGATTACCTGAGTGACTTCCAACCAATATTTTCCACCGGGATGCTTTATGATAAAATCTGTTAAATCATATAAGTTATTATGGATTCGCCAAAGCCCTTCTGAAAAATCATCCTTTCTTTTTCCTTCTATCCATCGCCAACATCCATTAACAAATTTATCACGAAATGCTGGATATTTTCTTACAATTGTGACATCTTTTATCTTTGCTGAAACTTCCATGTTTACCGTTCAAATCCCAATGACTGACTGAAAGATGGAATTGAAAATCGTGTTACCATCAATCCGGTTTATCGAATCAATGAAATAAAAAATTCAGATTTTGATGATTCATGCAAAATAAAACCCTGTTTCTATCTATAATAAATATATACATAAGTTCCAGTTGATAAACATTATGGATATTTCATATGCGTTAACCCTTTCAAAAGGTTTTTTTTTTCGCTTTGTAGATATTTTTGGAAAAATCTACCTTCACTCTCTAATAATAATTCTAACAAAGAAACGTAAAAATTACATATCTATTAAACATTAAAATTATATTATGAATATTCTCCCAGAGTATCTAAGGTTCGTTAATAAGATCATAAATAATGTATAAAAGAGAATGTGGAATTGAATTAAATTGATCTAAGTTTCATTAAGTAAATTTTCTTATGCATATAAATATGTACGTATGAAGCAAACAAAATCTTAATAAATAACTTTTATTTTATAGAAAACTTTCTCTCAGGTTTTTCCTTTCCCAGATTTTTTCATGAGCTGACAAACGAAAAGATGTTTGAGATTTTTTTGGAGACAGCTGAGAGTATCCAAAGCCTTTTATAATAAGTTGAAAAGAAATTTTATCCACATTGCGACTGAAACATAGTTTAATTTTTTTTGGGTCGTTTGTCGATAAAATAATTCAATTATGTATATGACAACATATAAAACATAATATCTACTTATGAGGAAGTTTATTAATCACATAAATCTATCTTTCAATTATTAAGATCTAAATGTTGCTTTTATGCTTGTTCGTGGTCCAAGTCAAATGCTGCTTCAAACTCAAATGGGATCTACTAAAATCGTTTTATCTCTTTCTTATTCCTTTGGCTGAGGCAAGGGCTGAGGGTTGAATCTCTCAAGTAATTCAAAAAATCAAGAGCATAAAAATTGAGAGTAATGCGAAGCTAAATTCTTCTCAAAAGCTAAATAAACTAAATTTTCGCACGTACATTGACTATGTTCAAGTCTTGAACTTCAAGACAAGCTTTAAGAAATAAGTTAACTTTCCCAAATGCTGTGCTATGAAAAGAGAAATGGCAAGAATACGAAGTTCATTGGATGAAGAAAAACTCAACAGTTTTCCCACTGAATAGAATAATACATACATATTCTCTCTTAGAAAAGAAAGAAGAAAGTTGAGCTATTAGATATGTACTTATATGATGAAAAACTATTTAAACGAGCGCTTTATAGAATTTTATTATTAATACTTATCTCATTAAATTGCATAATTGAACGATATGCATGGCCTCATTCAAATGAAAAACTTTTAATCCTCGTTTGTATAATTATAATATCTATCGCGTTAACTAGATTGAAAATAGAAAATTGTGAAGGTAGAAAGTTTTTTCTTTGAGTTTTGATAAATAATAATAGATGTCAAAAAAGGAAATGCTATTGATAAAACTTATGGCGTAAAGTTGCTTTCCCACGCTTCAGTTGAGTGAAAAGAAAAACGAATAATGGAATATGCTAATTTAATTTTCATTCTCCACGTTATCAGCACAACAATATCGCTCGTTGATTTCATCCAAATTCTTGATTTTTATGTATGTATAATTCTTTTGGAAATATATTTCGGAAAATGATTGAAAATTGGCCTCTGATATTGATTAGTGAATTCGATGTATCGAACACACATGCTACTCGTTCTCGCATTCCATAAGATATTTCAAAAGATTTGTAACGACTGTATTTTATTGAACCTCTGAGTCGTTGTGTATTATGAAGAGTGATAACGTTTTAAATTCAGTAAGAAAATAAGATAACGTTGAATAAATTATCCTTATTTTCCAATAAGCAAATTTCTGAGATAAGAATTATGTAGATATGATAATAAATTATTGAAATCAATCATTTCAAATTTAAATCAATTTCTTTTGACTGTAATTATTTTCAAGGACATTTATCTATCTTTATGCTTAGATATATTATTGCGACAAAGCAATGGTTTTTACTCTCGTGATAATGAATTAGACTTCCGGGACATTTTAAAAGCTTTCATTTATTATAGAGAAACTAAAAGCTTATGCAGATAGAAAATATATTATCGCGTCAGTTTCTGACGTCACTGAATTACTTCGTTTTGAAGGATTCTGCGCACAAATCTTGACTGCAGCAACAAACTTTAAAACGATACAAAAAGCTTTGTGCTACGTATCTTTTGTTCACGAAAAAAGCATAACACCGATGAAAAGTTCTCTAGGGGTTCAACTTTTTGTAACATAAACTGAAAAAAAGTATTCAGTTATAATTTTTCAATTCAAAACAGAAAGTTTTAGGACATTTAATGATTGTTGAACATTTTCTGCCTTGTTGTTGAAATAACATGAAATGAAGTACATTCGTTTTAGATTAAAATAAAAGAATTATAAATAGAATATTTCTCGATTGAAAGGTTGAAACTTCCCTCCGTAATTTCTTAATGCTATTTAATGATTATCTACTTAGTTATAATAAGGTTGAGGTATTTTAGAATTAGAAATCTTATTAAGTTATCAAATGATAATGTAATTTTAAATCTCAAATTGAATTACACATTTCTATATATAGAAGAGATGTTTATCTGATTGGAACAATGAGAGTAAACATTGACAAGTACATGGGAGACTACAAAGTTGATTAATTTTTTATCAATCATTACAGATTTATGTGATAAATTATAGAAAATTTTATAACATTGTTATGTCAAATTGTTTGCAATCTGAAAACTATATAAGTCATATATTCACTTATGAGAATTACTATCATTATGTATTCACAATTTGTGTTCCAATTCAAAAAGCTTTTCTTAATGTAATAAGGTTGACAACAACTTAATAAAAAAATATCTACTAAAAATTAAAATCGTAACCATTCGCGTTTGATAGTTTGAGAGTCAGGAAAGCAAGGGTATTGTACTTAAAATTATCAATTTAAAAATGTTACAACATTAAAAGGGTAGGAAAACATTTAAACTTATTTGTTATTGCGTACTATAACATCATAATATGAAACCTAAATAAACAGCATAGAAAATTCCTAAACATAACATTGAAGTAAAACTTAATTAAAAGCTCTTGAGTAGAGAACGGAAAAAGGAAAAGTCTTGGAAAGTGTAATTGGAGAGCATACAAATCAGTACAATTATTCGAGATCGATGAGAAAGAAGATAGAAAACTGTTGATTATAGAGAATTCTCTTTTCAAAAATTGAGAGTACTTAGTAGAAGAAAATTTTTCCGGGATATTAAGCAAAACTTTTCATGAAAATTTATTTAAAATTTACTCTTGACACAACATTATAAAGAAATTCTTGATTATAAATCAGAAGAAATGCGTTTTAAGCAATATTTCATACAGAAATCTTGAAAATTTTCATTTCAAGCAACATTAAAGTTTGAGTTCTACCTATTGCTATCTCATTTTCGCAACCGGAGCTAAAGAAACATAACGTCGAAGAAAATCAGTTGTAGATTAACTCTCGTGATGTTAAGATCGTACATACATTTAATTTGTTTCAAAAGTTTTTTGTTTTCTAAAATTTAGTTTTTAAAATGCTGTCCAAATAGTTTTGCTTTCAAGCATTAAGAATTCGTGCAAAGTTGAAAAGTGAAGAAAAAAATGTAAGATTTATGAGTTTCTCAAATAAATAACAAAAATATTTATGGTTCGTCATTCAAATGAATAAAAAGAAAGCAAATATCAAAATTTAAATGAAATATTTTCGCGCTAAAGCTACCTATGAGTAAAATAAAATAATAATGAAAACATCACTAAGCGAGAAGGAAATTTCCAGTCGCGAAAATAGAAAAGAGTGAAAATGTGTGAATTTTTTTTGATCGTCTCTTTTTTTTTCTTCCTCCACGGTTCGCGTTTCATGGCAATTTGGTGATGAAAATTAAAAATAAATATCTATAAATGAAAACAAGTTTCGATGGCTAATCTTCTCTTCCTCTTAATTGAGTGGAAAGCTCAATTTGCGGTTCCTTATAACAATGATAGAGGAAGGAGATAAAAAAGAAAGCTTCACCGGGTTCGCTACTAATTGAAAATTAAAACCTTCAATGTTAAAGAAAAATGTAATAAAATTAAAAATTACGATGAAAAAAAGTTTTTAAAGTCGAAAATTACAAAAGTAAAGAAATGAGATATTTGAAAGATCTTAATACCAACCATTCGAATCGAATGTCAGAATGAACGTCCAATAAATGTGTTTTTAAATAATGAAATGTGTTGATGGAAAATATAAATATGAAAAGAAAAATGGAAAGAAAACACCAAATATTTTAGATTCTTCTTTAAATGGATACATGATTGATGTTAATATTCACAAGGCATAAATTGAATAAGTCAAGGTAAGAGTGAAAGAGAAAGAAGAAAGTTTTAGCAAATCGACACCCTCTTCTATGTCAAAATTAAGTTTATGAGGGATTTCTTTAAATCCCTTTTCGTCAGTTTATCTAAGTATCAAGTCCTTAGCATAGAGTTTATTTCGTGCTTCTCATGGAATGCTGAAAAATTGCGTGAAGATTTGTCAAAAATATTTTTGAAGATAGTACAACTGAAATAAATTTATAAAAATGTTAAAGTGTATGGTTGACTAAGAATTTTTTTTCAAGACTTTTTCATGAAAGCAGAAGAACGAAAAGGAATGATGAAATATTTTTAATTAAAAACCCTCCCTAGGCTTTCTACCGAACATTTTTCTTCATTGTGGAAGAATACAAATGCGATGATAAGATCCACATCCTCTACAATTCCAAAACATTATTGACAAAAATGAGAAAACGTCGCTGTTTTGATGAAGTTGTAAAAGTTTTCCTTGCAATCTTCGACCTTTCTCATCCTTGACACTTGAATTGTTAATGCTCATCAGATTATGTTGTATCTAACTTTTCCGACCTTGACATGATGAAAAGGTCTCAATGAGACACATCCTATTGTTATATCAAAAAAAAAGCGTATAAAATTTCCTTAGCGGAAATTGTTTAGCAAATCTTCTCATGTAGGTGTTTTATGAGCTTAGAATTAGTTTCAAAGCTTAAGAAATCCAATTCTCTTTTATAATCGTGACAAAATTTTGGAACATTTTTAATCCAAAAGGTTTACTCTTCCATATACATAACATAATAATGGGAAGCAAGAATGGTTTGAAACTTTTAAGCCATCTTTTAATTAATTAATTAATTAATTAATAATAAAACTCTTTAGAAAAATGAAAATCAATAAAGGTTTAGTTTATTTTACTAATGGTAGACAACAATGGTTTGCCTCCATTAGCTTGCTTCCTAAATATATGAATCTCCTGATAGCTTTCATCTCAAAACTTTCATGGGTTTTGCTCGAAACCCAAACTCGCTTCCTTGATTCATTTAAGAATCAACCAAAACAATAAATGGATCCCAGGTTATTTTACTCTCGCGGGTTTCGTTTGGATCACATAAATACTTATGATTTTTTTATGAACCAATATTATTAGCATTCAACAAGGCTACAGAAGAATGTGCGTAAAATGATTCTGCATTTTTTTCCTCTAAATTACAAAAATGTTCAATGTTTAATAAAGTACAGTGTGCGAGAATGTCTGAACCACCAATGAAAAAAATCGATCGACTAAGCTTTATGAAGCAAAAAAAAGTATTGATAGTAATTAAACGTCAAGAAACTAATGAAAGTTGATGTTCATAACAGTTTTCTTTCATCTTCTTTCTAATTTTAAAATTACAACTCATTGTAGTTTCCTTTCTCTAACGTTGTAAAAAATTTAATTAAAAATTCAACTGCAACATACTTCAATCACAGTTATACTTAACAAATGTGAGAACAGAAAACAGCTTGGGAGGAAAGCATGCTTTGTGCATAATTCTATTATTATCCATCTATTTTCCACTGCACCATATGTTAAAATGCCAAGAAAGTAAAGGATTTATTAAAGCAAACTTTGTTAAATTGAATCTTCAGCAGATGACTAGTAAATTGAAATTTTTTCACTTGCTGCATTTCGTTCCAAAGGAATATCTAATAAAAAGGTGCGACAACTTTAAATTTTTATGTAAATGAAATTCCATTAATTTGTAACTTTTCAAACAGCATCCAAACCCTTGTGAGTTTGTTTTCATACTTATCTACATAAATTTGTAAACTTTATAAAAGGGAAAGAAATTTGCAAATTAAGTACCAACGTCTCAAAAAGATAAATATGTGAAAAGCGAAAACATTTAACATTAAAAGGATCCAACACATTCTCAAAGCCTGAGTGAAAAATTCTTGAAGGAGTAATACAATCTAAAAGAGAGTTTTCACTTAGAATAATGAAGAAAAGTAGAAAACAAAGAAAAGTTGTGCTGTTTGAAAGAAGAATATTTGTTCCGTCTTAAGAGAAAATGACACCATAAGATTTTTTTCATACGATGTTGTGTCAACAAGTACTAACATTCCCGAAGCTTCTGCTAAATTAATCTTGAAATAAAATTTCAAATACGCTGGTAAAGACTATTTGAAGTTTTTTTTTCATTTTTGTGATTAAAATTCTCTCCAACTTACATGCTTTTATATTTTCAACTACATTCTATGTTTTAATATTATTCAAATGCAGAGACATGAGAAAAATTAAATGAAACGACGAAAAATGAAACAAGGAATAGAATTGAGCTGAAAACATTAAAATATTTTAATTATTTTAAAAGTTGTCATATGCCACTCAGTATTTTTAATGTTCGCGTAAATTTATTTCAAATCAAGACGCTGCGACGATGCCTTAAGATGAAGAGTATTAACGAATTCATGCTGGTATATTTATTCATTGAATTTCCATCGAGATATTGATTTCTTTCGTTGCTATTCTTTAAATTGATATTTTATCTCGAAGTGTCAGCCTTCTTCGCCCCTTGTTCTCTTTTCATTATTTTGTCTTTTATTACGCTGAAGCATAAATAAGATATTCATTCATTCGTGTGAAAATATTCTGCTTTTCTTGTTAAAGCTTGATATTAAATTCTCGTAGGATGCATTCCTTAAAAAGGTCCCCCAAGGTTATTGAATTTTAGCTTTTAAATCGAATCTCTTTTGGGACTACATACAAGGATTAAAACAAATGGGAAAGGAATGACGACGAATATGTGATTGGGTTAGGAAATTTTTAAACCTTATTGTTAACCGCTTGATAAAAACCCGGAAAAAGAGAACGAAGGTCGTCGGTTTCATTTCAATGATTTTTATTTATTTTGATTTAACTTCCATAAAAATGTTTTTAACTATATTTAGCTTCACAGCTGATCAAATTTCCATTCGCGTGAGAAAAGCAATTTCAATTTAACTCGAAATAATGAATTTACATTTATTTGAGAAATAATCTCTAGTTAACTAATAGAAGGAACATGACTGAAGAACGTTAAGAAAGCTTTCAAGGCATCCAAACAGGATCTGTAAAAGATTCCATTACATATTTCTTTGGAAAAAGGCAAAAATAGTATGGTATGTGTCGACTGTGATTAATCTTTTGCCGGGTCTACCTTCGTTGAACAGCTTCAGCATAAAATTTATAGCACTCAAGTTTGCTTTTGAATTGGTAAACAAAATATAAAAAGAAGCTCAAAAAAGCTTTCGCTTTGTTTTATTTCCGGTTTGGACAAAGGCTCAATGGTTCTTCAACTGAATTAATAATACTTTTGTCGCATGAAAAAGCTTTGTAACGTCAAGAGAAATCACAATAGAGTGAAAGCAATTAAAGCTTGAATGAGTTTCACTTGTAATAAATACTGTCATGTTAAAACAGACACGCAAAACAAGTCGCTGACAAGTTTAGTTGTTCTAACATGTCAAATATATCAAGAGACATTTTTTCAATAAATTCTTGTTAGTTGTAATTATCTATTTAGATAGTTGGAGTGAGAGACCGAGTTGACGCAAAAAAATAATGTTGTATGCCTAGATATGGGAAGTAAAAGGTTTTTCTTTTTCTATTCTTTTCATTGTTACTCAACTTCAATATAGTTAAGCGATTCTTCTAAGTTACCTCATTTCAAATATATCTAAGAGCTAATTCCTTTTGCTATCTTATTATCTTTTGATAAGAGGTTTTTATTACCCAACTTCAAGAAAATTAATTTATACCGTATGCTTAAGTTATGTGCAGAAACTTCAGAAATCATAAAGAGAAACAATAAAAGATTCTCTTCAATGAGGCTTTTTTTTTATCACATCATCATCATCATCACATACTATGTTGCCGTCATTTATTTATGAAGAAGTATATTGTTAAAACCAAGACGATTTTTATTCGCTTTCAGTATAAAGAATTCCGAATATCTACATAAAATTTAATCATTCATTGATGCTTTTTTCCGTCTGTTACTTTTGTAAGTATTCTGATCATCTCATAATGGGAGTTAAATTATGTATATTATTTTATTTTCAAATTTTGCAAAACGATGAATATCTTGTTAGTGAAGTAATAATAAGCATAACTCACTAAGCCATTCATTCATAGTGAATAAAACTGATTAACCTTCGATAAAAACGAAATCAAGTTGATTATTATTGGATTTAGATGTGTTAATTCTATCACAAAAAATTATGTTCGAAACTTACATATCCCTTATTTTAGTTATTTTCATATGTATGTACTTATGAAAATTTGTTTTAGTTAGAAAACGAAAGCTTCAAGATCATATTTTCTTTTCTATCTTCTTTGTTTTATTTCATGAGGATTATAGCACATAGTGAAATCTTGTTAATCACAAAGTTCACAAAATGTTCAGATTACCTGAGTTCACAAGAGATTACAATCTAAAGTATACAAATGCCATTTCACTTTCTCTGCTTTAAATTGCTTCTACATGTGGGAATTGTTTGCAATAGCACTTAGATTGCTCAATCGAATTTTCTTTGTTCTCTTGTCAAAATTAATATTTTTGATGTCTATGTAATACGAAAATAAATAATTTGACAATTTATATTTATACAAATTTAAAGATTCGTGAAAAGTTGATATCCTAATCAGCAAAATCTCAAATTTTGATAAATAAATAAAACGATATTCGTTTAAGCCGTAAAGACAAAAAAAGAATATTTATTATTATTGATATTAAACAACTGCTCCTTACATGAATTGGGAGCGTGCCAGAATTAATTATACATACAATATTGTAAAAAAATATGATTTGTAGATTGTAAATACGTGGAGTGTTTCGTGCAGTTTTGTCTCTTCCGTATATGAAATATTTACATGGATGAGAACTTTTAATAAATAACTTTATGTTCAAAAGGTTCCTTTATGACTGATGTTGAGTTTTAAATACTATGTCGACACTTCTTAATAGAAAAACATGCAAATTTCAAAGTCTACGGACCGCAATTATTCGCCGCAACAGTTGAAATATATCTTCACTCATTCATTTATTTAGAAAGCTGAATCAACATTTTAGAGTTTTTATTAAATTGTTTATGACGTCTTCTTATTATTTCACCACATGTTTTAAAATAAATTAGATAAAGAATATTTACTGAAAGAAAAATGTTTTGCACCTCCTATGTATACATAAAAATTAATGACAAATGCTTTTTTTCATTAGGATCATCTTTTAATGTTTATACAACAAAAAAAAGTCTAACGACTTCAACCATCATGTATCTTAATCAGCATGGGAAGAGTTAATGATGGAGAGTAATTTTTCATTACCTAAATATTTATTTCAAAAAGAAGTTTGAAAATCATTTAGAAAATCTTAAAGATTTTCTCTTTCTTTTGAATATTATTTATGACAAATTATGAATCAAGATGTTTTTCTCGACATCAGCTCAATGTTTTCAAAGTTAACTTTTTTTTTAGATTATTAACCTTGTTTTTCTTTTTCTTACGCCTCAAAATAAAGTTATGTCCCAGATTTTCATTTCGGACATGTGACACTTTTTGTGACGTAATTCATGAAATAGAGATAAGTGTAAATTCAATTTTTCCTGACTCTTTATTTTACTGTAACACTTCATTGTTCATTTGAATTCAGAAACGGATCTCTAAACTGACAGATTCTTTTCTATTTTTCAGTTTCTTCTAATGCATAAATTATTGAGATAAATAATAGAAACCAAGTCTTTAGGAAGAAACATCGGAACTTTTTTTTCTTTTAAAAATAGTGCTAAAGACATTGACAACATGGATATCTTTTGTGTTTCCCTTTCGCATTTAAATTCCTTAATCTTTGTTGTTTAAATTTACATAACACATATTGATGTACTTGTTATCCTTGGTATAAGCGTTTTTATACCCTATGAGAAAACATGTTTCCTTTTCTCTATTCTATATGTAAAACATATTTTCGAATTTGAAATATCCTTCCGGGTCTTTTGAAATTGATATCTTTTAGTCTGAAAAGTCAACAGAAGTATGAAAATGCTGAATAAATACTTAAACCATTATTTTTTTGTTTTTTCATTTCAGATATGCTATGAGATCTTCAACAGTGTGCAATCTAAAAATAGTGCAAGCTTCTATATTATTCATCTTCAGAAGTAGGAAGGTCTTATAAAATATTAATTCGCTTTATCGAGCATTGATTAACTATTTAAATAAATTCAATTCTTAATTGATGCAAAAATAAGTGAAGAAAATAATTTCTTCGAATGAATGACGAAGAAATATTAATAAATGTAGATAAGTTGTGATAAATGTTTTAGTGCTGAGAAGAGCATTAATTCAAAAAGAAAAAGAAATAATCATCATCGTCTTCTAAAGATAAATCAATCTCATTTTTCTTCTCAATAATTATCATTGTCTTCTGAAGAAGAGTGAAATGGCATAATAATATTGATGAATATCAAATTCGTTAAAGTATGCAGTGAATATAATGAAATAAAAATAAATCAAGTTCTCATCTTAAAAAAAACCCTCCCAAAATTTTTCTTAATAAATTGTTACCAAAATGAATCTTATAGAAATGTTCGGTGTGATTTGGCTTAAAAGTGAGACGAGCAAAACAATTGTACATAATAACAAATGAGGGAATCAGCGACAAATGTGAAAAAAATTGATAATTTATTACTAGGATGAAGTTAAATGTCAACAGTTCTACATAAATTATAATTCAATCAAAGTGTGACTAATAAATCGAGAAGACAAACGAAAAATGCTAATTAATTGTAATTTATTAGATAGAGAATCAAATAATATATTTCCACTTCGCTAGTAAATTGGTAGAAGCAGAAATAAGTTCTTCCTAAAAGTTCCTTCCTATTTTACGATTCACGAAGAAATCTATGAAATTGTCTAATCGTTTCTCATTCATTTTAAGAAAAATTAATTATTTTATTGCACACAGAAAGTGACAAAATAAAAAAATAATAAAAAGAAACGAAACGTAGATCAGTTCTGTCAGTCTTGCACCAGCAAAGGCGATTAATTACTATACATACAAGGTTTTTCTCAACAAAGTGTGACAGCTTTTCTTATCTCCAACGAAAGCTTTTATCATCATTTTCTGTTATCTCCGTGCAACGGGAAAAATAAAAGGCAAAATTCTCCATCATTATTTCTTGATCTTCAACTCACCTATTCGTTCAACAAGAATAAGAAAAAAATAGCAATTCAGCATCATGACGATGTGGCAAGGTAATGCTCGAAATTCAAGTTTTTTTTTCAACTTTGAAATTAAACGTCTTAAACGTTAGAATTTAATTTGTTTCGAGCATTTTCTTCCGTATCATTAAATCATATAAATTTTAATGAAAGGTGGCTCAATGGGTCATGGAACCCAAAACAACCCCTGGATGAAGCTGATGGGCATTGTCTCCCACAAAGACCGTCGCCATGACAATCAGCAAAGCCAAAGCGGTTCCAATGAGAGAGCTCTTAACATGTAAGTATGATTTTGAGAATCCTTGAATAAGTAAGGGTCATTTCTTGAATTAAGTATATTTTGATGTATGAGAGGATTCAATGCTTAAATAGGATATTGAGGAAGCTTAACAAACTTTTTCTGTATTATCTGAAAAAACAATTGCCATGAAGAAAACCAGATCATGAAAATCTTTTAAAGTCCTTTTGAATAACTCTTCACTTCAACTTTTCATATTTTAACTTTAGAAAATATTTTATGTTTCCAATTCATCTAAACTAGATTCGTAGTTTCAGATTCATTTTATGTCACAACGTAATGCAATGAAGCGAAAAAATTTGTTTGACAGGAGAAAAGCTTTTAAAAAACATCATTCTTGATTTTCTTATCTATTATCTCTATATGAGATATTCTGGGGTGAGAAATTTTCCGCGTTTTCTGATGAAAATCTCGTTCTTCACAACATTTATAAAATATTCAGAATATGAAGTGATGCTCCTCTCGTGAGGAAGGTTCGCTTCTGTAATATTTTTCTCGCTGTAGACTTTAAAACAAACGTCGATGTTGATGTTGAACTTTAAAAAAGAAACGGTGTGTTCTTTTTTTTGTTTTCTCTAAAGTATTTAAAATTCAATTATCCGAAAATAATGCAAACATGTACGAAAGCTTACTTTTATTGAGATAACTGCAGGTATCAAAAAATTCTCTGTTACAACTTTCATGAAAATTTAATGTGGATTATATTAACATAGACAAAAGTTTGGATGGAATCTATTATTATGGATATAATTATAGCTTTAAGCAGAAAACTGTTAAACTGTCGTTAAAATTAATTTTTCAAGCACTCAATCCTCCACAAATATTTTAATGTAAATCAATAAATAATATCTAAATGTTTTAGATTCGAATTTGTTTTTATGAGCAAATTCATTTTATTTTATAATAATATTTAAACTTTATTGTTCTCAAATATTTTCTCATTTAGAACATTTAATCTGACAATGAGTCACAAAAAAATCACTCAGTAATTTGTTCTGAATACTAGGCAAATCGTATATAACTCAAAACTGTTAGTTCATCTGACTTGAATTGTCACACAAATCATTAAAACCCATTAAGCATGAAAGAAGATTTTCTTTTAAGTTTGAACAGCCACTTTGTTTTGAATCTGTTCTTTTTATTGTGTCGGGAAAGGAAAAGAAAAGAAAAAAATGTTTATGCATAGTAAAAGATATCTTTACAATTTTTAGTGTTGTTTTCTTTTCTTTGCTATTTTCAAACCGCGCCTACTAAAACAACGGTTTTGTGTCTGAGGGCGCTAATTTTAGATATTCCTTTGGCACTACATGAAATTGTGCGAAATTAAAACGAAAGATCTTCGTTCTGCTCAATAACATTTTTTGAAAGGTTCCAAATAACGTCATGTGAGCTCTCGTTTGCGACGTTGTGAAAGAGGTGGGCGCTGTGATAAAATTTCATCTCGAAAACGTTTAACACCATCATCATATCACACACTCGACAATCTTGAATACTTAAAATTTCACGCTTTCACTCTTTCAATTAAAGAAAAAAATAGAAAATCCATTTGATTTTAAAAGTGTGCACAATAAGTGAATTAATGATACCAAAGGCTGATTGTTTAATTATCTAAGTCATTATTCATTAAACATTCTATAAATATTAGGCAGTTAGATTACGCTACAATTCTAACTTTTCAATATTCATTCATTCATATTTTACTCTCCCCTTCGCCTTTTTAGTCAAGACTAAAAGTTATTATTGCAAACAATAACGATGTTACTGAAAGTTATGTTCACTGCTGAAAAAGATTAAAAATAATAACAAGCGGAAAACACGCTGGAACAATTGAGAACCAAAGCTCGCAAATATAACTCGGATATCCTCCCTCAATGTGAAAAATAACCTCAATCCCTCCCCTATCATCTCAAAATCGACATTAAGAATAAGACAAAAAAAATGTACATTTACACAAGTTTCAATATACCTACTTTCTTCTGAATAGCGCTTTGACATAAAACAGGGAAAAGAAATAAAATAATTCTTACAAGGAAAAATAAACAAACACAATTTAAAAGAAAAGTTAAAAAGGATTCCTCTCGCAAAAAAGCATTGGAAGTACATATTTCGCTTCTATTTTTTTTTACTTTTTCAATCGCAAATTGATTCGTGGTGATTTCAATACATATAATAAAATACGATAAGAATTCTTAGGTTTATTTTCTTATGAAATCAAGATAATGTATGTAGATAACAAAAATGTTCCGCTCGTAAATATTTGGTAATGTTTTCAACTTCTCGATTTCCCGCCTTTTTAATTTATTATATTTTTTTACCTCGAAACATTTCTTTTTTAATTATTCTTTTTTTCTATTTTCAGGTAAGTTGAATTTTTTCTGACCATTTTCGAACAGTTTATTGAAAGAATTTACACAGAGTGAGTTGTGAGTTCAGTTGCAAAATTTCCTAAATTTCATCGAAAACTAAACAAATATCGAAAGGCTATAAAAATCGGTTTGTATGTTCTATTCATTTGAAACAGATGAAGAGAAATTAACGTTCATTTTAATCTAATTACAATTACAAAACTGAAATTAGTATCAACACGTTTCATTTATATCTTGAATATTTTTCAATCATTGCTTAATCGATATTAAATAAATTGAATTGCTTATGCTGAATACAGGAAATTCAAAATTGATTGTATATGATAACCTGTTACTTTTATACTGTGCATAAGACGGTTACAGGAAGAAGTTACATAGCGAAAAACAGAAATCATATTATTCCATCATTTATTTTATCAGAAGAATTTGATAGTGTTGGAGAAAATGTCTTATAAGATAAGCTGAAGAAGATTCTAATGAGAGAAAAGTTTTTTTTCCATGACAAATGTACATTTCTCTAAAATTGCCAACAGATCCTTTTTTCCTCAATGTTATAAAAGCTATTACAATTTATGTTTATTATCTCAATTTTCTTGAAAATGGGAACAAGCAATTGGCTTCCAGAGTACATTTTCCTTAAATTCATTATTTTTATTCTTTATAAACCTTAACGGTACATTCCGGAAGTACCATGAAAAAGATTTCAAACATGATATTGAAGTTATTCAGAAGCTTTTATCCTTGAATGTAAGAACGAAAGACATCAGACATTTATGTTTAATTTCATAAGAAATATATTTTTGTTTTTATTAAAATATTGTTTCTTGTTATTTATTTTTTTTTATAGAAGTGTAGCAGTTGCTTTTCTGTGTTAAAAAAAAATTCATACTGTTGCTTGTAAGAAAACAATATAAATAGGTAATTGTTATTTGGCTTGGAACATGTTGTATGTACTTTTATTTCTTTTTAATTTGTTCATGTACAGAAGAACACACAAAAGTGCAAAAAGACACAAGCATTCTGAAGAATAAGTTTGTGAATTGTTATTTATCAAATGTTTAAATTCTTATTCGTTCCATCAGCAGATATTTGCTTCTTTTCATTTGTTATAAACGCAATTTCGTTTTATTATTCTTTATATAGGTAGTAGTTTTCTGTATTTTCAGCACTTCTAATTAATTAACAAAGAGAATAAATGATGAATGTGTTTAGCAAAGATTGTCAATAGTATTTCATTGCGAAAACATTTGGTTGCTTAATTAGTGAGTAAGTTCTTATTCCAATCTACGTTCGCGTAAATAAATCAAGAATAAACCGAAATCGAAACAATATTGCCTATTAAATATTACGATTTCATAAATATTTCATTACGGCAGTTGATTTTTAAGGAAGCTTTTAAAAGGCTTTTTGAAATCACATTTAACCTGTTAAGCTTTCGTGAAATGAACGTTTGATGTGTAGAAATAGTAGATTTCCATCAGACAACGTTACAAAATACACAACGAAATTTTTTTAAAAAGCTTTCGGTAAGAAAATCTGCTAGAAAATATTTGAAAAGATTTATAACGGTTTTAAACTGTTTGTTTATTTTAGAAAAACATGAACATTTTAAATGACCTTGCAGCAAGAAACTTTAAGTTCCTACACTATTTAAAGGATAAAAGTTAAAGTGATTAATTTTTTTTTAATTAAATAAATTATTTAAAATTAATAAGAACAAACGTTAACACGAGAAATTATGTAGATACTCATTTAAATGATTCACATACATAGATATATATTCTTTATTATGTTGTAAATATGACAAAACTTTGAAAGAAAGCCAATTTAGAGGAAAAGTATTAATAAAGTGATCGATTTAAAAATAGATAAGTGCCACTTGCGAGCATAACAATAATAGCATTTGAACGCTTAAAAAAAACGAAGAGGAAAATTCTTGTCATATCGTATGTCTTGCTCCAATTTTTTCTTTCACACATTCTCGATGGGTAAAGTTTCTATTGACGTCATATGGCTCAGAAAAATTAGGTTTTGTATTATTTTTCACTTTCGTAAGAAGGTGAAGAAAAAAGTTCAAATTTAAAATTCAGACGTAAAAACATGCTTACAGAAAAAAGATTTCTCATCTTACCTTTTATTTACATCGTTAATTTCTCAGTTAGATTTAAATGATTTCTTCCCTTGATGAATTCGAATTGTTTCTTTGAAAACAAACTTCTACGAAATGTCAATAATAAATTTCGATTTCTACGTGGGACGGTAATTTTCTTTCTCACTAAATCAATTTAAATTGCAAAATTCTAAATTTCCTTTAATTAATTCTACCAATTTGACATGGTCATGGTCATACTCATATGAAATTTTGTATTGTAGATATTTATTGAATTCTTTCCTGTTCTTCATTCTTTTATGTTTTAATATATTTTATTATATATGTATTTTGGAAATTCGAAGAGAAAGACAGGGATGAGTGGTTTAATTCGTCATCGTCATAAAAGTAATGAGATTTGCTATTAATAAAATTTAATCCCTGGGGCAATCGACGTTGCAAACACACTCATAACGGGTAAGAAGCTAAAAAAAGACAAAGATATCACAAGAGTAAAGAGAGTAGAGCACTATTCAGCTTTTGCAGTTATCTTACAATTTATATTATTATAGATAGATATTACCACTTACAAATACATTATAATTCTATTATTAAGAGAAAATAAAAAAAAGATTTTTCTAACTACATAAAACAATCAATTTAAAGTGTAGTCAGCTTCATTTATTCATTATTCGTTTATAGAAATTTCAATATTTGCTTCGACGACTACACTTTTTACTCATGATACAATTTTCTTTCTCATCCCGAGTTCAGTGTGTGTGACGACGTGCGATCGTTAACGATTATTTCTTAGGCACTTTGAGACTATTATTTTGAACATTAGAGCTCTGTGAGCATCGTTTTCTCGATTGTAATCAGTGATTCTCAAGTTAACGTCACTTTACGTTAACGGTACATTAAAGAAAAGGATATCTTTATTAAGTATCTTAAATGTGCCACAAAAATAATCTTAAGAACAATCGAATCAAGTGATTTCTAGGACATGAGTTTGTGAGAAATTTTTCAAAGATTCATTTAATTAACAGAATGAAAGTTTTCATGACCACATTTCAAAGTCATCGAGAGTTTATTATTTAAGACTCTACAACTTCTTCTGAAAAATAAAAAATAGACATTTAAATAATGAAAGAATGATTTGTAGTAGAATGTTTAAAAGATAAAATTAATCAACTGAATTTTTAACACAGCCAAAAAAAGTGAAAAGAAAACAATTGAATATTAAAATAATATTGTGTTCAGATTTTTTTTTTGGCTTTGATAAGAGTTAAAAGTGTTAAATATTATTTTTAAAAAATATTAAATCAACAGATATCATGTGCATTAATCGTTAGTTTATTGCTTATGTTGAATAAACCGATTACAGTGGTTGGTGTCATTGCATTCCAATGGATTATATCAATGGCTTATATATCAGCACAAAGTGGAACCAACACAAGTGGCTTAAGGTAGAATCACTCGATTTATATTATTGCTAGATCACTTAAATGTCAATGGGAAGAAATTTCTTTAGATAGAGAAACATAAATCGTCAACGAGGTCGTGAAGAGAGCTTTCTTTCTATTATTTTATTTTTTCTTTTACATTTTTTATTTTTTTGGCAATTGTTCAGGTTTATTCATACGACTTTTTTAGCCGTCTGTGTCATTAGCCTATCAAAATCGTCTCATAAATTACGATAACAACTAAACGTGTTGAAAGAATTGTGGCACCAAATACTTTAGGCTTTTTTTCAATAAGTTCATAATGAGAGAACTTATTAAAACATAGAAACCAATCATTTTAGAATGACTTTTTTTGCAAGCAAAATTTTTTAAGAAATCCTTGAAATCGTCTTTCATGATAAAATTGCATCCATTAATCAAAATTAAATAGTTTTACAAAGAGTCAGCTATCGATTGTTTGAGAAATCTGCGAGAATCGTTAAATAAGCAAAAGTTTTTTATTTAATATCAAGAAGAAATTATTTCAGGCTTTCTTTTCTTTCTGTAATTTTTTCCATCTACATTCTTATTTTGGTTTCAATCTTAGCAATAAAACTTCGATATGAAGCAATATTTTTTTTTTGTTATTTCTTCTAAAGCATGCGGTTCCATGATGTAATTAAAAAAGTATTCAGATGGTAAGGGCACACTTTCAGGGAAAATGTAGCAATTTAGTTTATGATGTCATAAAACTTAACATAGAGGAAATTAAAAAGTTTTATATTTTCTAAAGATAAATTCTAAACATGTTGGATATGTTTTATTTAAAAAATTTAAAAGACGGAGAGGAAGTTATAAAAAGATGTTTGCACTGTAAATTCATGAATATGATGACACATTAACTATCTATCAAACATTCAAATATAAGTTATAAATACTTGTAATGTTAGTATAAAAGTTTTCTTTAATGTGTGGCTTTTAAATCTATAAAACTGAATTTCTTTTAACATATGTTCCCTTCATGAGAATCAATTGACATAATCACAAGGATACAGCAGAAATTCAATGGCTATTTAGAGAATAACTTAAAAAACCTTAACATTTAGTTACGAGCATGGCATGAAACTTATAATTTCCCACTATCATGACATTTTTGACCTATTTTAATACTATTGTAAAAAGTTTAATGACTTATACTCTACCTTGATATCATGAAAAATATAAAAAGAATTAGTTCAACATTTCACACAAACAATTGATGCGAGGAGAAATTTAAGAGCTTTGGAAACTTCTTTCATGTTATCATGCTCTGGTACTCTTTACTATTCAATAAATAAGATGTATTCTGTAACTTTCTGTAACACATAAAAATAATAAATGTTTTAGAAGAACATTTACATATTGAAAAATTCGCAAGTTTTAATAAAAAACAGCATACAGCTAGAAACTAAAAAGATAGGATAACTTGAATAAGAAATAACAATGTTCAGGAGAGAACATTCATTCATGTTAATTGAACACGGTATATATTAAAATTAGAAAAGAATAATCAATGTAAGTTGTTATCTAATATCTCCATTATGTTAAGAAACACAATGTCTCTGTTGATTTGGAATTTGTGTCCTCCAATAATTTTCTTCCGAAAGATTGCGTTCTTTTGCCCTTGAGGAGTGTGCTTTTAAAACATGAAAAATTATCACGTAGTTTCAACCAACATAAGGCGTGCTGTTTTTGAATGAACGATTGGTTGTGGTATGCGATGCCTTAAGCTAAATTAAAATTTTGGTAGCATCAAAATCCTGCAAATTTATGTAATTTATTCATTTTATTCATCATAAAACAAATTAGAATATTTGACTGGTGAAAATGGAAAATAGTATGAAGGTTCGTCATCATTTTTATTCAGTTTCATGATTGTGTTTGTCGCATTTGATTAGCATTCAACAATCATTCACCGCTGCCTTTGCTTCCAAGTAGTGTCACTTGAATAACCTTTTCGGAAAGCATTTTATTTGCTTGCGACTCGACTCGATTTGTGAGAAAATGAAAAATAAAGAACAGATTTTCTCATGAACATTTTGCTTGTGTTAGTTGAGGGTCTACACGGAAAAAAAGCTTGGAGAACTCAAACCTTACTAGAAAGCTTCAGTATTTTCAAGTGAACAGAACAAATCTGAGTGATCGCAAAGTGGGTTGTTCAAAAAAAAAATTTGTTAGCAAATAGAATAGAATTTCAATCCAAAAATTAAAAAGAAGAAAAACCGTTGGAAGAAGAAAATCAAAGAAAAATTTTACTGCTTCAGTTATTATCGTAAAAAAAATCGAACCTTTGCAAACTATCGACAACGACAGTCTCCAAGTAGCTTAAAAAAAGGCACATGGCTTCGTTTCTATCATACTCTTCATGTATTTGTTAAAAGACACACATTTGAAAACGGCAATCAAAGTTCCGAAAAGTACGGAAAATCGGAGAGAGAAAAAAGGAAAATAAATACTCTTGCTGCTGCTATTCAGTATGTGATATAATTCTCGTGTGCTTTTACTTTACTTTTTCATCAACTCGCGCCAGTACGTTTGTGATAAACGACGAAGAGTGAAGTTTCAATTTCTAAGTATAAAATCGACAAAGAATCATAGGAGACAAATTCCGAGTGCATGAAAAAAGTTTCTTTTCTGTTGCTGAGAATACTTAACGAGAAATTTCTGTGAATATGTGAAAACTTTTAATACGCGTCATTACTCGAATAATTCATAACTTTGCTATTGACTTTAACCTTTGAATATATCATTATACAGACATTGTTGCTGCTTTCGTCACAAGACTGTGAATGTCATATCTTTTATTGTAATAAGACAATATTTGAGCAATTGGAATTTCCAAGTGAACTAAAAAAGTGTTAATTTCGAACTAAACATGTCTTGTACAATTCAATGAAATTAAAATCGAATAACACAAAAAGTTTTTCAGCCTCTCTAAAAAATGTCAATGCAATCAATGACGACAGTTTTTGCATTGACCTGAGCTTCACTAAAGGAAATTCTGTATAAAAAATATCGTCGCGGAACAGAAATCGTTAAAAGTACTGCATTGTTCGAGTAGAAAGGTAAACAAGAAACTTGAGGTGAATTTATAAAAGCTTGAATGATTCTGAAATCCGGGGAAATCAAAAGAAAGAAGAAACAAGATTAAAGAGAGTGTATTGGTTGATATTTATTCGAATGGGGGCGTCCAGTACAGGACCAAAGTCGAAAAAACGACGTACAGAAGAAAACCGTGATGATGAGAACAACCAACAGCCTCAAGAGATTCCGCCGCAGTTGAATGTTGATGATTTAGAAAACAATAATCATCACATTGTTTCGAATTCAAGAGATAGTGATTTAAATATCGCATCAATTAATGTTATGTTGAGCGAGTGCGACTTATTGAATAACAACACAACTATGACCAATAACAATTATTTAACTGTATCGCTTACACCTAGTGATCCCAACGCTTTCACAACAACACTTTGCAAGGTTAATACAAAACAATTGTCTTATCAGCTGTCAGAAAGAAAACTTTTACCATCGTGTGAAAATTGTAAGGACAAAACAGTAAAGGAAGGGTTTAAGAAAAGTTTAAAAAAGAAATTGGAAATCAAAGAGAATAAGAAGAAGAAAAAGGAAAAACCGAAAGCCCCGAGAGCGCCAGGCGGTGTTGGACAGGGTGGTGGCGGGAGAGGCCGCATGTCTGAGCAAGACCAAATGATGAGAAGCCCACGGAGAAAGCTTAACACAAAGCAAGAGAAGTAAATACAACATTTTAAGATTTTCGCTCTCGCATTTTTGTTTCGTAAAAGCTTATAAAAAGCTTTCTATAGTGAGAGCTTTTTCGTACTGCTTCATTTCTTTCTTTTTTCTTTTCTTTTACTTTCATGATTCTTCAATTTGAGCAAGGTTTGCCTTCACCAAGCTACAAACACTCAAACATTTGCTCACGAGAGATTATTTTTCTTATTTGTCTTACGTGAGATGCAAGCATACATAAGCATTATTTTCTGCCTTTTTAATTGCAAATTTAAAAGTTGTGTGCTAAAAATGCTAAAAGATTATGAATTCATGCTGATCATCAAACATCATCGTTCATCGCCTGTCAACAAACCACCTGTCTGCTATATGCTGAAGTTGAAGTTAAGCCTATGTGTTGTATGCGATCATCGGTCACTGCTACTTCTACCGTTATTTGAGTTAAAGCGGGCATTACAGGAAAAGTCTTTTAAAAAGCAATGTGTAGTTGATTAAAGTAGTTATAATTAGCCGCTAATGAAATATACATAAAATTTTATTTTTGATGTGTAACTTTGATATTGATATGGAATAGCTCAATATCATATTTATTCTTTTATATGCCATGTTTGATAAGGATAAAAGGAAAAAAAGAAAAAAAAAAACAAAAACAGTGCTTTTATTTTGCACGCAATCATTCACCTTCGGTTCTATATTTTTTCTAGTGTGTTGTTTGCTGTGAATTCTATAAGGGAGAGAAAGAGAGAGAGAGAGATGTGACACGTAAAAGTTTCCATGGTCAGTTACAAGCTAAATTACTTTTTTGTGGTTGGGCAGCAATAATGCGATTACAATCAAAGCGAAAGAGCTAAACCGACTATTTGCTTGCTTCCGTTGCAAAGCTTACCCGGTTGTTAATTTTGAGAGATTTCTGACTGGAACCCATTACGTACTGAAATTATGATATCACGACAGCACAAACTTTAAATAAGATTAAAATCTTTTTTACACTTCAACTGATTGTTCCTGATTCGATTTTTTAATAATTTAGTTATGATGAATGCTTCCATAATACCTAAATATTTATATACATAAATTTTAAAATACTTTCCTTGCTGACTTCTAAACTTTGTTAAGCATGAAGCTTTGATGGAAAATTACTTGCTTTGTGAAAGTAAACGCTGAATATATTAAAATAATCGAGCTTTAGGAATGCTTACGTATGTTTGCATGTCGTTAACCTCTGCAAACATTGATTTTTATGAGCAAAACGGAACTAGGTAATCTGACATTTTCAATTCAATTAGGTACTTGGATTTCCAATGATGATTGTTGATCCTTTCATGTGCTATCCATGACCTGGTTTTAAAATCATCCACTTCGATATATTTACATACGTCATATTTTAATAATAAGATATTTATACGAGTTTTAAATAACTTTTTAACATTACCTGCAACCAACTGGCATCTCTTGAAACTTATGCAATACAATAAAATATTCTGAGATTATTCTGATTTTTTAAAAGTACGAAGAGCAAAATAATAAATTATCTCTATAAGATATCTTTAGCGCTTTTCATACTTTTGTTTTAATGCTAAAGATCTTTCAATAGTAAAGGATTGCGCTAGAAATATTCAAGCACTTTCAAAAACTCAATTGCCACTCATTTAGATTCTAAAAGACTAACGATTAGAGACTAATAAAAATTCCTACTAACTACTTAAAGACATATTTCAAAATTAATTGTGCATGTGAAACTATTGAATCATCGCCAGAGATTTTTTTAAACAAATGAAGCATGAATTTAAACGCAAAAATAAACCTTTTAGATTCCCATATCTTTAAGAAAAAGTTAAGGGCGAGAAAAAAGAAACTTGTTGGCTTGGAAAGGATCCAGAAATAATTCGTTTTTTTGTAGAAAAACACATTATTTCTCACTAGAAGAAAGTTTTTCTATAAGTAATTCTTCCGAAAATAATCTTATTATATCTTCTCAGATACCTTTTAGATCGTAAACTAAACGATTTCTTTTGGAAAGCCATCATGAAAGCAATAAAATATATATAAGCAGATAAAAAAGACAATTTATATTAATTTCTCAACATTTTTCATGACTATGATCAGTCATTCATATCATGACATTTCAATGTCAAATAGTTTGGAGTCATCCTGAACTATTGAAGGGAAAGTTGGAGATCTTTTAATGCTAAACAAAAATAAAACTAAGATACAGAATAATACGACTGTTTTAATATTTAGACATGCGCTTCCCGACTTTCTCTTATACGCTAAAAAGAAAGAAAAAAAAATTAAATAAAATATTTTCATGAGAAATTTGCTTTTGCTGATGTGCAAATTTCTTTTTCTTCCTTTAAGCTTCTCCAACGTGTGAAAGCTTTTTGTTCCTAGTAATGTCATTGCATGGAAATGGAATTAATAATAAATAGCTTTCTGACTTCCATTCTCTCACTTTGCTTTGTTGAAAGTCGATGTAAACGCACGGAACAAGCATACACTTATTTGTTGCATTGTTCTTACAAGTTATAATTTTTCAATCTATAAAAACCATTATAAAAACTCTTTGAATTTTAAGTATCTTTTACGTCCACAATTAATTAAAGAATTTAATAATTTACGTAATTAAATAAGAAAAAAAAATCTACCCTCTTAACCAAGATTCTATAAATCTCTTTTCTTCATTGATTACACAATGTTTTCCTTCAACAGATTATGAGATTTGGCAAATGAAGTTAGTTATGTGATTGTTTGAAAATTGTTTCCTCTTAACTGCCTTGTCTTGATTCTTCTATTCATAGTCATTCATAATAATCTTTCGTATATCTACAACAATTATCTTGTGATAACATTATGAACAGATACTATGAGAAACAGGAAGAACTCTGTAATTTGCTTGATGAAAAAATCTGATAAACGAAAGCTCGACATTTTCAGTGCTCTCCGCACAGCATTCGCTCCATATGTATGAGAACGTTTTTGCAGAGCAATGTAAAAAAGCATAAAACCCGGCAGTAGCAATATGGCGGATTGCGATTCAGTAGGGGAAAATATTTTTTCATCCTTTGAAGTCGTGAAACTTTCGCGTAAAAGTTGGTTCAGAAGGATTTTAAAAACACAAAAATGTGCTGCGTTTACGCATAACTCAATCAGTTTTCTAAATCAATAATCATTCAGTATCATCATTGGATTCGAGTGAGGATTTATTTAGGAAAATCATTCTTTCTATCGCTTTGATAAAAAGAAATAGACATCTTCTTATCTTTGAGAGAGAGCGAGTGTTTTACAGTGTCTTTAGTGGATATCGTTGTTGAGAGGATAAAATGAACTTTCGTGGATGGGCGAAAACTATTGAATCCTTTAAAAAAAACTCTAATTTTTAATCTTAAGAATGAGAACAAATGTGAATTAGAAAGATGATCTCAAAAACTAGAATATTTAAGGAAAGAGGAAACATATAATGGAAAAATGTTATTTAAAGCGTGTTTTGTTTTGTAGTGGTGTCTTGATTTGTAAACTCTTTGAATGTGCAATTAAAAGTTCAAAAGTTCATTATTAAATTCTGCTAGTTTTCAACCCTTTGAGAAATCAATCTGTTATCAAAAGTTTAATTAAAACTTTGATGAAAACATAACTTTATCATTAATGAAATGAAAACTTCAGTTTTTTTCGCTTACGCTTGCTTTTTTTCTCGATTTCTACCACGATTCAAATCTTCTAAATGAACAAGCAATTAATATTCATGTGACGACAAATAACTCAACAGTTTTAAGTTACGAAATTGTTTTCAACACTATGACTTTAACATCATTAACTTCGTTTTGTTTTCCTCCTTTTTCTTTCATCTTCGTGGAAATGTTTATTTATTTGTTGTACAATCTTTTTTCGAAAACAAACAAAATAGAAAGCAAGTTGCTGACTAACAATCAACAAAATATTTTCACAAACACAAATGACTAAAATAATTTGCTGAAGGTCTAATCATGAACTTTAATTGAAGAGAAAAATCTCATCATTTTTCTTGATGGAGCTATTTGTTTATCGAAGAGATTGATGTTTAATATCTTGATTTTCCTAGATTTATCATTGCCCTCTTTCCATTATTTTCATGGTTCAATTCATTTCCCATAAATAAAATTATGATGAAGAAAGAAAAGAAATCGTCTACGAGACGACATAAAAATCTTCATCTGGCTGTACGCATTATTTATAAACGAACTTTACTCGTGAGCTAAGAATATCTTTGAGACACTTTGTTCACAAAACTAGGAATTAATATATTAAGTAAGTGACAAAGTCATCTCACTCTTTGCGTGTCGAGAAGCTTGTTACTTTCATATAAATATTTATTTAACTTTATTGTTTTCGATGCAACAAAATCATTTTCTTTTCATCGTGAAAATTTGTTTAAATCTTAAACGAGCTACAGTTAATCTGTTAAAAGTCAACAACACTATAAGAAAAGATTGAAATCAACATAAACTGTACATCCATATCAAGATTATTAGTATGATTCACATCAAAACAAATTCATGAGAGATTCAGAAAAATTCTCAACCTATCCTCAAGCTGAAAGTGAATATGTTCTTCACTTTTCACAGCTATCAAACCTTCCAAAACATTGACCAACACAGATAAAGCTATCGTAGGAAACTATAAATACAATAAACACTTTCGTATTCGGCACTGTGGGTCTATTTAAACACTTCCGATTCTCATCGAGTTTTCATAATGATGAAATAATTTAAAATAAGATTACGAAACTTACGTTCGAATCTCTAACTTGCTTCAGGCTTCGAACGAAACAAAACTCATTTGAGATACTATCTGACAAGACATACACTCTTCATAAAAGAAAGTCTTTGTATATATTACGTTTTCATATTATTATTATCTTTAATTTCATTTAGATATATACGTTTCTTGTTTTCAATGCAAATTGAAAAGAGCTCAGCTGCGGTTGTGAATTTTTAGTGATGAAAGAATTTGCAAAACAAAAAGAAGAAAAAAATAATAAAAAATATTAAACTGAAAGTAATTAGTGGTGCGCCTCAATTTTTATTTAGAAGATTTAAACGTCGACACTCTGTGAGAAGGACTCAAATTTACTGCCAAATTGTGTGAAATCAAACAAGTGTGAAAAGATAACTCAGTCGAAATTGACTTGAAGGTTGAGAATTGACTGAAATTTTCCTAAACTTTGATATAAATGATGCTGGGACTAGTTAAAATTATATATGAAAGAACATTTTTCTTCAAATAAGTATAATGAGAGAAATTAAGATTGCCTAAGATGACATTGACATGAAATATAAACTCTCGTGCGTCATCACTGCACTCATCGTAGACTTTGAAATTTCATTAAATGTAAAAAAAAAGTCATGGTGAAGCTGAAATGAAACCACCATAGATCATGCAGATGATATTAGTCGGGGCTGGCGGGTAAGTTAAAAATAGTTATCAAGTTAGAAATCGTACCTATAAATAATCTCAAGAATAAGTCAAATGTGCAGCTTTCCAATCGAGCATTGCCCGAGAATAAGTCGATCATATGATTCTTCCAAAACATTCGCCCTATCTCACTCTTATCCGTTGAGGCAGATCGTGAGAAAATTTTGTATGTTGGAAAAATTTTCCGTTGTCGTGTGCCCATGTGGAAAATCTATTTTCCGCATTTCTTCGTTGTTTGAGAGTAACTGATGAATGTGTTAGTTCTTTCAAAATTTTAAAACGTATCGTCGTTTGTATGTAACAAGAAAATATCATATGAACTGCGACGTTTCGGTTTCTTGGATTTTGCGTGTTGGAACTTAAATAAAAACCGATGTCGGTTTGATAGTCTGGTCACTCTGCGTTTTTTTTAATATTCTTACATTTATTAAATTTCCATGATCGTCATAAATTCAATATTACAATGAATCACGGAAAAAGTACGAAAGTTTCCAGTTTTACATAGAAAATAAAATACGAAGACTACTTTAATGAAACGTTACGTCATAGGAATCACGCTCTTTGCAAAATGTTTAGATTTTATATAAGCCTAAAATAATATTTTATTGCAATCGTGTGACAATCAAATTCACATTTTTCTCAATGTCATTTGCTTTGGTAATTATATCTAGTAAATGTCTTGGCTATGATTTCAAAGAAATTTTCGTTCAAACCATTATTTCGACAGATGAACTTCCCATAAATAAAATATTATGTATTGTTTATCTGTTTCTTTTAATTCAACAACTCAACTCGAGTAAATAAATTTTGTAAATAGAACACAGTTTAGAGATGCTTTTCCAATCTTTCATAATACATCTTTTTTCAGTACATAAATAAATTTCATTTGATAACCATAGGTCATCGAAACATTTATATCTACAACTTATTAATAAGATAATAATGTAGGGATTATGGAAAGTGGTTTTATTACTCATTTCTTTTTCTTGAGTAACTTTTTACCTATTCTTTCCCAATTCAAAAACTATTGTTGTTGTTTTTTTTTCAAAACTTTGAATTCAAAGAAAGTTTCATCTGAAGCTATCATTGCATAATTTATCTTTTTATCAAGAAAAAGCTTCTTAAAATGAAATCAGGAGCAAATATTTTTGAACGAAACTAAATTTTTGACTAAAAACATTTTACAAAGTTAAATTTTTACTTGTCAACTATACTATACATAATATATCTGATTTTTCATACATTCATATTATCAGTTTTCCAGACACGGATTTTATTTAAAAATTTATCAAACTCGCTATCTTGCTGCATCAGTAATTTGTTTCCAACCATTTTTTTCTAACAATTTATGCTTGCTCATGAAAAATTTCGTTAGGGATTTCGTTTTCCAAAATGTAAAGAAATTTAACATGAAACATTGGAAAACATCGAGAAAAGAAACATGATTGCAGTGTGTCCTTAGCATGTGATTTTATAGATGTAGTTGTAAAAGCTTCTCTTGAGAATGTTTTCCGCTCTTCGCCAGCGAGTGTTCAAGCTTCAGTGTTATCGGAAAGTTCTATAAAGAAAAAGCAAAATGTAAACGTTTTCATGTTGCCGATCTGAATATTTAGAAAGCGACAAAAAATATCAACAATCGCGTTGTTGTTTCACTTCAACCTTTGGTTCAGTCTGTTGTAGTACGTGTTAAAAGTTATTTTATTTTTCTCTCCTCTCGAGTTTTGCGGTTTCCCTTTAATATACATTTCAACTTGCAAGTTTTTTTAATTTTTATTTAAATATGATAATTTTACAATCCTGCAACAACAAAAAATATTTTTTATTATTTAATAGGAAAGCGTGGGTGTGTAGAGTTTAATAAGTGAAAGTTTAAGTAATACTTAATTTTGTTAACAAAAGAAAAAAAAAATAGAACAGAAAATATTTAATAATGGAAATAATAGAAAAAATAGTTTAGAAGTGTTGAGAAAAGCTTTTGTCGCATAAGGACATCGCTTTGATGTCTATTTTTATACACAAACAACAGTGATTCACTTGGGAACTATAATTAATGAATTTCAAATTCTGGGCGGATAATACTGCAGTTTGGGTTCTGAAATACACACACACAAACACAATCTTATGCACACGTGACAGTTTTTCTTACTGAAGACTGAAAGAATGAACAGCTGAATGAATTTTATAAATTTGAAAAAATAATAATTATCTGCAATGCATCGTTGTTATTCAAGCTGATATAATTTCCTCTACATATTTTATTGCAACATTTGCATAAATTTTATAATTATTGACTATAATTACCCTTTAAACAAGATTTTCGCTTCTTCTACTTTTCCGTGGAAAGCAAAAAGCTGAATTAATCATGTTTATCTCTGATATTTTCTCCATATATATTAAAAGTTGAAAAATTTATTTCTCGAAAAAAGAATCAAGATTTTTTTAAAAAAAGTTGTTTCATTGAAGTATAAGGCGTTTAAGAATTGTTAAATGAAAATGACTGGAAAACGCCATTTTAATCTCAGCTTCGTAAAGTGAACTACAAAATTACAATTCAAGGTGTCTATTATATACGTTATAAATAAATTAAAATAATTTGCCACTCCTGACGGAATATACATTTAGCCTAAATATGTCAACTCCCAAATTCAAAAATTATTCTCTAACGTTTGTGATCATTTTCAAAAAATAAGCATCTACATAATAATGAACTGAATTAGAGGAATAGAAAATCAGGATGTTTTATTTTCAACTTGAATTCTAATATTAGAGTAGACAAAATATATTTCAAAATCAATATGTCATTTTAATTAAATTTTTATTAGCTTCGCTCATCATCAAACCAGAATAAATAAAAGAAAATGTCATCACAGTTTGTCGTCGTACAAATAAAAATTTTTCCGAGAGCAGAAGAGAACGCTAGACGTGGCGATTTTAAACGAATTCGATTCACTCTGGGCAGAGCTATATAAATTTTCTCCTCGATTCAGTCGTTCATTGCTTTTCCTGCTTTGTCTTTCTGTTCACTTTTTAAGGCGCTGTCATGATTTTAAATAAATATTATATTAACAATAGTATATTATCAATCGTATAAACAAGAAGATAAAAAATCATTGTTATATGTTTGTGGTACGTGCGAATTTAGTGATAATGTAATAAATTCTGCCTTTTCCCTAGAAGTGATCCATTATGAAGTTAAATTTTAATAAACAATAAAATTTGCTGAGATAAAAAAAATGAGAAGAAAAGTGGAAACAGTGTGAAAACTTAAAAGTTTTTAAACGATGGAACAAATTAAGAAAGTAGAATTTTCTCGTGTTCTAAGAAATATAAAATCAATGAAATTGAGAAGAGAAGATGCTTGACACAATGAATTAGTTTAACTAAGCGCCTTAAGAAAAGGGAATTGTCATTATTAGTTTAATTTGTGTATAAATGGCTGCCGTAGCAGGATTATACGGTCTCGGCCCTGACGACGGACGACATCAACGACGTCGGGGACAAGATAAGTGCGGTCAAACGCCTGATGGTCTCAGCGAGCCGTAAGGATCTCCATTAATTATTTTTCAAAAAAAATTAAAACCTTTTAATTAGAACCGAATTTATGTTGTTCTTCCTTTTACGAAACTTTACAATTTGCTCTGCAATCTGAACGAAATTAAAATCTAAATTCGAAATTAATTTACGAATGGTGAGTTTTCTCGTGGTTTCTCGGTTTTAAGCACTTCTATTTTATTCTATCACTGTACATGGAAAAAAATCACGTTTCTGGTCTTCACAAATATGTTACATTTGACTAAGAGTGAGCATAAAACGAATGCGATGATTTTTAATCAATAAAAATTAATTTTGTTTAACTGTAATGAATGTCATCACACACAATAAACAAAGTTATTCAACCCCTGCTGTTAAATTTCAATTTTCATGTCGTTGGATGTCATTTTTATTGATTAAAAACTCCTTCAAAAGTTATGATTTTGCATTAAAAATCCTTTTCTCTTTTTGCTTGCTTCAATAAAATAAAAAAAATCATAAAATTGGCGAAGGCTTCTTCTCTGAAATTCTAGTTCTATTTAAACTTTCATAAACACACGAATGAAACTTCCACCCTTGCATGCTTATTGGACTCATTAGGCGTGAAGATTTGTTATTTCCACTGTTTTTCCTTTGCTTACACTTTCTATGAATGAAAAACACAGGGAAACGTTTATCGTGACTGAAGTAATTGATAACAAAAATTACGAATCGGTCGATATTTTTCGTCATAAAATAAGGATGAGGAAACTAGAAAAAAGTATAAATGGATGTTTAACCTAAGCCTTTGAAATTTTAGGAGGGAAGTTTCCAACAAAACAGTTTTTGAAGCGAATAAGCTTAGGTTAAAATATAATTCTAAACGTCTATGGAATGATTATAAGTTGCTAATGCTAAGCAATTTACATAAATATGGAAACCTTTTTTTTTGCTTTATTTCGATAAAATCGTCAACTCAGTTTAGGGAAACCAACGAACATTAGCAACGATTTCCTTCATTTAATATTATTGAGTTCGTATTTTCAGTGTCATTTCTCGCGACAAGAGTGGTGTTAAAAATAAATCCACTTTTCGTCGATCGATTGAAGACAAAGTTTATCTTCTGTTGATTCAATTTTTCAACGCTTAAATTACAAGAAAACATCTGTGAACAATTGTTTTTCGTAAAAATAAGATGATAAAATACTTATAAGAAGATAAACTTGTAATAAGTAGATATTGGAAGGTATGCTGGAAGGCTTTCTAAATGAGAAAATCTTTTATTTTACTTAGCGTAAGTTCGTCTTTTATTTCCTACCACATGCAATCTATTATTTCGAAATATTGTCAATTAAATGAAATTTTCGTGCAAACTATTTTGAAGATTTAATAGAGGAAAACTTGAAAAACTTGTGATATGCTTGGAAAAGCTGTTAAACATTTTGCAATAAGCACCTTTTCGTCATTAAAGCTGTAGATATTTGTTCTTAATTTTCATTTTGATCGTTCTTCTGAAGGAAAGCATAAAAAATCTAAAAGAATAATCAATTTAAATTTAATTTAAAGCATATAACGAGACTTCAAATTGTCATTGCTGCAATATCTAGTCAAAATGGATGAGAATATGTGGAGAACATTATTTATTGATAGTTATTGGCCTTCAATCAATAAACGTTTCCCTCTCTCTTTTTAGTTTTCCCTATACTTGTTTTCCCTCGTTAGCGTTGATTTCAGCATTTCGTTTCAAATTTCATCTCTACTTTATGTAAGCGAGCATTGGAGAAACTCTTAGGTTTAATGTTTGGTCCTAGCAAACATCAATAATCGTTAAAATATAGTTTTCATATCCATAACCCAGATTTACATCAAACTGGATAAAGAAACATAGTGGAAATTACTTTAATTTTTAATACAAGCGTTGGGCAAGAGTCTTCATGTACATATAATTAAAATGAAGTCTGATAATACATCGACAAAATAATATTTATTCCATTTGTTTAAACGTGAGTTGTGAAAAGTATTTTAAATATCTTATATGTATTTATTCAAAATATTTTTTTTACAATCAATGTTAAACAAAAAAAAGTATTTTTGACACGGTGAACCAGACACAGAAGTATAGAAAATTAGAATCCAACAATTATTCATTCATAGAAAAAACCAAATTAATATTAAATTCATGAATGTGTTTTGAAAAAATTCATTCTATTATGTTCTGCTTCGTAAGCTTACTGGGAGGAAAGTACAGGCAATGGTCATGAAAACAATGAAGCAAGGAAAAGCTTTTTATTTTTTCGAATGTTTCATGTTTCAGAGAAATTATGAATAAATTTTTATTTCTTCGTACCGTGTGTTGCTTTGCCATCCATTCTATCGATTTTTAGTTACGCTTTTGTAATTTTTTCTTCTTTGTTTACGGGAACAGAGCTCAGAGCTTTTGAAGTAAAATGAAAAATACCACAAAAGAAAAATCAATGGAAAATCCATGCAATTTTTCTTTACTTATTTATTTAGTTAGCTTCTGGTGTCATAAGTAAAGATTTTCTTTTCTCTGTTTTTCTTTTGTTGATTCAATCCTTTTAGTCATGGAACTAGAAAATCATATAAATTTTCCTCCGTTGCCATTTGTCATATGTTGAAGGGCAATGAGGGTTAATTTATGCTAGAATTTATGTTTCTTCACATTTTTATAAACAAAATATTCAGATTTCAATGTGAAATGTTGAGCTGGAACATTGAATTGCCACTTTGCATTATTTAGAATTATAATTTATTTTGTTGATTTCAAAGCAAAATCAAATGCTGTAACGGAACGCAATCTGTGTTCATTTTTTATGAACATTTTCAGAACTAGATATTTTACTAAATTTCCTAATTTTATGCCTTGACTTTTGAAAAATGAACAGAAAGGAATGCATATTATAGGGCGTTTGAAGATAAATGTCTCAAGTGAAGTTTGTTGGAGCCGAGACTATTTTTTGGCATTATTACAAGGTTCTTGTTTCTTGCGTGTTCGTTTGCTTGCTTCATATATTTTTCTAAAGTAGTGATAACAATTTACTGACCTAATTGTTTAAATCCTACCAAACGTTTCATTGTATCAATTATTTGGGAAAATGTAGAAATCAAGCATTTATGTTTGTACTAGAAAAAGAAATGAGAAATAAAACACATTTTCTTTTATGACATTTCTAATTGACCACAAATTTTTAATTTGCTTATTTTTATTTTTATTTCTTTATACATATATCTAAGTGCTTTGAACAAAGTCAAGAAAAAAGTAAATAATTTTAACGAATAATTAAATGTTCAGACATTAAATGTCATGAAGTATTACACTTACTATTTCTAGTGTTTGATTTCCTTTTTACAATTTATATTTATCGCTTGTTTTAATTAGATATGCATTTATAAAACATTCATAAATTCACTGCTTTTGGCGGAATTAAAGTTTAAACTGTCAGGAAAGGACATTGAACCGTACACGACAAGTTAACTAAAGTAATTATTTTTAGCAATTTACGATTCATTATTGTCGCCAGGAAAATAAAACATGAAATAATTTCCGCTAACATAATAATTAGTCACGTGTTACGCATTTTCAAACATAAAAAAACAATTATAGGAATGCACATCATGATGTAGTATTCTTCAAAGCTTTCTAGTTTTGGCGCATCTTTGATGCATAGCATTTCTTTCTCAAATTTATTCAAGTATGTTCCAAATGAATTAAAAATTGCAAGTACATATATTCGAATAATATAGAACAAAGCATTTTACTAAGAATTTCGATAGAATTTTCGGAATACAACTATGAGATAAACCTGATTGTTCTGTTTTATATATAGCATGAAAGCTTTCGGACAATCGCTTTCATCTTTTTCATCATATCAATATAGAGCTTTGATGTACTAGATTTTCCATTTGAGAGACATTGCGGCTCTCTTTTCCAGCCTTATATAATCTTATATCATATGCAACTGTTGTTCAGTTGTGTTGAACTTTTTAAATGCATATTATGCCAACTTTGAAGATGCGTGTTAATAATTCTTGGATCTAAAAAATTGTTATAGTTAAAAATGCTTAGAATTGTTCAGGTCTGTAGATAATATGATTATTAAAGTAGATTATTATTATTATATTCTTCAATTACTGAATTCTATAATCGCCTTGATTTACAATAAATGTAACAAGCAAAATAATTTCTAGCTTTGTGTAATGTAGTAATTTTTTTATAATGAAGATGGCATCTCTAAATGCAAAAGATGAAAAATATCTAAAATGATTTTTTTTTCTCTATTATAACTAAATTCTTAAATTCTTTTCATCAGACATTTCCTTTATATAATCAAAACACAAAATCAATTGATTGATGACAAACGCGCGGTTGTTTCTCCTGATTCACTTATGAATCAATATTTTTTTCTATGAATTGATTCAATGCTGAGAAAAAGAAACGAATAAGTTCACAAAATTGCAATTTTATTTACTCGTTCATTTTTACGAGCTTTTTATTTGTTCACTTAGGGAAACGAAATTTCCTCTCGTTTTTTCTTTGCTTATGCTCTTCATATCTTGTAACTAAGGTTCTTCTCAATTTTCCTTTCGATGAAGTTAATAAGCCAATCTATATCATCTGAAATGTTGTTAATCCACCAATGGAGCCTGAAACTTTTTCATATTTCCATAACACAAATCAATATTTTGGGAAGCGAAAATTGACTTTTAGTAGTAGCATTGCAACTTCTCTGTGACACATTTAAAGATATTGTTTCATGCCTCTTAAAATATTAAAACTATCATTTCTCTACTCTATGTAATTGTCAAGGGGCTGTTCATCGAATAAAATTGGCCGGCAGAAGCACCATTGGTGCATTGAAGCACTAGACAAATTCCAAGAAAATGTAAGCAAATTCTTGGAAAAAGGCCATTTTTCTTGAAAAGCACTAGTGATTTCTGATGCTTCATTTGGAGGCACCCGGCAGAAGCACTACGATGATTTACCCCTTGGTAATTGTTATCATTACTCATGTCGACATTCCAGAGAATTACTTGAAAAATATCTGCCATAGATAAGAATACATTCATTCTTGAAAATTGTGTGCAAGTATTTCTCACACTTGACTGTTTAACTCTGGTCATTAACATAATTAAGGAGTTTTCATATACGTCGAAACATTTAAGTGAGAAGAAAAAAAGGAAACCAATAAATAAATATGATCAATCAAAAATTTCATCATCCCAAAAATTAGAAAAATCCAATCAATTCGGATTTTTCTAATTTTTGGGATGATGAAATTTTTGATCATATTTATTTCCTTTACAAATATTCTAAGCGTTGGAAATTATCTGTTTAAATATTGTAACTTTAAAAGCAACACCTTGGATAAAAGCAAACACACAAAAACATTTAAGTAAACAAAAGTTCCAATAAACTTTCAGATTTGGTATCGTGTTCTGATTTATCACGAAACAAATTTTTAGGTTTCCAAAAGAGAAAGGTACCAGCAAGCATAATTGAAAGCTTATAGATTTAATGACAGTCATTGGTAACCATTTCCATGTTATACATTTCCTGCTCGTTATTTCCTTAAGTTCAGTTTTTTTTATTGTTATAATTATTTCTTTGTTTGCATTTATTTTTTGACATACCTCAGTATTTGAGCAATAAGCAAATTATACCTATTTAAAGATTGTCAGGAGAATTTTTTAAGAGGTTGAAATTCAACAGTTCATTGAAAAAATAAAGAATCATGAAGTTTCTACTCATGAGAATCTTTAATCTATTTTCATTATGCTTGTCCATATTTTCTTTTATATCCTAAAGCAATTTGAGAACGGCATTTAGCTTTTCTTTTTTTTTGCAACCAACACTGTTTTATGATCTTTATGGAAATTCTCACGAGTCTTGCGCATTTTTAAAGACACCAATTTACAATTAATCATCGTTGTTTTTTTGCTGTAAAATAAGCTGAAATATTTTATTTTTCGATGGGGAAGACATACGCCGTCACAAATTTTTGATTTTTACTATCATAATTTTTTGAATATCAATTTTCATTCTCCTCTCTTTAGGAGAACATTCTCTCTTGCTTTCTCTCCTCTCTTCTTCTATATTCCTCTCAATATCTGAAAGTTTTCTTCTTCGTTTTTTTGAGATTCAAGGTAAATCAAATACTAGTTAGGAGACCCGTTTCAGCTAATAGGAAAATAGAATCTTCCTTAAAGATAATTTTGGAATTTCTTCCTTCAATATTTTATTAATGAAAATTAAAATCTGACAGGCAAACAGATGCAGCTTTTACATAACAAAGCTCTGATAAGATTTTCACGCATGCTCAGGAATCTCTATCTCAATAATTTTTTTTGGTGAAGTTTTTCTTCTTTTTTCGCAGTACATACATTTTATGGAAAAGAAAACTAACCAGTGTTCGGTTCCCAGCACAAGAGAAATTATTTGCCTATCAAATAAAATTTAACCAAAGAAGCAATTTATTGAAAAACAATCAAAAACTAAGTAAAGATTTATATGAAATCATAAAAAAGTGAAGTTCTATTGAAAATTATCCGAAACGCATGTGAAATCAGTGGGAAATCCTCTGGAACAATCTTGACGAAAAACTTTTTTTCTCATAAAAAAGGGAAATTTTTGCAAATGTGGAACTTAATTCTTTAAAGTCTAAAAGTGCTCGGCTTTTTACTAAAGTTTTTCTATTGAATCAACGAAGAAATCAAGCTTAAATCAAAGTGTATGGCATAAAAGAAGCAATCTGTTTTCAGTAATTTTTCAATTGTGTAAATTTAAATAAGCTTTAAAAAAAAGAATAATTTTATTAGTGTGAAAATTGATTACAAAGCAATCCATTTTTATTTTAAATAAATATAATGGGGGAAAGTCACAGGAAGACGCATCGATTATACGAAAATTCTTATGATTGGGAACTTCCTGAATAATAAAAGTCAGGGTCACGACACACAACAATTTTTTTCTAGGAAATTTTTTTTTGGTGTGAGCAAAAATCTCACGTAAACCATAACTTCGTGTGAAAATAGCAATTTTAACTGAGAAACAGTTGACCAAATTCTGTGATATGTATCCTAATCAGCATTCAGGAACGAGTAATTTTCCGTTGGACTCAATGCGCATATGTTGCACATTATCCTTAATTATTTTCCATCTTTCACAATAGAACAAACTAGATTTTGATTGTTTTTAATGAAAAAGGCTGTTGATGCGAAAGTTCAAATGTATTGGGCTTTCAGCCAAGAATTCTTCTTTGATTTTTTTCGGCTCCATTCAAAAATCGAAAGTGAATATTGATGAGTGAAGAAAAGTGAGATAGAAATTTTCCACGAATTATTAATAATTTTAAACAATTATTGTTTCTCTTTTAAGTGTTCAATAATTAATTTTTTTCTTAAAAGATTAAGTGATTGTGAAAGATTGAAAACTCAATTATCTCACACCTTCAACTTATGTTAGGATTCTTAGGAAGAAATTTTTTTCATCTGCTTAAAAGAACAAACAATTAAAAAAAAATGAAAGGAAAATCAGACTTTCAGTTTTTGGATTCATTTCATGGAGTGAAACATTACTCGTCAGTTTGTTGCGTAATTTTTCATTTCGTCAAGCTTTATCGAGTGTGGAGATACAATATTTACACGCCCTTTCAAAGACGGATGGATAACAAGTAGTCATGTCTTCTGCTATCAGTATTTTCCTGCCATGTTTTTCAAGGAGTATAAATAAGAAATTCCTACACAGAAGCGGTTCATATTGTCAATAATTAAAGCTATAAAACATACGTTTATCTCAGAATAAAAAAGAGAGAATTTGCGAGCCAGTGACTTTCCATCGATATCATATTTTTAAACATTCCGATAGACAGTACATTATTCATTTTTGAGAAAAAATTTATTTGTTATAAAGTTACGTAAAAGAAAATATAATTTTCTACAGGTTTATCTTCAAAGAAATCCGAAACTGTTTGAAGATTTAGATACATTAAGAGGAAAACGCTATAAACCATCGTTTTCAAGTGTTTGTGAAGATAATTTAAAAAGATTAAAGAGGAAAATCTGGTCGGAGGATATAAATGAAAGTTGACAATTATTTTGCAAATAGATAACGAGAAGACGCCGTCTCGTGAGTCGGCATTAGCCATTTCTCGTATAGATTTAATTGGAAAATGGGGCCTGACACCCGTTCTCGAGGCCAGACAAGATCCTCCGAGTTGCGGTGAAAGTCAAATTAGTGGGCCGCCCCCTCTTTTTAACGACAGGTAAATAATGTTGCGTTGAATATTCATATTTGTCTTTTCTTCTCCTGCTGAATAAAATTTCCTGCGCGTCGTTATAAGAGTGAACAAAAAATCTTCATAACGATCAAATTGCCTTTATTCCGCGACATATTTTATGAGTTTTGTTTTCAAATTTATTTCTTGAAAACACAAGAAAGAAGAAAAAATGTTTTCTATGCTTTAAGGAAACACTTCATGTTTCAACTTCTTCGCCCTTAGCGCATGTGCAACGCTCAGTTAACAGAAAGATTTTGCTTTACTTCAATCAGAATAAAAGAGAGAAACAGCAAAATATACGGGAAAAAAATTGTTATGTGTAAAATAATTTGGAAAAAAGAAAAACAAGAAAGCGAAAAACTTTACATTTATATGCTCATGCAGAGATATGAGAATATTTTTGCTACATTACTTCAATACCTCAACTGTCCCCCATATTCTTCCCTATTTCAACTTCTCCCTCCTAAAAATGTAAATATATTTTCATGGTGATATAAATCGAGAATAAAATATGGCTTTCCTTCATGCTTTTTTCTTATGACGATAACGACACAAAAAAGAAATCGTCTTCATGGAATCAAATATCGGAAATCATTTGTGTAACTGGATGAAAACTTAAATATTTTTTCTCACAATATTTTTCCGTAAACATTGAACAAGAAAACATTTTTTTTTTCAGAAGTCAGAGTGGTCATTGTTGTTTTCTTCTTACTTACATTTTTAATCAAGCTTCTAATATTGTTTACTCCCTAGTAAGACATTTTTTTGTTCTAAACAAAGCCAAGGTCTTTCCTGCAAATGTGATTTTTTAATCAATCAAAGTCGTTTCTAAATCAGGATGTTTGTGAGGTGGATTTGAAAGAAACGCAAATAAAAACTACTCGTAAAAAAACTTTTCACGAGATTTTATTTTGTAAGGAAATAGTTGAATTATTGGAAAGAGAATAATAGCTTTGATTTTCGTGTTTATTCGATTTTGAGGATGGAAATATGTGATTATTATTCATATTTCTTTCTTTGAGATTTCTTGTAATTGTTCTTTCCAATATTTACATATGTCCAACATTATTTTAAATCGTTTGAACTAGCATTTTTTTCAACTAAGATGTCAAATTATAAATTATAATACAAAAATAATATTTTTGTTGATATGCTTTTAATGCCAGCAACAGTTGCCAGAAAACTAAATAAGTATTTCTGTTTCTTCCTCTACAAACTGAGTTTAAATATTTCTCAAGCAACAATAATCAATATCGAATTTAATTTAATCTTTTGGAATTCTATCAAATTGACACCATTGCATGAAAATGAACTACAAATGTCTTTTCATTTTTATTGAGAATTGTTGCAGTTTTTGTACTCACTAGGTTCATGGTTTTTTAAATTTAGCGTAGCGAATGTCGCTTGTTAAACGATTACCAAGGTCGTTAGAGTTTATGTCGTCGAAAAGAAAATCGTAACATGTTAGGCTTCATACACGTTTCGGAAACTTTGCTTCATCAACGAACTGTGTAGAAGTTCTCTAAGTAAACATGCAAAAAAAGTTGTAAATAATGTATTCAGAGTAAGGAGATAACATTTAAACATGCCTCACTCTTGCTTCGTCGTTGAACAGTTTGTCTATTTTTTTCTTTCAATCATAACCGTGGAGAAACTTATTTTTAGACTTAAATTGGTATGCGAAGTAAGATTTTCTCTTCTTGTTTTTCTGAGTAACGCAAGCGTTGAAGTGTCATAAATGCCGTGGTGTTAAATACTTACGTAGATAAATATTCCAAAAATAAAATTAGAAGAAAATTATATTTATTACAAGAGACTATGTAGATGATAATTTATGCTATAACTAAAAGTGAAAGTTCACAACATAATTGCAGCGAATAACCATCAATTATATCATTATACAATTATGTAGTTTATACATCGATAAAATTTTATTTGATATCAAATTTCACAATTAATATTCACTCCTATCCACGAAATCTGAAACAGAAAACTATTCACAAGCAAGTGTTTTAAAGTTTTCCTTTAAAAGCATACACATTACATTCTGGGATGTATGAAATTGTTTAAAACAAAGCGAGTAGTTACAATTTCATGACGCACACATTTTGGCTACATGCAGAAAAAATTGAACTGTGCAAAATTTTTCTTTCCTTTTATTAATGTCGATTAAGATATAGCACATCTTTAGAAAAAAAATGAAAAGAAAAACGCATCAAGAAAAGAAAAATTCTTAGATAATCTAAACGAGGATCTGAAAAGATGTGAAGAGAAATTATAGGAAAATAAGTTAAACCGATACCAGTTACAAGTTCACTTCATAGCCAGACTCATCCAATGAAATAAGTTCATGAAAACATTCAGAGTAGATGTATAGCTATTTATAATTTTTCACAGTCAATGGACTTTCAAAACCACTGAAAAGTCATTTGCGGATAAAGTTAATTTTAGATTTCACCATAAATAAAAGCCACCTTTGAAAAACATAAATAACATGAAACATTTTAAATGCCAATCAAATTAAATACCAAAAGGTGTTACGTATGAAAGAACTTGAATAAAAGTACATCACTCCGTGATTGTGAAAATAGGTCATGTTTATGACGTCATTTTCATGACCTAGAATAGTCAGAAAAATAAAGGAAGATGTGAAGACGGGAAGAAATGTTCTTTCAGAAGAAGTTTATGTTCTTTGCATATTTAGATTTTCTATTCAACTTTTATGAATCTGTTGATTTCTTTCAAAAGATATTAAAAAATTTACACAACTAATCTGAAGTGTTTATGGAGATCTCGAAATTGTCTCTGAAAAATGATATAAAATTATTCATTGGTGATAAAATAATTAATGAATGGTAGTCAATCTCATTGAGAACTGATTTGAACCGAGAAGCAATTCACATTTTAACGTCTGGCACTCTGTGTTAATTAAAGAATTTTAATGATTTCTAAAAATAACATTTCTCATGTTTTCTTTTTAGGTCTCTACCCAAATTGAGCAGTCAAGATGAAGAAGGGGGGGCGGGACATCCTTTTGGAGGTGGCCTGAATCATTTCGAACCAATACCCCACGATCATGATTTTTGCGAAAGAGTTGTTATAAATGTGAGTTCATAATTTAAAATTATAAGCGTTCATTTTTGAATTTAGAAGCGAGTTCTTCTAGCAAGTAGTAATATCGTTTCTTCCTCTTATTAAAAACTTTTAATATTCAATGACTTTACATATTAAAAAAAAATTAAAAGATGTAGGGATAGACAATTATTTAGTAGTTCTTTTTAAATCAAATGCTTAAATACTAGAGCTTTAGATTTTTCTCTCTTTCGTCTATCATCTTTCACACAATGCTTTTTATCAGAACTAAAATATTTTCAAATTATTTCTTTGAAGAAAAAAGAACAGACATCTCGTTCACACACTACCAAAAAAATTCATTTTTACCCAACGTAGAATCTTCAAAGTCATTTAAAATCTATCTTTGAATAAACAAGATTCTTTCAATGCTTGTTTCTAAATATCATAAGCAAAAAAAAAATAGATTGAAATATAATGTACTGAAATCAATTTCTCCCCACATTTCATTTACTTTGCGACACTCCAGGTTAGTGGTTTAAGGTTCGAGACGCAATTACGAACATTAAATCAATTTCCGGACACATTATTAGGTGATCCGGATCGACGGTTAAGGTACTTTGACCCGCTACGAAATGAATATTTTTTTGATCGGAACCGACCAAGTTTTGATGCAATTTTATATTATTATCAGAGCGGTAAGTTCCATTAACATTTACATTAACTTTTGATCTCTTTAATAGCTCATCTTCATCTAGATGAAAGCGTTAAGAAAACCTAGAGAATGTTTCTTTTATTAAAACATGAATCTCACCTTTTTTTCTTCACTTTTATGTTGTGAATTGACATTCTAATATTCGCTGAACATAAATAAAAGGCGGTCGATTAAGGAGACCAGTGAATGTACCTTTAGATGTATTTAGTGAAGAAATAAAATTTTATGAATTAGGTGAACCAGCAATTAATAAATTCAGGTAACGAATCGTTCATGAAATTATTTTTTTATTTCATAAACTTTAGCTGGATTAGTTATTATTTTTTTAATGAGATTTTCTGCTTAATTACTTTCTCTTAATTCTGGCGATCAATTTAGAGGTAGTAGGAATGCAGAATATTGTGATGGCATAAATGAACGTGATTATAAGTTATATCAGTTGGTTACTCAGCTCATCACAAAATTGTAATTATCGTGCTTTGAGTCAGTTCAGATTAAAATCGTTCCTACTACTGCTAGCTTTGTCTCCTGAATTTCTTCTTAAATGAAATTTTGCTCACACATATTATATATACAGCTAAAATTGATCGTAGAAAAAAATGTATGAAAACAACAAAGCAGATACCCAATCTCTTGAAACAATCTCAAAATGTAATTGTTTACTTATATTCTTTTTCTACTTTTTCTTTGTTTCTATTTACATCATTCATTATATGATCAACAGAGAGGATGAAGGCTTCATAAAAGAAGAAGAAAGACCATTACCTGATAATGAGAACCAAAAGAAAGTTTGGTTGTTGTTTGAATATCCGGAGAGCTCACAAGCGGCCCGCGTTGTAGCCATAATTAGTGTATTTGTTATTCTTTTATCAATTGTTATTTTCTGTTTAGAAACTTTACCCGAATTTAAACATTATAAGGTGAGGATATTTGAAACATTTCAAATATTTTCTGATCATTTCAATTGTCTATTATTAAAGGTGTTCAATACAACAACCAATGGCACAAAAATCGAGGAAGATGAGGTGCCTGATATAACAGACCCATTCTTCCTGATAGAAACGATATGTATTATATGGTTTACATTCGAACTTAGTGTCAGGGGAGGTTGTCAACATCATAAATTGGAATTATTTTGAATTAATGTCAACCATTTCTCTATTTCCTTTTCACACACACACACACACAGGTTCCTTGCTTGTCCGAATAAGTTAAATTTCTTCAGGGATGTTATGAATATAATCGATATTATCGCAATCATTCCTTATTTTATTACATTAGCAACTGTTGTGGCTGAAGAAGAAGATACGTTAAATCTTCCCAAGGCACCAGTTAGTCCACAGGTAGCAAGAAGTGCGGATGCGAGAAAAAACATTTCAATTCTCCAATGTTTGTTTCTTCCCTTTTCTCTCTTTTTCGTTTTTTCTTTTTTCTTCCTGAACTTGTCACTGTCATCATAGGACAAGTCAACGAATCAGGCTATGTCCTTAGCAATATTGCGGGTGATACGTTTAGTTCGAGTGTTTCGAATATTCAAATTATCTAGACATTCGAAAGGCTTACAAATTTTAGGACGAACACTAAAAGCATCGATGCGAGAATTAGGCTTACTCATATTTTTCCTATTCATAGGTAAGTCGAGAGATTCTTTTCTTCTTGCTTCGTTTTTATCATTCATTGTTATTCAAAGATCATCTGAAATTGTTATTGGAACAGCATAATAATAATAATAATAAAAATAATAGTAATAATTTTTAATGATAACACTCATCAAATTCTCATCAATTTCATGAAAATCATCATATTGTTCAGGACTTCACTCATCACATAAAATTAATATGAAATCATCACATTTTTTTCTTAATCAATTTTCAATGAAAAGATTTTTAAATCAATTTGGATTTAAGAAGAATTTATCGGAAAAACAAATATCACATCTGCGTTACATGTAAAACAATCATAACCATAATACATTAAAATATTTTGTATTCCCTTCATTCCGCTTCAAAGGAGTTGTCCTATTCTCATCAGCCGTATATTTTGCGGAAGCTGGTACTGAATTGTCATTTTTTAAGTCCATACCGGATGCTTTTTGGTGGGCCGTCGTTACTATGGTGGGATATGAAAATATATTGCATTTTCTTCTTTCTTTTTCACTGTGTCAATTATAAAATAATTAAATATGAATAATAATTAGAGACAGACATTTCTTAAATATCATTTTTCAATTTTCCTCCAAATGAAAACATTCAGACCACCGTTGGTTACGGGGATATGAGGTACTTTAAGTTAAAGCGAAATAATTTCCTTCAAGAAAGAAATCTTAATCTATGTTGCTAGTTGTGCATCATATCTTTTCTGGTATATTAAGATTATTTTTCCAATTATAATTTCTTTTAAATGCAATTATAATTTAAATATTTAAAATAAAAGTAAAGAGGATAAGGTTTCTAAGAATCATTGAAGGATTTCAAAGCATTATCTTTCTTCTTTACTTTCTAATTGGCAGTAATGATCGATACTTAAGTAATATTGATTTTATATTTTCATTATGTTTATATTTAGATCAAATTTTATGGACGTAATATATATATGGAAAACAGAAATATGATACTTGAATACGCTAAATTTTCATACACATGCTGTTGTCGAAAAATATTTAATTGATGTTGTATAATGTCGTTGCTCAAAAGTCAGTTTTTGATATGAAATTATTATATTTATCAATATTTATTTTGCATAAATTATAAAAAAAAATTATGTTTTCGATGCAATCCGATAATTTGATGTTATTTGATTTAAATTAATATTTTTCTTCAATATTTACCCCTTTTGTTGTAGAACACAACTAAAGGAAAAGAAAAATCCAACTTAAATCTCGAGAATTCTTTTTTCTTTCTTTCTTGTGTATCTTTTTTTCATTCTAAAAGAAAAAAAGAAAGATTTTCTTCTTATCTAAATACATTCATTCTTAAACAAAACAGAGTGTCAAATTACATCTCAGGAAAATCTCGAGATTTCTTCGTTTACCTAGTTGCATGACCTTTATTTCTAACTAATACACGCGTTCTTACAAAACCACAAACTCATATCGGAGTTATTATTGACGATATCATGCGGAAAATTCACAGAAGTCGCTTATCATTCTATCGATAAAACTATCATGTATTGGCGGCACAAGAAATCGTTATGTCATAATCGAATATGTTTGCCATTTTAACGCTTCATTGAATTCATCAGTCATTGAAAATTTCCTCATGAAAACTTCCATTAATCAAATCCTATTTTAAGTCAAAAAATTAAGTAAATATCACAAAGAAAACCATGCTAAACATCTTGCTTCCAGGCGTTGTTCTCTTCTCGTCAGCCGTTTATTTTGCTGAAGCTGGAAGCGAAAGTTCTTTCTTCAAATCTATACCGGATGCGTTCTGGTGGGCTGTTGTAACTATGGTGGGACTCTCATGATTCATAATTAAACTTTGTGATGTTAAAACGATATTTTCCTTTTCTTTCTTTTATATTTTTCCCCGCTATTTTTTTTTATTCAATTGTATGTTTTTTACATACCCTTATCGAAAATCAACCATCGATTCTGCAGACGACTGTGGGGTATGGGATGCAAAATTAAAGTGACATCTCGGATATCTTATGATTAACATGATATTTTTTATTCTCTTTCTAGTTATGGTGATATGGTGGGACATTTTTCATTTTCTTATTATCATTATTGATTCTTCCTTGATAATTTCAATACTAAAATTTATACATTTTTATTTTCATCCATTCTTGCGTCAATTGATTGATAAACCATTACCGAACTTAAAATATATCCAAACTGTCGACTTCTGCAAAAAAATTTTAGACGTGGGTATCTCCATTTAAGATGAAGCAAACTAAAATAATTTTTGTTCGCTACTAAAGTATTTGCTTTTGTTCTACTTTTTTCATACTAAAACTAATTTATTAAAGTTTTTAATGATTTCCATTCATTATTAATTCGTTTTTTAAAGCAATACCACCTCGAGTTGAATTATTTGAAACACTTTTCATTTTCTTTTAAATTATTCTATCACCATTTCGCGTGAGTCACAAAGTCAGAAAATGCGATTTTTATTTTCCAAAATCCAAAACGAGGAATAAAGTTTAACCATCTATCCGAATATGTTAATAAGAAAATTATATCTGGCTCTGTTACATCACTGCTTTGTCATAGCAAAATAATCTGAGTTCCAAATTCAAAAGCGTTTATTTAAACTTCATTTTTGTTAACAAACCAGCACAATTGTTTGATGATAATACATTTTAATAGTCGTAGAATTTGAAGGTTGCAAATCAGTTTTTAAATTCGATTTTCCAAACAAATCATATAAAAACAACATCCGTCATTCAGTTTAATGGAATTGTTCGCTTGAGATTGTTCGAAAGATAATATTGGTGAAATAATATTTTCAATAGGTAGAAAATTTTCAAAATTTCGATGTCATCGTTGTTTTATTTTAATTAATAATTTTAGCATATCTTTATTTTTCGCGTTTTTGCATGAATAAATTAAACATTAAACAAAATCATTGTTTTTCTAAACATTTCTTCAAAATTTATTGATTTTCTTTTTCAATTCATTTGTATAAAATTTGATCGCTTTTAATAATTATTAAGCACATCGATTTAGTTTATATATTCGCATAGAAATTTCCTATTCACCACAGTTTTGCTTATGAAGTGCACTTAATTGTAATGTCGTCTAAGTGAAGCTATATTAATGTTTAACATCTATGTTTGTGATTTTATGAAACATTTTTACCTCATAATGATTTCTTTCTTTATATAACGCAATTGTAAAGGAATTTCAATTTCTCATTTTAATTCAATTTGCTTTTAATAATAAACAGACCGGTTGGCGTGTGGGGAAAGATCGTTGGATCTTTATGTGCCATTGCTGGTGTGCTGACTATTGCACTTCCAGTTCCCGTTATCGTGAGTAATTTCAACTATTTCTATCATCGTGAAACCGATCAAGAAGAAATGCAGAGTCAAAACTTTAACCATGTTACGAGTTGCCCATATCTACCAGGAACTTTAGGTTAATTCCATTTTCCTAAAGCATGCATAATATCTCACTAAATAATATAATTATTTTATTTTAGGACAACATTTGAAGAAGGCATCTCTTTCTGAATCCTCATCGGAAATGGATTTAGAAGATGGTGTTGAATCGACACCTGGCTTAATAGGTGATCGCATAGTTCCGTTTTTAGGAGCGCACAATTTAAATGATAAGCAACAACAAAACTGCTGTAAACCCACTAGACAAAGCTTGCAACAACGTCACAATAGCGCGCTTGCTGTTAGTATCGAAACAGATGTCTGACTACTAGGTAAAAACATTTAAATGTTTTGTCACATTGTAATAAAAAAAATAAAATAAATTGTAGTTAAACGGACACTTCGCGCTTTATTATGGCCATCTCCTGGCATTATGCGTTATCTGCCAGTATCACCTAAAGCAGTTTAATCGATGTGCATCGAAACATGGAAAGGTATGAGTGCAGGAACAGAACGTTGTTTATAATGTAAACAAAAGTGAAATGACAAAAACAAATCTTTTCGTCGAAAACAAGAAGAGAAATAAAATGAGGCAAAGGAAAAAAATAAATTTGAAAAATAAACAAGAATACTCAAATTAATTATCAATTTATTAAATATAAAAGCCAAGACTAAGAAGAAAAATCGACTTCAATTTTTATCAAAGCATTGAAATTATCAACAGCAATTAATAGCTGTTGTGCAATCTTGGAGGAGTGCAAGATGATTTATAAGTTATTGGAAAGGAATCTTCATTAGTTAAAAATTTAATGCTCAATATAACAAATTGATATTGAAAATATCTGAAGCTTTAAACACGTTGCAATTCATTCAAAGTGAAAATGCATATCGTTGAATTGGCATTTTTTGTTTTCTTTTTGAATATCTGAGTACATTAATGAACAATATCTGCCACATGTCAAATTGAATTATACCAGATGGAAAATGAAGGAAAAAAGACACAGCAAAACTTTTGATTTCTTCTTTAATTGCAACGAAATGAAAGATGTTTGAAATGTTTTCAGAATTAAATAAAAAATTCGGATGAAAACCATTGAGTCAAAACAACATTCCAAAAGATCAGCATTCAACTGGCAAGATATTTAAAGAATCAAAAATATCTTCAAATGTGAGAAGATGGGTTAATACAACGTCGATAATTTGTTACATTTAAGTTAAAATACGTGATGATGCACAGAAGCGTACCAAAAAGAAAATAAAATAAAATAAAAAATTATTGCCCAAAGCAAATAAAACTTATCTCAAAGTGAAAACGTTCTTATAGATAAAGAAATTGAAATTCATAAAGTTCTTATATCTACTATGAAATGAAATTCGTTCTAATGAACTTTGTAATATTCTGCCAACGCTCTCGACAAAAGAAATGAAAAGTAAAAAAAATTCATGTCAGACATAGATTTATAAATGCTAAACAAAAGTATTATAGCGGGAATTTTGAGTAATGAAGATTAGTTGGAGAAGACATTTTTATGATCATAATATTCAAGAAAAAAATATGAGAGATAAACGTAAGGGATGTTTGAATATGTCTTATTAAATCTCTCCACAAATATTAGAACTGAGTAATAACTTTGAAACCAAATTAAAAGAAAAAAAGCTTCAGATTGAAATCTCAGAATAGTTGGTGTTTCATGTAAATCTAATTATTTTATGTTAAATCTTCTCGCAAAGCTATGTAACTGTAACTTTCTCCTTTAGAATTAATCGAAAAAGAATTAGTCAAAAACAAACTGCATTGAAAATGAATGATATCTGAATGTTTAAAGACTTTTTAAGCATATCATTACAAATTCTTACTAAAAATTTAATGTGAAGATACATAAATAGAAAGATGTGAACGATGAAACGTACGTATGGAGAACTATGAACATTAAAGAAAAATCATTTTTCATCCTTACACAAGAGACTCAATTCTTAATTTTTTCTTATGTATGTGACAACCCTCCTTTCACAAACTTTAACCTTTTGTACAACTTCTCCAATCCAAATCGTCTTTCATTCAAAGGAGATTTTCTTTTTTTTCTTTGAAATAGAAGAGAACGAATTTTAGTTGCGCCTGACGATATAAAAAAAAAATAAAAGTTCTAAATAGAGAAAAAAGGATAAAGATTATTGTAATAAAATAGTTCAAATTGTGATATAAGTTAAAAGAAAATTGAAAGGAACCTTTGACGTACGTTAGAACGATTTATGAAGGCAGCATATGAAAAGGGCTTAAAGCATTAATTTTATGTTGTTTCTCAAAACAAATATATTCGGTGCATGATAATATTTAGCATAATGTTAATTTTATCTGAAAGATTACTAGTACATCTATATAAGAAACTATTTTGTTGCAAATAGATTTAGATAAGTTATATTTTTTGAAAATTCATAAACTTAATAAATTTTGAGAAAAAAGTCCGCTTTGTACATCCTTGTAAAATTAAAATCATATTTAAATAAAATACGAAGAAAAATAACAATAAAATCATGATTCTCGAAAGATTGTGAAGCAAAGTCACATCGGAGAAAATGATGCATACGTGGATGAATATTTTTCTGTTTAAAATGAAGCCATTAACAAATTCTTTTATGTTATTAAAATTTAATATTTAAATTTGATTCCTTGCCACGTGATAAATCCTTTCAAAATATATTAAAATAAATTTTTGATTTCAAGTGAAGTTGATTTATATTAGTTATCGAATATTTTTATACAAATGGAAATATTCTGAAACTTTATTTCTTTATCATGTGTTTTCAAATTTTTTCAAATTATAAAAGGGTTTTCTCTATGAACTGAATTTTCAAAGGAACCGATTTTCAAAGGAACCAAATAATTATCTATTAAATTATTGTTTTATTCAAAAGTATCAAAGGCTTCTGAAGAAGTAATTGTATCCAAAAGTTCACGTTTAAAGTTTTAATCTTGACTGTCTCTATCTCGAAGTATAGTTTAGATATTGATGTAAATAAGAAAGAAAAATGAAACGAGTCCAATGAAACAATGTACAGCTAGAGCGATTATTCAAATGAAGAAAGACACAAACATAATATTATTTTTATACAAAAATTAAAAAATTGTGTTTTTATTCTAGATTTGTGTTTTGTTTTCTCTTCTTATTTTCATTTACTTTGTATCTTTTTATGTATCTAATTACTCTATAATTTAATCAGTTTTCAAAGAAAATTATTTTCCGTTCTGAAATTTTGGGTTTTCCTTAAATATGTATAGGCAACATGCAATTCAATTTTTTGGGTAAAGCTCATCATACAGCTGACAGTCAATTATTACAATCATGTTTTTAAAGTAAAAAGAAAAAGAAAACCTGCTAACTTTATATCTGTATTTTTTTAAATAAAGTTTAATGGCTCATGGTAAAAAATGTGAAATAATCACTTTATTCAAATCATAAAAAACTAAGAACCATCTACAATGCTTTGCAATCTTCCAGTTTTTAATCGTAAAGAAATTTGACTTGCCCTCCAACAAATATAACATTTTGGAGAAATTACTTATTTAAAGAAATTGTTTGATTAACACAGATTGTTGCATATGTCTTATAAAAACAATACCCTTTTTTTATTTTATCAATGAATTGCAGTACCTTTTTTCAATTGTAATTTAAGTTCTGCTTATAAAGATAGCGAAACTAAAAAATTACTAAATGAAAATAAAACTTACAAAAGTTCTTATGACTAAATATAAATATGAATGAAGCATGAATTAGATTAAGTGAATTTAAAACAAAATAATAATTTTTTGAGTGAACCTTAAAATTGATTAAATAAACGTAACATAAAAACTAAAAGCTTTGAAATATCAGCGCAATGTAAACCTATGTCTTGAATTTTTTTCTTTATTAGTAAAACCAAACGAAATTTTTGTAAATATTAAGCCTAAACACAGTATTAAAGATAAAACTTTTTGACATTACTGACTAAAAAATCTATAATCGGCTTTTAAATTAATGAAATTTTTATTAGTTTTGCTAATTGTTCAAAAAAGAATAAAAATCGAGTGTAATTATTCAAATTTCACAGTTATATCTTCAGTTGTGCTGAAAGCTTTACCTAGTTTTTAACCGTCCAATAGTAATCACCCAATCTTCTGTTCAACCTTAAAGCAGAGAAGATCAAAGCAGAATGCTTATATAATAATAATAATAAAAAAAAAGAAATAAACACTGCCAAAAGAATGAGAAAAAGAAAAAATAAATCCGAGTAAGAAACGAGTTTACCTTTTAGATTATTCCCATTCTATTTGTTGATGGTCTTCTCATCTATTTACATTTTCAAGCAAAACTTCTGCATTCTTCTAGATCCTGATATCTAAGTTGAATTTCTGAAATATTTTTTCGTTTTTATGTAAGCTTGCTTTGAGCTTTCAAATGACAGAAGAAAGAACACCAAATGTAATTTTTAAAGTTCTTTATAAAAAAATGATTTCTTAATTAAAAACTTTACTGCTGAATAAAGAAAAGAAATATGGAAAAGAAATTTTCATAAAATAATAAATCGATACAGAGAAATAAATTCCAATTTTTTTAAAAAACATCGAAAAGAACTAGAAAACAAAATGCTTCTCAAATCCGAGTCAAGCTTTTAAATTTTCATGACATTTAAGAAGCTTTGCAGAAAATTTTATTCTAGCCACATGATCATGATTCCCGCTTTATTTATAATGAGCTGAAGGCAACCGTCCATTAGAGGAGAGCATGTAGTATTTCTGTAGCAATTTTTCATCTACATAAATATAATTTTTAGTTAAAATTATTGATTCAAAAATAATGACATATCAATTCTTTCTGGACCACGCATGCTACTTATTTACACCCTTAGTTATTGGATTTTTCTCTCTCAAAGAGCTTTAAAATATTAGAAGACATTTTGTGTAAATTGGGTGAAATGAAAATTGAAATGAAAGGATAAATTCATAATCCACAAAAGAATATCTGTTTCTAATAAGAGAAAGGTTGATTCGTTTGACAAAAATATTTCGCCAAAATTATACGAATACATGGGAAAAACTCCCCAGCATATTCTCTATTTTAAGAGAAAAAGAAGCATGAAAAGATTTTCTAAAAAAATTAACTAATATCAAACCAAAGAATAAGAAAGAGAACATAAATTCAAAATATCAAAGATGGAGAACATAAAATGTATGAATGTTTCAATATTCTAGATCATTATGAATCCACTGGAAAATTATAACTGTAAACAAGAATAAACAAGTTGCGAACTGAACAGTATCTAAATAAAAATTGTAAAATGTTTAACTTTTAAAAAAAGAAAACTACTTAAATTATGGCAAAGTAAAATGCTTCATTGTAAGATAGATAATTGAAAAAAAATCATAGTTTAGAATCAATGAAAATAAAAATCCCCAAGAAATTTATGTTTAAGATACAAACATAATTTTCTGCTCCTTTCATTAATCATTTTCTAATTTTCTTTTTTTAAATCTGATTAGCGTCCAAAGGATTTAGATGAGAAAAAAAAGTAAATTTTCAATAATAAGTATAAAATGGAACACATTTAGTTCAAAAGAGCTTTGAAAGATAAAAGAAATCAGATTATTAGTTTAATCAGCTTATTGAAGATAAAAAATAAAAATCAATTTTATAAAATTTCCAACCTGCAAGATCAAGTTATGTCAAAATTAAAATAATGTCTTGGTCAACGTCGAACCACAAATAATTTAATAAAGTTTTTCAGTTCAACAACCAATTGGATGAAGAAAAAAAGTAAACTGAAAATTAAGTTTAATATAAAAAAGGATAATATAATGACGTTGTTAAGTATATAAAAATGTTTTATAAACGTTAAAACTTAAATATGAAATTCGCTGCGAAAAAAAAACAAAAAATGAATAAAAAAAACAAAACAAATCCATTCCTTGTAAAAAAATGCTTTTTATCCTTCGTTTCTTCAAGTTGATAGGTTGAGTTAAATCTGATTAAATAGGTTGACAAACTTTCAACTCAAATATTTTGTCCCTTTTTTAACGTTTTGGAATGTTTCAGATATAGGTGATGCCATTTTTTTGAATTACTAGCATAAAAGGTAAGTTTTAACTTAAATCTTCAAAAATTATCCTGAAACAGTCGAACAATTAAGTACAGAATCATTTGTTCAATAATTCTAGAATCTTTATTGAAAACAAATCATTATATATCTTGACAGCAATACAGCAATCTTATAATAATTTCTCATAAGGATATTAGAAACATTTTATATGCTTTAGAGAATTCATTCTAAAAATATAGAGAAAACGGTTGTTTCTTCTTATCAACTAACTTTTTTTGAGTCCACATCACGAAATTTTAAAAAACTTTCTCTGTGAGTCGATTGAAAACTTAAGCTAAAAAAATAAATCTAGAGAGCTTAATTTCGATTAACAATTTTCTTTTTTTTAGTAATCAAATAAATTAAAAATTCGTGGTCTGAGACTCTTCATTTTAAATGTCACAAATGGAAATGAAATCAAATGATGAAGTTTCACTATACTGAGTTGATGTTTTCCTTACAAAATATTTGTGCACAGTTTTATGTCAGAGGAACAATCAAAGGAGTCTGATAAGACGGGCACATTCTTCCATACGATGTCAAACCTTTTAAAATATATTAAATCAGAAAAATTTATTTAATTATTCATTCTATTTACTTACATTTGTCGTTCTGGAAGTTTTCCCTCTGCAAAAACTTTCACGTTTTTGTATTCATCACTGATAATAGCGCAATGTTTCTGCATGTAAGTTAAGCTGAATATTTCTTCATATCCATATTTCATCAGTCCATTTTGTCGTTTGTTCATATTCAATTCTTTTATTAATGCTGCATCAAATTGTGCCGGTTCCTTGTCAATTTTTGCTGTTAAAGATCCAAGAGCTCTATTAGCAATATTCACTGATGTAATTGACGAAAAGAGATTCTTTCTTATTCCAATTGGTGTTGAGAATGTCACATTATCGATAGAGTAAAATCTAATTATTTTCAACAAAAAAGAAATTATTATTAAATTTTGCAAACATTACCAAGCATTACTTTTAGTACTTACTCGCTTATACATTTTAATGCATCACCTTCCAAAGTGTTTTTGAATAAGATATCGTCTTCTTGAGCCGTATACTGATTCTCCATGAACAAGATCTCTTTATATTCTTCTCCAATCTCAAAAGCTGCTTCTAACAATATACTCGCCAAATCAGTTCCAATTCTGGCAAAGTTGACAGGCAATGGATATTTATAATGATAATAAGGTTCACGGAGAATTTCACGATCGACAATAACTAGGTTGAGATCTTTGAGGTATTTCACTTTTCGATTATCAACATTTCTTGACGTTGAAAACATTTCAAACACAATTCGATTTTCTTCCGTCATATTTCCTTTAAGCAAACTTCCCAAAATTTTCTTTTCGATGTTCCAATGCTGTTCAATATTTCGCATGAAATTTATCTCATTGATTATGAATTCATGATAATATTGTTGAACATAATTGTGATTCCGCAATATATTATGTGGAATACCTAGTTGTAGACGAATACTTGACAAACGATAATTTACAAAGTCGCTGAACTTTGAATCTATCCATGAAGCACTGGAGATTGCATAACGAAAAGTGTCACGAAGGTGGTAAAAAATCATTCTTATGAAATCGTCATTGAAGTTTTGTTGATCTTTATTTAGATGTTCTTCATATGATAATTGCTCGTCAAGCTCATCACGCTTCAGTTTAGATGAATCAACCTGTCATAAAAATTAAAATAAATTTTAAGATCAAGCGCTCTAGTACTACAAAAACATTTGCTATAAAAAATTGAAAAACTTTCTAAAATCTAGAACGTTAAAAACAAACTCACCACAATTAATTGGGGATTCTGTTGAAGCGATTCAATTCCAAATCGCATCCATTCATATGTGAGTTGTGTGCAAAAATGCCATGGCATATTATTGTATTGATTTCCATAAAGTTTTCTTTGAAAATTCTCTAATGATGATCGAATTTTATGCGACATTAGAGGAAGAAAACGACGAACAAGCGTCCACATCACAAAGTCATTAAGTATCTTAGGCTCTGTTGACGTTGCGACAACAGAAATTTGATGAATGAGTTCAAGATCCTTCACTTTGATAGGCGTATCATCATCAATACGATAATTCGAAAACATGTTTTGTATCGTTGTGTCGATTGGAAGTGAATGTGCTCGTGTTTTGACGTCATAAAGTCTAAAGATTTTGGTAACCGAGCCTTTTTGTCTCGCCGTTTTCATTGCAGCCACAATGCGTCGCTCGAAACCAAATAAGTTGTCGACAAAACTTTCAGCTTCTGAGTTTGTTGAGGCCTTCAAACTGTTGTGAACATCACGGATTAATTCCTTATAAGCGATGATGATCTGATGAGTCAAATCAAACAAGGAAATGTGTTAATCACGTAAGATAATAAATAAAATGGGAATTGTGGAAAAGAAGAAAAAAATAGAAGAAGAATCAACTTACGGGATGCTCACGATGATAGTAATAAAGTTGCTCATCAGGTAGTCCAAGTTCACCTTCCGACAATGTTATATTACCATCTTCGATTGACACTTTGAAAAATGGATGAACACCAAAATTCACCTGTTCGAATTTAATGAATAAATTATTGTTCATTAAAACAGAAAGAAACATGAGATGACATTACCTGAACTATCGGTAAATTCTCCAACAATGACCACTGATGATTGGAGCTTGGAGGTTCTAAAATATTCCATCCACCTGACAAAGATTAAAATTTAAGTATCTAATTTTTTTAAATCAAAATTTATTTATCTCGTAAAAATGTGCATCATCATCGTCATTGGTCTAGACTCTAGACATTTAATTTCCTAATTGTAATAAATAGCTTAAGGAAGCTTTTATGTAATGAATAGGTAAATTGACAAAAAACGCAAATGTTGATCGTCTTATGTCAAATCATCAAACAATAAATTATGAATTTCGTTTTCGTCTGGTTTTATTACTAAATTGCAGAAAAGAATATGAAATAAAATTAACGAATATTCATTAATTAAATGCATCACATGTTGAAGGAAGACGTTGTTAATTCACTTAATCTTAATTATGAAATAATAAAACTTAACCTTTGACAACATAAAAATTATGTCCATTAAAAGAAACGTTTTTTAAAAACTTTTCAATCGACAGTAAACTGCCATTATTTACGATTATGTCATTTACTAACCACGCCTTCAAAATGCATATTAGGAAGACTTTTTAGATGATCGCCAAATGGTTGTTCATACTTCACAGCAAATTAGCATAAATAAAGTTTGATAGATATTTGCACAGCCGGCATCAACCGGTACCGATTAAAATCTTGATATGATCCAATCACTCATTTCAAGTTTTTATGGTGCACCTGACCTTTAATTATTTTTTTTAATGCTCTGAAGGAGGTATAAAAGGCAAAAATCAATTCTAATCGATGTCATCGATAATAGCTACCTGCAAGTCAATTCTATTTTGATAGCTTTTATATGCAAAAATCTAAGCATACAACAGGAAATTGTTCATTTGGTTTATTACTTCCTAAAATATTTAATAATTGAGATCCAAATCTCCGTGTCTGATTTTTGGAATGGAATAAAACGTTCAGATGTTCACGAAACAAGTCATTTTGAACCTTTAAATAGTTGAGGTCAATTACCAGCAAAGCAATTCAATTTATCTTGTCTCAAAGAAACACGTCAAATATTTATGTAAATAAAACATCTACTTAAGAATAATTATGCTAAGCAAAGGTTGTTACATAAAAAGGTAAATCAATGAATAACTTTATCAAGTGTTCGGAGTGGAGTTTTCCGTTTGTTGTTGTTGTTTGAGCTTTCGCACGCTAATCTTTCAAATTATCTTGATGAACTTGAAATATTTGTGACAGTAACTATTACGAATGTGAAGTAAAAACTCGTTAAAACCATAGCTGAATCAAATATTTGAATAAACAAGCTTCTTAATTTGCATTTCACATATTTCTGTTCATTTCTGTAGGAAAACATCAGAAGATTAAACAACAGATTTGGAGATTTTCTAATTATACAACAGAATGACTACTGTTACTGTCACTCATCATATCATCACAATATAATAAGATACAAAGATAAGATTTCGAATTGAATATTCAATAATTGTTTTGTATAAATCCACTTCTCGAAATAGGGATCGTCAAAACGGATCATCTTCTTTATATTCTATCGTTTATTTAAAAGTGGTTTCAAGTTAGTGGAAGCAACAGTTTTGCCATAAAAAAATATATTCCAAGGTCTCGTGATCAGAGACACAAGACACAAAAATAAATAAAAACAACAAAAAAACAAAACAGCGGTTTTTACTCTCTATGGAATTTAAAATTAATAGAAGAAGAGTTCTAAGCTACTCTGTTTAAGTATAATGATTGTGAAGTGCCAAAACTTAAAATATGTACAAAGATATACAAAGACAAAGTCATTCTAATGATTAATCATCTTGTTCAAATGTTTTTTTTTCTATTCTCCTTGTTGTGAATAAATCAAAATTAACTTATTGGATCAAACAGACTTCCGTCTAAATTTGCAAAGACTAGTCTATCCTTAAAAAGCTATAAGTTAATTGAAGTTTTTTATGCACAATCTGATATATCGCTTCTTTTAATTAAGAATGGTAGATACTAAATTTAGAATTGCAAATGTAAAAAAACATTGCACAGTTGGTGAACTGACTAAAGTCATTGAATTATACTTAGTTGAACAAAAAAAACTTGCAGGACTGTGGCAAATGTATAGAGTCAAGCATGAATCCACTTAAATCATTTTATTTATTGTGAGTCCTTGTTTTCTAGTTTTTGTATAAATTTAAATTGCTTTATTGATTCAAATCTAAAACGGAATTTTTCGAGAAAAAAGATGATAACTTAAAAACGTATTTTTAAATCCACAATATTGAAAACGTTACTCTAGAAACGTAAAATGATTTGAATGCTATGATAATATTTCGGCAAATGGTCAACTGCTGAGATATGTAGCAAAACGTGTGGCAAAATTCTTTTCTAAAGTTATGTAACAACACGACATTTAAAATAAATTTATTAGCTTTAATTAATACTTCTAAGTTTCGTCTGATACAAGCGGTAGCAAAAGGCAAGTTAAGACTAACAGTTGATCTTATACATTTTGTTGTTGAAATATTTTTCTTATACATACACATCTAAAGTTTACGCATTCGAAAGAATTCAATGATTTCATTCATTATGCTGTTCAGAAAATCTTTGTGGATAATCCATAAGAAGAATAGATTCATTGAAAAAAAAGACTTTCAATTTTTTGAAACGTCTAGAAAAATGAAGCGCAAACGATTTAATTATCTTTAATGAATGATTATGAAAGAATTGTTTTCAGACATTTGATTTGTGGTGAAAATTAATTTAAGAGATGATATTATTCTTTATAATACTTAGATGGTCACATTAGGGGTCACAAAAGAAGACTTTATTATCATTTTTTATAATACATATTTATCAATTCTTTCTGTCTATTCAAAACTTCACATATGACTTTTGATTGTGACATTCATATTATAACGGAAACAACGCAATTTGATCAATGGACATCTAGTTCGAAAACATCACAAACGTAGCATTGAATTTTTAAGTCGTCTTTCCTGAATGTTGATCTATATTACATCTAAATATAGGACAAACATATTCATAACATCGATACATTTTTTCAAGACCACAAGACCAATATTTTAACAGCGAAGCATTGTTTTTATTTGTCAAGTAACAGTAAGAAAGAAGCAAAATGTTTTCATACATTCAGTTTTCTTGTTTTCATTTTTTAAAACCAGATTTTTGCGAATAGGTATATTTCGCACGAGTTATCGATAAAAACCAAATATTTTATTTAAATATTCTAGTCAAATTAAAAAGTATAATTTCGTAGATTATCAAGCTTATGTAAAAGATAAAAATAATCGAAAAATCATGACAAAACCAAGTAATAAATATTTAGTCACCGCATTCTTTTTTTCGCAATGATTCCATCTGCGGTTCTTTGACTATCATTCAAATAGCATTCCAAGCTCAAAAGCTTCTTTGAAATGAAATCGAAAGTGCGTATTTATTATAACATCTTTTATTGTTTAGAAAAGGCTCATTAAAATTTGGCACCGCAAAGCGAATGTTTCGAACTAAGTAATAATTTTATAATAAATAAACGAATGTCATTTTTGTCGAAAAGCTGCAGCAAAAAAAAACTTCCTTTTATTTGTAGCCTGTCTTGAATCGGTTATGATAAGCAAACAGTCTAAATTTGCATGCTGAAAACTTTCAAGCTTCAAGGCCATTTCCCACAATGATCTGAAATCATTCAGACGACGGATACTATCCATGGAAAAAGCGATAAATAAAGTTTTGTTATATTTACACGTGACGTCATTTGAAATGTCACCAGAACCATGAAGATCTCTTCAGTTTCTTTAAAAAAAAGAACTCATGATTAATGAGCTGTTAAAGTTTTCTTGTAATAAAAATCTCTATTGAAGCTTTAACTAAGGTCCTAAATAATAATTTTTTTCGCTTAGAAATCATCACGGATCTTCGAACTTGGAGAGTTAAAAAAACATGTCATACAACAAAAAATTATAAATTTTAACACGAAAACTTCGTTGATACAAAAAATTCTTGACATAGGAATACAGAACTTTATTTTTTCTTCTCAATATTAACACGCAAACTTTATGAATCTGAAGATTTTTTTTCCACAGCATCTCCTACTCTTCATTCAACTTCTTCATCTTCTAACGCATTGCAAGGTTGTGTTTGTTGTGTCTGAGAAAAGCGAATGGATCAACAGCTTAAGATGCGCGTATAAAAAGCGAAAGTCTTTTTGAAATCAATTCAGTTTTGTTGGAAAATTTTGTGGATAAGGTTTAGTTTGTTCACAGTCAAAATGCGTAGTTTTGTGGTGAGTGAAGAGTTAAAAATTAGAACAGGAGAAAAGAAAAAGAAACAGAAATGATCTTTTTTTAAAAAACGCAAGCAAATATTTAGTGTAATTGAAATGTGACTAAAAAATAATGAAATTAAACATGTTCTATAGTTAAAAAGATAAGAGTTCTTTATAAACAGTGTTTTTTGAAAATGAGTTAATTTATATTTTTACGATTGACTGAGTATTTATGCTACAATAATATTTTGAACAATAAATCATAAATATTTTGTAAAGATGCTAATCTTACAAATTAATAAGAACGTGGATATTCATCAATTGTTGAAGTTTATTTTATCTCAACAATGGAATGGTTTACATGACTTCATCACATATTGTGCTTTGATACGATTGTTGTTGAGTTGTAAAAAATTCAGTGAAATTAATTATGCAGACACTATGGATATATATAACATTGACCTTAAAGCTTTGTTTTCTTAATTATGTTGCCAACTAATGATTTATGCTTTTGATTGATAATTTTATAACTATCAATTAACTCATGTGCACATGTAAATCTTTATCACTGTTGTAAAAAATTTATGTATAAACTTTTAAAGCACTTCCGCATGCACTGATATTTTCAATGACAGATTAAATTAAGTTAGAAAAAGAAGAGTCGATTTAAAAGAAAATTAGCAACAAATTATGAAGTTATTAACACTAAGAAACAGGATATTATAACATTTTATATAACCCGTTCTTCCTAGTCATCTTGCTTTTTCCCTAATTTGCATGCGATGACATTTAAAAAATTCTCTTCTCACAGATTTTAGCAGCGCTTATTGCCGTTGCCATCGCCCGACCAGGTGAATATGTATATTTAAATTTGATGAATAATTAACAATAAATTTGTGCCGCATAAATGGACAGATATTGGTCTTAAAATCCGACAAGGTTATAACTATCAAAGTCCAGGAGGTGGAGGTGGTCACAGTTCCGGAGGTACGTCACACAATACGCTACTTAAACAAAATGTTGGTGGTGGTGGTGGTCGTGAAAAATCGCTGTTTGAAGGAATAAGTAGTTATGATGCACCATTGGTTTCAGGCAGCAGCTATAGCAGCGGAGGTGGTGGCCACTCAGGTCATGGCGGAAGTTCAGGAGGTGGATTTGGTGGAGGTTCAAGTGGTGGATTTGGAGGTTCTTCCGGAGGTGGTTTCGGTGGATCTTCCGGAGGTGGTTTCGGTGGTTCTTCCGGAGGCGGTTTCGGTGGCTCTTCCGGAGGTGGTGGATTCGGCGGATCTTCAGGAGGTAGTGGATTCGGTGGATCTTCAGGAGGCGGATTCGGTGGATCTTCCGGCGGAGGTGGTTTCGGTGGATCTTCCGGAGGTGGCGGATTTGGAGGTTCTTCCGGAGGCGGATTTGGAGGTTCTTCCGGCGGTGGTGGTTTCGGTGGATCGTCAGGAGGTGGATTTGGAGGTTCTTCAGGAGGTGGATTTGGAGGCGGTTCAGAAATTACACAAGGTCAATCACAAGTTATCGATATTTCTGGTGGTTCATCTGGTGGTGGTGTTGTTTATAAGCCAGTCATCAGACAAGGAGAACCACAAATCACAAAACACTTCTATGTTCATGAAGCCCCAGATGATGAACAAAATGTTAATGTACAAGAAAAAGTAATCAACGTCAGACCACAGAAACATTACAAGATTATCTTCATTAAGGCTCCATCAAGCGGAGGTGGAATCGGTGGCAGCAATGTACCAATCTTCCCACAAGTAAATATTAAATTATAAAAATAATTTATTTTAAATTAATATATGAAATGCTTTCATTATTAATTTTAGAACGAAGAGAAGACAATTGTTTATGTATTGAGCAAGAAGAACGAAATCGTTGACGAGAATGGTGAATTCCCAACACCTCCTCCACCAGTCACTAGCAAACCTGAAGTATTCTTCGTTAAATACAAGAACCGTGAAGAAGCTGATCAAGCTGTTTCTAAAATCCAAGGTATGTAATATGCTCCAAAAACAAAAGATTGAAAAAAATTCAATGGATGCCACTTGTCTTCTGATATTTAGAATCATTCCAAGAAGGCGGTCCAGGATATAATTCACCAGCTAGTTTCGCACAAAGTATTGGAGCATCAAGCGGTGGTGGCTCAAGCTCATTCTCATCTAGAGGATCAGGTTCAGGTGGATCATCATTCGGTGGAAGCTCAGGTGGTGGTGGAAGTTCAGGTGGATCATCATTCGGTGGAAGCTCAGGAGGATCTTTCGGCAGTGGTTCAGGTGGATTCGGTGGAAGCTCAGGTAGCGGTGGATCTTCATTCGGTGGAAGCTCAGGAGGCTCAAGTGGCGGTGGATCATTCAAACAAACTTCAACATCTTTCCAATCATCTGGAAGTGGCTTCTCAAGTGGAAGTAATCAAGTTCAACCTCAAAGAATGATTGAAATTCCTGTCGAAGGTTCAGCTTTCAACTCGGAATACTTGCCACCAGGAAAGAAATAAGTTGAACAAACCCGAAGTTTTAAGTCGAAATTGTCTCCTTATTTAAAGCCTTTTCTCTTTACTTGACATTATTATTGTAATATAAATAAATCATTCCAAGTTCGAACATCTACATTTATATGTTTGCCGGTAAATTTGGATATCCCAATGATTGACTGTGAAAAATGTTGCCGGCAGAAATAAATTTATTTAAAGACAAATGAAAAGCTCAGTTTCATATTAAATTATTATTTCAGTTAGTCGTGTTATCATTTCGCTACTATTTAATAAATTATATTTTCTGTTACAGATGATTTTATTTATTTTAAAATAAATAAATTTTAACTGAAAATATAAATTTAAACCTTCGTCAATAAAACTAAACTAGATGGCGTTATTTTCAAAAATCAGTATAATCCTTGAAATTTATTGTTCAGCTTTTCGACATTAGATGTCGCACTTTTGGATGATGATGATGCAATATTTGAAAAATTTAAACAAGAAAAGGTAAAGAAAAACTCACGAGCTGTTTCTAGAATGGTCTTGAGAACTTGTAAATTTTCTTGTGTTCTTTCTTCCGAGCGGATGTTCATGCAATTTGTGTAAATCTTTTTGATCATCGGCTGAATTGAGCTTCTTGAAGGTAGATTCGGTAATTTTGATATAAATGCGTTCGCAGCATTTAAATCTGGATGAGAGTAAAAAAAGAGAGTTTGGGTTTAAAAAATGAATGTAAACGAAACGTAATGTTAATGCTAATTAAGTCTTACCTTCATACTCAAAATGAGAATTTGAACCCCATTCGCCTTTGTTAATTAAATACAACTCGTGGTTGCGATATTGATTGATGAAGTTGCCACAAGTAAATTTATAAGGGTTTTCACATACTGGCTCCTTCACATCCGCCCAACCAAGAATCTGTAAATAGAGAAAAACATGTCAATTAGTCTGAAAATGGGTGAATCGAATTGTTTTATTGAGGCTAAAATTCAGTTTGTTTTAGCGATCGATTTTCTATCGTGGGAGTGAACCATAACTTTCAGTTTTTTTTAATAAAGATGATTTCAACAGAGTGTTTAATAACTTCCGTTTTGAATAAGCAGAAAAATATTAATTATTTTTTTTATTATGTTTACGTAGTTATCACTATAAAGTGTGAATGCTCTTGTCCACATTTGCTAATATTTTCTAGGCAGTTTATCTTGTCAATTCGAATAAGCTAATTGAACGAGAATCAACTGGAATGTAAAGCATTGGAATAAAAAGTTACAACTTTATTGTGCAACATTTGTGACTTTTTTTTTGTAGAATTCATGTTAAATAATAATTTATTTGTGTCACGAAAAGCGAGGAAAAAAATCTGTTGTAAAGACATTGAATAGGTGTGATGTGTCATGGTTGATGGATAATAAATAATTATTTAGCAATGGTGGAGAAAAGAAATCTAAGTTGATTTCCAAACGCATCTTGAGTGATGACAGAAGCTGAATAATCTTAATTCATCCCCATGACTATCAGAAAAGCTTAATGTTACATCATTTTTCTCTCGAAACACTCAGAAGCGCTGATCTCTAATGAAAATCAAGAGAAAAGAGAAGGAAAATCTTTTACATTTTCGCCTTTCCTGAGAGTCATCATAATTAATGCAAAAATATTCCATTAAACACGCAAACATTTAACGCCACATTTTCCGTCTCGACACTCTTGAAATATTTAATACAAGCTGCGTGAATCAAAAGAAGTCAAGAAAGTGGTTAATTAAATAATTCAATTTATTTATGGGAAATCATCAGTCACTGACACTCGAATTTTCCGGACACAAATCTACTGAATCATAATAATCCTGTAACTTGAAGTGACATTCATAGATCACGAAGCAGTTTTACGCCATTAATCAGCCATTCAGTCATACCAGTTATGCGTTTTCAATCAAAATAAAGTGAAACGTCTTATTCATACAATAGGACTCGGAATGGCAATCGTAAATGGAGAAAGAGGGCGGCTGATTCATTCATCATTCTACAAAAGTAGAAGCCAGTCAAGAACAAAAAAAAGAAAGTAAAATTCAACGGAATTGACGGAAACTCTTTTGCCTACATAATTTCCCGATAAAACTTCTCCAGATTTAAATAAATTATTTTCTCGTGTTTGGGGTTCAATCTGATTCAAAGGAAAGCGACGAAAATCAAGAAAGTATAACAAAGAGATTTAAAGAAAAACAGAGAGGGAGAGAGAGCAAAAATGAAAAAGAAAAAAATGTCGAAATCATTTTATAGTCAACGACACTCAATAATCATAACAATAATAATTAAGCTTGTTAATTTAGGTTCGAGAAAACTTTGCGCCTTAATCGTTGGCCAATTGAGTTGCGTGAATAGTTTTTTTATGGTTTCCTTTTGTTTCATCCCAGATCGTTAGTATAAGCTTAGATTATAACAGAAACAAAGGAAGTTCAGTGTCAAGAAAGCAATTAATCGTGATATTGAAATTTTTCTGAATAAATGTTGCAATGTTGATAAGTTTATTTACACGCGGAAATTCATTTGAACATATATTAATGTTGTGTATCGAAATAAAACATGTTGACGTTTTATTTCCAAGGTTAAATTGAAAAATTCTTTTTTGTGCGTGATTGTCTTCACATTAAAGCTTTCTTATATTTATTTAACAACATAAAACAGAAACGTTTCTAAGCAATCGAATCATCATCTGGTGATTAAGCATTCTTTTTCCGTTGATAACCAGCATACTTAAATCGCAATGTATATTCTCATGAGAATGTTTAAAGCCATAAGAGCATCATCTTTATTATTTACACTTTGTCTGGTATTAAAAATATCATCGCTCAACAATCATCATCGTCTTTTTTTCAATCGCATTTTTCCATTTTCAGAGCAAATAAGCATCGCACACTTCAATGTTTGTGCTTTGTTTTCATTCCAAACAAACCGATTTGTTTATAACAGAAAAAAGACTTCTTTGTTGGGATTGAACATTGTTTAAGTTTAAAGATAAAAAAACGCAAAATGTGAAATATTTTACAACATCTTCATAATTGAAATAAGATGATGGATACTTCTACGAATCACAATCTCGTTTCTCAATAATTCAAGTGTTTACATTAAGTCTCTAATTGATCAGAAGTTTTCTGTAGTTTGGGCCTTTATCTCTTAAGAACCCCTTCGAGGCAGTCTCATATTTCACTTTATAATCTCTGCGTGCTTTATTGTACTCATTTTGAAACATATTTCTAACGGCCTTCGTTGTTTGATTTACTCATGTTTCTACAAATCTTTGCTTTCCGGAAGCAGCTTACAGTTGGAGTGTGCCATTATCCAACATTATCTTCAAAAGAAATGAACCTTCTTGCCTTTCTCTTCCCCCATGGAAAAGTTTTTATGATCTTTTCGTTTTCCCTTTCAATTTGAGCGATGCTTGAAAAAATTATGACTTTCCACTCGTTCGCAACACGAGAGTGAAAAGAAAAAAAGATGAAGATGAAAACAAAATTTGTTATATTTATGTCTGTTTTTTTGACAAAACACATTAAGAAGATATTTGCTGAAAGGTACAACATTGAAAGGAATTTTGTACACGTTGAGTTTTCGATCCGAACGGTAAGTGCATATAATATGAGATATAACACGTGCCATACACGCATTCTCAGCACTTAAGTATTTATGCTTTGGTATGCTTTGCTTTACATACCATCCGCAGAAAGAAATGACAACGAGGGAAAAGAAATAAAAGAACTTCACACTAATCTGATTTAAACTTCAAATGGCTTATTTATGTTTTACGTCTTAAAAGTGTACCGTAATAAATTACGCACATAAATTAGTGCCATACAGATTGGAGATTTTTGTTTAAAAATTGTTCATAAAACTTCAACAACTTTCAATAAATCATTCATGGTTCGTCTGTTGATTCTGTTACTGTTACGTTCGGGTTGAGTATCGTGGTAGGGAAATAATTCTTTCTTAAATGATGAACCGTGACTGTCTAACTACTTTGATTTTATACTTAATTATAATATGAACTCAACAGAGAGCGAGAGAGAGAGAGAGAGAGAGATGAACAACAACATAAAAATTCTTTTGAGGATAAACACAAAACACTCACCTGTTTACTAGCGTCAAAGCACTCCGGTTCGATGCAAACATCTGCTCTCATGTAACTAGGAATGTAAGGCCAGACAATTGCCAAGACAATGACAATGAGAAGGAGTATGAGACATGCGACACTTAAGATTAAAAATGGAGCTCGAGATTTTTTTGATATCTCGTAGTGAGTGTAGATAGCTTCAAGTGCTCGTCGAGGATGATTTTGATTCTTTTGATTGTTATCCTTGAGAAGGACAGAGTCAGTATTGTCAGCGTCTACTGGCGTTGATGCTGTTCCACCACTTTCATGCCCGCTATTTTTATCTCCATCTTCATTGTCGTCTTCGGGAATTGGGATATTTGTAACTTGTTCCATGATAATTTTTTTACTATTGTGACCATTGTTTCTAGCTAAAAGTTTTCTCTCCTCAGCAGCTCGAATATTTGCAAATCTGTCAGGCGATCTTGTGTCGCCATTTAAAAGATTGCCGCTGTTATTATTGTCCTGCATTCTGCTTGGAAGTGACGATAAATTATACGAATTTCTCGTGAACTTTAGAATTTTGAATTAATTATTTAGTTTAATTTTTTTCACCACAATCACTAATTCTTTTTTCTATTGTTATAATTCACATCTTCCTCTTTATATTTTTAGATCAATTTAGAGACTTCATTTAAACTACTAAATATTACAGACTTTTATTACTCTTTCACTTTAATAAGATCTTTTTCATGTACTGCCAATCATCAATTGTCATAAAGGTTAATTTATTTATTAAATTCACTTTTCTCTCCAACGAGATTCTCAACGTCTTGGAATGTTTTTATGATGATCAATTTTCCACTTTCTTTGATGAAAACGACCCTGCAATGAGAATTTAAATTGAATATTTAATAAATAATGTTATTTTAATAAAAACTCATTAATTGATAATAAAACTGTTTTATATAAGGAGCAATGAATTTTTTTTTTCTATTTATTTATCGTTTGTATTTCTGACCTTGACAATCTGATTCAAAAAAATCTTTTTTTTGTATAACAATTTACGAATTAGATTCTCATGTGCTTTCTCGTGTGGCTTATAATCTTATAATGAACACATGGATATGAAATGAACTCGAGCAAATAATAAAAATAGAATAAAATAATTCCAACTTCCAATTTCATTTACGAGACATAGGAAGGCTAATTTCAGGAGTCAAGAATTAAGATCTTCTTCTTTTCCCTCATCGTCTGTACGATATTGAGAAAGGGATATGAATAAATTATGTAACAACAAACATTTGCATCTATAAGGAATGAGAAATATTGCAGAGACAAAATACTTGAAGCATCCTTTCTTAATTAACAAGAATGATTTTGAGCATCGGAGAGTCTCAGCTAAGAAAAAAGAGAAACTGAACAAAACCAAATCGAATGTAAACATTGGAAAAATAGAAATGTGTGAAATTTCTGATCAATTTTTCTCCCCTTTTTTTCGCTACTCAATTCGACATGTAAATGTTTACACGATAAATTTGTTTTACGCCAAAAAAATGCAAAGGAGAAATAAATAATTGATTCAATGGGGGAACTTTACGCAATGAATGTTTGAGTACATTGGACGTTAATTAGATGAAAGAAAAACAAACAGTTGGATGGGATCAAAATAGTAAAAAAATATTATGAAAGGATTTGTCAAAATCAAACGTTAAGCTTTTGCTGACTTTCAATTTCCGAATATTTTCATAATTTAGAAGAGTTTTTTCCAACCGACCTTCAGAAAATTGAAATATAAACCAGAAAGGGTGGAAAATACACAAACCATCAAAGTACAGAAGTAATCGTTCCGTAAACTGACGAAGGGTTAAACTTTACATTTGAATATAACTAGAAGCGATTATTATTTTGCAATTTCGAGTGGAAATGCAGACAACAATTATTTTTCGGTCAATGCCTGCCCATTCAGAACTGAGATAAATACATTGCAGAAGAAGACATGAATAACTAAAACTGCTTTGAGATTTTAATTGAATTGTTGAAATATAATGAATTAAAATGTTTCTATTTTTCTACCGAATGCTGATGGAATTGAATGAACATTCTAAAATAATAAAAACTAAAATTTTAATTTACGATCGTTTCAAACAATCATTTTTACTGCTTAAAATCACAGTGGGTCAATTCAAATCACTTGAACCGCTCTCTATGCTGATGATGGTTTGTTTATTTGATTTTCCAATTTAAGAAAAGTAAAATAAAAAGCTTTCGAGTAATAATAATTTTACATTTTATTTATTTTTTCAACGATCTTTCGTTTAATGCTCAAATTAATTATGATGATTTGTTTACATTAATTGACTTGTGAGTTTCTCATTTCATCACCTGTTGGTAAAGCTTCAATTTGATTATCGATTGAGATCATAGGAAAAGAAATTGTTGGTGAAGGAAAAAAGAAAACTTGTTGAATTTTTTTACTTCAGAATATCTTGAATATTTCTTATTCTTCTTTGATGAGAAAATTGTTTTTTTATTCACAAATGTGTATTCAAGATGTGAAGAAAAGTTTTATTTTATTTTCATTGTAGAATTTTCTTCTTATTTGATGTCGCACTCGATGAAAGAAGAAAATAGTTTCACGTCAATAAAGTGATAAAAATTGTCAACACAACTCTCATCGCCCACAAACCGTAGAGGAAAATAGCATGAACATGAAAGGAAAAGTTGGGATTTCAATGATTTACGTTTCCTTGTCTTTATTTTCGACATTTTTTTTTATCTTAGAAAGGTTGGAAAAATTAGCCTTCTTGACGGCTTTATGAGATTTCAACGGTGAAACATGAAAAATACATTTCCATGATGTGAAAACTTTCACTAGAAAATTTATTTCTTTTAAGAAACGCACGTACAACAGGTGCATCCATGCTGCAAAGAGATCTTTAAAGTTTAAACATTATTAATGGCACATTTTTCTTGTGAAAATTTCTCATCAGTATTTTCTTTCAAATTATTCCATTTTGAGAACGTTATTTAAGCATAAATAGCTCAGCTGAAGGGAAATCATGTTTGTTCATTGCGTTTAAAGTGCTTGCTAATGCTTTTGTCAATGGCGTCACACATTTTCTCAATCTTTGTTGGAAACATGTCAGTAATACTTTAGTCTAAGAATGAAAAATCTCTATAGTCATACCAGACAATGTTTACACAAAATGAAAACCAGATGAAAAATGAATAAATGACTTTCGACAACAAAGATGAATAATATGTTAAGTGGCTCATTTTTGCTGCTCATCATCCGCGTATTCATTTAAAAAAATTATTTTTAGCAAACGGGTGGTAAGAGCGAAACTGGAACTTTTAAATTGAAATAAAAAATTTTTGAAATATTCTCAAAGTTTTAAGCCTTTGGAATGCTAATCGTAATAGAACAAGATTCTGAAAATTCTTCCTTCAAACGAAAAAATTTTCATATTTTCCAAGCCATTATCATTGCGCGACTTTCCATTTAAATTCTTTTACAATTTTTTTCATTTCTCTTTAATTTCTCTTTTGTTCTTATCTTCAAGGTATAAAGATACAAAAATTATTTAAATTAATTGAAATTCCAAAATAAAAAATACAATGAAACTATAATTTGATAAAATTTCCATTTCTCGATTTCCTTCTGTAAGCTTTGTCGCTTGAATTATTTTAGCGTTTAATTCAAGCTTTTGCTTCTCATAATGGAGAGAGCTCAAGATAAGATAATTTATGGTTTGGTTTGAAGGAAAATAATTCTATTTTTTGTGTTCATTCAACTTTCAACTCAGCTTTCTTATAATATTTTCCCCGATAATTTGAAAATAAGAATTTAGAAAGAACAGTGGAAGTGGAATTTCGTGTGATGAAAGAAGACAGATAAGTATGTATAAAGAATTGTTTTAACGTAAAAATTTCCAATTTAAAGCTCTAATCCTTTCTCTGAACGATTCGAAGATTTGTAGAAGTCATTCTCAACGTACAACTTTTCAGGAAAAAATCTTCTAACATGAAGCTAGAACCGATACGTGTCATAAATTGCGGAAATTAAACTGGTTATCAGAACATAGCTGAGAATATTATTGAAAGTTATGAGGTTTTCTTCTTCGGTTTAATATTGTAGCTTCAAAGAAAATATGATATTTTTTGTAACCGACAAGAAGAAATTTCACGTGTTTTGAAAGATAAATATGTATGTGGAAAATCAGCTTAGTGATTCTTCTGTATTCTGATGCCGGGAGAAATCTTCATCGTATCGTCATCTCTTGATGACAGCTATAAATATTTACGAGTTCACAAAAGTGCATAGCTCAGCGGAAATTAAAAACAATCAACAATTTTACGCTATAACAAAATGTTTGTTTAAGAGACCGGTGTGGAGTTTTTTTTATTTATAATAATAAATTCTTTATCTCTTTATTTTTATTCGTGTTCACAAATAAACAAGTCCTTTAATCAATCAACTCCTTTGCAATCAAACAACTGTAAATTATTTCAAACGGTTTCAAAGTCATAACTCAAGGACTTGAATATCTTAAAGAAGTAGTGAAAATTACACAAAGGATCTCAAAAGCGTACCATAAGTGTTTCACATCACGAATGAAAATATCTTATGTTCAACATTTATTTAACGGCGAAATTAATTCAATTAATAAAAATCACTTAACTCAGTTCGCAAACTTCAGCTATTAAACTGCCACTTTGCATGAACAAAAGCACTCGAAAGCTTGGAAATTCGTTCTTTGACGAACAAAAAACTGGGTTATCGCAAAACCATTAACCATAGCATTTTCGTGACTCAAGAGGTGACGTTTTTGAAAGAAGTGGAAAAGTTTCTACGAGAGTCTTAAAATATTAATTTTCAATGTGAACCTACAACCGAAAAGTAAGTTATTGGATTTTTGATTATTCGGTAGTGTTTGAAAGTATTTAAACCTGTCATCAGTTGAACGAATAAGAACAGTTGTAAATTTTCACAAACATTCAAATGAGTTCGAAAGCGATATTGCTTGAATCAGTGTTGAAAAAGAAGGAATTCGCTGAAATATGAAACAATTTAATTTATCTTAATTCTCAGAAATTGATGAAAAAAAAGGCGAAACTTTAGGAAACCAAAGTGTTATGATCTCGCAAAAGAAAAAGCCGCAAGTGAAAATATACATAAATGTTTATGGTTTGAAGGAGAGAAGGTTTTTAATTTCGTCCATCTCGTACAATTTGAAATCATGCAACTCAATGCTCGTTGTTGAAATTATGAAGAATTGTTTAATGAAACCTGAGAAACCAAAAACTTAAGAAAAAAATGACTGAAGGAATAAAAGTTTTCTCGCTCATTTTATTTTTTTGTTTCATATTGTGGCGATATTGTGGACCTCTTCGGAAAGTTTGGGACAGAAAAATGTGAAATATAGTTTCATGCTCCAATGAGTTTCGATTTTAATTTCTTGGCTAACAAAGACCATGTTTTGCTGAGCCTCATTTAATGTCAGATCACATAGCGAGACATATTATTTAAACATGGTTCCCTCTTACAAACACACACACATATTTATATATAACCACACACACACAGCTTGAAACCAGCAAGAACTTTTCCTTCTTTCGCCCAGAGGAAAAAATGTTTGAGTTCATAAATTAATGTTTTATGTTGCAAACCACACACTGTATCCAAAAATTTCTTCTCTTTTTTGTGCTCCCTGCAAGTTTTCATGTTACTGTCACAATATATAAAGGAGAAATAAGAAGAAGCTTATACCCAAAAATATTTTTTATTGAAATGCAAAATCATAAAAAAAAATGTTTTTTCTATTTATGGTGTTACCAGAGATTGGAAAGTTGGCTTAGTAAACATACGAAGATATTTTTTGCAGTCATCGGGTGAGCTCAACAAAATTCAGAAACTTAGACATTAAACACGACATATTTCTCAGTTTTGGTGGTCATTAACAGGAAACAGCATATTTTCCGTTCACAAAGTTTCTGCTGCGCTGACACAAGCTTGCGTTTCTTTTGAAACATACAATAACAAAAAATTTCCAGAACATTTAATTATAATTGTATTTTTTGATATTCCCCATCATGTATGTAATATTAAGTATTAAGTATTCGAATTTTCAATGGTTTGCCGTCAAGTAAATTGAAGAAAAATTGTTTCATTTGTAGTAGAATTCTCCACGCTAGATGAATGTCTGAGGTTTAATTTTCTTATTTATGAATATGTCTTGATTCGCTCTGAGCTTACTTGAGCCAGTTAAAATGAATAACAAAAAGTATTAAGCGCAAATTTGTAAGATTTCATCGCATGAACTAATTTGAATCTGAGAAATTTTTGCGTTGGGATTAATGTAGCTAATACTTACTAAGAACGTCAAATATTCAAGTATTAGAGGAATAAGTAAGTTTATTCAAATTAAAAGTGATTCTTACAGCATGTATACAAAGCAGCGGCAATCGATACTCATGAAAGTAATGCTTATTTGTGGGCGTAGAAAGAATCAAAGAACGAGAACGAAACAATTGAAATTGATTTATTAGATCGAAGCTCGCTTCGAATTTATTTTGATTTAAATTGATGGATTTAAATGAGAAGTGAATGCATTAATGTCTGAGAAGTTGTCGCTAACACTCGTAAAGATATTGTGTTTTTTAATTTGATTAATTCTTTTATTTATACAGTTTCGGTATAACGATGTTTTTTTTCTTTTAAAATAAAATTAAAATTAAAGGGAACGAGAAATCTAGAATCGGTTTTTCAAGAGTTTAGTCATTGAATTTCAATTTTTCTTTTTCTGATATTCGACACTTCTTTTGATCATATTTACAGCTGTGCAATAGAATTGATTTGTAGTCATTCTTAACATTCAAATTCCAGAAGCACATCAGCGTTTTATTCATATTCAATAGCATGCTTCAGAAGTGTGTAAATTGTAACCATTTACAAGAGTTGAATCGACGATTGTGAGTACAAACGTTTCTGAATTGATTGCGATAAAAAATGAATTTAGATGATATCACCGCGATACTTAAAGTCTATCGTTGAATTCCTCTTTTACGTGAAAATATTTACATATGAAAGAGAAACTCATCAAGACTTGATTCGTCATAACTTACATGCATTGAAATTCTAACTACACCAACGCATCTCCTTAAGGTTTCTAAGCCTATGCTTTACATATATAATAGAAGTAAGATGCTTTCAAGACGTGACAAACTGATTACAATCATATCAAAATGATAGCAAATATTTAAACGAGCAAACACATTTCATGTTGAATTATTTATTCAGCTGTGAAACTGGTAACTGTGTAAGCTCGAAGGCTGGAATCGTAAAATTTGCTGATGTGTAAGGAAAAATTAAAAAGGCGAAAAAAAACCGGAAAAAAGTTTCTCTTTTGAGAATCAAACGGAAGTTTAGTTGACAAATGTGAGTTTAAGAGATGTCAGAAGCATTAAGATTCATTTTCCAAAATCTACAGGTCTCATCAGACATAGATAAAAGACTTACATGCTTATTCTATTCATACGAGATTTCTGGCGACAGAGAAACGAGGAAGGAAATTCCAATTACGGTTCGAGTCGACAATAAATTTTCTTTTTATTTTTCCATCAAAAACTCATGAAGCGACGATGGAAGAAAAATAGAGCAAATGCAAAAATCCAACATTATTTTCATAGCCTTTATAGCTAATTGCGCCATTGACTTAAATCAAAAGAGGAGAAGGAAAAAGAAATTCTTCTCCCTCGCATCGCTTTTCTATCTCAAGAACTTTTCTTGACTTTTATGATTCTTTCAATTCTCGATAAAAAACATCATATAAATACAGATATGTATTTATGAGTCGAGATTTTCTTTGTGTTATGCATTCTCCTACTTCCTTTTTTTCTGTTTCGATAACATCACGACTTAATTGTCTACAACATCCTCATTTTATGGACAATTTCTTCGTAGCTTTTCTTTATTGTTATAAAGTGACATGAGCCTTTCTCTATTCTTTTTTTCTGATCGGGAACATCAGTCGGTTATGTTTAATCGAAATCGTCGAGGGAAAGTAATTTTAAGGTTCAGTCGTGATGTGAATAAAAAATTTAGTAAATTGTCTTTACGTTACGAGTGATTTAACTAGTAATTTTTCCAGGTCATTGACTCTTAAAAGAAGAAATTACTGAAGGAAGGCGGCATAGCAATTATAATTGATTCCCGTCTAGAAACCATCAATGGAGCAGAAGGGGCGATCTCAGAATGTGTGAAAAAATCACGAACAAATTTAAAATATGCTGACGAAACCTTTGTGATTGTTTCAAAGAGCAAGCATATCCCTTGTTCTCTATTAGGCTTTCTTATCACGTTTCAAATAAATATGTTGCTATTTTTAAGACTTTTGTGTAGTTAAACAGAAAACATATTAAAGAAAAATTCCAAAAAGATTTAAACTCTTTAAATTTATTATTTATTCTTATTATGATTAGTGATAAGCTTCTCGTTAAATATTAAAGTTGTAAAGGGAGATGAACATGGACATAAATGAAAAATCTTCTGTCATCTCTTTAAAACAGAATGAGAAGAAAAAAATCAAATTTTTTTTATTTGTATTCATTCGCCCATTATCTCAAAGAATATTTTCCTTCTCGATGATTCCTCGGAGATATTATTATCGAACTTTGATAGCTTCAAAATTGAAACTGCATTGATTGTGGATATACAACAACTCACAAAGAAAAAAAAATTCTGAGTTGAAATGATTTGGTCATTTATTTTTTTTCTGATCGCTTTGAGTTTCATCTTTCTTCCGTCATTTTAATGAGAGAAAAATGAATAATGTTGAATCCATTAAATGCGTTTTGGTTGACTTTTTGTTTGTTATGATTTTTAATCATGACTTTACCAGCTTTATTTCTGACAAAAGAGAGAAAAGTTTCATGTAAAATAGTTTCAAGTTGATAAATTTAAATGAGATCAGATAAGATTTGAATTGTGGCGACACGAAGTAGATGGAATCTAAACAAATATCATGAAATTGTATCAGAATGTTTCGATACGCTTACAAATAATTTTTGCGAAATCTTTTTTGTCTTGATTGTTCCAATTCGATTGCCAAAATTACAGATAAAATTACACAAACGAAGCAAAGCGCTTTAAATGAATTATTTGATGAAAAATCATTATTTCTTGTGAAAATAGAACAATGACAAATATTGAATGAAATTTCAGCTTTTGAGAACATTCAAAATATCTATACGACGACACTGAAACTGCATAAATTTGTTTATCGTCATGTCATGACTTCGTGAAGAGGAAAAAAAGAAGAAAAATAACATTTTTCGACAACTCGACAACGTCACATTTTAAAATTGCTTCATGTTTTTGTTTTTACCTGTTTAATTTTTGTTTATGTATCGAAGAATTCTTTCTTTCCACATATATTCGCTGCGTTCAATTAGATTTAAGTTGTATTTGTGTAAACGTTGCGACTAAAAGAATTTTTTTCCCAGCAATGATCTCCAACAAAATTTTCAGTTCATTTATATTCTTCTTTCTTTCTCTCTTTTTTTCTTTTGCCGTTCTTTTACTTTCGTTGTTTGCTTTCCTTGTTTCTCGATTTTCTGGTTTCTTTACATAAAAATGAAATATTTCTCGGTACTTTTCCTTCAGTTCACGAACAATTGCAAGTTGGATTTTTTTCCACCTAAAAACTTTTTAACACTTTGATCACTTTCAATACTTCTTAGAGATTTTAAAGAAATTTTATGCTATTTTTGATCTTTTTATTGCATATTTTTATTTATTTACATGCACTTTCTCCTTATTGATCATAAAAAATAAAATATTTTCATTAAACTTTCTGAAGATCACTTTAATCAAATAGCATAAAAAATATAAACTTTCTCTTTTTTTGTGTTGTTGCAAAATATTCCAAGTGATGGTAATCCCATTTAATTAAATGATTATGTTGATTTTACACTCTTAAGACTGCTATAATTAATCCTTAACAGTTATGCCGGTTGAACAAATACGAAATGCATCCTTATGCTTTGAAGTTATTCTGAATACTGAAGAAAATTCTTCAGAAATATTAAGAGAAGAGAAAATAAAACGAAGAGAGAATCGAACCATTCAAGCAAAGTCAAGGGGAAACTCAATGTTGCTTTTACTTCATCTATTCAAAAAATGACAAGGGTTTTTAAATGTTTATAGAATTAGACATGTTTTTTAAGAGACACACTAACTATTGCGCTTCGTGTTTTTAAAAGAAATTGGTGAACTGGGATGGTAAGTATAAGCAGAACAAATTACTCAATTAAAAGAGAAAAATTTATCGCAATGAATTAATGCAACTATTCAAGAAAAGTAGCAAAAAACATTAAAATTCTTTCATTCATTTATTTCTAAAATTTATATCTATATGAAATTCATTGAACTTATCTTTCGAATGTAATATCTTTTATTGTATGTAGTTATCAACATCTGAAATTTTCATTAATAAATTAAAAATTAATAGTAAATTTACATAAAACAAGAACATCACAAGTGTTCTGAACAACACTTTTTCTAAATGTTTGACAAGGGCATACATGAATCTCCCCTTTACGCTATAGTAAGTGTGACTATGTAGGTTCCTCGAGGTTGCTTTTTATTAAAAATACATGAGAAACAAAAATATTAATTGACTTTTATACTCTTCTATTGAAAGCCTTTCTTTTTTTCAAGGATATATCGGTATTTGATTATGGTCACGATACATTTGTTGCTAGTTTTTCATAAATTTTCTCTTTAACCGTTTTCGAGTAATGGTTGTCTGCTCGAAATTAAAATGATTCTTGTATACTCAATAATAATAATTCTTAATGATAAATAAAATACAAAAGCCATGAGAGTTTGGCAACTGTAGTTTCTACAAAAAAAAAACAGCTTTTCATTTTTCTATATATCTTAATAAATGAACAGAAGCTTTTAAGATAGCATCTCCTGCTTTTAGTGAAAGGGGAACTCAATGTTTTATCAGTAATCAGAGAAACCAAAGTTTTACATTTTACCTCAAGAAAACACCTGATTATTCAAAAACAGAGAAAAGTTAGATATAAGCAAATTGGTTGTCACGTAAAATTATTTGAGTTATCTCATTTTCCTTTCCTTTCTAAATTTTAAGATTAGAAAAATAGGAAGCAACAAATTTTCATCTATTCTGTCCTAAAATGCAAAGTGGATTGAAAGAGTCATTAGGGAGCAATCATCTTCGTCGCTCCCCTTTATTATATAAAAAATATTGATGCGTATGGGTCGGAAGATTCTTTCAAAATATAAGAAAAAATGGAGACGATAAAAGAACCAGCAACATCGTTGATGAAACCTCTCGAAATTCAATTTACTGCATCACTCGACACCTTGTATGCATTAAAAAATTTTCATTTAATAAATTTTTTTCCATAGAAAAAATGCTTCGAGCAATATTCCAGATGTGACGATTAAGTGTATGGCATTTTCGACAAAGAATTTTAATGCTTATAAAAGAACATGTTAATCCCAAGGAAATGCGATACAGAGAAGATTTCGTGTGTGTCGCAAATGGATTTTAGGGAGTTACAAATAGCTTCTGGCAAGCATTCCAAGTCATTTTCTTTATGGTGTTATCATTATCCAATAATAACTTTCATTCGTTGTTTGAAAAGAATTCGGAAAAAAGTTCTTGGCAAACAAGTGAAACCAATAATTCCAGCAGGTAAATGGTGTGGAAGACAAAACTTTTCTTTTAACTTTCTTAAGGATAAGCCAATGAATGAGTCAAGGCCGAAAGAGCAGAAAAATGTTGAACACTTCGCTTAACATGAATGTCACATAGAAGTGGCGCCAAGTTCACAGTTCAAAGCATCCCGATTCCATCTGTTCTTATCTCTCTCTCTTTTCTACTCACAACAATTTGACTTTCCCAGGACTTTTTCATTTATTTTATTCATATATCTAACAGTTTTTCATCGACTCAATAAATCAAACATTTATTATGTCATAGAAGACAAGCATTAGGCGCTTCATCAGAAATGCACGTCTTATATCATAAATCATGCAAATGTTTCCTTCCCTTATTCACGGTCGAGAAAATTGTGAAATGGTTCAACTCACATGGAATTTGAAAATATTCCACATTGTCAAGCTGATATATCTTTTTATGATTACTAAAAAGGCTTAAATCTTTCTTGCATTTGAAGAATCCAAAAATCTCTGTTGAAAAGCTCGCATGGAATAAAAAATCATCTTAATGTTTTCTGTAGCAATTTATCTTTTGTAGTGTGTAATTCAAATTATAGATTAACAGCATCAATCTAGGATGTAATTTATTAAGTATTGCTGAAAATTTGTCATAACTTATGATTATAACAAATTAACAAAAAATGAAAACTAAAAGCTTCTTTTGAAGTGCGAACGAATGTCAATGTCAACAAAATACGGTAAATGCTTGGTTATTATTCCAATTAGTTGTCTTCTCGGTTGGCTCTATATCAATAAATTCTCCCGAAACTCTGTAGGAGAACACACATATGAAATAAATCTGCTAGTCAGCATGTCATCTGCTTTATGCCATATATCAGTTCGCTATTGTTTAATCGAAACTTTTCACAGATATGTATACAAAAATCATCAGCTTTCGTGTTGGAATACACAGAAATTTTCAATTTGCGCGACAGTTGTGCGATATCAGACAATTTATAAATGGAAAACTTTTCCACTTCCCAAACAATTCTACAATTTATGATGTTTTTTTTGAATTTCCAGAAAATCTGTGTGGCTATGAAATGGTGAATAAATATCATATAAACAATTATTTACTGTCGTTCTGCTTCGGTAAAGTGAGTAGAAGGAACTTTTGTGATTTATGGTTGATGATGTGTGATACTATAGAGTGGAGGGCCTAATGTGACATCATTAAATTTTGATTTATTGTGTCTATGGGAAATTTCAACATGAATGAATTGGAAAAATCTTCAAAAAGAAACATCAAATTGTGATGATGAACAATAGCATGAAAATGGAAAATATGTATCTAAACGAACGAAATTGAGATGCTTTCAACTGTAAACTTGGCGCCACTTCTATGTGACATTTAAGTCAAGCACAATGTTCAATATTTCAATGCCTCACAACCTTGACATAGTCACTTAACTTTAAGATATATCTAACATATTCGAGGAAATCTTTTCATCGCACACACCATTTACCTGCCAGAATTATTATTTACTTACGCAAATTCGCCGGAAAGCTTTTTCTCTCGAAATCTTTCGACATGAATACAGCATACAAATATGAAACAAGGGAGTTTTATCAGCCTTACTGTTCTAAATCCATTTGAGACACACGACTTATTTTCTGAAATGTTTTCCGCTAAGTTGTTTTAATGGATCAACATTAAAAATCTCATTTAAGTGGTTAATAAAACCAATAAACATAATTGTCACATCTGGTATCAAGAACTGTATTTATATAGAAGAAAATATTTCGAGCATCATGAATGTCATAGGAAAAAAATATTTTGAGGTGTCGAGTGATGCAACAAATTAGATTCATTTCGAAAGAATCTTTCAGCAACTATTCATGGAAAGTTTTTATCCACTTTCATCACACAGAATATCATGAATGTCAGTTGAGACATAGAAAAGATTTCTCCCAAATGATTCATCCAATTCACTTTGCTTTGGTTTTGGGTTGATGGTGATGATAAAATTTTGTGGTGCCATAAATCAGATTAAGGTTCTGATCATAGAATAAGCTGAAAAGTTTCACGGCTGTTTCACCGCTAAATTCTGGTTAAATTTATATCCAAAAACGCCGAAAGTCACTTTGTTGTTGTCAATTTTACTCACATGTCTTTCACGTCTGTTTCAAATCGGTGATAAAACAAATCCATGAAAATGGAAAACTCGAAAATTGAAAAAAAAATCTATTTTCTTGTTCATGTCTCAGCTTAGCGTATTTTACATTAATCATGAAGCTCATTTTCATGTTTATGCATTTACAGATTCTAATATTTAACAACAATACATAATATTTCGTGAAAGCGAACATTCATTATTAACGCTTGACCGAGAAACATAAAATCCATTTGGAAAAGAAAATTCTGATCTATTGCTTTTTGATGCACTTTTCCATGGATGTTGTGGAATAATATTTTGCTAATAATTCTTCTAGAGAGTCAGAGTTGCTATTGCTGTCTTACTGGGTGGGTTACTGGAGATAATCTCGAAAAAATATGCCAAGAAATAAGTTCATGAAAGAGAGTTCATAACATTTTCAAGCCAAGTCTAGTCTGTGTTCACTAAATTAGTTTTTTCCAACTTACTACAACGCAATAATAAAAATATGTATGTATCAAATTGCGAAAATCATCAGAATTATAGCTTTCTAACTATGGGACATAAAAAAATGAGTGTTCAAACTTAAATAAATATGTAGCTCTAGAATAGTTTTATTTAAGCAAGAAGAATATTCTTTTTCATCTATTTTCTCACCACATAAAGCAGCAACATATTTGAAACGTGATAAGGAAACACAAAATCCTTTTTTTCTAGTAACATTTCTTTCTTAAGCACCAATCACATTGTCTTTATCAGCAAGATTTCCTCGTTCGTGATGCTTTTACAAATTTTCAACTTGAATAAGCTCACGTATCTACCACGCGTCGATGTGAACATCGGAAAATCCTTTTTTAATTGTTCCTTAAAAGTTATCATCAAGGAATAAACAAAGCTTTATGTGAAATTTATTTAGCAGTTGGTTTTTCAAATTTAATTCATATTTTGCATATATTTTAACAAATATCTATAATTTATAATCTTCCACGATCAATCCATTTTCCATCAACTTCTTGTGGACCCCACTTGTCAGAAGGTTTTAAGAGACCTTTCCAAGTTTGTCTTCCTGCTTGAATATCAATAAGTTCTATAATGAAAAAGACAACGAATGGAACAAGTGTTATTAATCCAAACACATAGCCCATCGCGTCTGCCCATTTTGGAAAAACATATTCTCTGAACACAGTTGACTGCAGATCAGTCATCATGAAGATGAAGATAGCAGTAAGCATGACTGGTGTAATAAACACCCATACCGATTTCCAATAATATCTTGTAAGCTTCCATAATTTCATTCCCATCTCAAGAATGTTATCAAGAGTACGATTTATGCCATACACCCATGATAGAACTGCAACCTCACCGATTCCAATCAAGAACAAATTCCAACTAGCAGTATGCCATTCAATCAAACTTTGAAGATAAATTCCACCGTTGCAAGTGAGAGGTAAAGCAGCAATAAAGCATGCTATACAAACGCCAGCTGTTGCACGCCACTCGTGTTCTCTTAAGTGTGGCCATTGATCTACGATGCTAGACGAAAGCATTTGAATAGATCCAAACTGTGATCCTAATCCAAGAATCAGCATCATGAAGAAGAATAAAATGGCCCATAATTGAGGAAGCGGCATTAATAAAATAGCTTCCGGATATGTTATGAAAGTTAAGCCAGGCCCACTAGATGTTACATCTTGAACAGACACATTCATTGTATTGGCTAAGAATCCCAAAATTGCAAATACTACAACACCATTGTAAAGCGCTGTTCCAAAGTTCAAAATGGACACAAAAACTGCATCAAAGTGACAATTGTTTGAAAACTGGTTAGACGAAACATAAAATTGAGATACCTATTAAAACATTTGTTTTCAATTTGTAAATAAATACCTTATTATATGATGCAAAAACAATTAGAGCTCCCCATGCTAAACTGAATGAAAAGAAAACTTGACTTGCAGCATCACCCCATACGCCAGGAGATTGAAGCCGTGTCCATTCAGGTGTGATAAAGAACTTTATTCCAGTTATCGACCCTTCCAATGTTATAGCACGAATGAGTAATGCAGTTAATATAACATAAGGAAAAGTTGCAGTGAAATAAACAATTTTTCCAACCGATTTAACTCCTTTGAAAAGGCAAATGAAAGCTAAAATCCAAACAAATGCCAAACATAAAACCAAATGTCCTTGGGGCCATCCCCAATTTTGAGTCCAGGTTGCACCATTAATATTCAAAACTCTGTCACTAAATTACAAAAAATTGAATTAAAAAATAAAGCTTATACATACTGATAAAAAAATTTGATATTATTTACTAGAAAAATTCTTCAGCTGCAAGAGTTCGGTTAACGACATCAGTAATCGGAAGGATGTTAGTCAAATTACTACAAGAATTAACGTTAACACCACTATAATTGAAGATACCACATACTTCTGTAACAGTTCTGCACTCTCTCATATAATAGATTCTATCCATTGCGTCATTATTGTTTCCTTCTTGACATTTAATATCCTCAACAATGCTGAAACAATCTTCATTTTTGTATATTTAATTAATGATTTATTTTTAATTTTAATAATTTTCTATCTTACCATCTGAATTCCAAGAGTTTTCACAAGAACCCCAAACAAGACTCGGGAAAAAAGCTGTCCACATGTAAAAAATTACCCACGAGATTATCATCATGTAGTAAATTGCCACAAATGCAGTTGTGAGTGTTGCGCAGTAGCCTAGACCTAATCACATATTTAAAACCATAATAAGTATTAGATAGTATAAGCCATATTTTATCGAACACTTTATCTAAGCCAATTCAAGAGAAATAAAATGACACACTCATTGAAGCTTACCTTTGAAAAGTGGAGCGAGGAACTGAAAAGCTTTAATAGGTCCCAGTCCGCTATATTGTCCAATGAAAAGCTCAGCAAAGAACACTGGTAGACCAACAAGGAACACCATAAGGATATATGGTACAAGAAAAGCTCCACCACCATTTCGAAAGCATAAATAAGGAAAACGCCAAACATTTCCTAGTCCAAGAGCATAATTCATACAAGCAAGGACAAATTCAACGGGACTTCCCCAATTTCCACGTCCAACTAACGCATCGGTCGAAGCTGTTGCTGATTGTAGATCTGTTATAATTACATCTCCATGTATTGAAGACTTCTCAGGAATAAAAGTTGGTTCAGGCAATGTGTAACTTTTAATTGATGATCTTTTCATTTTTTCCGTCACTTTGATTAACTTTTAACACAAACTTTGATATAAATTGAATAAAGGTTTTATCCTTTTTTATTCTCATAAATATTTATTACGTCTATAGTTATTTATCAGCTCAACTGGTAATCAATTTTTTATTACAGCTAATTCTTGTGAAATGTCATATAATTTCGATAATTCACAAACCATAATACTATTTGAATAAACTTAACGTTTAAGCTTTCTTAAACCAACTGAAGACTGTTCAGCACACGTCTAAACTTTATATTATTTTTCTTATCAAACGTTTCGGCATTGCTATCAATCAATGGGCCCGTGTGACTTAAACAGATTTCCCAATTCGATTTTATCAGTATCAGTATAATTATGATAAAATGAACATTTGAACCATGAAAATGTCGATTTGTGTCGTGATTAAACACTTAAATTTACTGAAAGTATACATATGTATATATAGCAGGCATATTGATGGAATATCTCAATAAGTTTTGTGAAAATTCTATAATCGTTTGAACTGATTCATATCTCCTTCAAAATGACAAGTAGATATGCAAATAATCTCTCTAAATGAAATAAATAAACAATATTGATAAGAGCGTTCTGACAAAACTCCATTTCAAACGAATGCCTAAAGCAGAATCAATTAACTTAATAATAATAATAATAATAGTGCAATTCTCATGTGAAAAGAAGAAGTTTCTAAATAATTAGCAACCAAATGAAATGCTTGCCAATCGATTTTATCAGTATTGTAATAAAATGCATGGGGCTTCTCTGTATGAAAATGAAGGGATCATAAAAAAGAAAAAATAATGAGAAGATAGGGACGATGAATTTTTGATATCTAAGTCAACGACACTATTAAATGTTTACGGAGGGGAAACAATTCAAAATAGATAATTTTCTGAACTTATCTCGCAATGTGGGTATAAGATGTCAATTAATAAGAAATGAATCGTGAATTGGAATTTATATGAATAATACAAAAGAGTTTCTTCTAAGCCATTCCAATAGAGAAAAATAAATTTAAAATGTGGAAGTTTTTGAATAAAACTTTTATGAAAAATTATGATTTACTTCAAACCTCATTTTTAATGGTCAGAAATGAACTTTTATTCCACCGAAGAAAATCAACTTTTTTAGAACGATATGTGAACTTTTTCAATTAATAATTATGGAGCGGAACTTATATTTAGGTATGTGCCGATAAACTTTTAAAATTACAATATTTCAACTGTTTTTGAAAGAATATTCAGTGATGCAATTGACACTTGTATGTTAAGAAATATAAAATCTACTCTACATAAAAATTTTAATCACTTCATAAAATCTGATCAAAATTATCATTAAAGAAACGATTCACATTCGCGTTTGAACTGCCAGTTATGTATTAATATCTTGAGACATTCGTAATTGTTCCCAGATTGTCTGTTATCTTCAGACCACAAATATAAAAATATGTAGCTATATAAGATAGATAAGCAGATTTGAAAGTGTATTTCTAATCGCAATAATTCTTCTGTAATAAAATAACTTGCAAAAATACAATAAAAAGAATAATAAATTTGCTACTTTTTCCGATTTTCAAGAAATTTTATCGCAAAACCGCCTTATCCATTTGACATGGTATTAGGTTATAATTTATAAATGATATTGTATGACGCGTCAACTGTTGATAACTTTATGCTTATTAGATAATTTGAAATCAATTATGCCGATAAAAAATGCTATAAGACTTATAAATACCATTAATATTTTCTGCTTTTGTAAATTCAGAAATGAAAAAATAAACAAGACGAGAAGAGAAGAATATAGAGTAATTAAAACATAATTATGCAATTTTAACTATGACTTTTCAACTTCCCTTTCAACATCCCTAAATTTCGAACATTAACTGAGTTTTTCATCCAGATAATTTTATGTCTTGAACAAGTCTGTTGGTCTTTAGTTTCATTTCCTTCAAGGAATAATCTCTTGATATTTAAATTTCAAATGAATATTTATATTTATAATACATACACTACCTAATAAAAGGAAAATATATTTAAGTTATGAATTTATTAAAGAAATAAGTAAATGAAAACAAATTTATTTAATGCTTTCTTTAAAACTTTTGAATTTGAGAATTAGTGAATGACTAAAATTAATGTTTCAAGATGAAAACTTTTCTTTTTATGAAGAAAAGAAAATGTTAACTGACAGACATTGATTATAATTAGAATTTAACAACTCAAGGGGACTTAAAAATATTAATTAAATATTTCGTGACATCACTCAAGTGGATAGTTTCATTTAATGTTGTGTTCCTGTTTCTTAATTTGAGAAAGCCTTCATCCAGAGAAGTTTTATCCAAAATTATGGAATAAGGAATTCCTATTTGATCAAAATTTTCAAGTCGTTCATTGAGACTTTGTTTATTTACTGTTATTTTGACTGCATCGTTGAGAATATCGATTTCAGGTTCAGTATTTAATATTAAAAGTTCAATGTAACGGGCTAAATCAATCAAATCGTTAGATGCTTCACTGATAATTAGTGCCAACTGATAAGGAGCCGATCTTCGATGTAAAGCAATGTATTCTGATGAGAAGTTCACAGCATCGAGCAAAAGAGCAAGCGAAGCAATATGCAGATCAACAGTTGTCTCAATCACATCTGGAATAATGTCTCTTTTTTTGTTTGCTTCCCGGAATAGAAAATTATTAAGAACAAAGTTTTCTTTCGAGACATTCTTCAGAGAAAGTAGCTTTAATCGTTCAACATCTAATGCTAAATCTTCACTTTCGAACTTTATATTTACATACTTAAAATGTGATTCGTTTTTGAGATCAGAGATTGTATATTTCCCAGGACTTGCTCCATACTTCATCCACCAGATTTTGTGCTGGCGTTGAATTTTATAAAAGACTTCTTTGCTCAGATTGCTTTTAATAAAATAACATGTTTTCAGAAGATGTTGGGTGGGAAAACTAACAACGTTGCTTGGATTCAGTTTTGAACAATAAACTTCTTGCATTATTGAGAATGGCAACTCTTTGTCAGTTCTGATTTGTTGGAATGAATCATTGAATGCTTTGTTTTCCATAAGAGTCTCATCATAACATTTTTCATTCGTGCTATCCAATGCTTTTTCTAATATCATCATCGAAGGATCTCGTTCTTTGTGGAACTTTATGTACTCATTTTTCACTTTTCTTACAAATTTTTCAAACAACGGAGTCGTATTAGTTAAACAAAACGAATTGGCCTTTCGTTCTATGTTTACAAAAGCTTTAATTCTACAAAAATGACTCATTATTTGTGGATTTAAGGTTTTTCTAACTCTGAAGAGGGAAAATGTTTGATTTCTCAAGAAATAATGTTAAAGTCAGTTTCAGGTGGAGAGTGTGAAATTTTCATTCAAATGTTGTTTTCTGAGTTCCGGAGAAATCCTAGCTTTGCCTACTTTGTATGAAAACTTGTTTTCCGATCCGCGGAAAAAACGCTGCAAGTGTGTTCAGTAAACTTACATATAAATGTAAACAAATTCTTTTTTCGTTGTGTTGTACCTTTAAGTTGCTAAATTAATTAATTTTGTGTCTATTTCCAAGGAATGCCTAAACACATCAAAAGATGGTGTGGAGGTATTTTAGGAGCATCAACATTGATAGGTCTAGCATTCTATGACAGTTACCGTTGTGTTCAACGACTAAGAAGACCTCTTAATACGAATTTTCTGACGAAACGATGTGAATACATATACATAAAACATAATTATCTGAGGGAACCAGTGAAAGACATCCTAAATGAACTATTTCAAGAAGAAACCATGATCTATAGTGTTCTCTATAATATTAAAAAAAAACTGACCTTCACAAAAGTAAATCGTCATTTAATTGCGTCACAATATTTACAAAAATATATTTTTGTTGCAGATCGAATATGCGCTTAAAACTCTTCGTGTGGCAAAACATTCAACAAGTCCTTTTGAAAGACGAAAAGCTATCAGAAATCTTTCAAGTATTAGACTCGATCTGGATGATTGGGAATTCCGCTTTCTTGCTCAATATTGCAATTCAGAAACTGCTGTTAGCTTGGCGCGTAGCCTTGGCGATCCCAATTTGATAAGAAAACCTCGGGAATTTGGAAAATTTAGGACCAAAAGTGAAATTGTAGCTGATTTCAAATCAATGCTTGAGAAAATGAAAGATAATCCTTGCGTGAAATTCATATTTGAGACAACAAGTGCATTTGAGAACATCAAAGATGTTGATCATGAAACAAGTTTTCACGATTTTCACCATGAAAATGACCACATTCATCAGTCACTTGATCATCTTCTGCATCTTACAAATGACCCAAGATTATGTTTAAAAATTGCTGAACACGACGGACTTGACATCATTTTGGATATTTATAAAACTTTCAAAGACAACATTGACATTAAAATGATTCTAACGAAAATTATCACAAATATGTCTTCATCACACGATACAATGATCGATTACTTTCATAAAAGCGGATGGCTTTATCTACTTTCAAATTGGCAATGTGACGAAGATCTTCGAATTCAAGTTCTTGCATCAACATCGCTGCACAATCTTGATAAATATGACAATTCTTCCTTTATTTATCGTCCAAAACTTTATCCACTATATCCCCGTACAAAAATTAATAAAGATCCAGCAGTTGATGTTATTTTCGTTCATGGCATCCTTGGTGGTATCTGGATAACATGGAGAGTCCAAAGAGAATCAGATATTTCTAGTGTTGAAAAAAACCAAAAAAGCATTTTGCCATTCGATGAAAATATACAAAATTCGTTCATACAAGAAGAAGCAGTTTTTCGTGATGAAAAAATTGTTCAAATGGAACCAGGTCCAGCGAATAAAATTCTGACAATAACTCAAGAAACAGCTAAGCGTGTTATTGCAGCACTTCATGAAATGGCAGAAGATAAACTGACAAATGACGATGTAAGTCTATTATGAAATTTATCTATTAGTAATCATGAATCGTAATTAATGTTTCTATATTTTTTTGCATTAGATGAAACTCTCTCGACAAATCTTGAAACACATCGTTAAAAAAATAGATGAACAAAAGTATAGTTATTGTTGGCCAATTGATTGGCTTCCTCAACAGTTTCCTTCAGCTCGAATTCTTGGACTTCAATTTGAGTCAGCACTCAGTTATTGGGTGAAAAAAGTTTGCCCCTGTGAAAGAGACAAATTAAAGTTGAAATATCGCTCTCTTGATTATATTCCACGTCTTGCTGATGCTGGAATAGGTAATGATCGACCCATTGTCTGGATTTGTCATTCAATGGGAGGCTTGATTGTAAAAGGAATTATTAACGAAGCACTTAAAAGTAATGATCCAAACGTTAGAAAAATAGGTGAAAATACTCGAGGAATTATCTTCTTAGGAACACCACATCGAGGATCAGCCATTGCGAAGTACAGTCAACAAGCGGGAGTTTTATGGCCAACAATTGAAGTTCAAGATATGGAAGAAAATTCAAAAGATTTGTTGAAGTTAAATGATGAGTTTTTGGAAAATGTGTCAGACACGAAAAACCATGTTGAAATTGTGTCTATTGCGGAAGGATCATCAATGAAAGTGTTTCAGAATATAAAACTTATTGTTGTGCCATTGGAAAGTGCTTACCTTGGATATGGAGAATTTTATGTATCAAATGAAAATCACCTAAATTTAAGTAAACCACTGAGTCAAAATTCGTTTATTTATCTTACCGTAGTCAACCTTCTTGATAGAATTCTCAACCAATCATCAAAATTTCCAAATGAAAACTAAGTTAAACTCAGTTCTATTAAGATTCAGACTAATCAAAAGCCGTTTGTATTCAAAATCAATTTTGAATTATTTTCATGTTATTTGTTATATTACCTAAGAAAATCTTTTAATATATTGTGAAAAATAATTTATGAGATCAAAGACTTGCTAAAGAATAAAATTCTAATTCCGATGAAAAAAGATTTTCTATTCTAAATAATCTCTCAGCACGTGCAATGGTGAAATTGCTGTTAGGTATCAAAATTTCATTTAACAAATTGATAAAAAGAGCCTGCTCAGGAATTTTGTTTTTAATTTTGTTGTGTAAGGTCAGATGACTTTCATTTCTTTTGTTCAGAATTTGATGAGTTATCGCTAGTAGTGATAAATAAAAATCAACTTAATTTCACAATTTTATTCAAACTGAATTACCAATTTCATAATATTAGTAACGGAAAATTCAAAATGACTACGCCTTCAATTCGCCCGTTTCGCTTAATTCGCTTTGTGGGTTCTGATTTCATTTCATTTTTCTACACTTCGTATATTCAATACTTAAAATTAGTGGTAATAACACGCAATTCTGAGCGTTCGTAACAAATAAAATAAATCCTTAAAAAACGTTTTAAACATTTCTGATAAGCTGAACGTGTAAAAGACATTCGAAATATTAAACTTCTTCAAAGTAATAATGGTAAGCTATTGCGTTTTTGTTTTTGTAAAAAGAATAAACATCAGAGTATAAAGAGAAAAAAGAAAAAAAACTTTAGGATGATGTGTATACGTGCTGCGCTACGTGCAGAGATATATGACGCAATAATTCGGAAGTGTTGATCAGTATAGATTTTGCACTGATAATTCTTTAAGATAATGTGATGAAATTATTCATTACATTAAGTGAGTTTCCTTGAAACAGTGTTATACGGTTCTGATTCATCATTTACTGGAAAAAAAAACTTTCCTATGTTTACGTTTCCTTAAAAAACTTTTGGCTGTTTTTTTTTAGAAATTACTCGATTGTTTGTTTGTTCAATACAATTTGCATATTTTGGAAAATCATTAAAAAAGCAAAAATATTATGTTTGTTATCTTTAATAAGTATAATATTATTAAAATTTGTTTTATTTTCAGGGCGGCTCAAAAACTTCTCCTGGTGATTTGCAGAACATGATCTCAAAAATGATGAAGAATGCAAATCAACATGAACAGCGAGTGAGACATGTCAGCTCTAGAGAAGAAGCAATTAATCGTTGTCTTTCCTCGCTGATTCATGCCCTTAACTGCCGAGAAGGAGTCTCTTGTGTTGCTGCTGGCTGCCAAAAAATGAAACGAGTTGTTGAGCATACGAGAACATGTCAAAGAAAAACGTCGAATTCTCGTGGATGTCCAATTTGTATGCAATTGATGTCTTTATGCTTGTATCATTCAAAGTTGTGCCGTCAGACTGTATGTCATGTTCCTTTCTGTCGCATAATGAAAAGAAAACTGCAAGCTGCTAATGAACATAAAGCTCAGCAGCAAAGTATTCAAAGGTGAGAAACAAAATAATTAAAAAAATTAATTTTCAAAAAGTTTAAAACATTCTTTTTTACAGTCTGAAGCCAGTTCCACAATTTGTGATTCCACCAATAAACAACCCGCCTCCGTCATCTGTCAGGAGAGAAGAAAACTCTTCTGAACCTTCGCCAAAGAGAATGAGATTAGAAAATGATTCTTCTGTTAACAATGAAGCTCAACAACATAAGCTTTCTTCCATGATCAAGAATGTAATTAATTCTCTGGCTACCGATCAGCTCGAAAATTTGCAACAACCACGTTCAAACGAAGTTATGTAGATAAATATGATCCTCAATTTTTTATGCATTTTGCAGAGAAATGGAAAGGAAATCAGAACCCTTAAACAATTTAAGATCTTCATCAATTAAGGTTTTTTCTTAAGAATAATCTCGGAAATCCGTTAAAAATATGTTTCAATACAGCAATTCATTTAATCAAACGAACATCTCTCCTTTTCTACTTCAGTTGAAATCATTTTCAAAATAAAAACAACTATCATGAACTTTCTAAAAATATATCATTGAACATCATTGAAGTTTTATCTTTAACACCAAAATCTCTTAAGTTATTAACAATGAAAAGTGTTTCAGATTTTATAAGTGATTTCTCATAAAAATTTATGTTTTTCATATTGTGATGCAATGTAAACTATGCCAGCAAACATAAATAATTTTGACAAATTACCTATTTTTCTACTTCAGTCTTCGTCAAAACTATAAAATTTTAGATTGAAAAAACAATGTGACTAAAGAAAGGTCCTGAAAAAGAATAAAAAGTTTTCGTACGCATGTTTTTTCAGTTTTAAATAAAGTTTCTTCATTCGTATTTTAAATGACCAATCTTCACTTTCATTGTCAGTTTCATTTTTCTCATGAGAAATCAATAAAATGAATTAAAATCAAAGCTCTATATAAAAAAAATAATTTTTGCTTTAAAATTTTCTTTTGTCTAATTTTTGTTTCATTTGTCGCTTTTATATTTTATACGTGCAAATTTTAACGTTCTATGTATCTACATTTCCGTTCATACAATCTCCTTGAATAATTTCGCTTAAATAGGTACAGTTTCTTATCTCTTATCAGTAGCTGCTCAAATTTTATCTTAAATCTATGACGTATGAGATAGATCTGGAATTTTCTTTTAAGTTTAAACTTAAATTTCGTATTTTCATTATTGTTTAATTTGCTGCCATTACCTGTCGCTTAAGCAAATATCTACCTATAAACATTGGTGATATTACAACATCAATAGGTTTGTAATCCTTTAACATTATTTTTGTGCATATGTTTGTAGAAGTTTCGAGAAACGAAATATTTTATTGATAATAAATCATCAATTAGGCTATCTAATATTTTATAATTTTTATATCTAATCTCTTGAGATACCTACCTACTTCAAATTATCTAGAAGCAAAAAGGACAAAAATCCGTTGCAAAATATGAACACGCAATCTTTCAAGTTAAAAAAATGTTTTCGTTTCTGACCTGCCGAAGATTTGAAATTTAAAATATAAAAAATTAGAGAAAAAGATGCAAAATAAATAAAGAAGCAAAAAAATTGGCGCTTAATAAAATAATTTTCCGTACCTTTAAAATCGCGTAGATACTCTGATTACAAGAAATGGCATCGACATCGAAAGATTTGGTTGATTGTCCTATTTGTCAGAAATTTATTTCAGCTGAGAGCATTGAAAATCATGCTAATGATTGTTTTGAACAGCAGTCGCAAAAACTTTTGTCGCCAAGCATAAACAAACGAAAAAGCAATGAAAACACTTACAAAATTTTCAGTTTTAATAAGAAACAAAAAATTGCAATTGACGACAATGATGAAACTAAAACATCTTCATCGATGCAACAGCCAAAAGAATCACTGAAATCTCCATTAGCAGAGTTTATAAGAGCTGAAAACTTTGAACAATATGTTGGTCAAAAACAAGTTGTTGGTGATAATTCTTTGATTAGAAAATTACTTAAAAGTAATGATATCCCTTCGATGATTTTCTGGGGACCACCTGGTAAACATATCAAACATTTGATAACTTCCTATATATCTATTTTAATTTATTTTCCAGGTTGTGGGAAAACAACGTTGGCAAATCTAATTTACAAGCAACAATGTAATCAAGACAAAGACCATTTTCGATTTATTAAACTTTCAGCATGCACTAGTAACATTAGTGATGTCAAAGAAGTTGTTAAACAAGCGAAATCTTACAAGGACACAGTTAAAAAGCGAACAATTCTTTTTATGGACGAAATTCATCGTTTTAACAAACTACAACAAGACGCTTTCCTTCCTCATGTTGAAAATGGAACAATTGTTTTACTTGGCGCCACCACTGAAAATCCATCATTTTCATTGAATAATGCTCTACTAAGTCGTTGCCGAGTTATAATATTGGAAAAATTAAAATCTGAGGAAATAATGGAAATTCTCCGACGAGCAATCATTCAATTCAAGGCCATTGAAGTGAAGAATGAAACAACAGAACGAAATGTTTTAGAAAATCATGTCAGTAAACTGAATTTTTCGCCAGAAATTTGCATAACGGAAGAATGTCTTCAATGGATTGCAGATACTTCTGATGGCGACGCACGTATAGCTTTGAATAGTCTTGAAATGAGCTTGAAGCAAGCATCAGCTGCAAGAAAAGAATCAGATGAGGTTTTGAAGCCAATTGTACTTAACGATATTAAAGATGGAATTAAGAAGAGTCACCTTCTATATGACAGAGTTGGTGACCAACATTATGATATAATTTCAGCTCTTCACAAATCAATTCGAGCTTCGGATGATAATGCGAGTTTATATTGGGTCACTCGAATGATGATGTCTGGTGAAGATCCAAGATTTATCTGTCGTCGTCTGATTAGAGCTGCAAGTGAAGATATTGGTCTAGCTGATCCTCAGGCTCTCATCTTAGCAACTTCAACACTAACAGCAGTTCAACAAATTGGAATGCCAGAAGCTGATTGTATCATTGCCCAGCTTGTTGTTTATCTTGCTCGAGCACCAAAAAGCGTAGAAAGTTATGGTGCATTATTGAAATGTAAAAATCAAATAATGATTCATAAAGGCGCCTTACCCTCAGTTCCCATTCATCTTCGAAACGCACCAACAAAATTAATGAAGAATTTAGGTAAATAGATAATATCAAAGAATCAGTATTACCTAATTGTAAAATTTTTCAAAAATATATCATTATTTATTCAGGTTACGGTACCGGATACAATAGACTCCATAAAGATGAATCTGGCCTTAATTATTTACCAGAACAACTGGAAGACATGAATTTTTTCTATGATTAAGACTGTTCGTGCAGTTAAACTTTAAATTTCCCGCACTATTTCTGCATCTTTATTTTCATCTTTAATGAACGAATTGCCTACCCCTGAATATTATAAAAAAGAAAAATATTTTCAATTCACTTTTATTTCTTCTACTGAATGTTTAACTCTTTCTCATTTACGACAGTTTTATATATAAACTCATAGAGTAACACAACAAATGAAATATTATAAAAGTTCATAAAAAACCGTTTGTTTGAAGTAGTAAACTGTTGTAAATTTAAAAACAAAAACAAGTAAAATTTGTTGTTGTTTTTTGTCATGACCATCAAAATAAATTAAAATAAAATTTCCTAGATTTCAAAACCGAAAAAGATGTCGGAAATATCTAATTCATCGTATAATACTGCAGCTCCCTTGATTAAAATTGGACATTACACACTTGGAAGGACTCTAGGAAGTATGTGTGATGATTTATAATAACATACGACGCAATTAAATAATTTTTCTTTCAAGATGGAACGTTTGGGAAGGTCAAAATAGGAGAGCACATTGTCACAAAACATAAAGTGGCAATTAAAATTCTTAATCGTCAAAAAATAAAGAGTCTTGATGTAGTTGGAAAGATTCGAAGGGAAATTCAGAACTTGAAATTATTTCGTCACCCACACATAATCAAATTGTATCAAGTTATTTCTACACCAACAGATATATTCATGATAATGGAATATGTGTCTGGTGGAGAACTTTTTGATTATATTGTAAAACAAGGAAAGCTTCATGAATCCGAAGCAAGAAAATTTTTCCAACAAATAATATCTGGAGTTGATTACTGTCATCGTCACATGATTGTTCATCGAGATCTCAAGCCGGAAAATCTGCTACTTGATCACAACATGCATGTAAAAATAGCTGATTTTGGATTGAGTAATATGATGATGGATGGTGAATTCTTAAGAACTTCATGTGGTTCTCCAAAGTAAATAATTATTTTATAATTTTTCCTACTTACATTATATGAACTTCAATTTTAAGTTATGCAGCGCCCGAAGTCATTTCTGGAAAATTGTATGCTGGTCCAGAAGTTGATATTTGGAGTTGTGGGGTCATTCTTTATGCTTTGCTTTGCGGAACTCTTCCGTTTGACGACGAACATGTTCCAACATTGTTCAGAAAAATTAAATCTGGAATATTCCCTATACCTGGTTAGTTAACATTATTTATTCAAGTTTTTCCAGTTCAGTCTGACATTCATTTTATTTCAGAATATCTCAACAAGCAAGTTGTTTCTTTATTGTGCCAGATGCTTCAAGTTGATCCTCTTAAGCGTGCAACTGTTGAAGAAATAAAGAAACATGAATGGTTTCAAAAAGATCTTCCAGCGTATTTATTTCCATCACCTGTTGAGCAAGATTCAAGTGTTATCGATACTGGTGCTGTTACTGAAGTCTGCGAGAAGTTTGGAGTAAAAGAAATTGAAGTTCATACTGCATTACTCTCGGGAGATCCACATGATCAACTTGCCATTGCTTATCATCTAATTATTGATAATCGCCGGATGGATGAAGCAGCTAAAGCTGAAATAAAAGATTTCTACGTTGCTTCATCACCCCCTCCTGTTGTGACACCATCTCATCCTATATCCGATCCGAACCCTGGTAAGCCACATCCAGAACGTATTGCTCCATTACGTGAAAGAGCATTGAATCTTCAAACTTCTAGTTATACAGAAGGCCCTACAGCGGTAGCAACACTTGTTGGGCAAGAGAAATATCGTGGAACTCCCGTTAAAAGAGCCAAATGGCATTTAGGCATACGTTCACAAAGCAAGCCAAACGATATAATGCTTGAAGTTTATCGTGCCATGAAAGCTTTGGATTATGAGTGGAAAGTCTTAAATCCATACCATGTTCGAGTTCGTAAGAAGAATAAGGAAGATCACTATGTGAAAATGTCACTTCAGCTTTACCAGGTTGATCCCAAATCATATCTTGTTGACTTTAAATCTTTGACAAATGATGAGGTCGAGCAGAGTGACGATATTATTAGCCTTACACCACCTGTTAGCGGACAACAGCAGCAATCCCAAAACCAACAAATTACGGGACACCATACAATGGAATTTTTTGAAATGTGCGCATCTTTAATCATTCAATTAGCCCGATAAAAATACTTATGTACTTTTTCTTTTAATTTCCCACAAATTAAAATTGCGTCTTGTCGTGATGATGTAGAAACAAAAAGAATTTAAATCTTTATTTTATTCTTCTTTTAGCTGTATATTATCTATTGCCTTCAAATATTTGTGACATGTCACTTAAAAGTTATAATAAAGTCACTTCAAAATATTAGGAAAAAAAGTTATGAGCGGTAATTTCATCACTTCTTCTTCTTCATTATCTTCATTTTGACGTTTGAGAAGATTCTCGAAGCATCACTTAATGATAAAATGCGTTATTCCTTTTTTTCCAGAAATTTCCAAAGGAGAAAAAGGACACATATTCATAATTAAATTTCTAATTTTCTTTTATTAATTTAAAAGTAAGAGGAAAGAATAACATCAAGTTGATTTCTTTCATTTCAAATACGTGAATAAATGTATAGATTTGGTAGAAGCTAATTAAATTTAATGGAATTATTTTTAAAAGCTTTCAAATTTAACCAGATTTTTCGGTATTGGGCTTGCCTTCATCTTCCTTCTTATTCTCCTTCACATTCAAGTGAGCCGGGCCGGTTTGCTGAATAGAAATGACTCGTTCCTTGTTCTCAAGTTGATTTTTTGGTGGTGGAGCTTTGATGGTCAAAACGCCATCAGATGACAACGTTGAAATGACGGTTTCAGCGTCGTAACCTTTTGGCAATGCATAGCGACGTGTGAATTGGCGTGTGATGAATCCATGCTCGTCTTGACGTTCTTCATGTTTTCCTTCGACTACCACAAAGTTATCAACCGTCTTGACAGTAATCTCAGTTGGTGAGAACTGTTGAACATCCATGCACACCTGGAACCCATCTTTTCCAGTTGTTGGAACCATATCGCTGATGCCTTTGCGACGATGCTCCAAGTCACGGGATCGTTGTTGGAGTTGTCGGAACTCAGATGGAAGTGTCAAAAGCTGTTCCAATTCTCGTGAATTTATTCCCAAAGCGAAATCGTTCAATGGGTTGCGGTAGCGAGATCTGAAACGCCATGGATCAACATAGCTGTCATCCAAATCCATCAAAATTGGTAGTAAAGACATTTTTCTTTCTTCTTTTGCTTTTTAACTACTTGAATTGATCAGAGTTCTCAAAAAAAAATTTAGTTTTGTACCAAGTTGAACTTCCTATTGCTGCTGATATTTTAACACTGGAGATGCGGCACAAATTCACTCTCAATTTATAGTGAGAGTGAAATTTCTAGAAAATTTGAGAGCGGTCTCGAAGGAAATTTCTCGATAAAGACTTGTCTCGACCTTTCCAGGTGGTTTTGTCAAGGGTTTTGTATATTGATCAGACAGAGGAATATACAAACCCAAAGAATGAAGATATTTCTAGAAATTTATACGAAAGAAATTTCGAGAGATTTTGCTTTTGCTATTCTAGAATTTTCTTCTCACTTTATAAAAAGAGTGTGTCGACACGAGTCAACTCAGTTATATCCGAAAGCTTTTCATTACAACTTGAACAGGGAGAATAATTTTGTATTAAGAAAATTTAAGTGAAAATGTCATTACTACTAATTTTATTTCGACATACAAACAACATGCGGATATTTCCACACATTCGTCTATTATATCATCGTCAATACATGGAAGATTTTTCGTTGGGAATAAATTCGCAAGATTTTGCGTTACCAACAACTGGGAAAGATGGATTTCGAGTCTCCATAGATCTTGAAAAATTTTCGGAAAATGAAATCAATGTTAAGACTGTTAATAATTTCGTGGTAATTGAAGGCAAGCATGAAGAACGTCATGACGAAGATGGATACATTACACGTCGGTTTACTCGAAGATATTCATTACCAAAAGGGTATGATCCAAGCACAATCACTTCGACATTGTCATCTGATGGTGTTTTGACCATTAAAGCTCCACCACCAAAGAATCAACTTGAAAATAATGAACGAGTCATACCTATACAGCAAACAGGTCCCGATCGTTTGAATGCAAGGGAAAATAAGAAAGAAGGAGATGATGATAAGAAGTCGGAGGAATCTAGTTAAAGAGCTAAACTCAAGTGCCAAAGATTAAACATTCTCGTATTATATTTCCATATAAGAGACGTTTAAGATTACTTTAGTTGATTTCTTCATTCTGTAAGCCATAAACATGTTAATTTTTTTTTTATTAGTTTTGTATGTTTCTTTTTATCAATGTTTTACAAATGTTTAAAAATTGTTTCTATGTATTTATCAAACATTTTAAACTTAGCTATAATTAGAAAGATAAAGATAAAGTTTTCAATGATTTTATACCTGATTTCTAAGTTTTAATCTAATCTATGATTGAGAAAAAAAATCGTAAAACACTTCAGTTTTTAAACATAAAGATGAGATTTTTTCTAATCAGTTTGAATCAAGTTCTGATGATGATAGCATAGCTATCGAAATAATTATAAACAATTAATAAAATTGACAAGTAAAAAGTATAAGAGTAACTTTGTTTTCAAACCATTTAATGTTTTTTTTTTTAATAAAGATGAGAATTCAAATACCTAAATAGAAAATTGAAACACAAACAGCTTTTAATAAATAAATTTGAATCACGTGTGAATTTCAAAAATTAACCGTTTTTAAACAAAAGAAGTCTCTTATAGGAACTTGACCTTTCCTAAGTTTTAGATCGTCGTAAACGTATGAGTTTTGAATTCATTTTTAAGTTACTAAAATTCACAAATGAAAAAAGTGTTTTTATCTAGATTTAGCACTTAAACTTTCTGAACAAGATGAATTTAGATATCATTGACTTTTTCTTTAACATATCCAACCATAAATATTTCTTCTCTTCAGAATCATTTTTACTTTTATGTTTTATTTGCGAAAGACAAAACTCGTTTCCCCAAGTTCACAAGTTCACAATTACTACTGAGATGCTGATGCGAACAGCTTTTTCATCGATTATCATCAGTTTTTTCTGGATTTCCGAAGGCATCACAGATCGTTTCATTTCGTTGCCTCTGTTCAATTGTTTTTCTAAATCTTCAAACGTGATTGTTCGATGAGTGAAGTTATAAAGTTTCAATATAAGTAGGTTAAAGTCAGAGGCCATGATAATGACTATTTTGATAATAATTAATTAATTTTATAAAATCAAGGATAAAAAAGAACGTACATTGATATACCATATGCCTACGTAAAAGAATATTTTCTCTTATTACTAGGTAAAAATATTATTTGATTCGTTATATACATAGTTCCATACTCTTTCCGTTGAAATAAACTGCTAGTGTATCATTGATTGGTTCAATTTACTTTACATATCATCTTTGTAAGAAAAAAGATGAAATTTTTCATTGGATTTCATTTCTCAAAAAAGCGTATTACAAAATCCATGCTTACATAATGTGAATGCTTTTCATCCGTAGTCTGTCGTGAGGAAAAAAGAAACTGTTTTTAACATTGACAATGAAATGGATTCAACCGTTTTTGTTTGCATATGTGATGGCATTGATAACAAATATCTACGTAAACTCACAACGAACATTTCTCGATCAACCAAAATTTCGACCGTTATTCAGAAATTACAGAACGCTTTTCTTTACATTAATCAAGAATCAAATACCCAGTGAAGCTCATAAAATAAACCTTAAATTAGGGGTAAGCTCTTACTTACTTTCATTTGAAATATTTTTTGATTTTTTTTTCTAAAAATTCAAAGAGACTTCAACCCCAATTAACTCAAAATGAATCCTTCTTTTGTGACACTACAACAATTCCAAAAAAGAGCAAAAATATTCCACAATCTGTTCATGAGCTTCGACCTGGTGATATCGATATTGTTGGTGCAATTGGAGATTCACTGACTGCAGGTAACGGTGGAATGGCAACAAATATCTTCCAAGTTACTATAGAAAGCAAAGGTTTATTCAAAAGTTTCTGAATCTTATTATTCTAAATTATTAATTATCATATGTTTTTGTCATAAGGTGTTTCTTTTTCTATCGGTGGTGAAAAAACATGGAGAGAATATTTAACAATTCCTAATATTCTGAAGGAATTCAATCCAAATGTCTATGGATATTCTGTTGGAGATGGATTAACAATATTTAAATCATCGAAATTCAACGCAGCTGAACTTGGAGCTATGTCAAGAGATACGCCATATATGGCAAGAGTTTTGATTAATAGAATAAAAACTGATCCTAATGTTAAACCTTATCATTGGAAGGTAAATTAAATTAATTTTTCTATTAAAACAATAGCAGATTATAAAATTATGTCATTTCAGCTAATAACATTTTTAATCGGTTCGAACGATTTTTGTTTAGATTTTTGTCATCGTCAACATCCTGAAGAAAAAGTTAATGAGCATGAGAGAGATTTATTGAATGTTTTCAGAACAATCAGAGACAATTTAAATCGAACAATGTTAAATGTTGTTTTACCACCAAGTAATACTTACTACCATTTATAAGTCGAAAGTTCATTGACTTTATTGTTTTTAATTTTTTTAACAGATATGAAAGTTCTAGTCAATTTTAAAGGAAAACCAGAACAATGTGAGTTTATGCACAAGTTTGAATGTCCCTGCTATTTTGGTTCGAACAGGAAGAAAAACCACGAAAAATATTTCAAAATCGCTGAAGAATGGAACAAAAGAGTAATAGAAGTAGCCAATCGTGATGAGTTTCATGATCGAAAAGTATGGGCCTAATAATTTATTTAACAAAACACAAAATATATCTTTTGCTTTCATTTAGGATTTCACAATAAATGTTCAACCTTTTGTTAGAAATTTTGTCTTTCCAACACTATCGAATGGATTACATGACTTTACTTATATGTCAATGGACTGTTTTCATTTATCACAAAAGGGATATGCGATGGGTAATAAAAAATATTGCAATGGTTTTTAAAAATTAAGAGTGATATCAATAAACTTGCTGTTTTATAGCTGCAAACGGATTGTGGAACAATATGCTTGAACCTGAAGGTCGTAAATCTGATAATTGGAATGAACTCTTTAAAGTTTTTAAGTGTCCAACGGAAGAAAGGCCATTTCTTGCAACAAAATATAACTCCTTCTAAATTTAGTCTGAATTAAAATATGTTTTAGACATTAAATAAAAACATAAGTGATTAGGTAATTTGTAGGTAATTAAGTAAACTTGATTTAATTTAATTTTTTTTTCCTTAAATCGAAACTTCGAAAAATTTAACGGATTTTTGAAGGGAAGTTTTTAAATCATTTTTGTAGACTTTATGCAATATCTACTAAAGTTTTGTTTACAAGAAATAACATGTTTTCACAAATATTAAAATTACAATTCAATATGTTTCAACTCATACATACGAGAAATGTGAATAAATTCGTTAAAGCTTTTTCTACCCTTGTCACAAAACGTCAAGAACCGACAGAAGTCAAAAGTCACAAATTCTCTTTGTCAACACCAGTATATGATGAAAAATTTTTATTGGATGAAAAAAATATTGAAAACATAAATGAAAATATAAAACTCAGGAAAGGTGTTGGTGATATATTTAAGGTTCATGAATTGAGGAATAATTTGAAATGTCAAAATCTCAGCCATGAGGAAAATATCAAACTTAACTTACAATTACAAGAGGAATTTAAGCGAATCCCCAATAATACACATCCGGATGTTAAACATTATGGTGATCATCCCAAAGTAATTGGATATTATAATAAAAAACCAGAATTTAACCATAAACCTTTGGACTTCGCTGATATATGCAAAGCATTTAACATTCTTCGAACAGAACATATGGGAAATTTTTCCGGTTCAAAAAGTTATATCCTTATGAAAGAGTTAGCGGAATTAGTGAGTAAAATACAAATTCATTATATTTATGTTATCTTTCATTGCCTTTTTTAAAATTCATTAGGAGCAAGCTCTTATACGATATACATTAGAAGAAATATTAAAGCATGGATTTCGTTTAATGTCAGTTCCTGATATTCTTCCTTCGGAAGTCATTAAAAGTTGTGGAATGACAACAGATGGAGAAAGAAATCAAGTCTATCGTTTACTTCCGTCAAATTTATGCCTTTCTGGAACATCAGAAATGGCTCTTGCTGGGTATTTTGCAGGAAATAAACTTAAAGAAAAAGAACTGCCGGTGAAAGTTGCAGCTGTTAGTCGATGTTTTAGAGCAGAATCGTCAAGTGTTCTCGAAGAGAGAGGAATTTTTCGTGTTCACCAGTTTACAAAAGTAGAAATGTTTTCAGTATGTAGGCCATCAGAATCACCATTGATTCTCGATGAATTTAAAGAAATTGAAATCAACTTGTTCAAAAATATTGGAATTCACTTTCAACTTCTTGATATGCCACCAAGTGAACTTGGTGCACCAGCTTATAGAAAATATGACATTGAAGCATGGATGCCAGGTAGAAATATGTGGGGAGAAATTTCAAGTTGCAGTAATTGCACCGATTATCAGTCGAGGCGATTAAATATAAAAGTTGAAGAGTCAGACGAGTTTGCTCATACAGTTAATGGAACTGCTTGTGCTATTCCTAGAATGCTCATTGCTATCATCGAATCCTTTCAACATGAAGACGGAACGGTATTAATTCCAAAAGTTCTTCAGAAATATATGCGTTGTGAAAAGATCATGAAGAATAAAACTCTTCCTAAATTAAAGCTCATAAAAAGTCTTACAAGTGAAAAAAGTTAAGGGCAGAAAAAGTGATTTATTATTCATGTGCTTCATAGCTAAAACATTTGTAGATGAATTAAGTAGAAAATAAATAATGGAAATACTTGAAATAAACTTGAATGAAATATAATAACATACAAAAAAAATTGGGACGGGTATTGTCTTATGCGTAATTTATCTTCCAGCGCTTTTTCGCAATTTCCTGTTTAGTCAAATGGAACGATGAACTTCAATTTTTATATATAGCTGAAGTCATGTTGCTTAGATTTAAGGGCGCGGTTTGAAGATTTTGCTAGCTGGAGCTGAGATTTTAGTGAATCCGGCTGCATCGAAAACTGGCAATAATTCTCTAACTCGACCAGGAATAGAACCGTCAATTAAACGACTAGAAATAAAAAGAATTGTCGCTAATGTGTAATGATAAATTGACACTATTAAACTTACGTCCCTTTTTTTGTTGCGATCTTTGCAGCTGTGGCTGGCAAGTTGGCTTCTGTCGGAAAATATGTTGCTTGATAGAAATCCAGACCGTTTTGTAATAAATAATTGAATTCCTCAACCGATGCTAAAGTTATTCGAATTGGCGCTGGTGGTGCTTCTTTGTTGATATTGACAATATCTTGCTCGTCAATCTTTGACTGTACCTTTGGAGTTTTAGCTGAATCTGTAAGAAATCTATGAGAAACTTTTTTTCTCAGATAAACATTTTCCTACCAGCTGATGTAGATTCCTGAACTATCGGTTGTTTTTGATAAAATACAATAAGACGCACTACTTCTACGACTGAATTGAATTTGTATAAAGCATGCCTGATATCTTCCTCTGGTAAATCTTCTGGAACATCAAATACGTAAAGAGTGAAGGTCTTTTGTGGACGACATGGAATGGCGACCTGTTCATTAGAAATCCAATGTTGAATTTCATCAAACTTTCAATAAACTCTTGGCTGTTTTAAATGGAAATCATCTTTAAATATTCTTTTACCTTCTTATAGAATCGAGCGCCTGTAACTTTGTGAAACCCCTTTTTGAAAACAGCTTGATAATCTTCTGGATGTGAAAACTTGAATAAAATGCCCGTTGCTGTTTTTGTCAAACTAAAGCAACCTTTAAAGTTCATTTTCTCGCAAATCATTGCTGCACGATCCATTGTCAATTCATGGGATGGTGTCAAAAGAAAAGCTCCTTTAGCAAGAAAATTAGCTGAGTCAGAAATTTCTGAATCAGTGTCGTCGTTTTGCTTGTCATTCCATACATTTTGATGTGCCAATTTTGGCGACTCTAATGGCTTTGGAATTAAATTACTTGAACTTCTTTGACGACGAAAATCTGTCGTGTTTTTATTATCCTGTTCAGCATCAGATCCTATGTAAGACATTTTATGAAATATTTGATATGTCTCGCACTATGTGAATAAAAATTTAACACTCAATCACTTTTTTTAACTTTTCAATGTTCCAACGATCTAGGATGAACTGAGGGATCAGTAAATGGCAGTTTGTTCTTTTATAGTTCACTTGAAGCATGGTTTTTCTTCATCTTTGCCAGGGATCGACTCAGGTAAATTCAAAATATGATTGAAAAAATTTTATTTTTTCATCATTTATTCAGAGTCGACGAATTTCTCGGTTCATTTATTACGCCAGACTGTTTTTGGATGAAAATCAAACAATGGGATATCTCTCAAAATTATTATGATTTAAATGTCATTAAAGATATTTTTCTTCTTCTTCTTTTTCAACTTAAGCATTAGATTATATGTAAGTATGTATCAATGTGTTTTAGTTAAAATCTTCTTTTTTTTACGTGCAGTTGAGTGTGAAATATAAACGTACGAGGTCATTCTATTTGATTTTAATTATTAAGTTGTCAAATCTTTCATTAATCTATTGGAAAATGATTTCATAATTGCTCATAATTAGGATTTCGCGAATTTGAACAAAACGAATCAAGCATTAACGTTACTAACATTCCAAAAGAGAGAAGTAATATACCAATTATGATAATTGCTATCATATCAAAAGACATCACAATAATTTGAACTAAAATTGAAGAAATGATATCAGTAGAAAAATAAATGCACAAATGTTAATTATGTGTGTCACCTTTAGCAGAATCCAAGTTTTTGTAATTATTTTTTTCTGGAGTAGGTTCGTTAATATATTTCTTATCGAGAGATAACATTATCATGAATACTTGCAAAGATAAGTAATCAAAGTGAAGTTTTGAAATTATGATGCGTATGATGTTCACGTTACACATCATAAGTATTTTCTATACATGTCAATGCTTCCGTGGTGATTTCATATAAGTACCAAAAAAGTAAAAAAAAATGACTTGTATCGTCTGAAACATCAATATATGAATAAAGAAGAAAATTAATTTTTTTAATTTATTTACTTTTTTTTAATTTTCAGCGCATATCGATCAACTAAAATTCTACCGGTTTTTTTCCATTGAAATAGTGGTTTCCATAAAAGGAAACACAAAATCTTTTGTTTTCTTTGTAAATAAGTATAGGCTCTCGCACACAACCTTTAGCCTATTGATTGTATCACAAATTATAAAAGTATTGTGAAAAAATAAAAACGATTTAGTCTTACACATTCGTTGTTACAATCAAATTGCGCTGAAAATGGAGAAGTGGACTGGAAAGATCGCTGTTGTCACCGGTGCATCAGCTGGAATTGGCAAAGCAATTGTTGAATATTTCGCCAAAAGTGGAATTCATGTTGTTGGACTAGCAAGAAGAAGTGAAAAAATAGAAGAAATCGGTAAACAACTTGGAGAGACTCCTGGAAAAATCTACGCTCACAAATGTGATGTTTCTGATTTGGAATCAGTGAAAGAAACATTCAAATGGATTGAAGAGAAATTTGGTTTTATTCATATTCATATCAACAATGCGGCAATATTATTCTATGGAACAATTCTTGATAAAAGAGAAAACGCCACAGAAAAGATAAATTCAGTCATCAATACAAATTTTACTGGAGCTGTTCATTGTACAAGAGAAGCGGTTCGTTTAATGGAGAAGTCTGATGATTATGGACTTCTCATTAACATAAATTCTATCGTTGGTGATTCTATCCCTTTTGGTCATGGTGTTAATGTTTATGCACCTACAAAATATGCACTTAAAGCTTTTACTGAAGTTTTACGCCAGGAATTAATTTTGAGTGGAAACACAAAAATTCGTGTAGCAAATCTTAGCCCCGGTGTTGTTGAAACGGAAATGGCAGTCGCAGCAGGGTTTGTTGAAGATGCCGCTGCAATGTATCAGGCCTTACCACATGTTAAATCTGAAGATGTTGCAGAAGCAGTTTCATTTATCTTAAGAACTCCCTATAATGTAAACATTACGCAGTTAACGATCAAACCTGTGGGTGAAAAAGTTTAGAAGAAAAAGAAAATTTTCAATAAAACAATAATTCTACAATGTTTAATATTTTTCTTTTTATTTTTGCATACTAGAATTTTTCTCCAACAGGTTTTATTGTCAATTCTGTGATATTGACTCCATAAGGAGCTTCAAGAATGTACAAAACAGCCTGAGATATATTTTCAACATTTAGATGTGGTAAAACTTTGAAAACATCAGCATTTGGATCGACTCCTGCAGCTAAAAAGATATTTGTTTTAACACATCCAGGACTTAAGTTAGTGACACGAATCTTCATGTTATTTTGTACAATTAATTCCTGACGTAATGTTTCGGAAATAGCTTTCAAAGCATATTTTGTTGCAGGATAGACACTATGAGAGAATTCTCCAAAAGGTATTGAATGTCCAAGAACAGAGTTGATGTTGATTACGACACCATAATCATTTGATTTCTTAATCAATCGAATACCTTCTCGAGCACAATGGACAGCACCAGTGAAATTTGTGTCAATAACTTTATTAATATTTTCAGTTCCAACATTGGATTCATCGAGAGTCACTGTACTTGATTGAATACCAGCATTGTTGACAAGAATATTTATAATTCCGAATTTCTCTTCGATCCATTTAAAAGTTTCTTTTATCGAATTTAAATCAGAGACATCACAATAGCGAGGATAGATAATACCAAGGACTTCTCCCAAGGAATTCGAAATTTCCTCGATTAACTCAACTCGTCTTGCTAGTCCAATAACATTTACACCACGTTTAGCCAAGTCTTTGACAATAGCAGATCCAATTCCTGATGACGCTCCTGTAACAACAGCAACTTTTCCCGTCCACTTATTCATTTGAAACGTTTTGTGTCTTATGTAATATTAATTTTTATTTTTCTTCTTATGCTTTTCAGTCAGAGTTTGGTTACTAAATGACATTTTTTTGAGGAGTCGAAAACGATTTAGAGAGATAATAGATGGAAATTATCTCTTGTGTATGATAAGAAATAAGTTGATGATTTATGTTTTGCTGATGACTCAGAATTGCTCACCGACTGGTTTTATAGTCAGTTGAGAAATATTTACATGAACTGGAGTTTCAAGAAGAAAATTAATTGTTAAAGCAACATCTTCCGGCATTAGTACTGATTTAGTAGCATAATATTCATCGGGATCGACATTGGATGGGGTGGCCATGTCTGTACGAACATGGCCTGGACTTAGATTTGTCACTCGTATTTTTTGGTTGTTTTGATTAATTAATTCCTGACGTAAAACTTCAGAAACAGCAGTCACTGCATATTTTGATGGAGCGTACATGTTTAAGGAATTTGGACGGAATGGAATATTGTGACCAACAATGGATCCAACGTTCACTATCATTCCATAATCATCAGCTTTCTTCATCAATCTCACTGCTTCCCTTGTACAATAAACTAATCCAGATACATTTGTCTTGAGAATGGAATCAATCTTTTCAGTTACATCGGCTTCATCAAGAATTTGCATTTTATAAGCAACGCCAGCATTATTAATCAAAATATGAATAAAGCCAAACTTTTCTTCGATCCATTTGAAGGCTTCCTTCACTGATTGCAAGTCGGACACATCACATTTGTGAGAATAAATCGTCCCAGGAGTTTTTCCAAGTTGCTGAACATATTCGTCTACCTTTTCACTTCTTCTTGCTAATCCAACAACATGAATCCCACTTTTGGCTAAACTTTTTACAATGCCTTCACCAATTCCAGCAGAAGCACCGGTAACAATAGCGACTTTTCCAATCCACTTCTCCATTGTCAGTATAAAATGGGACTAAATACACCTAAGCTAAATTCGTCGAGTTTATGAAGGTTTTCAGTTCGTTGCATGAATGTATTGAAATGTATATGAAGATAACTTTAATTTAGATTAGATAAGACTCACGATTTTAACTTTGAACTCATCAAGTAGGATGAGACAGCATAATAAATGTGAACTTAAAGAGATAATAGTTGAACTATGTTACTTCTCACTTTTTAAGTAGTTTTTGTTGATTAAGGTGGACACTTTTTGGAATGTCATGCCGATAAGATATATTTGTGACTCAAGTGAACCCTTAAATGTATTGCATATAATTACTCACACACTACTTACGAACAGCCAATGCAAAATTTGATCTACCAGTTGTTATCACAAACACCACATCAAATATTATCAATCTTTAAAACAACAATTCTGAAATAAATTTTTCTTAAACTTTTAGTATGAAATTCACCTAAAATTCTCAGAATATGAACATGCAATTAAAAGCGTCTTTTTCATCTCACTAAATATTTCACATGGATGAGATCACAAACTTCAGTTTAGTATTTCTAATAATCTATAACTTTAAAAACTTCTTTTCTCACGATATTCTTTATTTCATAAATTTTAAAAATTGCGTTAATTACGCCACATAGAACTATTAGATAGATAAGCATTTAAAGTACATTTAAACTTTATTATTATTTTTCAAAATTTCTTCCTTCTAAGAGTTTTGTTTTTTCAGTTTTCACACATCTACCAATTGCAGTTTGTTTTCCGTTTTATTATTTTTGAAACTTAACTCAAGTGAATCTATTTCTTATTATCTTTTTCGTGATCACTCATCACATATAATCAAGCAACATCAATTGTTGGATGAGGAATTGTTTTCAAAGATGAGGCAAATTTTCAATACAACATTAGAAGATGAGGAATCATTTGAATTTGCAGAAATTTACAACAAATGCTAATTTGTACTTAAATTTGCCTTATTCTTATTATTTTTGAATGATGAGACATTGTTTTTAAGGGATAGAGAGTAAAAATTTGAAATGTTTATGTCTTTTGCTTTGAAACTGATCACTCACAGATCACAATGGAAATGATTCTCATCCTTTTCTTTCTTTTTAGATTATTTTCTTTTGAATGGTAGATAAAGTTTCGAGCTGTCAAACACAGGCACAAAGTTTGACACCTTCATTGCCAATGTATGTTAACAAAAAACAACTGCACGAACTTCTTCTAATACTGGACTTTCTTTCTATTTCTCAATCTTCAAGAACATTATTTAAAATCACCCACTAACCAAACTCCTTGTTGCCACTAACTTAACCACTTTCAGTATTTTTTATTTGCATCATGCATTTTGCATATATTTTCTTTCATTTATTGATGCATAATTTTCATTCCTTCAACAGCTTCTATTTTTTTCTTTATTAGTAGCTTTTACAAATTTTCTTTAAAATGCATTTTTGAATATTTTGCTTTTTTGTGTCAAAAACCATAAACTGATAAAACAATTTTTTTATTAAACTTATAAAAAACCAAACTTCACTGCTTCCACCAAATAATTTTTCTTGTTTTTCTGTCGTCACTCAAAATTATTTCTTTTTCTATTTGTGATATTATGAACGAACAATGAAGAAAAAAAAACGTAAGTTTTGTCTACATGTAATGTAGTAAGATCAGATATTTCAATTGTTTTTTCACGTGTTAACACTAGTTACGCTTATTATGCATCATTATAATGGATTATTATCAGATATTTTGTTTTACAACTTCATTTCCTAAAAAAGAGAAAGAAAAAGTTAATTAGTTAATGTGATTATAATAAAAAAAGTTTAAGAACTTACACTATATTCATCATACAAATTTATGCAGCACCACCACGTACAACTGCAATCATTAAGTGATCTTCCTTCAACCCTTCGTCAGTGACATTATGGCATGTACGTTTCAACAATTCAGTTGAGAAATCGCAAGGTGGAAAGACATAAAGAACGCCTGTTGCTTCAGTTTCCTTGTTAAGAAGTGAAATAACACCGGCAGCTTCCTTTTGTTTTAAGTATGAAACTAAATTTCGTAATGGACGAGTCTGAACATTTGGATCGTCAATAGAAATTGAAGAAGTCGATCCTGCCAATCCCAGAAAAATTGCATGCGATGACGATGTTGAAATTCTCTTTTGAACATCTTCAAGTTTCGGTTGATCCAATCGTAATCTTTGAGTGATGCGTAAATTTCGTGTTCCATTTTCGTCTTTCATTAAACTTTCAACAATGTCAATTTCACCATCAGTTAAATGAAATTTCGCTGGAAACAATGAACTTTTCAAGATCAATGAACCTTCCCATCGAGTCAAAGTTTTTCGTGCAATCTCAGGCAATGTACGCAATGATCCTAAACGATTAATTCCACTATCCGAATCTGAATCTAAACTATGACGTTTTGGTGACCTCGAGCGAGAACGATCAACACCTGGTTGGCGTGTTGGTGAAGCTTGACGTCGTGAACGATATGGATCGCCATATTCCATATCGCTTGGTGCTGCACGTCTCCAATCATCTTCTGGCTGTGGCGGACGATGATCAATTGCATGTGTTGAATGATAACTTCCGCGATAAGAACCTCTTCCTCTGTAACCTCCACGACCACGATATGGTCTCGGTGCATAGCTTGAAACATAGGGCGGATGATGAACGTGATGTGGATCTTCGTAGCTTGGTACACTTTCCGAATAATCATAATCTTTTCTGTACTCAGAATAACCATCTGGTTTAGGTTTAAATGGAAGTGTGGTCGGTTCACCAGAATCTGCAAAATCAATTCTCAAACGCTTATCGGGACCACCAAGTGGGAATCCTCTCATTTCTTTTACAGCAGCAGTTGCAGCGTCGATTGTCTCATATTGAATAAATGCTTGTGTGTCACCCTTTGTATATTCAATCTTTTTAATAGCTCCGAAACGATCAAATTCACCTTCTAACTGAACTGAGCTAGTCCAAGCTCCAAGTCCACCCACCCAAATGCGTGTAGTTGGCGTAGCTTTCCCATAACCAATCTTGCATTGAAATTTTCCAATGTATTGTCCTGATAATTCAACTTTAGCACGATGTGCCATGTCTAATGTTTGATAACGAACAAAAGCAAAAGCATTTCCTGTTCCAGGTGGTGGTCGTTTAATGTCGATGTCTTCAACAATTCCATATTTTCCAAAAATACGTTTTAATTCATCATCTGAAATATTTATTTCTAAATTACCCGCAAACAGTGTTCGTGTGGCTAAAGGATCTTCTTCTGGAAGAACATGTTGCAAATAGTTTGGAAATTTGTCCTTTTTATTTTCGGGTTTCTCGTAAGGAACACGAGGACGAGGGATGTACGGTCTCGGAGAGTAATGATGTGGTGGATGGTGCATTGGACGATGCATTGGTGGTCCTCTTGGTGCCATATACTCGGAAGGCATCACTGGTCTAAACTCAGGAAGATGATGCATAGAGCTTGATGAATAACGTTCATAATGTGGATGATGTTCGGTTGGAGGACGACGATGGTAACGTTCTGAGGCTGGGGATCTTGCATGATAATGATGAGACCTCTCGTAGTCAGGTGGAGTAATTGATCTTGGCCTTGTTCGTACTGCTTCATATACCGGCTCAACCAAAGCAACCTTTTCATGAATTAAAATTCTTGGTTTTGCCATCTTTGCAGCACGTGCATCTTCAGATGTTCGGAAACATACATAAGCGATTCTTTCTCGGCTTTCATCCATTGATAATCGAATATTAAAATCTCCGTACTTCTTAAATTCCCGGTATAAAGTTTCCTTGATGTATTCATCATTAGCTTTTGGATGCAATGCGCTGACACACAAGACTTTATAGGTATGAGCTATTGGTGCATATTTTTCGCGAGGTGGAGATCCATAGCGAGGACTTGGAGACCTTCCATGTCTTCGACGTATGCGGTCTGGAGAAATTCTTTCATCAGAACTGCCATCGTAGCGTCCAGGAGATGCGCGTCGTTTCGCTCTTAAGAGAGACAAAGATTCACGTGATGGCGATCGCTTCATTGTTGCTTTGCTTGGTACTCTTACTGTAACTTTTACTCGCTCAAAATTACTGATCATCAATTTCCTTTCTTTATTAACGGTAATTTCTTCCCAGCTTTTTGGCTTTTCTACAAATTATATTCAATAAAAACATATATAAAAATTAGCATATCTGTTTGTTTTATCTGAATGTACTGAATTTAAAAGAAATCCAAAATTGAAACTTTTTGGAAACATAAAAAAATTACGGGAATCGCCATTACTGATTTCTATGTTCGGCAATTGAAAGTACAGTAAGCACAAGTTATAAATTTTTATTTTTAATCAAATATATTTGTTTTAAACTATCGGTCTGGATTATATTTTACTTTTATCGATGTAAAGAGCAGTAAAACTTGTTTCTTTAATTTATATTCTCGCCATAAACTCAATTTTTTGATTTTCAAATTATATATTTTCCACCATATTTTTAAACTCAAATTTAAAAAATTATTTTCACTGTCTAAATAGCTCTTCAAAGCATACACTCTACTTATTTTAGTATTTGATAATAAGATGAATTCAATCGTTATGAATTAAATACATTTATATCTATATAAGTAGTATTTTTTTTAAAAGAATTAAGAACTCACTTTGATAAATCAAGATTTCGACGAAAAAGATCTACTAGAGATAGAAGATCTACTTGACTCTTCACTCGACTTCAATGTAATGTTTTGAGCGACGCCGTCGTTTTTAAGCGCGCCAAAACTACTAAAAATTATTTTTCAATCAGGATAAAAATATTTTTAGGTATTTAATATACAATGAAAACTGAAGCAGACATAAGTGTTCGTTGGATTGGAAATTACTATGATGAGAATATCCACCATATTGAAGAATTAAAACACAAACATAATTTATACTTCTACAGGTAATATTGAAATGTTTATTTATTCAACAAATTTTAATAACTTTTGATCTTGGTTACAGGAAATGTGCTTTAAATAAGTTAATAATTAAACAAAATGACATTATCTGTCTAAACGACACTGTTCGTGGAGAATTATTTTCTTATGAAACATGTTCCGTAGCAAAGATTTTATACTTATACGAAGATACATCAAACCGGACTCCAATCTATCGAGCTTCTGTTCAATGGTATTCGAGGTAAGAAGATGAAAATATTGTAAACGAATTGTTATTCATAAAATGTTTTTAGACCATCAGATTTAATTCGCGTAGTGGATAATCCTGGATTGCTTAATACTCTTGATAAGAATAATGAATTAATAGAGGAGTGCAGATATTCAACAGAAATTTCTTTTGACGATATTTTTGATGTTGGAGTAATGCTATCTTCAAAAAACGAATGTTTACAACTGCACAAACCTAAAGGACGCTTTTTCTGCAATTACAAGCTAGAGAAAATAGGCAAAGGCAGAAAATATTCTTTAGTAAACTTGAAGCCGGAAACCAGCGTTAAATTAATTCTGCGCCGAGTTTCAAACGATGATAACACAAATAATTTGAAAAGTCCCCACGATAATTGGGTAGTAAGCCTTAATAAAATTAATGAAAATGACGATGATCTTGTGTTGAATGCAATTGAAAATATTTCTCAAAGAACACCGAAACGAATCCTAAACAACAAGATGCACAAATATGAGACACCAGTTAAAAGACGTTCCAAAGTAACAATAGAAACTGAAAACATTAACAGCGACCATGATAAAGATTCCTCGCCAGAAGATAAAATAAAAAAAAGTGGAAAGAAAGCGGAGAAATATGTTCCAATCACACCTCAAACGAAATCTATTTCACGAAGAAAAAGTATTTTAAAAACACCAACAAGCTCAAAAACAAACACACCAAGACGAAGCATTCAATTTTCAAAAGTCGTTGAAGAATACAAATACGAAAAAAAGAACGTGAAAGAAAAATGTGAGGCAGCTGATGAAGTTTTAGGTTTATCTTCAGTTCGAAAACGTCTTCACGTTTCTTCTGTACCTAAAAATTTACCATGTCGTGAGAAAGAATTTCGCGAAATTTATTCATTTTTGGAAGGAAATTTACTTGATAAAATCGGTGGATGTATTTACATCTCAGGAGTTCCAGGAACAGGAAAAACAGCAACAACTACGGAAGTTATGAAAGCTCTTAAAGAACAGGTTGAGGAAGGCAATTTACCTGATTTTGAGTTTGTTGATATTAATGGAATGCGAATTACAGAACCAAGAAAAGCATACGTGGAAATTTATCGGCAAATGACAGGAAAAACTGTACCATGGGAGCAAGCTTATAATTTACTTAATAAACGTTTTTCAACTCCATCGCCTCGTTTACCAAGTACAATCCTTGTTGTCGATGAATTAGATATTTTATGTAACAGACGACAAGATGTTGTTTATAACATTTTGAATTGGCCAAATTTAAACGCTGCACGTTTGATTGTGGTTACGATTGCAAATACAATGGATCTGCCAGAAAGAGTTCTTATGGGAAGAGTTTCATCACGTTTAGGACTCACGCGTTTAACATTTCAACCTTACTCTCACAAGCAATTGCAAGAGATTGTAGCATCTCGATTAAACGGCTCAGACACTTTTAATAGTGATGCGATACAATTGGTTGCTCGAAAAGTTGCAGCTTTATCAGGTGATGCTCGTAGAGCTTTAGATATTTGCCGACGTGCATCAGAAATAGCAGAAAGTGAAGCAAGCGATAAAAAAAGCGCACTGGTTTCGATGTCACATGTTCAACAAGCTTTGAATGAAATGATTTCATGCACTAAAGTGCGTGCTATCAAATCATGTTCAGAAATGGAAAAACTGTTTTTGCAAGCGGTTTGCATGGAAGTAGAACGCATTGGAGTCGAAGAAGTTCTTTTCCGTGGTGTCTATAATCAGTTGAAAACACTTACAACACTTAACGGCTTTGAAGTTATTTCAGTAGACATGGCTCTCGCAATTTCATCACGATTGGGTGCATCAAGACTTCTCATCTGTGAACATACTAACAAGGATATTTATCAGAAAATTCTCCTAAACATAAGTGCTGATGACTTTTATTACGCAACACAATTGCGCAATCAAGAGTGAATAAAAATTATTGTTTAAACTTTTTAGATTTATTGTAAGAAATTCGTTAACGAAGACTTATGAATAAAATTTGTTATAACAAAATTATTTATAATTACCTAGGTATTGTTTAATTTATAGTTCTAAATTAGTTCATCTTAGGGAATATACTTTAAAGTTCAGGTGTTATTGGCCGTTTCTTGACATATTTTGCAAAATAATCAGGCCTCCAGCATTTACAAGAACCTGGTACAAGGAACCAGTCGTAATATAATCGTATCTGGAAACAACCAATCTCGTCAAACCCGTCGCAAATCTGCGATTGCTTCTTCTTTTGTGCATTCTTTTGATCGTAGAATGATGATGACTCGTTAGATGCAAGTCCCGCTCGTTTCTGAAGATATTCTTGATATTTTTGGAAGTCTTGTAATGGTGGTGCTGTACTTGATTGATATTCTTCCGATGCTGCATTTGGATAAAAAATTTCGGCTACAAGGAGTGACAACCATCGGGGTGAACTCAAGCATCCTCCGTCTAAATAAATATAAGTAGGAAGAAGGTATTTATTTATGGTAGAAATTTATTCTTAGTTTTTTTTATAACGGGTTTCCAAATATCTTCTCAATTACGTAAGTAGGCATCACATCATGTCGACAATTCTTACCTAAATAGTGACATTTTGTTTGAAGACATCTAGTCACTTCGACTGTTTGTGTGAAATACCCTTCATAAGGAATTTGTACAACATATCGCCAGCTTCCTTGGAAATTTTTTGCAAACACAGGCGTGACATATTCTACTTTAGCTGGACACGGTGTAGGTGGACCTTGATATTGAGGTTGAATTGGAACGGTTTCTTCTCTTCGTTCAGCTATCAATTGGCTGTTTATAGGTTCACCTTGAATGGCACGATAAAGTGCACAAAATACTCCACCGCCATCGCAAAACTTCCGAGAATTTCTATTATAATCAACTTGACGTTTTGTTCTCGAACGTTTTTCCGTCATATCTGGTTCATAATTGTCGTTAAGATCATGTCCATTAAGGTCTTCGTCATCAAAAGTCCTTTGATTTGGGCTATCACCTAAATCATTTTCTACAACTTGAGTGACTTTAGGCAGAGTATCATCAGCTTTTAAAATCGGAAGGGTTTTTGACAAGAATTTTAATGTCTGATTTCTGATAAGTTCACTGTTAATAGAAATTTACAAAGTTTTATATAAATTTCCGAGAAAGAAAGCAACACACTTACAATGGATAAATTTCTTGCATCACATTCTGTCCCATTGGGTTTCGTGGAATTTTTCCACGATTTAGATCACCACAAAGGTTATTGGCCGAAACATATGGCTTTTGATTGAGATAATCAATGCAATCCCTGTTGACTGGCTGGTACGGTGGTGGTCTTACAGTTGGTGGGAATGCCGACTGTGATTGAATGAACGCATAATATCCTTCAGGTGGGTTCTCTGCATCTGATTCGACCTCATTTCCTTTCACATACGATGATAACAGTAAAACGATATTCTGTGGAAAGAAACGGGAACAAGAGATGTGTTGAATGTTAAATGTATTGACAGAAGAAATTTCGCAATAAGCGGAATTTGTTTATTTTCTTATGTAGGTATTTCGTTCTGATACGACAACACTTTGAAAAAAAGCACGCGACGTAAGAATTTTATTTCGGAAGAAGAGAAATTAAGGTCAAGGTGAACCAGAAATTCTTTTCTTTTTGTAAATATTCTTTTGATTCTTTCTTGACCAAATCTTCTTGTGGCGCGTCTTTAATTGTTCCTTTCATCTTTCTCAAGACTTTTCCAAGTCAGTAGGTACATGAAAGGAAAAGAAAATAAAAACTTGTTTATCGTTGCCAGAAGTGTGTTTATGGGCACGGGCAAGAGAAGTAGGTAAATGGATAAAACATTCTGAAATCCTACTGCATGAATGAAATGTTTCTTACTTCCAATGTTGTACAGTTACAGTTATGATTTCATTCATTCTTCAAACATTTTGTGGTGAGAATAAATATTTTATTCATAAGTAACTTAACTTCACATGTAGCTTGAACTTTTCAAACTATTTTTATGTCTCTTACAACTGACACCGTTTTGCTTTCTTCTCATTTCATTTTTCTTTTTTAATTCCACCCACAAACGAAAAAGTACAATGCGATTAAAATTCAAATCGCTAAAAGATTGAGAGCATAAAGATAAGAACGAACAATACCGTTGTTTAAAACCTTTAAGCTTTTTTTTGATTTTCTTCTTTTACTTTATTAACATTCATTAAACCTACCAAAAGATACTTGTAATCCATAATTGACTTGTAATTTTCTCCTTAAGTAAATTTTTTTTGGTTAATAAATCAAAATATTAATATTTTTTTCTTCACTCTCGAGAAATTCTTTATTCAATGGTCTTCCGCTTTTACTTCAGAGCACGTCTGCTCATGATTACTTAATCGAAGCGACTGATGATTTGTTTTCATTGCTTAACATTCTGTTAAATAAAAAAACTGTTAATCTCTCTTGTGTTGGTTTTCTTCAAGTCGCAGTTGTGTGCTTAAGAAATTTCTCCTACATTCTCCCAATCCCATCATTCTGGTTCTCTTCTCAACACGAATTGTTCCATGAGAAAATAAGCAAAGCAACCTATTAAAAGACAAAGAAAAGATTGAAACGAATGTGATTCAACAATTAATATGAAAGAAAATCATGCGAGTAAAAGCGAAATGATGGAAAAAGTTTTGGCTCATGCCATGCCGTCTACAAAAATTATTTAACTGGCAATACTTAATTTGCTTCTTTCTCTCTTGATGTCATTGAATTTGAATTTAACATACTTAAATAATACATTGAAATACTATTACAACATTCAATTTAACATGACTAAATAGATTATGTGAGACATTGGAAAACCTCTAAGACTTGCACCGTTAAGTTTAATGAGTTCTTGTGGATGATACGCTTTTCATCAATTCGTGTTTTACATTGATACCTAAAACAAATAAAAAAAATTAACAAAGTTGCTTTTATATTTTTTATTTTATACATTTAGGTAACTCATATCGTTTATCAATTCTAAATTTAATTGACATTTTATTGTTATAGAAATATTAAAATTAATTCTAGCATTTAATTTATTTATTCAGAATATCCTCAGTGAAAGTAGATAACCAAGTGTGAAGTCTGTGCTGGTATTTATCGAAATCATCGATTGATGTGATTTTCTCTTCGTCAGGTGATGAATAAGAATCTTTCTCAAAAAGAACTTTAATATATTTCTCGCTAATACTTATTGCAGCTAGAGCATCGACAGGTGAAGTGAACTTACGAAGGCAAAGTTTCGCATAAGACTCTGTCATTTTCTTCAATATTTCAAAAGCTTTAGGTGTTAAAGCGTCTGAATAAAAAGGAAATTTATAATTACAATTTTAACTAAAGTTAAACTAAATTACTTGGCCGAATAATTCTTGTTGCTTGAAAATAATCTTTCAATATTTTTTCGGCTTGTGGTTCCATAGTGACTTCGACTTTAGCAGCATAACTTAAATATTCTCGCATATCATTCTCAGATATCGAAAAGTTTTCATCAATTTTGGTTGCTGATTCTAACAAATCATCGATTATTTCTGTCTCGTTTATGTGATCATCAATTAGGATGGGGACACCAAACACACTAAGTTAGATTGTGAAATTTTTTGTAAAAATTATATAAAAATGAAGAAATAAACTTACTTCATGAACTGTTTGATTGTCGTTATATCTTTTGAGATTTCTGTAGAGCAACTCCAATAACACCAAACTGTAGAATTCAAAGGAAACGATTGTTGATTTTGCTCTATCGTTACAGTTCCAGTTTCGATTTCGCGCATCAATTTTAAAATGTTCTTTCCTGATATTCCCGACCAATCACCAACTTTAAGTACTCCACCTCTTGCTAATAGAAGTGGACCTGCCTCAACAGTTCCATTTTTCTTGACAGTATTTTCGAAATTTATAGCAGAAATGAATCGACCTGTGAAGCGTCCAAGACATGTCATCAAAATGTTTGCATGGGATGTTTCTTTGCCTATTGCGACAATAGGAATAAGAGAAGAGAAATCGCCACCACTCGCTGCTATACTCAGAAGAAGACTCAGTTTAAGATTGTTGTAAGTACCGAATGGAAACGTCTCCTGACACAACTGTCCAACAATAACTGATATGAAGGTCCATTCAGAATGCTTATTTTTCAAAAATTCGTAAACTTGCAAAATGGATTTTGGAATGAAATTCAAATCGTCATCAACTTCTGAATCTTGTGTAAAGCTTTCGTTAGTCAGAATATTGCTAATTTTCATTTTCGACGAAGATTCTTGCTCTTCATATTTAGGAAAACTTCGAGGTGAATAATTTTGTGAAATTTCAGGAGAGTTTTCTGATTGCGTTGATTGAAATATTTGTGATAGTGATAAATTTGAGTTAACATTATTCGAGAAATTTGATTGGGTGTTATCTTTTGAGAATAAATCTTGTGACTGAACTTGTGTATGAGAAGATTGACTGTTTGAAGGATTAAATGAATCAATAATTTCTTCAGAATTATTTGAAAATTGAAATGTAAAAGATTTTTGAGATGTCAAAAGGTTATGTTCTTCATTCAAAGAAGTTCTTGAGCTAAAATTTTGATTTGTGTTTCCCAAATCACTGCCGAACCAAGATTTTTGACTAAAATATGACATATTCTCTAAATACAATCTGATGGACGAATATTCCAGACGTTGTATAATTTCCCTTTTGGATCAAAAACTCCAGTTACAATGTATTCCTGTCCTAGTTGTAATTCTTGGCAATTCTCGTCTAAGCGAAAAACAGAAATATCAAAATTATCAAATACATATTATTAATTTTTAAATTAGTATCATTCAAGATTACCATAAAGTTGAATGTTCAGAGCAAAATCTATGGAATGAGTTTTCCTAGGATTTTTTAACGATTTCACGTCAAAAACAAGAGCAAAACAGAATCTGGAAGTAACTCGATTGATTAGAACTTCTGTGCATTTGTTCATGCAACGAGGACAATTCTGGGAATTATTCTGATGATAACGATTTTTCTGAATAATGTTGGGAGATCCAAAACATTGCTTACATTCCCAAACAGAATATCGTCTATGAAAATAGGAAAATCTTGAATGATTATCTTATAAATATAAACAATATCAATATAAAGGTCATTACATATATTGTTCAGCTGGTTTTATGCTGTAAATAATACAATGGAGGGTTGTTAAAGCACAATTGACATAACAAGATGATATGTCAAAAATATATGTTGGAATATATGGAAGGTCAAGAAATGATACGTTGCACAGTATTTGTTCAAGCTTTACAACGAACGTACTTCCAGAGTCAGAAAAAAATTTTGAAACCAAAACGTGAATTACTTCAGTTAAGATCTCTTCAAACTGTGTTGGTTCTTTTGTTATTAAATACAAAATTTCAGCTAAAAATAAATAACAATTAAAAAGTTAAGATTTGAAAGTTGAATTTAGAATTTCAAAAACTTAACCTTCCAAAATTTCGCTGTATCTCAAATTGACATTCACAAATAAAGGCTGATGAAGGAATTTCGTTGAGTCAGAATTTGATTGTATTTCTTGATGATAACACAAACAACTTTGTTCAAGATTTCTCAGAAAATCTTTATTACGTAGCAATAAATACACCTTTTCTTTTATTTTTACAATTTCTACAATGTTGTTACCGTTTTCATTCATTTTATATTTAAAGAAAGTATAACAAGGGGTATAACGATAAAGTATAACAATGATAACGATTTTACAGTTTCCCTTCGAATTTTATCTTCTTAGTTATTAAAGTACACGTTCTTTGTGAGACCCCTTTATAACTTTTTTTTTGATTACCTAGTTCTTTGCTAGCATTTTAAATAAATTACCTACTTATCTTTTCATATTTAATTACTGATGCACAACAGTTTGAAGCATGTTTAATCAACTTTTTAAAATTTTTTCTTCCTTGAAATCTCAATCGAAATATAGATATTCAAACTTCGTCTTTATTATACTTAGATCATTAAAATTTTTACTTATTGAATCTTCCTAATTTTTTTTCTGCTTTTCATCGACAGATTTTTTTGAAAGACAAAAATATTTTATGAAGGCCCAAAAAAGTTTAATTTTCCAATAAAATATGATGAATGCAATAATAAAAACAAATGCAAATACGTCGAAGGAATGCCGTACGAAAATGTTCATTTCTAATCCTGGACCTTGTAGATCAACTTCGGGATGACGAATGTACCATTCTATCCAATAAACTGCTTCTTCAAGTGGAGTCTGTTGTCGATCTCGTGTGGCTGATGAAATTGATTTTATCTTTTTCATATATTTTGGGTTTTGAATCATATTTTTTATCGCATTGTAAAGTTCTTCTTCAGTAAAATCAAGGATAGACAATTTTTCACTGACACCAAGATCTTTCAATCGAAAACAGTTTTGATGCTGATCTCCAAAAACTGGAAAACCGAGGATTGGAACACCATGCCATACTGCTTCCTGAACTCCGAGCAGACCACAATGTGCCATAAATAATTTTGTATTTGGATGAGCTAAAATATCATTTTGTGGCATCCATGGTTGAATCTTAACATTTTGTGGAATATTTTTTAAAAGTTCTGATGTCTCGAATTTCCACAAAAATGTAAATTTAGAGTGTCTTTTAAATACTCTTAGAATCTTGGAAATTCTTTCTGACCCAAGTTTATCACTTCGAACGTTGGTGCCTAAAGAAAAAAGTATAAGACCATTTGTTGCATTGTCAGCAATTGCTTTCAACTCATAAGGCAATGGTTTTGATTCTTTAATTTGCACACCGCCAACAAGTTTAACATTAGAATAAATTGGTTCCTTATAATCCACCAAAGGGCTATTGTTGATTAGATAAAACCCAGTTCTTCTTTCGATATCTTCCAAATATGGAATCTCTGGTTGATATTTTCTGGCTATCTTATCATTTGTGGGTACTATGTAATATTTAAAAGCAATAATACCAATCGCATGCGTAATTGATGATTCCAATCGTTGAATAAAGTTCATTCTTTGTGTCATCAATAAATCATGGCCAGGAACGAAAGCCGGATATATCAAGCCACTTGATGTTCTTGCTAAACGAGCAAGATCAAAATATGGACTAACACTAATTAGTGGTGGATATTTAAATTTATCGACGAAGCTATACATGCAGGGTCCCATTGTAAAATCAATTATAACTGCATCGAATTTAAAATTTGAAGGATAATTGAGTAATTCCTTGTAACCTTTAGATTTTGTTGCGCCTACGCAAGATTTTTCACTGATTTCAGCGTAAAGTTTGAATAACCCTGTTGGCGATAGTTTTCCATATTCAAAAAAATCAATATCCATAGTTCCATTATAAATCTCTGAATACATTTTGTCAAGGTGAAGATAAGTCAAGTTTGGTTTCGACTTCTCAACATCTCCACTTAATGCAGTGACATTATGTCCATTTTCATGCAATGCATTTAAAATTGATTTACACCAAATAAAATGACTTGGCGAAGCTACATTCGATAAATACAAAATATTGGCACAATCTGCAACGAATGTGACCTTAATTATGATAAAGAAACTTAAAAGCTTCATATTTATTCCGCACAGTACACTCAAACAACGGATGAAAACACAACTGGCTGTTTTCTAAAATACACTGCCGAATAAATACGAAACACATTTCGTAATAGATTTGAAATCTTGCACATGTGTGTCTCTCTTTTTCTCATGTCAATTATTGTGGTGATGATTTAATAATACCGGCAAATTCAGAAGACCTTGAACATGAAAGATTTTTTTTCTATTTCACGACGTTTGATAATTTTATTTAGTTTACTTCTTTAGGTATAATTTTCCGCGTAAAAATCGTTTCATTTTAATAATCCGTCTTTAACTTTTTTACCAGATTTACTAAGTAGTAAATATATTTTAATATCTAAATATTGTGAATTGTCATAATTTTAAAGTTCAGCCACAACATTAAGTAGTGACTACTTAACTAGATAATATTTAAGCATTTTAAAATGTATCGGCTGGAAATATAACATCCCCTGGTAACCCTAGAAACACAAATAACAACGTCAAGAATACGTTTGAATTATCTTCAGCTTTATATTTTTAGATTTCTTATTGAAAATGAATAAAAGATTAGCAACGATATCTGGACCGACACCAGAAACTCCAATCTCACCTTCAGTACCATCCGCAACTGTAGATTTCGATGAACCTTTTGAAAAGGAATATTCCGACGAAGAAGACTTTGAGTTGCTTATTGGCTTTGATGTGGAAAATGCAAAGCATCGATTGTATAACATGAACAACAGCATAATATTATCAATCAAGTGATAAACGAGAAGAAATTTCTTTTTTCATTAAAATCAAGCATTCTTTATTTTCTATTTACAGTGAAAATCAACAACGGGATATGTTTCTTGAAGTTGGAGTGAATGTAAGTTTTGAAAATCCATGGAAACAAATAGCCAAACAATTCCTAGAAGATCATTTGACATCAGACACATATGAAATGAAAATTCTTAAAGAAAAGCTTAAAGAGATCGAAGATGATCCGCTTCTTTTGATTGGATATGTTCCACATTTATCTAATGAATCAAATGATAAATTTATTATTTATCTCGATGAATTGACCTGCACGGAAGCAAGTGAAATTATTAAGCGATTGGAGGCAGTTGAAAGACGAAAAGTTATGAAATCCATTGTTAAATATCCTCGTGCTTATCAATCGATGGGAAGTGAACAAGAAGTTGATTTGTTTGTTAAGAAAAAACGTGAGAACATTGTTGATGTTGAGCTTCAAAGTGTTTATCCCATGCGCTACACTAATTCAAACTTTGGTTTTCGTTTTGCTGATGATGTTCGAGATGGTTATGCAGAATTAATTCCAAATAAAAAAATACCGATAGAAAATATTCATCGTAAGATGATTGACCGTTCAATTCAATCTGGATTGCTTAAAATCACCGAAGAACAGCAAACCGATCCTACATTTCCAACGAATGCTTGGTCTCAATACCTTTATGAAATAGATGAAGAGATTGAAGTTATAAAAGATCCCGTTGAAACTATTCCAGATGAACAACAAGACGAAAATGACGTTCCAATGATATTGGATCGTAAAAAAAGTAAAGAAGAAATCCCTACCGTGACAAATGTTGGAAAAGTTGAAGAGTTTAAACCTTCCAAGCAAATCGCAGAATTACTAGAAATTCTGGAGTTCAATCAAATCGACATGTACCGTAATGATTATCCTTCTATCGCTAAAACAGAAATTATTAAATATAAAAAACCTTTTATCGAGGAAGTTTGCTGTTTCGAGAACATTTCGAAATGTAAAGGAAGAAATGTAATTTCAATGGATTGGCATCCAGAGTTTAGTGGTGTTTGTGTTGTTGCGTATGGATTTAATTTAACAACAAAAACAATAAAAGATGGTGAAGAGGTTGATGTTGTGAAACGTACAATCATTGAAAGAAATCCTATTCTTGTATGGAGTTTTGATGATCCATTATATCCCAAATTAGAACTTGAAGCGATAAGAGAAATTTCGTGTATTTCATTTTGTCCCTATAATGGAAACATTATTGTTGGTGGTACGTTGAATGGTCAAATCATCATCTGGGATATCACAGGTCGTTTACAAAAAATCGAAGCTGAAGAAAGAGAAACATTGACTCCCGAACAGATAAAAAATCGTTCTGAAATTCGTGAATTCATGAACTGGAGTTTTTTAAATGATTCTAATAAAATTGTTCTCCCAGCTGCTACAAGTTCTATTGAACGATCACATGAAAATGCAATCACGAGCATTAAATGGATGGCTACAAATTATCAATGCACATCCAAAGGAGTTTTAAAACAAGATCTTGAACACGAAACGCAATATAGGCAGTTTGTGACAACATCACTTGATGGTAATTTTTGTGTGTGGACTTTAGATTGGACCATTGCGAGTGACGAAGCAGCTAAAATTGTCAAAGTAGTTCGAAAAATAAATTTACCAGAAGAATTAAAAGAAGAATCGTCACCATTTAAATCAATTGATCAGATGTTTCATCCACATTTCAAGCTTGCGTTTTCTCGACCAATTCTCAGTTTCACATTTAATGAAGGGGAATTTATTTGTTCACCCTTAAAAAAAGTAACGAAAAATTCTGATATCTCAAATAGAATAATTTACAATATCAAAGCAGTCAAAAAAGAATTTTTCAATCCTAAGATGATTGTTGGAACTTCAGTTGGTGAAATAATCTTATTCAGTTGGGAAGGAAGTGATTTCTCAAATGGCGCTATCCTTAATCATCAAACAATGGTTAAAGATCTCTTTGCTTTTATTCACGATGGCCCCGTCACTCATGCGACAAGAAATCCTTTCTATTCAGATGTTTTCATCTCTCTTGGTGGATTTATTTTTGCAATTTGGCATGATGGATTCAAAGAATTTCCCATCTTTTGGCGTCGTCGAGAAAGTCGATTAACTGGGTGTCAATGGAGCTTAGATCGACCTTCAGTATTTTTTCTAATCTCTGAAGATGGAACTTTCGAAATTTGGGATTTAACTAATCGAATTGATATTCCATCTATGGAAGAGTCTTTAGGTGGATACATGTTAACATTTGTGCTTCAACATAAGTTGATGTTGTCAAAGAGACTCTTAGCGATTGCAGACTACAACACAAATTTAAGAATATTTACAATTCCTTCAGCTTTTGTACATCAACTACCAGACGAAATTCAAGTTTTCACTCAACTTATTAATGAAGAAATTGAACGAAAAAAAGGTCAAGAACAATGGAAAATTGAATGGTATGAATCAAATAAAGATATTGTCGAAGCTAGAAACGTAGCAGAAAAGGAACTTAATGACGAGTTGGAAAAGAAAGAAAAACTTCGACGAGAATATGAAGAAAAACGAGCTGAAATGGCCGAGATAGAGGCACAGAAGTAAGTTTGCACTTATAAATTTCTTTAACTAATTGAGATTCAATTTCATATTACTCTTGTTTCATAGACGTGCAAAAAAACAGGCTAAAAAAATGGTTTTTGATCTTCCTCAGCGCTTAGAAAAGAAATACAATGAACAGAATTACAAGCGGTTGCTGAAAGTATTAATGGAACGCAAAAAAGTTGACAAGGAACTACTTGACAAACAAACCAAGGTTCTTAAAGAACGAATGCGCTACAATGAACAGAAAAGAGTCGCAATCAAAGAAAACTTTTCGAAAATAAATGAAGATCTATCCACGATTCGCGCCCGTCTGATACCTGTAGAAGAATATCAGGCATCGCGAAATGAACTAGCAACTGAAGCTGTCGATGAAATTCTTCGTTCTAAATTAGATTATCAATTAATTGAAGAACAATCGTTGGCACAACTTGAAACATTACCAGAAATGCATCCAATGACGAAAGCTGATATTTTACGGCGATGCAAAGAAAATCGAGATTGGTTAAATCAAAGTATGGGTGGAGGTGATCGTTTGAGCTTTGAAAATTCTAAACTTAAGCGGCATATTCGAAAAATGAGCGACTTAAGTGTCATAAGTCATTTTCCAGGAAATCGCTCTGTAACATTTTCAGCTGATCTCAAGGATCATGATAGTCGTCTGATTGACACACCAATTTCAAATTAATTTTTTTATTGAAAGTTTCTTTATGTCAAAGTCATCATTTTTTTAGTCATTTTTTTGTTCAGAGATAAATAATTCTAATACATCTACATACCTTGATTATTTGAATGTGTATGAAGTTAAATTGAGTATAAAACACAAGTGACATTACGAAAATCTTCAGTATAATTTGAAATTCTGAACTTCTTGTTTAAGAAATAATCAATTGAAAAAGGTTTGAAATATTTAAAACATTTATAAGAAAAATCTTATGTGGCAGATGCAGATAATTAAAGTTATCTAATAAATTCAAACCGGCTAAATACCAACTAAATCGACTTTACCAGTAGTGTAAACAAAATCAAAAACATTATCAATTAATAAATACTCAAACATTGACAATATTATTTAGTAAATGTTTATGTCGGATATTTACACAATCATTTAAAATATGATTAAAATCTGCTTCTACCGTCATTTTTATTTAAAAATGTTATATACCTAGTTTGACCTAGAAAAATAAAAGTTTAAAGTTCATTCTTGTCGCTGAGAGCATTTATCGTGTTGTTGATTGCAGTTGAATGAAAATGACTTTAAAATAACATCTCCTAAAAAAGCTATCAACATTTTTTTTAAACTGATTACAGACTTCAACAATAAAACTGTTTAAGTTTTCGTTTTAAAAATATTCTTGATTGTTTTTTTGCCATTTAGGGAATCCTTGCATATGAATCATAAGCACGTGTATGTCTTGAATTATATCAGTTTCATTAATCCACAGATCAAAGATCACTCCACCTTTCTTATCATGGGAGCATTTCGTAACATCTTTTTTGGTGCGATATTTCTAATCATCGCTTTCTCTTATCAAGCATATCGTGAAGTGACAAAACCGTTTCCTAAACCAGAAATTGGTAAAAGAGAATCTTACTAAATTTCTTCGTCACATGAATACTTTCATTTCTTTTTGTAATACTTTTTTGTGAAGATTTGGATGAATATTGGGGTCCAGGCGATGGAAAATCTGACAAAGATCCAGTCGAAATCAAACCTTTCAAAATTTCAATTTCTTCAAAAGTATTAAAAATGTTAAATTCATCTTTATTTTAAGAGATTTTTATTAGGTTTTTTAATTAAAAGGAGATCAAACGTTTAACAGACAAACTTAACGATTCCCAAGCAATCACTGATCCTCTTGAAGAAACTACATTTGAATATGGATTTAATGGAAACCGTTTAAAAGAAATTCTGACTTATTGGAAAGATGAATATTTACCTAAGTGGAAAGAACATGAAGGTTTTCTCAACCAATTCCCGCAATATAAAACTAAAATTCAAGGGTGAAAAATAACTTGAAGGGAATCAGAGGCATAGAAATATTTTTAATTTGGTTACCTTTTAGATTGGATATTCATTTCATTCATGTCAAACCAAAAACTACTGAAAATACCAAAGTTTATAAAATTCTCTTGATGCATGGTTGGCCGGGAAGTGTTCGAGAATTCTATGATATTATTTCGCTACTTACGAAACCGTCTAAAGATAACATTGCATTTGAAGTTGTGGCTCCAAGTCTTCCTGGTTATGGATGGAGTGAGGGTTCTGCTAAACAAGGATTGGGGACAGTGAAAATGTCTGTTATTATGCGAAATCTTATGATAAAACTGGGTTTTGAAAAATTCTACATTCACGGTTTGCTTCTATTTTTCTTTATAAGTTATCAATATAACAACGAATTCTTTTTCTCATTCAGGAGGTGACTGGGGATATTTAATTGGATCAAACATTGCCACAATGTTCCCAAAAACTGTTTTAGGTAACTTGAAGAGATAAAAGGAAAGCTCTAGAAATAGATGTATTTTAATTACATTTGTCTTTAGGATTTCATAGCAATATGTGCGGTATAACTACTCCGATGTCTAATATTAAAACAGCCATTGCATCCCTTTGTCCATCTTGGTTTATTGAGGAAGAAAAACTTATTGATTGGATTTATCCAATCACACCAAAATTTATGGATTTGTTACAAGAGATAAGTAATGTTCACATTCAGGCAACGAAACCTGATACAATAGGAGTCGCCTTACGAGATAATCCCGTTGGCCTTGCTGCTTATAATCTAGAGAGATTTTCAACATGGAGTAAACTAGATAACAGCAAATTAAAAGACGGCGGATTTGAAAACCATTTCACACTTGATGCATTATTAGACAACATTATGATTTATTATTTGTCTCATTCAATCACAACTGCCGTTCGTCTTGAAAAAGAATTTTTCAGAGAAATAAGTGTTTATAACATTGATCGTGTACCAACTAATGTGCCAACTGGATGTGCACATTTCAGACATGAATTATTGCATCAGCCAAATTTTGTTATGAAGGATAAATACACAAACATTATTCATTCATCTTATTATGATAAAGGAGGTCATTTTCCTGCAATGGAACTTCCAAATGTTTTATACGAAGATATTCTCGAATTTATTCATAAAACAAAAAATTAAAAGATTGAAGACATTTCTGAAAAGTGATAATTTTTTAAGTAACTTTTATGTTCTTTATGAAATTTTATTCTATTAATGAACAATAAATTTCGAATGAAAAAAAAAACTTTAAAATTGATTTAAAATTTAAATTGTGCAAGGAATTATGAAAACAATGTATCACTTAAAATTTAACAGCAACTTTTACAATGAGCATGATGAGAAGCATCAAAGCACTTGCAAAGAAATCATACAAAAGTTTAGGTGAAAAAACACTCCAAATAAAAAGATGATGACGTAACAAAGTGATCACGATTAAAAATACTGTTGTAGGAATGATTGTAAGAATTGACAGCCATTTAAAGAAAAGTCTAGTGATAATGGCAGAATCGTTCATCAGTCTTTTAGATTCCTCAATTAAATGTATTATAAGAAGAAACAACGATATCAATTGTCCATTAAATGTGTTAATTGTTGAAAATATGAATACAATTGGCAGATGAACATGCATTTGTCCAACAAATCCAGCATTAACATCGATCGTTGATAAGCTGTTAGAATTTCCCTGATAAAAATAGAACAATTTCCCTATCCAAATATGGAGAATGATTTTCGCAATTATTCTCTCATTCATATTTTTAATAATATTATTGCACGTTGCATTTACAAACCAACAACTGACTGAACATGCGAATGGCATTATAACATTTTGTGGTTGATGAAGAAGCAGAGAAAATAAAAAGAAAACAACAAAAAAATTTAATCTTTTGGTGGGGTTCTTGTTGATGTTCGTAACTAAATCAATCGTAACAATGATGCATAAATTAATCCAAAATAAAGTTGTTATGGGAATGTCATTTCTGAAAAGAATCAGACAAATGTAAAAGTTTTGTGTAAAAGAAATTTAAATTAAATTATTTTATCACCTGTTGTTGATTGTCCTCGTATGATGAAAATAAAGTAAAATATTTCCAACAATGACGAATGGAACAATTAAGTGTTTTGATGTATGAATACGAAGCAACCATGCACTTGATGCTATCAAACTTATAACGATAGAAACATGAAGCCAATGTTGATTAGCATCTTGATGAAGCCAGTCACTTAAGTCAGGCAAGCTTATCCAACGATCACCAGTTTGGTTCATTCTTCTGATGACTACATGAAGAAGAAGAAAAGGAATGCATCGTGATATGGCACTGACAGTTGCATTTGGGTTTTTACGTCCTCGAATTTCGAAGAATGCGAAGAGGCTGAACATAGTATTACAAAAATAATACCAAATTTGATGTTCTTCTTCTACAAATGAACTACTTCCGACTGATACAGCAAAGAAGAAATGTCCCAGCAACAGAAGATAAAGCAAATCATTATCGAAAAATTTAAATCCCCTGAAGCGTTCAAGTTTTGCTTTCAAAATTCCTATGACAATTCTCAAAGCAATGGACATAATGATCAGCATGAAAAATGATTTAAAATCATTTTGCTCTTGAAAAATTTCATTCAATATTAGAAATTTCAAAGGAATTCCGCATAAAATAAATAAAATGAAACTTTCAAAGCTTAACTTTACATCTTTTAAAGTAGCGAAGTCGCAAGGAATTAAAATAGTTATTGCGATTAAAATGTTGAGTACCAAGCCAAGAAGTACTTGCAATAGATTAACATCCATCGATCCTTGCGATAAAATTTCAGAAATCTTCTTCGATGATTCCAAATAGCCTGACTCTGCTCTTTCATAAGCATTTTTACTGGTAAAGTCTTTGATGAACATTTGATGAAAAGTTTTTGCTTTTCTGAAGAGAAATTTTAATTCTTCGTGTTCATCACTATCTTTTATCATTTCAACAAGTCTTTGATTAACTGCCTCTAGTACACTTAATTTTTGTAAGGAACTCAGGTTTACCAACATTTCAGGAATTATTGACCCAATTGATGATGATGGCACAGGAAGTCCATTCATTATCGAGAATGTTGGCGCAAAATCAATTTGTTTGTAAAATTTATCTCTATTACTTTCGCAGCTTCCTCCAATCATCAAAAGAGGAATATGAGTTTCAGGAAAAGAATTTCCGCTATGCCCTCCGGTATCTCTCATTCCATGATCTCCAGTCACTATTAAAATTGATTTTTTCATTGAATTTTTATTCTAGAAATAGAAAGAGGAGAGATAATTTTTTTTATTGTAAAGTTTTATTAAATTCTTACCCACTCCAAAAGTTTCAAATGAATTAATTTAATAACATCATTCATTTCTTTCAGTTTCGGTGGGACAAGTTTACTGAAAGGACCTTCAACATGACCAATATGATCTAATCCTAAGTAATCTGAAATTAAATATTTTTTGACTTTATTAATTTTATAATTTTTTTTTAACTCAATTAGAATGTCTTACGTAAAATTAGCAGCTTCCAATCATTTCGTTTGAGTTCTAATCGTAAAGATGTAGTCACATTTTTATCACCTTCATAGAAATCATTAACAAAAAGAGAATCACGGTTTGCATAATCGCGATCGAAAAATCGAAACATTCGCCAAGTATCATCACCGGCTAACACTATTTTCTCTTTACGTCTATGAAGTTGATGTAGAAATGTGTCAATTTTCATTTCATCGTTGCCAAAGTTCATAGCGACATCTAAAAAACTTGGTATCGTACCTGATGTTAACGCCTTAAAATGAAATTTTCTTATCTAAAATATCTTTACAGCTTTTTTCTTGTTCCAACTCACTTTAATCCTTGGTTTAGTAACTGTTGGTAAACTGACAAACAGCTTAAGCAAACAAGCCTCTTTCGTTTCTAATAAATGATGCACATAAGAAAACGATTCACTATCCATAAAATCTAACCGCAGCGCATCAATAATCATAAGGACAGTTCTATTAATTTGTGAAAAGTTTCCAAATTTGTTTTCATCTTGTTTTAGCTCTTTAAAAGTGGCATAAGGGAAGAAACCAATGCAAAACACACATGATGAAATAACACTTGTAAAAATAAGGACTAGATAAAAGTTGTCACTTTTAATTATCATTATAAGATATACGGAGTAAAATTAGATATTTGAAGAAAAAGTTGCGGAAAATAATTTTTTATTTACAGATTACGCTGGAGAGTTTTTTATCTGATAGTTGGATTAAGCCGGAATGTTGAAGAAAACAATTAATATGCTCTAAACTAATTTATAAAAATAAATTTTGTCTTTATTAGGAAAAGCTATAACAAGAAATTAGTTAGTTTTTTATAAATAACAAGCATAGTTTTTTATGATCACAAAATAGGGTAGACAAAACAGATATTTCAAATATTCAAGCCGTCGCCGTCCAAGTTCATAAACAAAAGTTTTTTACCCTCTTGTTTCTTTTCTCTGAAAATAAAAAAAATAATTAAGCATCTAATTGGTTGTGTAACTCTGTTATAAGAATGAGTAAAAGAAGATTAAAGCCGAATGCTGATCCGCGAGATTCTAGGGAAGATCCACCAATGAGTCGTTTGTTTATAGTCTGCAGCAAGAACAATACAGAAGAAGATTTTAGAAATGCATTTCAAAAGTTTGGTACATCACGTCATTTCCTTTATTTAATTCAATTCAAAGGTATATTGAAGCATATTTAATTGATTTCCAGGCCGAATTGAAGAAATCAGAATTTTAAAAGATAGAGATGGTTCTAGTAAAGGAGTTGTATACGTAAAATTTTCTAAGACATCTGAAGCTGCCTTAGCTTGTGAATCAATGAATGGTGAAGTTATTGGTGATAGCCCAAGGCCAATAAAAGTTTTAATTGCTGCAAGTCGCCAACTAGGATCAGCTTCTTCCAAAAACAGGGAAGATGAGAAAGCACAACGGCTCTTTATCATCACTCCAAAGGAGTTTACAGAAGATATACTTTATGAACAGTTTAGTAAATATGGTCCGATTGATGATGTTACAATCGTTAGAGATCGCAAAACACGGGACGGAAAACAATTTGCATATATCAAGTTTTTAAAGTAAGTTCACATTATTCATCGGTCAGTGAATTTATCAACTTTTGGGCTTGGCATAAACACTATAAGGCGAATGAGTGAAAGAAGAAGAAAAATTTACTTTCACTTTATTTTTGCTTGGTAAACATCTAATACATTGCTGTCCATTCGTATACATAGAAATTAATAATTTATAAAAAAACATTTCATATATTTATTTTTTTCTGCTGAAACAGATTCAGTTCCGCTGCATTAGCTTTTGAAAACTGTGATGAAAAATATAAAGCAGTGTTTGCAGGTAATTCATTGAAATAGAAGTTAGATATTTTAGGAGATTTTCTTTATTAAATTGGAAACTAATTCTTTCTCTCAGAACCTAAACCCTTTCGTTCTCCGTCACAAGAGAGTGGAAGCAACTTTACATTAGATGATCGCAATGATCGTCATTCGGCATCTCTAAATCTATTATTAAGCGCAGCTCCTTTAAATGAACTATCAGGAAGTAATGATTGTGTGCTTCATGTTATTTGTGGTCCAATGGTAAGTATTTTAATCTTTTAAAACAATATATTATAATATTCATACTACTACTAAAAATAACTATTTTAAAGGTGACACACGATCAGCTTTGGAGATTATTTGATATTGTGCCCAATCTTGACTTTTGTAAAATGAACAACGAATTAGGTAATAACTAAAAAGCATACAAACAAACACGTTGTGTGTTAAGTGATTCATACGTGTGTAAAATTGATTTTTCAGAAGTTTCCAACAGTGCCACTGTCGTATATAAGACACCGCAGGCAGCTTTACACGCACGACAAAAGCTTCACGGATTTGAATATCCCCCTGGAGAGAGATTAATCGTGAAGTTAAGCTCTGAATTGAAAAATTTTCCTCTACTCGAGGGCCCATCTCAAATGTTAGTTGAGAATAATGTCAGCACAAATTTTTGTTCTGTTAACTTGCCACCAGTTCAACCTTTCTCCAAGGAAACTTATTGCGCCCAGCGTTGTTTTATTGTATGTTCGCCTCATGTTCTGCCAATTCATATCTTAAAACAAGTCTTCTGTCGATTCGGAAACTTAATCGATGTATACCTGTTGAATAATCGTAATTGTGGATATGTTAAATACGCAACAGTTGAAAGTGCTAAGCAGGTAACAAAGACACAAAACTTTTGTTTTATGTACTTATTAATTGATCCACGTCTTTATTTCTTCCATTATTAGGCTATGAGTGTTTTACATGGTGCAAAAATTTATGGTGTAAGGTTGAAAGTTCTTGAAGCAGAAGAACAATCAGAACAAAGGAAGCGATCAAAAAATGATTAAATCATAAAAAAACGCATGAACATTCTCTTGAAATTATTTTTGGTATTGTTATTGATCTGCATATTAATTAATTGAATATTTATATATTTTAATTGAGCTTAAGATACTTATTTCAGAAAGTGAATGTTGTGCAAAATATGTTTCATTCATATGATGATGATAACGAATTGCTTGCTTGTTCTTCAATATATTTGATAACATCATCATTGATCTAGTTTTATCTCAATGTTGTGACTTTTTTCCTCTACGGCAACCGTTCACTTTCTGCGAAAAAAATTATCAAGATTCTCATTCTGAAATCTTTCTTAGAATAATTGTTATCTTTTTAATACTAAGATTAATTGATTATACATAATATGAAATAAAATATAATTTTATTTTTAAAATTGAAACATATCCTACAAAATTATTTCAAAAAAGCGTATTGAAAGTGTGAACATAAATTCGAGGATGGGCTAAATTGTGACTATTTATTATGAGCTCCCCCTTACCATCGTTTATTTCAGTTCACTTCATTTTTTCATTCATAGCGCATACAATCCCATAAAAAATATTTATTTAAGGCTTTAGAAATGTTTTATCAATTTTTTAGTTAATTAAAACGCACGCAATCATCGACATCCTATACAAATAAAGTGAAAGTTAAAATGAAATGGTTCTGAAAAACGCCTAAACTAATCATTAAAAAATTTGTTTTCGTACGCAATAAGTGAATCAAAATCGAGAGAGAAGAAAAGAAAGAAATGTGAAAACTAATTATTTAATTATGAAGGCATAGTTCAAACATGGTGTTTAGTCAAACATGAAAGATTATGTTTCCAACGATACAGAAACGAAGGTATGCAGATGTTGATAAACTTTAAGGTCGATAAAAATTCCGTCAGACAATAAACTAAAGCAAGGATTTTATATCTAATTCCCAAGAGGACTTTTCTGGCATTTTTCTCATAGAATTTAAACATTCATGTCTATCGATTTTTAACTTTTATCTTAACGAACGCATAGCTCAACTATCAAAAATTGTGAACCATTATGAATGAATTTTAAATTAAGGCCAATTTATTATTCAATGCGGAAAAAGAGGAAAATTATGGAAATCCTCTTTACTCACCCGAAGCATCAAAAGTGCTGAAAATTGAGTGGAAAATGAAAAAGGGAATCTATGATTCATCCTTGTATTTTGAAAGTGTGTGAGTGTTGCGCATGAAACTGTTGAGAAGCTGTGGTTGCAAGACGACAAACAACAAACAAAAAATGACTGAAATCTAATAAATAAAAATGATAACAAATTGAGCTCTTATCATTTAACCGTATGTTAAATCGATGAAATGCTTGAATGAATCTCATTGATTCATGAAATATAGATAATAAAAATCTTATGTTTAGATGACACAACGAAGTGCATAAGTTCGTGATAAGAATAAATAAGACAAGATTCTCAAGTCGTCAATAAACAACATCTCATAATGGCCTCAAATTAATTTACAAACAACTGTCTCTCACTCCGTCGCCGCATTCAACTCCAATTAAAAACCATACATCCCACTGAGTAGTGAAATGACAAGACAGGGGCACGAAGAGAATTTATGTTAAAACGGAAATGAATAATTCAACAGCAGCATATGTCGTCTTCTCTTACTCGAAGAAATAATAAAAATTTTTGTTTCTATTTCCAAAGTCATAAATTTTAACATTTTCTCGCACAACTTTCTGTTCTCCTCCTTCTCAGGTATTTCTAAAAATAAGAAATAAGAACGTTCTACATCAAAGGCAACAGACACGCAACAACAACCCAAACTGAGAATCAAAAAAAAATTAAATAAAATAAATTTAATAATAATAAGAAAGAAACAAGCAGTAAAATGAGACACCAAGTCCTTAATTTTAAAGTGGCGCTATGTACAATCTTCTTCATGTGTTCTTCATTAAGCCAATCGATCAATGTAAATAGCAAACATGCTTTACATACTAATAAGAGATTCTACTCGAATGGCATGGCGCTTCTACCGGATACTGATACAACATTAGACCAAGAAGAAGACGATGAAGACGACGACGACGACGCTAAAAGCGAAAGTGACTACTCAAATGAATATGATCAAGGGTCAAGTGGAATTGACATTTTTGGTCATCCCGATGACTTTGACAGAAATAATGCATTACCATTCTTCCATAAAGTACCGGAAAATGCTTACATTATGAAGAATCGTCAAGCTATTTTAAAATGCAAAGCAACGAACGCGCTTGATGTGAGTTCTCATTTAACATTTCATTTGAATTGTTATAATTTCCTTTTCATTGTTAACTTTTCGATGAACAATTTTAATTACATTCTCCCTCTCTCTCTCTCTTTCTCATGCACTTCAATTGAACTTAAATATAAATAAATTCACGTTAAATCAACAGCTGGTTTTTCAATGTGTTAACGACACAAAAACTAACCCACCCACGAAACAAGAATCACACGTGAATCCACAAAGCGGCGTTCGAACATTAGAAGCAACAGCAGAAATCTCACTTGCATATTTTGAGCAGTTCTTCGTCACGCCATTTCAATGTGAATGCATTGCGCGAAATTCGGGTGGAGAAGTTAAAAGTCGTCCCGCAACGATTGTTCTTGCTCGTAAGTATCTCAAATATAATACAAACAAATTAAACAAAAACATGAAAAAAAATATGAAGAAGCAAAAGCAACACATGTTCGACAATCCAATTAAACATTCCACATCTTGATTTATGATTTTAGATCTTGAAAAGAATTTCATTTTGTCACCGCCAAGTGCGAGAATAGAACCGGGATCACCCTTGGAAATAAAGTGTACACTTCCAAATGCTTTGCCGCCAGCTGTTCGATCTTGGCTCAAAAACAACCAAAAAATTGAACAATCATCTTCGATTACCATTACTCAAGATGGAAGTTTGATCATTCATTCAGCAAAAGTACAAGATTCCGGAAACTATTCTTGTGTCGCAAAGAATATCGTAGGGAAACGAGTTTCGTATCCCGTTCCAGTGATTGTGCGAAGTGAAAAGCGTTGGAGCGAATGGTCATCATGTAACTCAGATTGCCTCAAATTTCGTCATCGTAATTGTAATTCAAGATCACCTGATGATTGTCAAGGAAAAGAAGTAGAAACAGCTGAATGTCGAGACGGAAGTTGTGAAGAGAAAATTAATTCAGATAATTCAGATCGCGTCATTTATTTTTCATTAATCATCGTGTCAGTTCTATGCGTCGTACTGGCAGCACTTTTTGCTCATTCGAAACGAAAAAAGCCTGAAATTCCTGATTACATTGTTACTGATAACGGTAAGTAGGAAAAGAAGATACCTTAATTAAATGTGAAAGCAAAAAGTCTTATCTATCTTATTATTAATTTATCAGAAATTTTAGAAATTCAAACAAAGAATTATGAGGGTGAGAAACGTTACAGACAGCAATTGCAACCAATGAAGAAATCATCATACACTTATGAGTACAATACGATGGCACCCGACCATTATATTCCACCACCAACCTTTCCCAAAACAATACCAGCGAACTTTCATCATGAGAATCATTACCACGAACCCCAACTTGCCATCACATACTCAGTTCCCTTCGATAAGATAAGCAGCAAAATATCAAACTCAAATACATCGTCAACAAGAAAACTCCAATCAGACACAATTTCAAGCAGCACAGAATCATGTAAGTTCCCTTCATTAATGAGAATGTTATGTTCGATCATTACATGATTATAATTAATTTTCTTCTTTAATTAACCGCGCGACCAACATTTTCAAAAACATCAAAAAATAACTCACAGTGAATTCAACTCAGGTCATTGAAATGGAATCGTCATCAACAACGTCGTTGATGAATGATAAAAATCCACCAAAGTCAAATATGATTGAACAGATGGTGACATCAAACGGTGGTTGGTTGGAGCTTGAACATTTGGAAACATCGCTGTCAATTCCTGAATTGACATTTGAACGTACGAGAAAATATAACATATTTCTCACAGTCTTACACAACGAATTTATAAAAAATCAAATAACGTGCAACTTCAACGATAACTCAACACATTTGAGTTCTATCATTTATTGCGGCCCATCTGATGTGCTACTTAATAAGCCAGTAATTTTAAAATTTCCTCACTGTGCCAATCATTATGAGAATTGGACAATATCGTTGCTTCATAATAATTGTGCAAATGATAGTCAAAAAGCTTACATCGATATGGATGATGAGAAGGATAAGTGGAAAAGAATAGCGTCAACCAATAACGACGTCATCAATCCACTTGCCTTTATTCAGCTTGATTCAAAGAACGCCTTCATCATTTCGAGAGTACTTGGGAAGCTTCTGCTTGTTGGTGAAAGTAAATCACCTGAAATAGCTGTCGAAAAGCGTATGAAGATCGCTCTTTTCGGACCGAAGCATAAAATGCCAGCCGGTGATTTTAATGTGAGAATTTACATCGTTGAAGACTACCGCAGTTCGATTGACTATTGCACGATCATTGAGAAGAATCTCGGCAACGATTTGCTGATGTTGAGTAAAGATTTTCTTTTTAAGAATAACAAGGAGGATTTATGGGTGCAGCTGGTGTGTTCGGGCGGTTGGGTGACTAGAAATGAATCTCAGAAAATTCCCTACTCGCATTTATGGAAGAACTCGTATTTACTTCATTGTGATTTTTTACTCGAAAAAAGCAACTACAACGTTAATAAGCTAAACATGGAAATTTTCGTTAAACAAAAGCATGGTGACGATATTTTCCTCAATAATCTTTTGTTATATACTTAAAGAACAAATTATTTGAGTTTATCTTCTTTTTCTCTCTTTTTTGAAATTTTTTTTTCATCAATTGCTGCTTGTTTTTATTTAAGCAATCAAAACATTTTTCTGGGTTTTAAATATGCATATATGATGTCTCGAATATAAAAGCTTAGACTCATTGCTACATTGTTTCGAGTCTCTAAATTAAAATCAAATTTTCAATGAAAAGTTTGTGACAGAAATTATACAGAAACCCTTATACAGAGACCTTTTTATTTCAAATTATATTAATTTGACATGAGTTTCATAACATAACAAATATTAAGTGACAGACGAAAAGAAAAAAACTATGAGCAGATTATTTTTATGAAAAATAAATGTTTATGAGATGATGTTCATCTGTCGTGGCCTACATCTCGCGCTATCGACATCGTGATATCGACCAAAAAACCTTTTGACATCGCATGGAGCGAAGAATAGTAACGAAACATTTTTCTTATTATAATTTTCCATCTTCATCTTATAAATTAAAAAACATTAATCTATTTTAAAATATGTCGAATAGTGTACATTTAACCACTTAACAAAGTTGAACACACATAAAATCTGAGTTTATAATGGATTGGCGTTTAATGATCGTGTAGCATGGTGTATAGATCTTGAGAAAATATCAACTTAAGTATTTAGATATCTTCGGAGGAAGAAAAACAAATAAATAGTGATTTCCCGACTTTCAGAATTTTCCCATTTTTCTTGACAAAAGTAGAACATTTGTATTTATTCTTCATTCTCTACTTAAAAAAGTAAAAACAAACCATAGAATGATATTTATACAAATCAATTTAGAATCATTTACCCCCCAGTGAAACAATGACGTTGAGATGATGAAATGAATGTAACGATGTAAGTAGTGAAACGGGTTTTTAAAATTCCCTCTTTTAACTAAATATCTTAATACTTTTGTCGTGAGAAAATTAAGAAAATTAAGGAAAATATTCAACAAATGTTGTAAATCACTCGAGTAGATTTTTTTTCTTCTTTTTTTCTTTCTCTTCGAAGGGGAAAAGGGTTGTCGTAGGTAGTCCAAGTTGCTCCCCAGTTTATACACATAAATATATTTGTAGTGCCAAAAAATACTTTATAGAAACTTATATACGTTTTATATGAAAATGATTAAATAGATTACATGACGAAAAAGATGATAAAAGTGAAAGAAAATTTGTCAGAAACATTGAATAGTTATTTATTTTAAGATTAGACAATAAAGAGAATTTTTTTACACAACACAAAAGGTTAATATTGTTTTGACTACTCCTGACATGACAACCAATGTTTCGATTGAGAGAAGAACATCAGCCTTGTCATAAATTGGCATCAAATAAATTGAAAGAAGAAAATAGAGAATCATTTCTACTCCGCCTGTCGCTTTTACTTGTTATACATTCGATTAGACATTCACTCATCATAATTAATTGTCTAATCAAAAAAGAGGCACACGGCGGTCGTGTTCTTCTGACACTGGCGCTGTGCTATGAGTTTTTATTTGTTTGCTTTAGAGTCATATTTCTCTGATGTTATTGCGCAATCATCATCAGCCGTCAACAACACTCAAAATGTTTGTTGAAATAACATCACCATTGACCGACAAAAAAGAAAGAAAGAAAAAGAAATGATGAAGCCGATACACATGGAAAACTTATTCCCTCTTAAAAAGTCAATTTTTTTCAGCTGTATGAACACATTCCATGGATGGATGCTGTTCAAGTTCTCCGCAGAAGCATTTTGTTTACATATTAAGCGAGTGTTTATGATATTTATATGAACTCATCGTATTAACTTTTTGTAAAGAAAATGAAATCTCTCCATAAATACAATGAATGTTTATTTTATGATTTTGTTTCTCCCTTTTTCTTTCTTCTCGTTTATACTTAGCTACTTACTGCTGATACACATTTATGCTATCTTAATTTGCCAGAATCAATCTGTTTATCTTTTCTTTTTTAAAATTTGAAAATCTTTCTTTTCTTCGTAAAGTGTTTTTCTCTTTTTTATCGTTTGTTTTATTGTAACTTTTTAACACATAAATGATGTAGCTTTTTCATCTTTAAATGGAATAAGCATCTACTAAATACTAATCAACAAAATATTTCAAACATAATAAAAATTCATATTCCTTTTTTGGTGCCTAAATTGAGCGGCTATTTGAAGATTTTATCAACTCTTTTAGATTTTTATTGTATGCAACGCGTTTTCACCTCATTTTATTAAAAAGACGGAAAATCAATACATTTCTTAAATTTTGTTTCATCACCCAATTATCATAAATAATTTTAAAAATATTGAATTAGATATATATATTGATTATAGATTGGAGATTATATAACATTCGTCAAACAAAATAATTGCCATCTCTTAACGTTCTCGAGTACTCATGTAGATAATGTTTATGTAATGAATAAATTTCCTCTTCTCTCTCTCCCTCTCGCTTCTCCACAAATAACATGAAAATCCCTTCTAATCTATTTTACATTATATAAATTGCCTAACTTTTCCTATGGCGTTTGAAATTGTATCAAAAATTGTTCCGTCGAGGATGTTCAACAGTAAGCGAGAAAGCAAAAAGTATACACGAGAGCAAAGATTCAAAAATGCATTCGCATTGCGCATGACATGCGAATAAGGATAAAAGTAAATGTGATAGAAGAGAAGGAATAGATTCATGTGACAACCAATCGTAGGGTTTAGAATCTGTTGTTGACGAGAAGCCATCATCTATCAGAAATATTTGTCCTGATAATTTTTAATTTCCCTCTGTGGGATTAATCTTTAGTCAGGTGTTTTAAATGTAGAAAATTTGAAATTAATTTCTCACATTGTAAAGGCATCAACACTTTTCTTTTTCTGTACAAATGAATGTTTATTTCACAATTTACAAACATCCATTTAATTCATCTACATAAATACATGTCAGTGTAGAAGAAAATTGAAACTTCTTAAAGCTTAGATTGCAATCCCTGGGAGATAAATTGAGACAGAGTTCAAGCAAGCGCTTTAGAGACTTCGCAATGGATACACAAGCTTTTCACTATCTCCACATCTACCACCATAGCATGGTACTTTACAGGATGCGATAGAAAGTCGAATGAGGAAAAATCAAATAAAAAACCACACTCATAATTTGATAAGTAAAAATCAGAAGAAAAGTTAATGCTCTGCGCATGCCATTTGGCTAAAGGTTTTCAACAATTTTTGAAGTTCTTCCTGAGTTTTGCTTAACAGCAATTATCCATGGCCATGGTTTTCATCGCTTAAATCAATTTCATTTTTTATCGCGAATGGAACGTTTGCATTTTGGAGAAATTTTCTTCAATTTCTTGTACCTTAAGTTATTTGTTTCTTTTTAAGTAACTTAGCTGAGTTTTTGATAAAAATATATATAAACATTAATTTAATATAATCATAAAGATTTTCATGCAATATCAAATCGAACTATAACACATACAGTTAAAGGACATAAAGGATATAGGGTTGTGGCTTAACAGCAAAAATAACATCAAGAAAGAGAGCGAATCACGAATCATAAAATACTTTTTTCTTCGTTTCACTTTTTTTTGATAAAATGGGGTTCGTCGCTATCACTTTCGTGCTTTTGAGTGGGTTGGTTGATGGTGAATTGTGATTTTCTGTAAGAATTCTGAAGGGAAGGAATCATAAAATGCTTTGTCAAGTGATTTAGTTTGATTTTGATAACAGACATCAACAGTCGTTAGTTAAGTTGTGCAAAAATATAAATGAAAAAATCTAGAAAACTTAAATTAATTTAACGCGTTTTAAAAGAATTTAATTTAACGAAACTATCAATCCACAACAAAATAAAATTTTCAAAATAATCCAAACAATTTTTAAATTAAAAATAACTATGGAATTGACAACTTCAAATGGTACATCTGAAGGTATATGACAAATGTTTTAAAGATACGCTAATTAACGTAGATAAATTGAACTTCATGCAAATGTGAAACAATTTTTATTTGTTTGATCTTTTGCATGCACAAGTGTTTCTTAATTTTTGTTCTATAGGAACTTGTCATTATATTGAGAAAAATTGTTCGCGTTTAATATTCATTCAGTCGATAATACTTAGTTCATTAAAGTAAAAGTTTAATCGAGTAATTTTTAAAATGTCCTCAAAATTGTATAATGTAGAAAAACATCCATCGTCGCCTGGACTTTTCTCATTTCCATCGCAAAACAAACTTCTTTCCTGGTCTGCTAATTTACACACTCAAAAGAAACTTCAATTGGAGCAAAGTCAAGATGGGAAAATCAAAAATGGTAACAATTCATGTGAAGGAAGCGCGGCTTCCAGAAAAAATCAGCAAACAGCGCTTGGATTGACTTGTGTTGTGTGTGGTGATACCAGTAGTGGAAAGCATTATGGAATATTAGCATGTAATGGATGTTCAGGATTTTTCAAGAGAAGTGTGAGAAGAAAATTAATTTACAGGTGAGTTGAGTAATTTAATTCCTAAATTTCTTACTTTTTGTGAGAAACATGCACCCTAATAAAAGATAAGTTCATTTCGGAATTTATTAAAAAAATCTGCTTTTAATAAATCAAACAAGAATACGATGGTTGGGCAGTCGAGTGGTGGACCTACGTAAAATATTAAAGAAATATATTATTAAAGAGATAGTGGAAACTTAAGATGATAATAAAAGTTCCGGAGAACATTTTTTTTAAGAAGAATTAATGAAAATTGGCAATAAAAAAAAACTAACTACAAAATATTGGGAGAACCCAAAAATTATTTTTTTTTCTGTAAAGTCTTTTATGTAGTAAAAATAAATTGTTAATGTAAGCAGACATTCACGCTCTGTTTCTAGCTGATGTTTTATCGAAAATGACAAATTAATTATTTATTCATCAATTAGTATCATAAACTCGTTGATGATTTGCACAGTTGTAATGAAATTATTAAAACTCAAACTAAAAATATAGTACGAACGAAAACATTGAAACTTGTGTGTCAGAAGTAACCATTTTGAGTTTTTTATTCCTTTTTATCAAACAATAAAAAGAAATTTCTGATATGAAAAACAATCTTAAGATAATTTTTCTTCAAAATTCTACAAAGATTTGAATTTCACAGGCGTTTTTAAATTTCTAAATTTTTCATAAGCAAGACATTTCTATTAATTTTCCACTTATTCGTAGATGCTTGGAAGATGGAAAGAAAATTTCACAAAAATGTTTTATCCTTTGCAATTGTTTAACTTCAAAACACAGACCAGATGTGAAAGAATTCTAATCCTCCCAAAAATAAATCATTTTCCATGCGATCAAAAGATTAAGGTTTTTTTTTCTCCGTTTCATCATCTTGAAAAGTTGAAAAGAATTGATTTTTCCTGATCCCACACGAGAACGAACAACAACAAACAAGTATAATTGCTATCAACATGAAAGTTGAATTCATTAATAAGGGACCAGAAAGTGAAAAACTAACAAAAGCGAGACAAGATACAAAAGGAATTAAAGGATAATTGAAGACTTCAGAAAATTCCCATTACTCTCCTTGACAAAGTTTTGCTATCGTCAAAATCTCTAAATCATTGCCGCTTTTCTCTGCACATTTTCATTTTCTCCCTTGAGAGCAATAACAATTTAGATTCAGTAAAACACTTTACCAACTGTGACCACCTTTTAAAACAAAATTATATTTAAATAGATATTAATATAGATGTATGACTCACGTTCTTGCTCGTCCTTTTTTTATCGGGAGGGGATTGCATCGAGGGACCATTCAAAAAGGGTCGCTTAAAGTATCTTGCAACTAACTACTGAATATTATGTAAGGTGGAATTAAGTGAATCATACATCTTTTGAATAAGTCTTTTGTTTTGAATAATGAAGATCGCAATGAAGCAGAGGTATAATAATATTAATTTTAAATATTCATAATTTATTAAGATAAATTAATTAAATGTGACGTGACGTCACAACCAGAATTATATGAATAATTTAATTTGAATATAAAACTTTAACAGGTGAATGTCTCAATTCGGAATGATTATTATTGTAGGAAAGAAAACATGTCGAAAGATAAACATTTTTTACAAAATGGCAGCATCTTTATATTACTAAGCATCTTAAGATATGTAAATAATTCTGCAGTATAGGAAAATTTAATTTTCATCTCCAATAAATTCCTTTATAGTATCAAGCATCTCCCTTCATAAACTTCGTTAACGATACATTAATCAGATTTGATGATGTTGTCGAAGCGCGCACGCGATTACAAATATTCTTCATTTCCAATCAACAAAAACGAACAGAAATTGTTTTGGCATTAAAAGCAAAATGACAAGAGCGAAAATTTATCTCGATGCTTCTCGAACCAATCATCGTTTCCTCTTTGGACTTTTTGATTTGATTCATTCGAGATGGGGAACTTTGTTCGCTACTTAATATTCAAATCACATCCTTAGCCTTTTGCTTCACATCCCACACTTTTTCATTCTCTTGTTCTTTTGCGATTCCGAGTTGAGACTGTAAAGTTTGTTGTCTGCTACAACAATAAATTTTTTGCACGTACTTACAATATCAAGTAAATTTACTGGCAAGTGAACGGGAAGTTGCGTCGAGTTTATGGAATTCAAATTTTTCCTACTTTGAGGAGTGATTTGATTTGACAGGTCAGCAGCTTAAAATACGAAACGAGTGGTAAGCGATTGACTGCTGGCAACTCTTGTTCCACGTCACATTAGACGCAATCACTTCTATCATCAAAATTGATTTAAAATTACTTTTAATGAGATGTAAAGCCAAGCGATTTCGCCGGTCGGGGCTTTAGAGTGTTGAATTTGAAATGTAATTTAATTAATAGTATCAATACAAATTTCTGTCCCTTTTTAAGTCACTAAAAATGTTTTCCTTCTTGATTCCATTATTTACCCGCCCATTCCTTCCCTAGCTTATTTCGCAAGCGACGGTGTCAAAAAAATTGTTACAAATGCATTGAATTCTCGATCTCAAAAGCTTATTTAATCCATTGCTTTGCATAACTGTAGAAATAAAAAGAAATATTGAATTTGCTTTTTGCCTCTTGCATATGGAATCTTTTTTTTATAAAACCAACTAGGCTCTTATTGGAAAAACGTAAATTTAATATTTATTTAAAACTGTTTTTCAATTGATCAATTTATCAATCCAAAGAAAGAGAATTGCACCTGAGATATAATACAATAATCTATATGTAGTCGTCATTTACTTGCCTACTCTAAAATACATAACCTTCACTTAATTGACCAAATCTAATAAGTATAAGAGGCGCAAAAATGCGATTCTAATCGAAAACATCAATTTGTTAACACTCAAAATCATTTAATTTGTCAACAAAAAAAAAGCAATGCTTAAGAGGGATGTGAAGCATCAGGGGTCGAACAATTCATTTCAATTCCCCTTTCTCACTGGTAATCCCTCTCTCACTTTCTCGTCGCACTAATAAAATCACGCGGGCATCATAAAATATGCGATTTGGGTCGATTTGAGTGATTGAGAATGGAAACATTTCCCTAAATTACTATTTTATTGCCTTCTTCACTTTTAATTAATCTCACCAACAAAAGCTCGGATTTTCATGAAATCTCTCAGTCTCAGATGGTTGGAAAGTCATTTTGATGCATTCATTTGGTTTTGGTTATTCTGGGTATCAATCAAAGTATGTAGCATCATAATTGAATCGATTTCATACACAAAATCTCTTTGAAGATGAACGACATCAACAGAGGGAGTGAGATTTGATTGACAATAAAAATAAATTTGGTTTCAATTCTTACAAAAAGCCATCGGTTTCTAAATTGATTCCATCAATGATCCAATGTAATCTTGTTCATTTAAAAATGATTTGAGAATTCATTCAAAAAAATTAGTATTAGATACCTAAAATCAATTCGCAAGTGATATTTAAATATCAAAAAAATTCATAATGTGACATTTAAGAAAATGTTTGAAGATGACATCCATTTACGGGTATGCTTCGAGTTTATGTAACATTTTATAGCGGTTTACAAAACTCATCAAGATGTACAATACAATATTAATTAATCTCGTGCAAAAACTTTTCAACCAAACTTCACCAGGCAAATTTCAAAATTAATCCTTAATTCCATTATTTTCAAATCATGTCAGAAAGCAAGTGTTCTAGATAAGTTTTAATGTTCCAGTACATCAGCTGCAACATATTACATATGTTACAATTTCTGGTATCTCTTTGATTACTTCCTTCATTCTTTTATTGTCATGTTTTAAATCTAATTTTATAAGTTGAAAAGATTTCCACTCAAATGAGTTCAACACTACGAACGAATTTATTTCTTTAATCTACTTAAATGTTAAAATTCATGTTTCATTTTTCTTCCAACTATTTTTTATGATTATTATTTCAAGATGTCAAGCTGGAACAGGTCGCTGCATCGTCGATAAAGCGCATCGAAATCAGTGTCAAGCGTGTCGTTTAAAGAAATGCATGACGATGGGAATGAACAAAGATGGTGAGTGTAAAAATCACATGTTTACATGTTATTAGACATAATCTTTTGCTTAATTAACGAGCAAATTAACATAGAAATTGAAACAGTTTGAAGTCTTCAGAAACATTTAAGCGTAAAATTTCCATTTCAATACATACTTTCGCACGTGTCTCAAACATTGTTGAAGGCGGAGAATTTTTCCAAAAAATTTCAAAATTATTTAGCATGTTGTTTTGACCAATGTACATATTGGTGAAAGTAATATTTAATTTTTCAAACAACGTGATTAACTACAGAAATGAGTGGAAAAATCAGCATCTTTCAAAATTATAACACGAATTTAATTTGAATTTAAATAATTGAAAAAGAAAATTCTTTAATTGCAATAAACATTGAAAAATCTACGAGATTTACAGAAAATGCTCAAATAATTGTATTCTTAACGCATTAAACACCAATTTTCTAAAACTCTATTTAACTTTCTAACATCCAACCCATGAGTACAATTTGTACATTTCACCTCTCAGCTTAAAATGTTAGAATTTCTGATTGACGAATGCGTTCATTCATGTATAAATCACAGCCAGAAGACACAACAATTACCGAACGCCAAAATAATGTCAACTTCACATTGTTCAAAACTCATTCTCGCGAGAGTACCTGCTGTTTTGGGGTTGAGTGAGACAATCTACCAAATGCTTCTTCTCCATGAAACAATTTTTTTACATTCGAATAAATAAAATTTTCATGGCGGTGAAGTGAAAAGAATGGGAAAGATTTTACATGAAAATAGAAAGAAAACTTAGTTACAAGACAAATTGTAATGGGATTGTCGGATTGCTTTCAAACTCTCTTCACTTGTTAGAAGCATCATGGTAACTTGAAGCATTAAAAATATTCATTTAACAATAAGGATGAAGGAATTTTAATGACGGAGACCTGAAGCAAAAATTTGTAATTGAGTTCATTTCAAGTTAACACTTCAATAAACTCTAAAAAATGAAACAAGACAAGTTAAAGCAATATGCAAATGTGCAACTTTACTCTTTTTCCTTTTCACTTTGTTTTCTTTGAAGAATCCTCGCGTGAATGACACGTGCAAAACGGCACACAAAAAAAAAGAAGCAATGTGAGATCTGCTTTAGCAGTAAAAATGTGATTAATTATGCGTGAAAATTACAATGTTTCGTGGTGCGCTTGTTTAACCCATTGAGGTTTCCACGTAGTGGAGTTTTCCTATGCAAAGAAAAGTACTTTGGTGTTGTAATTGTAACCACATACTGGATTTGACTGCACAGCGTGAATGTTTGCCCTCTAAACATTTCAACAATTTTTAATGAGACGACGTGACCGCGGTGGTCAATTAAAGAATCTTTATATGAGAATTTACCAAATTAATTCATTTTTTATTTCCACTTTCTTTCTTCAAAGCTGTTCAAAATGAACGCCAACCCCGGAATACGGCAACGATCAAACCGGAATCATTGAGAGAAATGGATCAGACGAAAGTTCTCCGTGAACACAGCAGTCTTGTGGGAATTTTCGGGTAAATTAACCTGATTAATACTTCTTTTCTTTCTACAATTACATAATTAAACGCTTTAATAGTCCACAGTTCACAAACTCGATGTCGCTTTCAATGCTTTCCCCACCACGCTACGGGCATGCGGATCTTCTGACGCCACCAGGTAATTCACGAAAGAATATTTTTCAACCCATTTCAATGTCAAATATTTCATTTACAGCTCTCGCAGCTTCTCAATTTCTTCATCATACTCAACTGAGTGCGATGCCACATCATCAACATTCACTCGCAAATGGTAACAAATTAATTAAAGCGATACAATGATAATAGATTTCAATTAAATTAAAAAAGCTTATTACACTCCAGATTATCAACTTCTTTCGTTGAATAATTCATCCAACAATAATTCAATATCTTCGAACAGTCCAAATTGTGGACTTTCATCTACGACAAAAAGTAAGGTTTCCTATCTGAAAATGTATTTAAAATCAATTTTCATTTCCTTTTTTTTCGAAAGCTGAGGAAATAAACAACACACAGAAATCATCATCTGTAGGTTCAGCTTCACCAAATCATCTTATTGAAAATGATGGTAAATATTATTTTGCTTTACATTGCAATAGAAACATTTCATGCATTTTCCACAGATGATTCCATTGAGATTGAAGTGACGACAAATGATGGAGAAAACGAAAATGGCGATTGTGAGAAAAACATTATGGTCCCCAATTTTGTTAATCCTTCGTTGTATGGACATACACAAGAAACAGTTTATGAAACGAGCGCTCGTCTGCTTTTCATGGCTGTTAAATGGGCAAAGAATCTTCCAAGTTTTGCTAGTCTTGCCTTCCGTGATCAAGTGATTTTGCTTGAAGAATCATGGTCAGCTTTATTCTTGTTAAATGCCATACAATGGTGCTTACCACTTGAACCATCAAGTTGTTCTTTGTTCTCAGTCTCTGAACATTGCAGTAACAACAATAACAATAATAACAATTCATCGCCTGAAAATAAACAAGATAAGGTGAGAGTTTTTAAAATGAATAATTTTTTCTCAGTCAAATTAAAATGAAGAATGATTCTGGCAGATTGCACAAGATATTCGAACACTTCATGACACACTCTGTCGCTTCAAATCGATTCTTGTTGATCCCGCTGAGTTTGCATGTCTCAAGGCAATTGTTTTGTTTCGTTCTGAAGCCAAAGGATTGAAAGATGCGACACAAATTGAAAATTTACAAGACCAAGCACAGGTAAATAATAAATATTTGGCACATAAGAGTTCAATGAGAAAATGTGAAAATCGATGCGTGAATCATAATCTGACAATAATGATTTGTAACCCTTCACCTAGGTGATGCTTGCTCAACATTGTCGTGCACAGTTTCCAACGCAAATTGCTCGTTTTGGTCGCCTGTTGTTGATGTTACCCCTGCTAAGACTCGTAAACTCAACAAGAATTGAGTCAATTTACTTCCATAAGACCATCGGCAACACCCAAATGGAAAAAGTTCTCTGTGATATGTATAAAAATTGAAAACATTTAATGAACTTTATTTTGAATGGATTAAAATTTCTGATGTTGGGCATAAACATTCTTTCATGCTGCTGATGGAAATCACTCAACATTGGATGAAATCAGGCGAAAACAGATGGACTTTCCATATAATCTTAGCCATAGCATTTACAATGTTATCAATAGTCATTAGGCATAAATAGTAAAACATTAACATTAATTTTAACAGCACCAAAAATGAAGAGTATGATCGAGTTGAACTTTAAAATTTCACCGACGGAAAAGTGTAGATGTCGAAAGTAAAGAAAAACTGTAAATTATATTGCTGAAAATTTAACAATCATGAGAAAAATAAATAATTGTATTTCGATGTGTCATTACTGGTAGCATTTAAAACAGACATGTAATCCAATTAATTGTGTTTTTATTGTTATCAACATTTTCTTTATTGTTGCATATTTTATTTAAATCGTGCATTCATTGACTAGATATTGAATATATTCAATATTTATTTAATATTATTACACGAACATTAATCGATGTTTATCCATGTCTATTAGAACAAAACTAGGTGAAATAAAGGCATAATCAGTGAGAGAAAGTCAAAAGTTTTCTTTATTATAAAACTTCAAAGTCACACAATGAATTTCTAAGACATGACATCGTGCTGCGGGTATGTTGTGTCAAATGATGATAAAAAAAATCGATATAAATATTCTCACTGGAAAATAAAAAGTTTCGTCAAACATGCGCATTTGAAATTTTTATTAGACTTGCGCATAAATATGCGAGACTTCCAAAGTGAATTCAAATGACATTTGACATTTCTAGAACATTCGTTACAAGCGTTAATAAACGTTCGAAGTTTTCATCTCTACGAAATACTTTATTGATACAAATATTTATTTAAGCAGTCTAACTATATTATAAATTATATGTTGAAAAAAATATCTGTCACTTCAAAATAAAAAAAACCAACTTAGATAAATTATTTACAATTTTCGATATAGATATGGTTTTTCTAAAAATTCAACATTCTAGAATAGTTTGAAACAACTGGAAATTTAACGAATAATTTTCCAACGAAATGAACAAATGCTTCTTTTTTCTTCAATTGAATTTTCACTTCTGCGCCATTGCTTTCTTGTTTCCCATAAGTAAAATTCAAGTTAAATAAAATTTTGTGTTTATTAGGGAACACAGAAGCGTTAAAATTAAATATCTAACAACTTTATCTGCGATTGATACTGCAATTAACGAATTAATATTAAAGTCAGCTACAACTAGGGTTCAAAATATAACAAACACGGAATCGAATTCATTGTGTAAAGGAAAATTAAAAAGGAACTGTTACTAGTGCAACTTCAAACTCTCCATTATAAAGGAAGAAGAACCAATTCTTAATCTAAAGTGCATTTTCCTTAATCTTCAGAAGAATATTTTAACTTTCAATCAATAAAATGTAAGTAAAGCTCTTCATTGGTGGAATAATCGTCAGCTGACGAATAGGAAATTCATAGAAAAGTTTCAGAACAAAAGTATTTAAAAATTATTGATTTTCCTATGTGGGGGCATCATCACTAAAACATGACCAAAAACGAAGAAATAATTTTTTTCTTGTTTTGCTGAAATTTTCGCAATTGGCCTATTAACTTTCATAGATAATTCAGTTTAATTTTGAGAGTAAAACCTTGCAAATATAGTTACAAAACAATCAACATTCAATTTTTAAGAGCACCAAATACTGACTTGTTTGTTAATTAAGCAACTATTATTGTGCAATAAGTAATTCGATTATTTACTCCAACCAAATCCTAAATTTGAATTAATTTCGTCCAAAATTCAATGAATCGAAAGAAACAAAGGAGAAAAAAACGTTCTTATTTTTTGTTACTTGAGATTAATAATTAATTAACCGCCAACATGAGGAAATGTATAATTACAGATTCAATATAAAATGCTTGAGAGATTTTTTATGAATTTTTCTCATTTCACAATTATTCAAAAGAAAATTAATTCACTTCATTAATTTTCTCAGGGCTGCCCCTGGAACAGATCCTAACAATCTTGCCCCAGCCGCTCCAGCGACCGGCGAAGATGGAGAAATCGTGGGAGGACCAAGGTAAATAATTATTATAAAAAACTCTAAAATTCTCTCATCGAGTTATTATCGTGACTCAATTAGATATGAAGGAATTCTTCTTCACTTGAATCAAAAGAATTGAACCGATTTGGGGTTGAATGATTACTGATTTTATAATCTTTCTCACGCTCGTGTATAACGAATAAAATGGAAGATGAAGAAATAAAAATTCAGACCTAACTTATCATAAATTAACTGTGTGATTTGATCGCTCAAATATTTCAGAAATATTTTAAAAATAAACTTTTTTAATTTTTTTATTCTGCATAAAGAACGCCCCAACAAATTGCTGCACAGAAACGACTCCAACAGACACAAGCGCAAGTTGACGAGGTAAAGAATAAATTTCAATTTTTGAGTTGTCTCTTATCTGAATTTACAATCAACTGCGTAGGTTGTTGATATCATGAAAACAAATGTTGAAAAAGTGTTAGAGCGAGATCAAAAGCTTTCGGAGTTGGACGACAGAGCTGATGCACTTCAGCAAGGTGCTTCGCAATTTGAGCAGCAGGCAGGTAAACTCAAAAGAAAGTTCTGGTTACAAAATCTGAAGGTAAATATTTATGCAATTTTTAATATGAATAAAATAATATAAAATAAATTTTAATGAAACTTATAGATGATGATCATAATGGGAGTAATTGGACTGATCATAGTTGCATACATTGGATGTAAGAATTTTGTTGATAAGTTAAATGGTAAATGACAATATTTATGTTTGTTTTCTTTTAGCGAAATTCATGGGTGATGACAAGCCACAAGGGTATGGATATCCACCGCCCAATTATAATAATATGCCACCACCACAGCAGAATGTGGCACCCCAAACTGCTGTTGCTGGAAGTGCTGGTACTGGTGCAAAATCTTTCTTCCCAATTTACGATTCAAATCGATTCTTTCGGGTTTAAAAAGTTCCCATTCCTTTCAATTACCCGATGATGAATTAATATGTTTGTCTAATAACTTTTTCTTTCCTTTCGAAACAAATTGAAAAAGAATTAATCACAAATATCTACCTAGAAGAAAAAAAGAAATACGAATGACAAGTTTTAAATTGAATTAAACTATTAACACACACAATTACATAGACACACCATACAATAAGCAACTGGATAACGTTCATATAAACATGGATCCTTTCACTTCATTCTGTTATATGTGAGAAAAAGAGAAAAAATATGTGAATTGTAGTGGAAAGTGTTCGTTTCAAAATTTTCCTCAAAATTTCGAAGAATCTTTTTCTTCTTCCAGCAAAATAATAATTAATTTTTATGACCGACTTTTTCGCCGAAAGCAGAAGAAAAATCAAGAGAAAAAATGAAAATTTTATGCAATAAGAAATAATTAAAACTTATAAAGAATCGACAATGATATAATGGAAGTTAAGATAAAAGATCAACTTTAGTTAAAGATACCTTTTTAACATCAAGACGAATACATAAGTTTCGGAACAGAAAAAAAATTATGAGAGATAATTAAATAATGCAGAAAAAACAATTATGATAAACTATAATATCATAATCTATCATATGAGTATGAAAAATCACAAGCTAATTGTTACATGAATATTTATCTTTTAAAAGAATATAGACTTTAAAGAAAAATTATAAAAGAAACGATGGAAAAATGTGGAAACGTCAAGAAACGTAAATAGATTTAGCTTCTTCTGTAAAGAAATGAAGACAACACATTCCTAAATCATAATTAAAGTTAAAAAAGAGAAATGAAGTGTTTTATGTTTGGGGCAGGCGTGTCAAGTCAAGTGATTTCTTTATATTCATTCGTTTAGTTATATAACATATATTTTCTTCAAATATCTAATGATGCTTATTGAGGTGGAGAAAACTTTATAAAAATTTCTCCAAGTTATCCATTTGAATGTTCAGCAGGTCAGAAGGAAAAGTTTTAAAATTGTTCGTTCCTAAGACTTAGTTGTCAGTTCTTTTGGAAACTTTTGAAAATTCGGAACAATTGTAACACCATCTTAATGAGAAAATAATAGCGTTTAGAATCACTATCATTGCCTCAATTCAAGAATGTAAAGATAAAAAATTGATTAACAGAGGAATATTGCATGTAATTTATTATTATGATGAAATATTTATGGAAAACATAAGGCAAATGATGATACTATACTGCAACACTCTAGGTTAAAAAGACAAAACTCATCAAAGAGACAACTACAATGAATGTATAAATAAGTAACAAAATTTGGCGATTAATATTACAAGATTTATTTATGTTCTTCACTTTGATAGAGTTATGTTTTGATAGTTTCTTCATACATATATTTATCTTGTTTCACCCTTCAAAACTATGCCTCGATTCTGTCTACTTTTATTAAAAAATTTGTTGTTCGCTGCCTTTTCCGCCTAACGCAAAACTTAAATAGTAATCTTTATCTTTAAAAATTATGCAAAAAAAATGTCAGTTTCTCAGAAATTAAAACGCGCTTCTCTCTTATCATTTGTATATTCTCCAGGAAAAAATTAAGAAGAGAAACAAATTAATCATGCAATTTTGAAAAATTGTGAAATGTATTAATGAAAATATTATTATAGCGAATTGTAATTTTAATTAAATTTCAATAAAATGATCAACTATAAATAAAATATTTTCTACCTTTTATTATTCAATTTCAATAAGTATCTAATATTATCTGATTAGATATTTAAGATACTCATAAATTATGGTGACATTTGAATCTGGTAGGTTGAGAATGTTTCTCAGGCAAAAAATCAGACAATATATTTGCATACCTTTATGTAATATTCATTAGGAAAGAAATTTTTATTGGCATTTAAACAAGAGCTTGTCAAGGGGCAACTCATACATAATTGATACAGATGAAACATATTTTTAAATTACATACAAACATTTTCAAACTTATCATTTTTAAGCAAGATAATCCGATGATTTTAAATTTTTTGATTCCCCTTGGTTTTTAAGTAGAGTATTTTGAAACTTTATTTTTTTTATCAACCCACACAAAATGAAGCAATAAAAAAGTGTAAGTTTTGTTTTTTTCCTTCATATTTTATTTCTTTTTTTGTCTGCTGAATAAAAGCAAAGATATTTAGATTTAGTTTTTTTTGTCTGCGTTTTTTTAATCATATTTCATTAATTCTGCAGTTAGGTATTTATAATATTTTGATAATATCGCAATTACTTATGGTAGTTTCATGTTACAGAAAAAAAATTAAAATTAAAAGATAGAAGAGGAAATTTTCAGTGATTATAAACAAAATATGGACTTTTACCAACGACTTATCAGTAGAGTCAAATTTCAATTAAAAGCGATATGGGTTTACATTATGTTGACACAAATCATATTTAGCTTTTAACAAATCATTCATCCTACATTATTTCAATAAGACACTATCCTATTTATGAAACAAAATGTTATTTTATGCTTAATGAGACAATGATTTGATTGATTGTTGAGTTGAGAAATCATGAGATTAAAAAAAAGAAGATTTTCAAAGTATAATTTCATGTAGCCAAAAATTAATTAGATATTTTGAAGAACATTTCACGTCGTCAAAGGAAATGATTTCAACTGATGTAAGTAATGACGTTGGTTCGGTTTATGTTGAGCTAATTTTTCAAGCGCCTCAGTGACACTAAACCATTGCCTCTTTCGTCCTATAGTCTTTGAATCATCCCATTCCTCCAACTCTTGTGTTACAATTAATACAAAAACTTCTGTCCGGTGTTTATGTTCTTCATTCTATAATAAAATACCAACATTAAATAGAAAGCATAATAGAGAATGCTAATTAAAATTTCTACCTCAAATACTCCTAAACATCTCCCTAATCGTCCGACTACCCCAGCTTCTTCTAATATTTCTCTTACAGCTGTTTCAGCATTTGTCTCGTCTTGTTCGACCCCACCTCCTGGCACTATCCAACGCTCGGGATACTTTGATGACGACACAAGTAAAACCTTGAAAATGAAAATATGAGTTTAATTGTTCAAAGTATTTCTATCGGTACTTCCACAAGTTTAAGAACAAAAAGTGTTTATCACTCATTCTGTGAAAATTTTTCAAGAAATCACTGGTTGATAACTTCTTAGATTTTTAGAAAAAAACTGATTGAATAAATTTCTCTCCACTTGAATTTTTTATTAATTTTATCAAAAATTAATATGACGAAAAGTTTCATTTTTTAATCATCTTTAATTAGGGTATTCTTTGGGTTGCAGGTATTCACAGAGATATTGCCAATAGTCTCTTTTTTGTTATTAAAAGTGGTTTTTAATCAACGAATGTTTTGTTTTCAATTGAATATATCGAGAATTTCATTAACATTATCAGCTTTTAATTTCTTTGGTTAACACAGATATAATGACATTTTTCTTTTTCGGCTTATAGCTTTTACATTCTTGACATAACTTACCTCTGTTTCGTCCTCGCTTTTTACACAGATACATGCTGCTCGCTAAATAAATAAATAATGGTAATATTTTTCGAAACGATAGATTGGTCTCGTTCTTATGAAGACATAAAAATAGCTTACCTTTCGATATCCATCTTTATCGAATATTCGGCTGTTACTTGACTTATCTTTAACCATTTTGAAGTCTAGACTATAGTCGTTCTACCTTAAAAAAAGCTATTTAAAAAATATATGAAATTTTCTGATCAGAGTTCATAGACAAATATAGATCGTCCTATTTCTCTTCTTCAAAATAAGTATCAACAGATGAGGAAACTATTTAATTTCATTGGAATTATAACTTACATGGTTTTGCTGACAGTTTTAATTAGTTTCTATCACTTTTTCTTTTTTAAATCGGTGGCATTTGTAAATTCTATATTTTATATTCTCTTCTAATGTTATTCTATGAAAAAAAAAACTCGATAAGAGAGTGCCGTCGAAATATTATTTTTAGACGGCGCCGCTATTGTAAATTAAGTGACGACGGTGTCAATGTAAACAAATATATTTTAAAATAAAGTTCAGCTGAAATGCCTTTCAAGTGTTCAGTAAAAGGATGTCGCTCTAATTATGATTCAACTAAAGAGAAAGTTTCTATTTTTCAATTTCCTGCTGATATAAAAATACAAGAAGAATGGCTAAAAATTATTGAAATATCAAATTCATCAGTTACTAATTCATCAAGAGTTTGTGCAAAGCATTTTGATCCAAAGGATATTGATACATCTGCTAGAAGAACTTTGCTCAAGCCAACAGCAATTCCTATCTATCAAAACTATGATAAGCAACAGGCTCAAGTATCTATACAATTAGATAATTTAACCGAACAAGAATTTTGTGAAATCTTGGTAAAAGATGAATGTGACGATGTTGGCGATATAATTCCTGATTTCGGATATTTCTGTAATCAATTAGAGGTACTAGAGTCCCTGGAGAATTGGAATATGTACATAGAAAGTAGAGGAGTATGCCTTTATCGACTTTCATGTGTTGACGATGGATTTTCAGATGTTGTTATGAAAATGAAAGTTCTAATTAACAATCAAATGCTTGTAAAATTTTATTGCAATGATATTGAAACTTCTATAGATGACTTAAACTGGGGTCTAAATGATGGGTATCTGCAATCATGGAAACAATTTGATAAAATCCTTGAATATGATCAATATGAAGGACAGTTGCATCTTGAGCGTAAAACAATTGATGTTCTAAAATATGTTGAATCATTATTAAATAGTATTAATAATGATTCAATTCAGAAAAGAATTGATTCACTAAAAGAGGAATTGAAAATTATATATGACGAATTAAATAATGCAACTATAAATTATGAAATTGATTCATTGGAAGAATTCATTGAAGAGTTAGAAGAATTTAGTGATATAAGTGTTGATGAAAAATTGTCATCTGTTACAAACATGGATTTTGAACATCATAAAAATGATACTGAATTTTTAGAAACATCAGCAGAAGTTTGTATGACAGATGATTCTAAAAATGCATTCAAATGTGGCGTTTGCTCTTTTTCATTTTTAACGCTGCTTAGCCTTCGATCTCATAAAGAATCATGCAAAAAATCTGCAGAAACTAATGGAAGCAAGAAAAAAATTAATATTTGCACAGTTTGTGGAAAAACTTTTCAAAAGGCTAAAAGTTTGAAAGAACACGAGAAACTTCACGATTCAAATTATCGTAAAAAATGTTCATTATGTGATGCTGTTATTTATGCACGCAGTTTGAAACGACACATGGATACAGTACACAAGAAATTAAAATCTTTTCAATGGTAAGCTCTTCTTAAGTTAGTTTATTTATCATTTAATTGAGCTTCATTTTTCTATTTACAGTAAAATGTGTAGTAAACGATTTTCAACACTTTCCTTGAAAAGAGAGCACGAAAAACGACACAAACAGAATTTTGAATTCGAAAAATATTCTGAGCAACTAAATGGATTTTCACAATACAATTGTCCGAATTGCACGTTATCTTATGAAAACAGCTCATCACTAAGGAAACATATGCAGAAGGATTGTCAAGCTAATGAAAAAAAAAGAATTTATCGATACCCTTGTAAGAAGTGCTCAAAAACCTTCTTCACAAAGATTTCAGCTGCAAAACACATGAAAGTAGAACATCAAATTGTCATTAAGAACACTGAAAAGTTTTGCTTTTTATGTAATGAAGAATTTGAAGACTACGTTAATCATGTTCGATTGCATTCTTGTAACTTTTCCTGTCAATTCTGTGGATCAAAATTTCTAACGCAGGAAAAAGCTTTGAACCACGAAAAACTCAAACATTCCGATGAAACTATAGCTGATCGTCCATTTAAATGTCCTGAAAATGATTGCACTTTATCTTTTAAAAATCCTAATCATCTTAAAAGTCATCAGCTCGCGATACATAACAATACACATGATCGTGAATTTCAATGCAATGAATGTAATAAAAAGTTTACATTGCGATATCTTCTTACAGCACACCTTCGATCACACAATAAAAACTTTGCAATGTTTCCTTGTAATATTCAACAATGTAATCGAAGATTCAAGAAACTAAATAATTTAAAAATTCATGCTTTGAAATTCCATGGCATACCAGAAATATATTTATGTAAAGAATGTGATCAAAGATTTATGATGCTGAAGGACCTAAAATATCATCTAGAAGATGAACACAATCAAACTTGCAATATTCAAAAATATTTCAATTGCTAATTTTAAATTATAATTATTCACTAATCTTTCTTGTTTACTTAAATATTTCATTTATATAAATAGGTAATAATAAATAAAACAAATCTCTAGCTGTAGCTGTGTCAGAGTTTTTTTTATTCTGATTTAGAGTAGATATAAAAAGATTTTCATTTGGAATTCAACACCAAATTCAGGCTAAGAAATTTTAAAATTTAGCGGATTATTCGGTACCTAAATCTATTTTCAATTAATTTTTATTAACGCGACGTGATTTTGGAGGACTTTCATGAAACGAATACTTGAGTTTTGAAAAATTCTTTCTAAGACTGATTAGGATATTTGGGTGAAATCTTAACTATCTAAGAGTCAAACCTAAAAAAAATGCTCAATAGATGGCAGAGCTTCACCCTCAAAGGGGGATGAGGAATAAAAATGGTATAAATTTGAAAAACCTAAATATACCGTAAATTTCTCACTGTCTGATTACTTCAGTCAATTCGAAGTCATAAACATTTTTATTCAGATTTTATAGACATAAAAACATTAAGAAGAAATAAAATAATAAGCTCATTATCTTTGATGCTGTTATTATTAAGCATCAAAATAATCAAAACGTAAAACTGCTTATTTAGATTCTAGATAGGTATTACCTATATAAGCTCTTTTCTTTAGGCATCATAACTTTGAAATAGAAAAATTATATTAATTTAATAATTAAAATTTCAACAGCTAACAATATCTAAATGAATTTTTTACTTTTAATAAATCTGCATATCTAATAAAATTATAAATATTCAAATA